CATCATCGTTCGGCTTTGATTGCGGTCTACATTCTATAGTCGGCTCATCTTTACTAAACTCCATTACGGACGCCATTGGGTGAAAATGTGCCCGAGGCGCTCGGTTAGCTTTAATCATGCCTTCCGTTTCGGGAGGCATATTATTCGGCTTATGTTTCGGCTTTAGCTGATACGGCAGCTGTACGGCTGACTCTGGTTTTACTGTAGTCATTTTTTCTAAATCGGCTCGTAATGCATATGGTACGTCGTATTTGAAGTACTCAAATGCTTCCTTTAGCTTCTTCTGTTTCTCTAGCATCAAGATGTATTCATCCCTGAATGCTGAATCGAGATTCTTAATAAGCTGTTCGGCTTCTTCAGGACTTATGCCTGTAATCGGCGTACTATCATCTGCTAAGACGAGAATATCTTGTCGAGTTTTATGAAATAATTTTGCTAATGCTCGTACTTCGGAAATAAAAACTTGATATTCTTGCCATAATTTAGCAAACGACTTTCTCGGCGGCGGTAGTTTAATTTTCGTTCTGCTCGTGGCCTTTGCCACGGGTATCGGAACAATTTCGGCTTTAGGGGTCGGCTCTTTAGAAATATCAATAGCATTAATAGTTGGTTCCGATGCCACGGGTATCGGAACAATTTCTTCAATAGTATTCGGCTTTTTAGATTCAATAGTTGATGGATCGACCATTAGGGTATTAATCCTACGGATCCATTGTAATTCATTATCACGGACACCAAAGGTAGTACCGGCCAAGAAGTCCTGACCCAATAGCACTTTAGTGTCGTCGACAGTCGGCTTAATGTAAAAGGAATGGTTGATTAGTTCACCAAATATTTTAACGGGTACCGTGCAGTAGTGGGTTACTAAAAATCCACACATACCACCGATTCCTCTAATGTTTAGCGGCTTAATTAACGGCAGTTTTTCTAGTTTTAGCTCATCGACGAACTCATTCGAGATGAGTGACGTCTCGGCTCCAGTATCGACCATAACCATAACGGTTGTGCCTAAGATACGTGCCCACACCATTAACGGTGGCGCTCGTTTCGGCTCTTTAGTTGAATCGACTTTAGAATCGTCAATATTGATTTCGTTTATAATCGGCTCGTTTAGTTGGATCGGTTCGGTGATTCGGATACCACTAATAGTTATTATTTCAGTAGTATCCGGCATTTCACCAGGCAACCGGGGAGTACTGCCGGAAGTTACTCCCCGTTGTCGTTTTTCTGGCTACTAGCTGATGCGGCATATTCATTTTGTCTCGGCGGCGGTGAACGTGACGTCGGCCTTGGACCATTCGACTGTGAATTGTTTCGGGAACGGCCACTATTAGGCGTGCCCGTTCCACTACCGGCTTGGCTTCGGCTGCGGAAATCCCGGGCGTACCGGCGATTCCCCGTAACCGGATCGTGATACGACAAATAGATTGGATTTTCGGCTCGGGGCACGTCCTTAAACTGACATGCCTCAAAGTAGTGCCCGCAGACATCGCACTGCTGGCAGTACTCAACTACTCGGCCGTTCCTCATCTCCTTCTCCAACCGTGGAGCCCGGTTAGTATTCTCGGGAATACGTCCGGCGTTCTCGGCCCACAGCTGGGAACGGTTCGACTGTTGATTATTGTTGTTATTGCCGGCTGGCCTAACATTGCTGTTATTAGCATTACTTGCTGGCCTAATATTACCGGTATCGTTGCCATTATTGGCTGGTCGATTTGGTCGGCGATTCCCCCCATTAATGGGGCGCGGCGGGCTGGCAGCTGCTGCCGCATAGCTCGCCGGCTTCGGCTGGGTCTGTACCGTACGAACGGTCACAGAGTCGGCATCTTGGTTCTTACGTTTACTGCCGACCGGAATCACATACTTTTCGGGATTACTCGCCGTCAAGTAGCGGATCTTTTCTAAGAATTCTTCCGGCGTACGAGGATCCATGCCCTCGATTTTATCCTGCAGGGTTGCATGCGACTTGATGCCCTTCATTAGAAAGGTCACAAATTGATCCGGCGTACCGGCATAACCGGCCTTGTCTCTCAGCGTCATCATCGCCTGAAAGAAACTCTCAAGCGATTCCTGACCTGGACGGTACGTTCGGTTCGTGAGTTCGGACAACGCATTCACAGAGCGTCTGGTATCTCCGAACCGCGCAACCAATTGGTTACGCCACTCCCGGTACGTAGTCGGCTTATTTGGGGACGTGAGCAGGCCGTTGTACCAGATTACTGCCTCGTCCTTTAGACAGTAAGCTAGTTCGGCTATCTTACGCTCGTCGCTAACCCATCGGTTTTCTTTTGCGGCTTGCTCAAATTTAATGAGAAAACTGTCTATATCTTCCTTGCTGCCATTATATGACGGCCTAGGAACCGGCTGTCGTATGGCGTCGGCAAGGTCGGCTTTCCTTAACGGACTATTGGTTCGACTTGTTCGTTTACTTAACTTACGCAGTTCTTCCCGCAGAGCTTCACAAATTACCTCTGCATCCTTATGGGAAACCTGCTGTCGGCTAATATCTACTGTCGGAGCCGGCTCCATGCGGGAGTGCATGGTTTCGGACTGGCCAGCACGCATTCGCGTGGGCGGCCGTTCTTCATAGTCGATTTGGTTTTCGACTGCGGCCACCATCTGTTGATGCGTTGTCAACAGACGGTTATATTTTTCGGCTAGTACATTAAATTCCGACCGGATTCTCTCACTCGACTCTTGCAGCATAGAGATCGAAGCGAGTCGGTCGTTCGACTCCGTGCTCAACTTCCCGTTCTCTTGGATAGCTTCGAGATACTGTTTACGGAAGTTGGTCGACGAGTCCTTTTCGGACTTTAGTTCGGCTTTTAGCTGTTTAATTATGTTATCGCGTTCGACAACCTTGGCTCCAAGCCCTACAGCGGCTTTATTCGCCTGATTATGGGCGCCTTTGGCAGTCCGTAACTGCTCATTTAAATTGTCTTGATCGGCTGTCATATCGCAAATCGTCTTGTTACGCTTTGCGATAAGCTGTTCGGCTTTATCAAGTCGAATCCTAAGATCCGAGACTTGATTTTGCAGTTCTACTACTGCATCGGTAGCTTGCATTAACAGGCTGAGCCGAGGCCCTTTCTCTCCTGTCGGCTGTAACGGCTGAATCGGTGGGATTTTTAGGATCGGCGTCAAATCCTTGCCCAAAGCCTTATCAATAAGGCTCGGACTGGAATGCGCCTTCGGTCCCAACGGTACCACCGTTGTCGGCTCATCCTCCTCGTCATCCGACGAGTCGGGCGGCTTATTTGATTCGGGGTCGCTAGTATTAATTAGCGATACCGATGATAGCGTCGACGTAATCGACTCTGTCGCGCTATCGGCTCTCTCTACGTTCGGCTGGGTTTCTACTTCAATCATGGCCTCGTTCAGATCCTTAGGGACCATTGGCGAGGCCGGCTGTTCTACCGACTCTGGTACTGGTAGATCGGCTAATGGTGCTCTTTTCGGCTTTCGCTTATTTGTTTGTAGTACTTGATGTACTACTTCGTCGCCACCGGCTACTATCTGTTTCGCCTTCCCGCGGGTAACATTGCGGGCTGCGTTATCGCTTGTTTCTGTTTCTTTCGGCTGATTGCGAATTAATCGATCGGCTGTTCGTAAAAGATTATTAGCGAACTGCTTCGCTTTATTTACTGGTGTTCGTTCCATATCGGCAATATTATTAAAATACAACCGATAATTATTACGGTTGTACTCTAGTAATGGGTACGGCAAATCTATTGGTAATTCGTTCTCAACTTCCCACAAATGGGTCGGCGTAAAGTCTACTAAATCGCAAAACGATTTTCGGTCAAAGTGAAAAGACGGTAATCGATTATTTTCGGCGATTGTTATACTTTACTATTACAATTTACACGTTCGGTTCGCTATAGGTTGTACTGGCACTTTCGGTATGCCATACTACACAATTACGATTTATCGGGTTGCAATATAACCCGATAACGGCCAAAAATTATTAATAATTATCGATCGCAAAATTGTACCGTAATTACATACAATTTAATTAACTACTTCGGTACACATATAGGCGGCTGATAGGTCGGTAACCTGACGCGATTACCTGTTGCTTCCGTGCACGGCTCAGTGTCAAATCTTGGGAATTTCCCAGAGTCGTCGACAATTTTCGATGTAATTTCTAATGGATCGAGTTGTTTTTCGGCTTTATACTTTCAGTATTCCTACTGAAATTATTTCGGTAGGATTTCGGCAATTCGATATGATAATTCGAATAATTATCGACGACGGTCCACTGTGATAACGCAGGACGGTGTCACTCTTAGACCGGGATTTTACGCACACAATATCCCGTTAATTTCCTACTTCGACAATTTAGTATTTTTACTAAAATAAAACTCGTGGTTTTCGGCGATATCAAACAATAATTTGTCAGATATTATCGGCTACTTTTGTCAGAATTTCCACTATAATTTCAGTGGAATTATTCAACAATTTCGGAATAGTTTATTACGTACAGTAATTCTGAAATTGTACGGCTTAATTTTAATTGTATCGGTCGAAATTGGTTCGGCTTTTTCACAAAAATATTGTGAATTAATCTGCGGCTTACGGTGGTGAAATTCGCGAGAAAATCCCGTTTTATTTTACCACAGGATGGTAACGATTATACGGCATAGCATCGATAAAGTACAGTAGCAATTAAGGCTACTGTACACGGCGAAAGTGGAGTAATTTCTAGAGCTAATGCTTCTAGAATTACACGGAAAAATTCTCGAGAGATTCTAGAAGTATTTTAGAATCTTTAAATGATCGAAAACGGCAGTAGATTGCGAATACGGCATAAATTAATCGACCGTGAAATGTTGACACATTCACGGTGAACGGCAGCTAAATACGGTAGCTTTTCACAGCTCCTGTTCGACAACAAAATTGTACAACTTTAGAGAAACTCTCTAGAGCTTTCGGCAAAATATTCTAGAATAATTCTAGAAATTATCGGCTGGTAGTTTGCTATTGCAAACACGGCTTACCTGCACTGACACGACGTGACGGTACGGCGCGGTGCTTTCGGTGCTTGCTTGCTTTCCGACTGTCGTCCGGAACGCAGGATCTCGATTCCGCTCTACTGCTCCCTCACGGATGAATGCCCGAGGTCTGGTCGTTCGTCCGATGTACGGGGATGTCAGCTATCGGTTGACGGCGTAGGGAAATCAGCTCCGGTCCTCCGCGATGTGTCGGTTGACGTGGCTGATGCTTTCCGGGTTTCTGGTACGGCTCAACTCCACACTGCGCTGTAGCGAGAGCGTGGAATCCGTTTGACCGTACAGGAAAATCGGCAGGTGCGCGCGATTAATGACGCACACACGGTGGCAATTTTAAATTAAATTAAAATTATCGGCTAAATGCGGCGCGCAAGGCAAAATGCCTGCTAACCGTAACGAAAATAAATCAGTCAGTACAGGATTACGGGGATCGAACTTGCATCTCCACCATGAAAGTGGCCTGCGACTGCCACACAGAAATGTGCCCATACGCGGCCACAACCAAAATGATCTTTATTGTGTAGCAAAGAGAAACAATAAAGGCATGAAGCCCGAATGAAAACGCTGTATTCCAGAGAGGAAATACGGCGGCAAAGACAACCACAAGGCGACAATGGAACAAATCTGGAATTTATTCCAGATTTGGAAGCGTGCAAAAAAACCAACTGCCAAAGGCAACACGATCCAACACGGCAGAATCGGTGCTGCCCCAAACGCCCAAACGTAACCACTATCCTGGGCGGTGGCACCGATCGCCTAGCACTGGGGTCTTTAATACTTCGGCAACCACTATGACCGTACTCTCCGAAGCGTTCACCGCTTTGTCCGCGGTACTGCCTTTGGTGGACTGCTTTCGCGTGTTTAGCGAGGCAAGGCATGTATGATTCCCATTCGTTTTCCTCCTCTTCCGTACTGCCAGACGGCGTGGCGTCGGTGCTTTGCCTGATTTCCAGTTCGTAGTCTGGGATGCTACATGCTCGTACACGGTAGTTTCGTAATATGTAGACCGTTTTGAACTACGAGTACCAATGTTTCTTACAGCAGCAGTATTCGTTTTATCTTATTGTGTCTGAACTGGGAACGGGGAGTGAGTCGAAAGAGAGAATATATCAGCCTTTGAATTTCTCATTTTTTACAACAATAATGCTCAGATAACTTTTCTATCTTCCTTTGCAGCGTTTGTATTGCAAATACTGTAGTTCCGAAGTGATTTCTCAATTTTTTGGGACGTAAAATTTTGGAGAAGTCGGGTGAAGCGTGCGTGATCTGGTTGGTTTTTGAAACAGTGTTCAGTATTGCTAGAATACAGATACAGTGCATTAATCGTGGGAATGCGGCGGCAGTTTTGGGCACTTCGTAACGCGTAAAACGGCATGAAACTGTCAAAGACAGTATTGGCTGATTTGATGTTACTCTTAATTTAATTTCTAGATAGTAGTGTCCGGTTGTAGCTTGTAAGTTGTAACCATGAATTCATGAGAATCGTGAAATAAAACTGAAATTTATTTACTAAATAAAAGCATTCCGTCAAAATCAAACACCCACAGAATATATTTGCATTGCTCACAGGACCGTGTTTGCGTATGAAGTTTGATAATCTAATAGTCTTGCTGAAGGTCATATCAAGAACTTACTATAGGTCTCACAATATAGTAAGTACTTGGTCATATGTAATCGGGATTACTTTACAGCGTTGCCCTACAGCGGACTACAGAAACAAACTCTCGTGAGTCCGTAAATGCGTTGATCTATAATCTTGCTACGTCAAACACGCGTCACTCAATAAAATAATTACGCACAAAATTGCTACTGTTTCAGTTACGCAGCATTATGTGATGGCCGTGCTCAGACCCGTTCATTGAAGGTTTGCAGTACGAGGATACTTTATCAAAAACAGTTCAGCGTTTGAAGTATACCCCGGATTGGCGTAATGCAATATTAATTAAATTATCCGCGAATTCTGAATGGGGCATTCCGGGTAGAGACCACTCGACGTGCGGTTTGTGGAGTAGAAAGTTATCGGCATGACCGGAGGTGCGCAATTGCAGCTGAGAAGTCTCACCTGGCGGTACATATTGCTCACTGCCGGCACCCTCCGCCTGTGCCCGATTTCTTCGCCCCCCATTATTGAACAACAAGTACATATCATGATGCTAGATAAGGAATACCGCGGCCGCTAAAGTAGAGCGGGCGGGTGGTTATTGAAAAGTTGTTGAGCTAGCAACACGTGAAAACCGTTATGAGAAATGAACAGCACGATGCGTCGCGCACAAGCAGCTGCACACGACACGAAACCGGTGCCGGAAAGTACAGTACAGGGATGATAGTACAGGGAAATGAACAAATTCAGCGGTAATTTAATTTCCGCTAATTCTTAACTGGCATATAATGGCGAGGTATGCAGAATTCGGATTCGTGCGGGATTTTCCTGGCCTGTGTGAAACCCATTTTTTACTAATGGTTAACGTTAATTCTTCATTCAAAATAAAGTCATAGAGTTTACCATTTTCTCATCATATCAGCTGAGCAGTGTTCAATACTGCAGAACTGCACAAAGACAACGGCCGAAGATGCTCACTTTCAATGGCGCAATCGGGGAAATTACGATCACAGGTGCTTGAACAAATCATATTGACATAAATGGGAAACCCTGCAGCGTATCATCGGCTTGACCTTCGACTTACGAAATCTCTTCTTACTAAGACAGCATTAGATCAGATAATGCCTTTTTCAGGCTTGCCACTCATCAAACACGAGATAGCATCCACATACAGTAGTCATATTAAAGACCTTCGAACAACATTTGCTTCCTGCAGCTACCAAGTACTGATGTTCTAGAGTCGTAAGATGGATGCCGAGCCTACAACCGCTATACAATATACAGCCAGCCATACATACGATTAGAAAATTATACTGACGTTGCATGTGTGACCTTTAAATCACGACGGCAACGGAGCACGCTATGAAACCGTACACTAGCGATGGACAACAACGTTTGTTTTAGTACTGCGCTGGAGCCGATTTCCGATTGCTGAAATTGGCGATTGTTGCATCAGTTTGTTTTGCGGCTTCGAATACGAGTACATAAGCATACTTCAGTGCAAGTTACGGATCGGACGCACCATGAATATCTCCACACTAACTACGAATTCTAGCAGCACCGCTTTTAATCGATCAGTCACTGTTGATTATGTTGATCCTGGACAGAAAATATTCTTTTGCGCTCTTCTGGTATTTGAGAGCGTGCTCGGATCCGTTGCAAATTTAATCGTATAGGGTCGCATATCCTTTATCAGACCAGTCAAACGTTGACCTATCTTACAATTTGTGTATGTTTCACGGCCCATGCACATTTTACTTTACAGATCATACTCGTCATTGCCTGTACGGCTTTTCTGCGTACAATCGAAAACGCTTTTGTAGTCAACTTGGCTTTGGCGGATTTCATTATATCATTTGTCACTCAACCATCGTCTTTGGTCGGCAAGTCTGTCACTCTGTCTGCATTATTAAAATATCAAAATGAGAATACTAATTTAATTTGCCAACAATAAGGAACAACATAAAAAGGTCACTTTGTGTACCCATATTTGTGCTTAGAATTTTACTATAGCGTAATAATAATTTCGAACGCAGTAACGTGCCACATTGAGAGTTTCAGATTACTTAATAAAGTGGATTGTTGTAAATTTCAACGAATCTCAGATCTTTGTTTGTGTAGGAGTTGTCCTGGGGAAAATTTGGTTCACAACTCATCCGATTCTCTGCAAAGGTAATGCATACTTTGCAACTTAGAACATGTGCGCTGTTTAAATTTTGTGCGTTGTTTTGGATTGCCAGTTGTCAATGTCGTTATCGATTTTAAGTTCTAATACCCGTGGTTTTTTGTAGTGATTGCGCAATTGTGCTCTGCCAGCTGTATCGCTACCCACTGGAACACTCTACTGATCGCCATCAATCGGTAAATGAACCTCTCCGCCACACCCAACTTTGCTATCGCAGTAACTTTGCTAATGTTAATTGTTTTCAGGTACATCTTGATACGCCATCCCACTCTTTATCGCCGTGTGTACACCCAGGGAAGCGTGTTCCTCATGTGCCTAACTGTGTGGGTGGTGATGTTAGGAGCCACTATACCCAATCACGTTGACGTCGGATGGGGCTCGCTCGGCTTCTCCGATATCCTATTCGTCTGCACCTTCGCCACCGACCATTATCACTACACCCTTTTTAACGTGTCGGTGTTTTTATTTTTCCCGGCCATATTAACCTTTGTCGCCTATTACGGTATCTACCGACAGGTACGGATAAGCCGCATCCGAGTGCTGACCGGGCAACCGGGAAAATCCTTTAGGAAGGATATCCGGATTGTCAAGTCCCTGTTTAAGGCGTATGTCGTTTATTTGGTGCTAGTTGCACCCTTCGGTGTAATAATGTTGATTAACATGGGACAGTTGCCCCATATTTGGTACATGCTGTCGCTGCTGCTGTACCACGGCGTGGGGACGGCCAACTGTTTTCTGTATGCCGTGCGGTTGGGGAAATTCTGGGATGGATTACGGTTGATGTTCCACTTGCCGATGAAGAGCGAGAGCAGCGGAGCGAGTGGACAATTATCCACGTCGTCGCAACGGGCCCAGGCGACAGCGTCTTCCAGACGCTCTCATCAATAGATGAAAGTTTGGTGCTACTGATTACATAAGTCCTTTGGTTAAGCCTGAAATTTTTCCGGTTTCATACAAGTTGAGGGATTTTCGATAATATAAACTGGGCACTTCAACATACATATCCCTTGCAAAAAAGCACCCAAATCATGTATTTGCTTTATACGTGTAACGACCACTATCTGGCAGACACTGCGGTAATAACTTCTACGGACTACGTAGAGTTGTTCATTTTTACACCCTTGATGTATCATGTTTCCCATAAAACCATTTTTTCATCGACTATTTTTTTTTAGCTTTGCGCAGAATGCCGATTAATAAAAATGAGTGACACTCCTTTTTATTACAGAGTGTATAAGATAAGTTTCTTTAATACCGTAAATGCAGTTACCGTTTCCAGCTTACACATAATTAAGGCTTACAGATCGCATGAGCCCTTCGATACAAACTGAATGCGCGAGTAATTAGACAGGCGTCTTAAGCTCATTTTCGTTTTGTCGTTCGTTCACCTTTACCACCGTACTCTGAGATATAGCATCTGCCGCTTTTTCCGCGCTACTGTCTTTGATGGAAAGTTTTCGTGTGCTTAGCGAGGCAAGGTATGCTTCCCACTCGTTCTCCTCCTCTTCCGTGCTGACCACATGGAATCGCCCACCCACGAAACGCAGCATGTGCCCATTGGGTAAGCGCAACCGGAAGCGCTCGTCTTCGACACGGGGTAGCATGCGGTCGCGCAGATTAGTCGGAGTGAAAACCGCCAGAATTAGTGCTAGCAATACAGGTCCAAGAATCCAGCGGAAATTTAAGTCGTACCTGCAAAGGTCATTTTATAAGTGCTGTTATGTTAGGAACGGAGGATGCTGATTTGCTGCACATTACCATCATCTCGCTTTCTGGATACGTTTCCGTTGCTGATTGTAGACTTCGTGAAAACCATACCACCGCCCACACCGGCAATGGCCCACGCTGTTAAAATCTAACAAAAAAAACGTTGTAATGCGTACGTGTACGAGCAGTTAGTACGAAATTCCGTTACCATGCCGTGCGTGGCTCCCACATTTTTGGCGCCGAACTGGTCGGCTAAATATGCCGGCATCAAGCCGAATCCGCCTCCATCTGCACAATCCCACAATATTTCGATTACGTACAAATATGTACTGCTAATCTATACAGGCGTACAAGTCGTAACTTCTTACAAAAGAATCCGATAACGAAAGCGCACGTTAATACTCCCGCTAAACTGTCCGCTGCCATGGCGCTAGGCAGACATCCCAGACACACAGCTTGGCATATTAGAGACAGGATAAACAGCGCTTTCCGACTCTGGATCAAATCGGATAGGAAGGGCAGCAATAGTCGCCCTAACAAGTTCACCTAAATAATTCAGAACCGTGGTCGTTCAGAATGGTCGGACGATTCAACGCCCATACAATACTAACCCCGCCCAGTCCGGAATTGATATCGGCGGAAACGGCATTTGATTGCTTCAGTTGATTTTGCGCTATGCTCTGGATTTTGGAGATAATCAGTAAACCGGTGATTTCCGATCCAAGAAAAGTGAAGTACTGTATTTAAAGGCACATTAAAGGGTTGCACGTTTATGCGGATTAGTGAAGCTTCGTAAAAAAAACGGCTTTACCATCATCCAGTATTGAGGAGATGTCAGTGCTTCCTTCAGGCTCATAGAAAAATGCTTATTGTAATCCGGAACAACAGTGGTGATCGATTTGCGGGGTTTCTGTGGATTATCTCCCGTGATGTTTGTCATCTCAATCCCTTGTTTATCCGTTTTTGCGGTTTCATCTTCTACTTTATCTTTGGTGACAAACAGTTTTTCCGCTCCTTTTACCGTGTGGACTGTTACTCCTTTTACCACATAACCAGGCCTTGGTAATAAAAAAAAAACACTCCCGTTAATTGGTACTACTGTACTTGAAAACAGACGTAAAAATGTGACAAATAGGGAGAACGATTCTTACGGAGGCATACGGAGTATGAGCGCGGAAACCAGCATGACTACAAAGTAGCACGATCCCAGAATCACAAAGGTCAATTCGATCCCGAGAAATTCCTGTCCGGTGGCGGCGTAATCTGGACCAATCAGAGCGTTCTGCGTGTATGGCGAAAAGATACTCCCGGCACCAAATCCACACACAGCCAACCCAGCCGCCACCCCACGAATTTCCGGAAACCATTTCTGCAATGGTGACACGGGCGAGATGTAGCTGATACCAATGCCCGCACCTCCGATTACACCGTAACCTGAAAAAAGGAGGCAAATTGTGTGATTTGGCATTATAACCGAGTTTGATGCAGTCATTCTAGACTGCTGTTACCGATGTAGATCAGCCACATCTGGTTAACGTAAACTCCGAGCGCTGTCACTAAATTCCCCAGGAAGAACAGGCAAGCTCCCAAAATGGCTCCTTTTCGTGGTCCATTGCGCTCTAACCACGGACCGAGGAAGGCTGCATTCAACGCGAAGATGGCAACGGCCAGGTAGAAAACATTAACAGCTGTAAAAAGAATCAGGAAAATCATGTGTAAGATAAATCTTTATCACAAAAGGTCATGAAATACTCAGCAAAAAGCGTTTGATTTATCTAGAACTGGAAGTTCCGCTCTCGTACCGATTGCTCGATCAGTAGCTCCATTAAACCCGTACAATCTGGCCTCGAGAGGCAAATTGAAGCCGCTCCATGCGTACAATGAACCACAACAAACCTACAGAAAATCTAGTTACAGATGCCGCAACACATCAGTTGAGCTTGTTCTTTGGCAAATTTTAAGCGCAGAATGTATAGGTAATTAAGCGGATCCATACTGCAAAACCGTGAAACGGCTCGTACTTGGATCAGTACTGCTGCCGGCATCAGCATGTAACGATTGAACGGGATCAGTTTCGGAATAAGCCATTGTTCACGTTCCAGCTGCTTTTCGGTGCGCGGATAGCTCGTTTCGCTGTAATGGTACTTGACAGCACTTTTAACCTTTCGCACGAACTTGCTCATATTGGATGGCTGCACAGTCTGCGCAAATTATTCGCGGAAGTGGGGTATTCTGATGGACGGGTCGATCGGACAATACCGCTACAAATCCACTCACCGACGAACAACAACTGCCGGTGATAAGGAAATAATCAGCGTCGTGAGTAAACAGAAAGAATATCCAAATAGCCGGACGAAAACTCCTCACAGTTTAGCTTTGCACACTTAACCGAAGATGTGCACTGCAAAATGGAATACCTTACTTTACTTGACTGAAACTGGATGAATGACTGCTTAGTGCTTACAATTTGACTTTAATGCGATAAGGGATGATTAATGGGGCAAGTGATTTCACCGTTGATAGTAATTTCGCTTCAGCACATGTTAAGGTATTGTCATGCGGTTTCATGGGATTTTCATATGTGAGCGTACAGTATAGAAGTATGCTTACTTCTACAACAACACAAATACAGTAATTCGCTGTGCTTTGTAGATGCTCATTGTCGGCGTACCGCTGACGGTTAACGATAAACTGTGGACTTGGCTAAAACTTATGTACATGTACGCGCGTTGCGCTGGCAAAAGTCAGCGCTTAACTTAAATTAATATACAAAAATGTATCTTACTGTATCACTGTACAGTGTACATAACTCTTCAGTACAATATAAACCGTTTGTACCATGGCTTTTACAACAAGTGGCATGTGCGAAACCAAAAGCACAAGGTACAAAATGAATAATCTAAACGTTTTTCACATCGACTTAACAATTCTCAATTCCAAAAAATGCTCATCCGTACTGACAAATGACAAAAAAGGATCACCAAAGAACACACGCTGTGTACATAATTGAAAACCCCCCCTACGAGGAAAATCGGCCAGGGCTTGACGTCCTGTCGGCTCTATGCTCCTTCGCGATTTTTCCTATTAAAGGACGTTAAGGTCGCTTCTGAGTCAGAAATAAACATTTTAGCAGGCCGATCCGGGGTCGTGGACCCTTTCCGGCTATCCTGCTTTTCAGCGTCCAGCGCAGCACGTGCAGCGATGACAAATAGGCCTGCCATTCAGCTTCCTCCTCTCGACGCTAACCGTACGAAATCGTCCAATGAGCCTGACCATTCGACCAAATAGCCGGAAGCGCAGGCGTTCGCCTTCACGCGCGGGAGTTTTGGTCGCGGAGATTTGTTGGCGTTAAGATCGCTAAGACTAGCGCAAATAATACTGGAGCCAAAATCCATCGGAAGTTGACATCGTACCTGTAATACATTGTTAATTATTCTCTATGTTCGATAAAAGATATACGAGTACGCCAACAGCAAGAGAGTGAATGAGGTACTTTTCTACACAAACACGAATCTGATGGAACCCAGCTAAAATTAGAAAATCGTACCACATCATTTTGGAATCCGGATAAGCGAGCCGCTGTTGATTATAAACAGCGGTAAAAATGAGACCGCCGCAAACGCCGGCAATAGCCCAAGCAGTCAAGATCTAAAAGTTTCAGTTTATAGCCATTCCTAGCTTTTTAAAATTATTGCTATGTACAAGCGTGCGGACTTACTACGCCGTGCGTTGCTCCCACATTCTTAGCGCCAAACTGGTCAGCTAAATACGCTGGAATCATACCGAAGCCTCCACCATCTGCAATGTATCACAATCCCTTCATCGTCAGTACAAATAATTCTCGAAAATCATTTGACACAACTGAAGCGGAGTTTCGTTAGATGAATAAAGACCGGCTATAGCTAGAAAAATATTTAGCTGCACACTTACAGAAGAATCCGATGATAAAGGCGCACGTCAGCACACCACCTAAACTCTGTGCATCCAACGCACTAGGCAGACATCCCAAGCACACAGCTTGACAGATCAGTGAAAAGATGAAGAGGGTCTTCCGACTTTTAATCAAATCTGATAGAAGTGGCAATATTAAGCGTCCCAGCAGATTTACCTATAGGAAACTGGTTTTAGTGAAGCAGCCAAGGAAAAAGTGCGTGTTCGCACTGACCCCGCCCAAACCGGAGTTGATATCCGCCGATACGGAGTCCGACTGTTTGAGTTGATTCTGAGCAATACTTTGGATTTTGGAGATAATCAGGAGTCCGGTAATTTCCGATCCCAAGAACATAAAATACTAAAAATTAATGAGGTTCAGGTAAGGCATTTTTCTAGTGATGAGAATGTGTACAAAAAACGGATAAACAATTTCTTATCATAGAAGAGGACAAAAGCTTTGTGTTTTTGATTTGCGCATTCATTTTACTGACCATCATCCAGTACTGTGGGGACGTGAGCGCCTGCTTGAGCGACATGGAAAAGTGTTTAGCATAGTCCGGCAGCACATCCACCACTGAGTGGTTTTGAGCGGCTGCGGCTTTTGCGCGCGGCCATCTTATCCATCTCCATGTCGGCTTCGACTTTCCCATTTTCCGCTGCCGGCACCGGATCGTCGACCACGGTTTTCTTGGCCACGAACAAATTCTCGGCGCTTTGACCGTGTGCACCGTCACGCCTTTCACCACGTATCCCGGCCTACAAAATAGCTATATTAATATTGTGAAGGTGCAACTCGAGCTTTACAAATAGCTCTAAGTGTTTGCCGAGGAAATCAAAATATGCATTTGACACATTACTTTTTTATGGATAGGTGTTAATTACTGTACACATTTTCGTCAAACATTGCAAATATTATTATCTGTACATATGGCAGTAGTGGAATGTCATTTAAGTGTTCTTGTTGCGATCAAAATATATTGCCCAGGAAATTCGGGGAGTAATAAAAAAATACTGTTCTAGCGAAATTAGAGCTCTAGATTGCAGACTATTTTGAAAGGCAGTTTTCTGCTACTATACGAGCAAACGCAACACTTACGGAGGCATACGGAGGACCATTGCGCAAAGAGCCATGATAACAAAATAGCAGGAACCCAGGATGACAAAGGTTAGCTCAATGCCCAGATTGATCTGTCCGGTCTTGGCGTAGTCCGGTCCAATTAAAGCCTTCTGTGTGTAAGGCGAGAAGATGCTACCGGCACCGAAGCCGCACACCGCCAATCCCGCCGCGATGCCTCGCATCTCCGGAAACCATTTTTGCAACGGTGACACCGGGGAGATGTAGCTTATGCCCAGACCGGCGCCGCCAATAACACCGTATCCTGGAAAATTTTGATGTAGTATACATAATACATATGTTGTCAGTTGCGTTCTGATGGTTTACAACGGCTTATATTAAACTAGGTACACATTCTGGTAGTTTTATAATTTACTGTACTGTACCGATAAATATCAGCCACATTTGGTTGACGTAGACGAGAGCGGTAACCAAAATTGCCCAGGTAAAACAGACAGGCGCCCAACATAGCTCCTTCAGTGGCCGTTGCGCTCCATCCAGGGCCCAAGGAAGGCGGCGTTCAGGGCGAAAATCGCCACGGCCACGTAGAAGACGTTGACAGCTGCACAAAAAAATTTTAACAAGAAATTAATACTATAAAATTAAAGATTCACCTGCGTATTACTCACCAATAGCGCGATCCGCTGTAAATCCATACAGTTTAGCTTCGATAGGTAAATTGAATCCGCTCCAGGCGTACAGGAACCACAGCATACCTAGAACATGATGAATGCTAGATGGTATTGATAACAACTATATTAACTGGCTGGTAGCGATAGATAAGTTAAAAAATGCAATTATTGCTTGAGCGGGGTGTATATAATTAACCCCAAAAACTAGCAAACCTGAATGAGAACAGCCGCTGGCATCAGCATGTAGCGACTGAACGGGATCAGTTTGGGGATGAGCCATCGTTCCCGTTCCAGCTGGTCCTCGGTGCGGACGTACTTCGTCTCGCTGTAATGGTACGCAATGGCTCTTGATTTTATGCCAAATAGCGCTCATTCTGGACCGAAATCTGTAAATAGCATTTAATACAAATCACCATCGAATGTAGTCAATATGGTTAAGTGTTCACAACAGAAAAGTACACAGTGCAAAAAAATGACGAAAATACACAACAGCCGTAGGACAGGCGAGAACAACTAGAGAAGTGCATTACAAATGGCACAAGCTGCTCCAAAATGTTGTCGTTATGTCCGATCGTAGGCTACATGTTAGCGCGTACGGAGTATTCCGTAGAACAACAACACGGCATGTTTTGCCGGCATTTACTGGTAAAGCCTTTCATTCACGCTGTGGACGATTGCGCAATGTTTCTGTACCGCGCCGCAGCAGTCATACACGAGACGAGCTGTCTCAGATCGTGTACTTACGAGAAAAATTTTTATGAGTAGTCTTGACGGCACTAATTGTGCTGTTAACCACTTAGCCATAGCAATAATATTATCCGGTAGTAAACAATCAGTTCCGTTATGACCACCCGAACATCTCGACCAAATAACTCACTAGTCACTACTACTGTTTCCGTTTTATTCAAAAATTTGCAAGAATACCCTTCTGCATTCTTTGTAATAATTTCACGCAGTTATTTTTTTGTAACTTTAACCAGGCTAAGAATAAAAATTTCCGGCAAGTAGTCAAGAAATGATTTTGATTTGCTGATGTCAGTTACTTTATAAGCAGCGAGTCTTTGCCGCACGCAATTAGTAACGCGGTAGTACAGGTACATACTGTAATTTAATGAGTACAATACATGTCATTACGATTAACTAGAAGTAAAAATACATAATTTAATGAGTACTGAGCACAATACATGTCACTAAGTACTACCCGTAACTAACAGTTAATATGTACTGTTAACAGTTAAAAAACAATTGTGCGGTCCTAATTTTGCTGCGCACAAATTTAAATTTTTTGCTACACCAGAATTCTACTAACCTTTTCAAAACAATTTATAAAAAGTTGGCTTGAGTGTCAGCTTTCGAATGACAAAATCAAATCACAGAAACAGTGGGCAAACAATTCGGATGCTTTATCACACGGTATTTAAGGCTGTTGATAAACCGTGGTCCACTGCGGAACAGCGTAATCTTCCATGCCACCAAATACAATGTACATATTATACCAAAAAACTGAATCAAGAGTATAAGCAGCCCACGTCAATTTAAACACAAATTGGTCAAACACGGAAGAAAATAAGCTTAAGATATATAGTCCAGCTTAAGATATATAATCCAATCAGCGGATGATAAAGCCAAAAATAATCACATGAAGGTAAGAAGTGCGGGCAATCTTTTTCGACACAAAAGTCGTGAAGGGAATTTCCAATTATGATCCAAAGAAAACGGATTAACTGTTGCAGCACCTCTGAGCAGCATGTATTGTCAGCTGTAAAGATATTATCATTTTTCTGTAATTTGCCTTTGGGAATTTTGTGTAATTATCGGTAGCAGCAAACTATGATATGTGAAGATGGACAAAAAAAGCTCAAGTATATGCCTTACGGCTACATTACCGGCAACGTGCCGCCCTTATTGAAAAGGGAAAATATGACGAACAATACACCGGCTGTACTGGTTTCATTCCAAGTCAAATTGCGATACAATCAACCCGACTCTAATACCTGCTAATCATCCGCTCAAAGTGCCTGGTGTTTAGCATTTTTTATCCAAGTGTTGCATGCGCGGCCTGCGTTTGTATTTTTTTGCCAAAATACCTTTCCATTATGCTGACCAGTGATTGCGCATAGAAAACTGTCAACTCGACAATAGATTGTAGTCGCTACACAGTCACGGTATGGTCCTAAACGAACAGACACCGTATCGGAACCGTATCGTTAGCACTTTAGAGCTGTCGCACTCATCACAACGAAAATATACAGTCGAGTCATGCTTTCGTGAAAGAAACGCAGCTCTAATCAGCCTTGGCACTTTGTATGAGATAAACCGCGTCCAGCTGTAAGTCAGAACCGTATTATTTTTCGATATCAGAACATCTAAATTTGAGCGCCAGTGAACGTTTCTAGGAGCATTTTAATTAACACGAAGTCTAGGGAGTCGGAGTCAACAGCTTGCAGAGTAATTCCAACTGCTCCGTAAGCTTAGCATGGTAAACGCAAATGGCTGTAGAATCGTGTTTTGGAAACCGCTCCACTTGGTATAAAAAACTTCAAATAATTTTATCCTTCTTTTGACTTTACTTTGCTGGTTAATCAAGAATACTTAGTTTACTCTGCAATTCAAAACTTTCGTGTTTTTGGCAACTGCAGCCGTTGTTATGGAGACCACCGCCACCGCGAGTGGGTTACATCAAGCGAGCATAATGCTTGACGATATTTGTTTCTTTTACTGTCAATCCCATCGTCAAACGGTCCGGTATTAGTACGCTGTGATGATGCAAGAGCCTATCGTATATCAAAATTGCCTCATCGTAAGCCTTTTGTGCTGACTACAATCTCGATACCTGCCTCTCGATACGGCTGAAAATCGTTCACGTGACACCGATAGGATTGTACAATGGACTGCATAGTGACGCGTGAACGTAAACATATCATCTTATTGCTTAAGTATGCCTATACAATGCCAGCTCAAACAATTAATACTTTATAAATAATAATTTCTTGCTAAATTGTTGTTACTCGTACTATGTATTAGTAGAAATTCCCGTTTTTAAGACACGTCTTCTTTAGAACAATATTCTGTTGACTCGCGCATTCAAAACTTTGACTTTGGAATTTCATGACGCGTTAATCAGACTATTTTTTCATATAATGCTGAGTTGCAATAGATAGAAACTTTTCTGGATAGAAATTTCCAAAATTATTTGTGCAGGAGACTGTGCCTGTATAATAATTTTTAAAAGAGTTGATTAAATGCTTAAAAAGTGCGATAGCAAATGCATGACTACATTAATTGCAAAATCCTGCAGAACTAAGAAATTTTGTAATTATTGCTCGTATAGACTCAGTGTAACTATATTACCGACCTTTCTTAGCTTTAATACTTTGTTAAGTGCAAATTTTGGTGCGTATCATTTTGTGAGATACTATATTTGCGTAGCCAGACCCAGAATGACCTTTGTAGATGACCGCACTCGCAATGTTAGTTTTCAGTCCGATTTACTGAGATTTCTCGAAACTACAAGATGACATACAATTTGGATCATTCCCCATATTAAGGCTGCTCAAATTGCCATATCAGCCTGATCCGATACACCCCAAATCGTAACGACGCAAGCCATCGTGGAGGATGCTTATTGGACTCAAACGCAGCATCACGACTTCTTCCATTCTTTATTGACGCATAGCAGCAAAATCGGATCTACCACGGTTTCCACGTAGAACATCAAGAACGACACGTAAAACGCCACATTCACCCCGGTATCCGACACCCCACCAAATGTCCCCATACCCAACGCCACCCCAATGGGCAGCCAGCAAAAAATGGTCCACAAGGTCATGAAGAAATACGTTGTGTACAAATTGCGATCGGTCAGAGTTCGTACCGGACCAACAAGTCTTCCAGAGGCGGAACCTTGCGTACTCCGAACAGACCGGTTGGACTGAGTGATAAATCGATTCGTCTAGTGGCACTTCTCCGCACATACCAAATCACGATGAATCCCAGAAAAATAGTCACCATCGGCGTTAACACATAGAGAACATACCGCACCGTTGTCAGTTCGCTCATGGCCCGAACGTTCATCCAGCACCCACAGGTTCTTTCTTGATTCGATAATACAGAGCATCTAACAACACCGCTACACTTTGCGGTGTATTAGAATACAGCCAGATCGCGATGCAAAATCCGATGGCCACAGTTTTGGTGTGGTGCGCCCGATATGAATGCGGCAGAAAAACAGCCCACAGTCGGTTGATGCTGATGATGAGATGGGATAAAATGACAACGGCCGTCGAGGTCACTTGAAAATATAAGACCAATGTGCAACAAACGGGGATATTACGTATTACGGGAAACCACATAAATAGGACCAGCAGCAGTGGACGCGGAAAATTGTGATATAAGTTACCGAGCAGAAGGTTCACCAGGTAAACGGTAAACGTGGAGACATTGGTCCTCGTGCGCAACACAATGATTAGAATGGCGCCATTGGTGAACGTCCCGATTGTGAGCGCTAAAAAAGTCGCACATTGTGGCGAAATTCCAGTGCGCATGAGCGCTAAGGGTATCATTAACCTCGCGGTACAACCAAATGTCAGTTTGATTTGTTGAATTGGCAATGAGTTGCTGCCCGTTCATCGTCGAGGAACGGCGGAGTACTTCGGCCTGACTCGTAACCTCGAACGTTCGAATGATGTCGGTCAAGAGTTCGGGTTTAATTTTTAAATGTCATCATTAAAAGTGGTTGATAATTTGTTTCTTTACAGACAACAGAAAATAATCTTTATTATTTAGACGCAACTAGCTGGGAAATTGCTGTAGCGCTCTTTACCGGGCTTCGTTCTTCTGCTGTTTGCCAATGATTTTCATTGGCATTTATTACTGCTCAGAGTTTACTCGTTTGGTTGCTGTTATGTAAATCCGTGCGCTGCCTGCTCTGGGCTCTTCTGTATCAGATTTTAGTGCTGCGATTCGACTCCAAAGGTTGGGCTTCATAGACGCATAACGAAACGGATAAATAGTGCGGTGAAAGCAAAGATGCTTGAGTTCTCGGTTTAGCGAGGCGTTATCCAGTTAAGAGGATCCCTTTTCACAGAAACATATGCCATGACACACGTCAGTAACTTAATAATTATGGAAGGAAGAGTCACTAGCGTTACAGCGTACTGTTACAGCTAATGGCAACATCTGGGGTTCGCCTTTCATCTTCCAGCTACCGTCCGATGGATTAATTTACTAACGCGTACTGCGGAGATGTAGGAAATATGCATTTCCGAGTGTTTACTTCGGCATAACTTGATAATAATAATGTAAATTAGGTTTATTAGATAAAGGAAGAGCGCTGATGTGCTCAGCCGACTGAACAACCAAATCGCTTAACAGTTCTGAATTTGACAACTGTATACAATTTTATATACTTGCTGTACTGAGATACAACATAAGTTACATAACTGCCAAAAGCACATAAATTTATCACCGGAAACATCCTACCTAATCAGCGACTCCAAGTATGAACATTCCCTTTGATTAAGTTATGGCTCCTTAGCCACCGAAATCCACTTAGTCGAAAAGGGGGGTACAAAATTCAACATAAGAAAACGTTTATGTCCTATGAGAACGCCGGGGAAGTCATAAAATCGTTCCCCAAAAACATTTCTCACAGCGCCACTGTTTTTCATACAGACACGTCCACCCGCAAATTAAAGGCACTCCATTCCGGCAGGGAGATCGGCAGACATCTGGATTTGCAGTTTCAAGGAGAAGTCAGTAGGATTAACGTAGCCTGTCATCGGATCCAGCAACCACTGTAATCACAAACATTCAACAATATTTAGTCAACGATTTCCCCCGCACAAAACATTCACCTCCATAGAAATAAACGAAAATCCCCAGGCACGGCTATCCTTGTCGAACAACTTTGACAGCTCTGTAAAATACTGGAAAAGATCTGCGAAACTTATAAGAGCCGTCTAAGATTAAAATGCCGTCGCAAGCGTGTATACCTTTCGTAACTGGTGCAGTTTCCGCTTTCCAGGGCAGCAGACACAGCTTTGCATTAACCTGACACGCCCAGGAAGTCGATTTCGCACAACCAGAGCAAGAGAGGTAGACATCCAAAGTAGCAGACTCATTGTTAATTTCCTGTCCAGCTTTGATTCTCCTGCGAAACGAACCATATTAATAGAGTCAACTAAACACCCGAATAGTTATCAAGGAGCGTACTGCTCTTTAATTCATCGTGAACTAAACTACAACAATAAACAAACAAGTACTGTAAATAATACAACATGATGCTGGTGCTGGCACACGTTGCCATGCATCCTGACAAGTTTGTACAAAATTTCGATACTGAAGCCTCTCACCAAAGCAGTTTTCTAACTGTAATAGGTTCGCTAAATATATCCCTCTCCTGCAGCTTCCTGGCATCAGGAACCGTAAAGTTAATGACACCCTTAGCGCGCACATCTAGAATTGGTACAACTGCTTCCATAACGAAGGCTGCAATTTTCAACAAACGCATGAACGCACTAACTTCGTCGAGGCTCCGTGCGGAACGGCAGCAGCGGCTTGCTGGCAGCGTGCTTGTATTTGAAAATGTCCATTACTCCGATTGCAGCAATAAACCGTCCTGAATAAAACAACAGATTTCCGATAAGGCTTTCCCAGTACTTACTGCGGCGGCTCATTGTTCTCAGCCTACGCTTGGCTCGCAGGCAACGTAGGAACGTTGAATGGACCGATCACTCTAAGCATTACCGACAGACAGATCCGCAATCGTTGCGAAGAACGTACCTTCAAGGGCCCATCCAGCAGCTGAGCATGCGTCAGCAGCGGAAACCGAATGAGAAACAACGCTCGGCCTAAAACATCGCGCCGGTTGGCGGAGGATGCATCCATGTTCTTTCGCGTGCACATGTTTGCAGCCCACCTACCAGTACCAGCAGAAACAAGCGAAAAAAAATTCCTCTGTTGACAAGTAAGCAGTTTTAGCAGTCTTCAGATTTATTAACACAGAATGCCGAGCTCGTTATGTTTGCACAAATAACGTCTTCATTGGCAGTGAACCGCCTACAGAAAAGAATTTTTCATTATCTGGTTTGCGGTGATCAGAAGTAGCAAATGCTACAGAAAACCCACACTGTCCAACATGCTCAAGCAATTGCTGAAGTCGAGCTTATCAAGGATGAAGTCAGTGCACATGACCACCAACAATGGTAAATCATATTTATCCGCGCAACCCAAAGTGTGGAAGACGCTATCTTGGGTAAAATTCTTCGCAGCGTCCGTGTAGATATAACTGTACAATTAACCGTATCGTTGTATGCTGCAAAAATCGCTCAAGAAACCAAGGCAACGAGACATACCTGAGCATATTATCGAAGGTCTCGGGAAGAATATCGGGAATGTCGATAGGAGTTGCACAGTTTCTGGGACACTTCCATAGAACATCGTCTGGAATACTGCGCTGCGAACGCCCAGAATGGGCCAACACAATGCGAACGATTAGTCAGCAAAGCGAAGTGGAAAGTTCAGTTAGACATACAGATTTACAGATCCTGGACGACCAGATAACACACTGACACCACAATGAGGAGCGGACATACCTGTGGACTGAGAAGATCTTCACGTGCCGGCACCATAATCCCTTCCCACCGCGAACTGTGCATCGCTCATTTCGCCACCTGTCAACAAGCGCTGCATGCCGTCACCAATCGTCCGAATTCCAGCACGATTTTCGGAATTCGAAGCTGGTATGGGATTCCGAGACATGACTGCACAGATTGCTAGCACTCTGCCAACATCAATTTAACGTAATTTTACAATTGTCAAAAACATCAGCATTTTTTAAACCAATCAATTCAGCATCACATCAATTCACAGTATCAAAGTTTACAAAGTCAGATTCAAACAGAACTACTGTTACAGCATCTTCTACGTAGAATTTTGACGATCTGCAGGAGTTATTCTGCTAAAACACCGCGGTATGTTACGATTAAGTAGATCCGAGAACAGAAGACGTAAACGGTACGAAGTAATGGTAGTGGTAGCCATCAGCCAGTTCGACTGTTTTTGAGGGTGCTACAAATGCGCCAGAGCCTTGTCGATAGCGCTCACCGCCATCGGACGACTGCATGTCAAACGGTAAAAGCATCAACTACGACTGTATTTATACGATTGTACGACTGTATGTATTATGTATGTACGATTGTACGACTGTATGTATGTACGATTGTACGACTGTATGTACGACTGTATGTATTATAATATACGACTGTACGACTGTATGTATGTACGTATAAAGCACATACTACATACAAATGATACAATGTACTTGAATAATTATTATTTTGGCTAGAAGAATGCTATGTAAAGCGTAATAAACTGAAAAAACATGATTCAATTAACAAAATCTCACTTATGTATCACCCAGCACCAACTAACCCACGCGGTTTAATCACGGAGAACATTAAATCTTAATTTTCCTATCGGTGCCGTTCCAGGATAGATGCCGCACTGCCTCGTTGGATTTCGATGCTGATCCACTGTGCACTGGCGCAGAAATTCTGTGGCCCGCTTTTCGCCGGCTTCCTGCTGAATCTTTGTTGAAGTTTCCTTTTGAACGAGTAACGAGAAACTTAAGCGTCCAGTAGATGTTGCGCAGTGAAATCATTAATTCCTGCGGAAAGGGGCGCTCAAGCTTTTTCTCCAGACTTTGTTAACACACAGCAGCAGAATGGGATCCACGATTGTTTCCACATAAAAGAGTAAGAACGACACCTGAAACGCCATAGAAATGCTATAAAGAGACACCCCGCCAAACGTTCCAAAACCCCATGCCACCGCTATGGGCACCCAGCAGCAAATAGTCCATAATGTCATAAAAAAGTAAGTCCTGTAGATGTTACGATCCACGAGCTTCCTGGACGGCTTCTCCGACAGTGTGTCATGCCGGCTCCCTTGTGTGTTGGGAGTCTGGTCGGTCCGTCTGGATGGAGGGTTCCCCTCAACCTGGCGGCTCCGCGTCTTTCGTGCACACCAAATCATAATAAAGCCCACAAAGATTCCCAGCATCGGCAGTAAGACATAGAGAATGTATCGAGCCGTGGTTAATTTCTCCATGGAATGATTTGCCATAGTACAACGTCCGTTCAGCTTGTCCACCGGCGGGCGATAATACATCGCGTCTAATATAACGGCGGCGTTCTGAAGTGTGTTGGCGTACAGCCATGTCGTCACGCAAAAAGCCATTGCCAGTCTTTTTGTATGATGGGCCCGGTATGAGTACGGCAGGAATACAGCCCACAGTCGGTTGATCGTGATGACCAGATGCGATAAGATTACAACGGCCATGGATGTTGCTTGGATGTACAGTACTACTGTACAGTAGGCCGGGCTTTTCTGCAGTCTCGGGACGTTTGCCATAAGAAAGAGTAATAAAGGCCGGGGAAGGTTGTGGTATAGATTGCCAATTAGGAGATTAACCAGGTACACCGAGAAAGTTGACACGTTTGTCTTGGAATATAAGACTATGGCTAAAATAGCCGCGTTGGTTAACGTCCCAATGGTAACCGCAAAAAGGTCGGAAACCGTGGCAAAGGTCCATTTCATTGGAACAGGAGCCAAATGGTTCAGAGAAAGGCTGCTAAGATTCTGGATGCTTTGTAAACTTGCATTGACGTAACCAAGGAACTGGGCATCCATTGCGGATACAAGCGGTAAAAATTGATATCCTGGCAAAATCTTACTTTAGTGTTTGCTAACGATGAAGGTGTTCGAATGAAATTTATTAAAGCCGGACGCTTTTGATGCACACTTAATTCAACACGTTACAATGACTCCAGTATGGCTATTATGTAAGGGTAATAATAAACTCACGGTTGGGAGTCTCGTTAACTGCGAGACATCACCCATGAACAGTCTTAGAAAACGCTCCTAATCATCTCCGGTACCGCTTAATGGTGCATCACGTTCCTTTATCATGAACCAGTGGATCGTTAGAAATCTTGAACCTTCCAGCGTTTTGACATCTGGTCGCCACCGAGGGGATTTCCAAGGTCACGCGTGGGCGGATTATATAGGTTTCAATGTTTCATTATGAGAAAACAATGTTTGCCATTTCTTTAGGAGTGCGCTTTCACCGTAACAAGATTATTATTCTAGTGACAGGATAGCCGTTTTTCAGAAGAAAGGTGCGGCGAGAAATAAACCGGATTATATTTTTGCTCCCTATCACTATGTATTTCATTAGCTGCAAGAACCAAACGATGAAATTTGTCTGCACTAAACCTGCTGCAAATCCTTCAGCGCAGCATTTCGATATTATTGTTGTTGCGGCTGTGCGCCACCACTGCAACAAAAGTCTGCGAAATTGCATGACGCGTCGCACCTGCATAATACAGACTGACTGCAAGTTCAGACTGCATTCACAATAGAAGTATAAAAAAATGAAAATGCAATAGTAAGGTGTAAATACCTGCTGTCTTGTCACTGATTACCGTAAATAAATTTTTCCTTGTTTAATTCAGCTGTACGTTGTACAGATACCGAAAGCGGTATTAAGCTTTATCATCGACAATCTTGGTAAATCAATCTGGATTTAGCAGACTGAATTAACCAACAACATCCGGTAGTTTGCTGAAACGTATGCTCAAGGTTTTCTGGTAAACCAATGCTAGAACTAGGCCAATCCTGATGCAACATTAAATACTCTGCAAGACCAGCACAGAGTACATGAGATTTCACCTGTACGGAACTCAGAGCGGTACCGATTCATCGGTCTAACGTGAAAGCAAAGGTATAATGATGACTTTTGGACGCTTTTACGAACGTCTGAAGCCGTTTCCGATACTCGTCTGTCATTGACCCGGTTATTGTCGACCAGGGCCCGTTGAGTTCGGTATCGTACACCTCAACGGTTTGTGCATACTCATCGCTAGCCGTCATGCCGCCGCACACGTAGATGCGATCACCGACGATGCACGCTGCATGATTGTAGCGTGGTTGGCGCAGCGGATAAATCTCTTCCCAAGTGGCGGTTCGTGTGTTCAAGCGGATACAGGACGCTGTGGTTCCCCATTCCCATCGGCCCAGATGTCTGGAAAGGGTTTTCCCGCCCAGGATGTATACGTTCTTGTCCGTAGCAACCATGGCGAAGCGCGAGTGACCCTGGAGCAAGTCGGGAAAGAATTCCCATTGTCCAGTGATTGTGTCGAAACATTTCACCCAAGTCCAGGTTGAAAATGGTCGCATTCTTCCGGTTGCGTAAAATATTTTCGGCCCTAATTTGGTAGTTATTCCCGTTACTAATTCCAATCTACAAAATAACATTTAAGTGCTGTCTTACAAAAAAACCCCGAAGCTTCGTTATCATTGCAACCTGCAATTACCGCAAGTCGAAAGTACAAGCAAATAGAATGAAAAGGTATTAGCCGAGAAGCGCACTGCAAAATTTACCACCTTTGCCAGGCGGGCGCCTACTGGGAAACCGTATGCATCTAGTAGTAACCAGAGAATACATTTTACTACAAAAAATGGCTCGGTTCGACATTCTCATATTCCGTCGCGTATACCTACATACCAAGGATTCTATACAAATCTGTTTCATCACAGGTCACTTTCATGGCTTGCACATATCATATAAAACGTATGCTTGTGACGCATCACACTGCACGACTAAAGGTCACTTTTTTAAAGGTGGTTTTCTCATAAAATGGATGTACCCTACAAATTGCACTGACTTACCTTGGCATGTTATTCAACTCTACCGTGCTGCCTTCGGAAAGGTTGACCGCCTTAAAAACCGGCTTTTCGTCCTTCTCATCCCAGAAGTAAATTTTGTTATCAACTACTATAGGATTCTCGTAATGCGTTACTACCGGCAGGATAAGTGAGCGCCATGTTTGTTGGCAGACATTCCATAGATGTAACTCGTGAATACCGTTGTTTTCTCTATAAAGCAACATTTCGTGGTCTGTGGCGGTCAGGCTGTCATTCAAAACCGGAGTAAAATTCGTCAACACATCTTCCGGGTTCTTCAGCTCCTCTACGGTACCGGTCAACGGGTCAAAAACACTGGTCAACCATACAAATGGAAAGAAGAGGCTGTGTTGGAAGAACACTATTAATCTGGTTTTGTGCAGCTTCTGTAGCAAAGCGTCGGCCGTTATCCTGCTTTCGCTGTCTCGTTGCAAACACTGTCGAATTGACGCAGCCAGATCTCGAGGTATGGCATCACAGACATACGGACGGTAACCATCCGCAATCAGAATTTTGAACAACTCGTCAGTAATGGCATCTCCCGCCTGGATCACGGTATCGTTATGAGTATTTTCTAATTGCTTGACATGATATCGCAAGCAGCACTCAGCCATCTCCAGGATGATGCAACCTAAGCTCCAGATATCCGTTTTCCGTCCCGGCCTCCCTAGACTAACCATTCCAAGTTCAGCTAAAAATTTCCTCAGCATTTCTGGCGACATATAACGGGGAGTCCCGCGTAGCTGCGAAACATCGGCTGTACAAGTCGTATTTTCTTGCATAAGAATCAGATCGTCCAAATCACCAATGACGAGTGTTTCCGTGTTGTTGGGCAAGTATTTAATCAGGACATTGCCCGGCTTGAGGTCTCCGTGAATGATGCCGTTTTCATGAAGGAACTGCAGTCCACAGGTAATGCTTTTGGCGTACCGGATGACCTTTTCATAATTATCTTCGAGACTTTTATTCTTCTTAGCTTCTCTCAAAACAGTCGCGAGATCACCTTAAATAATTTGAACAAGCGGCAAAGAATTAAATGAAATATTTTAAAAGTGTATGTTTTCTAATGGAGGCTGTCTCACCATCATACAAATCCATCATCAGTTCAACAAGGGTGCCACCCACAGTATTAGTAACGGCGATTCTGTAATACGGCACAATGCGGTCGTGTCGGAGTGCAATGAGAGCCTGCAGACGGTGCTGCCGCTTCAACCATATTTCCGGACTGGCAATGACGATTTCCTTCACAGCCACGGCACTTGCTCCAGTAAAATTGCCGCGCTTGGTTAGCGTGGCTTTATAAACGCGACCGAAAGTTCCGCGTCCAATAAGGTCTGCATTGCTGTAACAATATTCGCTGTTGCAGCCAAGAATTCTTTCGTCAGGTTTATTTGAGACAGTGTTGCCCATAATTTCCAGCGACTGAACGGTATATACCCTAATATTATCATCACGTACGGGAATTTTGCTGGGCTTTTGCCGCGGCTTTACTCCATTTTTCAGATTATCGGTTCACTCAAGTGTGCAGTTGCGTAAGTGTTCAACTATTCGGGCTGCGACATCACCTAGCCAGGCCAGCTATAAAATTAGCTGGCTTTCATCAGGTTTTTGCAAATAAGAAATTATGGAACTTCGGCGGTATAAAGGCTACTGCCGTTATCCTTCGGCGAGCGATACATCACTGAATGCATTAAAAGCCAGCCGATAAGATTGGGTTACCTGGGATCACTGATACGGTAATTGTTTCAACATAGCCGTATGCTGTACTAGACTGTACAGATCGTTCAAGTTCTGAATTTAGCTGACTGATTATGGTCGAAGACGTGGTCTTGTTTGTGAGCACACTGGACCATAACCGACCGATAGTCAGCTTAATCGCAAATAGATTCATTTGCGTTTTCTGTAATTTTACGTAGTTTACAACAATCCAAAGGCTACCCTAGCACTTGTACCGGCATTTACTAAAACAAAATGCGTAGTAACTATTATAAGAATATCCATTATCTGTGCCAGGATTTTCGTTCTCCACGGCTAGTCAAAATCTGTAATCATATCATTTCTCACGTCCAGTGGTCATTTGAAATTTTATTACCATATGGATGCCACATACGTACATCAGTACATGGGCTGATCCTGAGTGTGATGCACTATGCACTGCAGTGACGTGACGTATTCTTGTAGAACATTATGTGTACTGTACTCGTTAGGAAGAAATATTAACTTTCGATGGGTTTCTGTCAGTCAGCAGTTCCACAATAATAACATCGAATGCTGAAGCAGAATCTAAAGCGTTATTATTAAAGAAAGATATTGCATCTAATCGACGCGGTATTTTTCCCCCAATAAATTGTCTCTGAAAGTCGAAATAAAGTCGTAAGCCAATGTTCATCCGTGTTCAACTACTAGTATATTCAAAAGCAAGTTAAGCAACAGCGCTGCTTAATCAGGCTACATAAATTATAAATATTGGTAATAATCATCCTTGCGGTCAAAAGGTTTTGTTTTATGTTCGGTTGATCATACGATCTGTACAATAATTATGGTCTGCAGAATGCAAAATAATGAAGCATGGGGTGACACGAAATACCGTATGGTACGGTAAACAGGTACAGTTTTGAAAGTATTGTATTTCTACTGTTATTGTACAACAACATCTCGGATTCGGGCTAACATACACAAATATTTTCTTGCAGTACAGTTCCAGTCATTTTCAGACCGAAAGTGTTTGCTACAAAATTCTTTTAAGCTGGGTGGTAACAAATGCCCCAGTTCGGGCTAGCTGACCTTTTTAATCTTCCTTTAAGATTACTGCTGACGCCTTGTTGTTGCCAGAAACAGCATGCGCTTTCTTAGTCAGACAAAAGGATTTACAAAACAGCTCACGGTCGCTAGTGAAACGGGCGTTGATGGTACGTACTGAGAAAATTCCAAAGCTGATCTCAGCATACCCCCGAGGAAGGATGCTTTGCAGCCTTTAAGTTAAGGAAAGATCTCAACTATGGAATAAGTTTGCCATCAAGAACTCACATTATTTTAAAATTTAGTCTCCACTTTGAAACTCGAAAGCCTCATCCGATGACCACTGTTGCTTCGAGTTCGCGATGACGCATCCTTCACTTCGCTATCCTGCACCCCGGCGCTCATCAATACTCCTATTTTTTTCAACAGCCGGCGGGCACCTTGGCGGTAATCTCGGCTCATAGCGAAAAAGAACAACTGCAAAAGCAAACACATACTGCACTTTTATTGATATTGATTTTGTTCTTCAAGCCGCAGCTGTTTGTTGAGTATCACGTCGTTCAGATACTTGTACAATAAAAAAATATAAATCTATACACGTCCTAAGTATAGCAAAACAGCTATACAATATCTTAGGACATACTGCGGCATGCATTGGTAACTTGGTACGCGCATATCCAAATCGTGTAATAGCCTCAGCTGCACTATTTCGTACGCTACATCCTCTTGGTGTACTACTTCATTTTTTATTCATAATTTGGAACTGTTTTACTGGAATATTTTTTAAAAATGGTGCACATTGAACAGTTACAAGAAACGAACACGTTTAATGTAGATATTCATGTATTTATTCGTTTCGTCTGGCAACCACATACCGGGTTAATAGCGTATCCCAACACCCAGGTCGTTCGCAACCACATAACAAATCTATCATCCCGCATCCTGGCTCTCGGATACATTGTGTCCACGATCGGCGCGGGCAGTTGACATAAACAATACCACACGAACGAACAGAACAGCACCCGAGCCATGGCCAATCGTTTCCGCATCACCGCATCGCGAACCACCTGCCGATCCGGCATCACCGGTGTCCCGAACACGAGTTTCTGTTTAAGAAATATGGCCAAATACGACAGTCCAACTAGCGTATACGGAACGTAGCTATTGAGTGACCCGACAACTGATAGTGTCGGGCCCAGGACCCTAGAGACCCCGCATGCTCCACTGGACAACATGTCCACAGTTATATCCCGTTGAATGTACAACGGAATGGAAGTCGTTAATACAAAAAACCACGGCCATAACAGCATCGTGACGGCGGAGCGCTTTCTGTTTAGTATGCGATACTGATGCGGCAGTAAGATGGCGATGAAGCGATTAATAGCTAATACCGCCGCCGCCCAATTGGCAACAAACGACAGTGACAGTAAACTAAAATGTGCTGCAGGACAGTGAATATGGACGGTGTGGCCGGTCTGTTTGAGATACAGGGGAACATTGCTCAGCAAATTCTCCACGACACACATAAACAACTCCACCGACTCCAGCTGAATGATCAGTTTACCGGATACCGTTGTGACCTTTCCGGATGTCAGCATGACAATTAATAAAAAGGTTATGGCCACTCCGCCAAAGCCACCGATGGCCATGGTTGTTCCCAGCCACGTGTCCAGCTCGGATTTGGTTGGGATTAAAATTGAGGCGTTGCCGGTACGGTTGAAATCGAACCGGGCAGCTGACATTTTCGGAAAGACGGGGAAGGAGAGTTCAGAAAAACTAATTTATCTCGGAGTAAAAACGCTTCGCGGTGTGAATTTCCGATTAAATTTTTATTCTCAATTCGGCCAACGGAATTAAATTTTTCTGTATTTGGTTTCACTTATGCCCGTTTGTTAATGAAATCCATATTGACAGCGAATTGCTGTACGGGTATGGAAAAACAGTCCGATTACTTAAGCGCAACGCCACGCACGTGTTATGTGATGGAGATTCCCGCGAATTGATACGCATGCGTGTACGTGTATAATAAAGATTATCGTTTCTTGACAATAATTCTCAGATATCCATTTAATGCGGCAACCCCCATCATTTCCGATGTATGCGGTCTCTTCGTCATTGAGTACTGTTCTGCGTTGCCAAAAGATATATTTCAATCTGTTAAAATTCCCACAGGGACGATCTAATCCTAGTTTCAGTAATTAAATGTCAGCCACTATAAAAACCAGTGCCAACGGGCGGCAATTGGGACGTTTCGGTAACTATCCAAACGATGAAAATTGTTATTTACCGTTCCATGCGCTAACCTTGCAAAGTTAAAATAATTAAACCAAAACTGCACTGTAGTCCCGCTGCGGAACATTGTTATCCTGACACCATTCTAATCCCGTTGCTCTGCAGCAGCATTGGGGGAACGCGGTTTCCTGGTGCCCCGTGGATTTTCTTCTCCCACGCTGACTCCGCGAGCATTGTGTGATAGGTCTGCTTTGCTGTAATATACTTGGAATTCCTGTGAGCAATAACCCCGGGCTGGGCGCAGCTTGATCTTTGCGTCATGCGTCTGGACGTTCGTATCATTCTTAAGATACACACGTTGTACAAAAGGCGTTATGTACAGTAAGTTAATTTTATCGTCAGCAATGCCAGACGTCCACCCGACTCCACCTCTACAGGTGGACAGATCTTAAATGGGGACTAGTTTAAAAAGCGATTATACTCGTATGCGTACACAGAACTGCAGAGAAAATATGCACGGAATAACATTGAGGCAAATTACTACGAACAATAAATCGTAGTGTTGTGGCTAATTCATGCACTATACGAAAAAGTGCCAAGTTGACTCGACAATACAGTATGTGACGACTGCCACAGGTATATGATGGGTCAAAATGCATTTTACCGTACCGCAAATATTTTTATTGAGCAACCGCCAACACACATACATAACGCTTGCGCTGGACAATAAGTAAAATGGTACGAGTTTAAACATTTAGCGCTTGTTTCGGTTAGCTTTTTTACATATTTTGTAAGCGAAAGTACAAGTCACAGTTCGATTCATACAACTAGCCAGACGCCAACCACTATCATTTCGAAACCATCATGCGGGCGATTCTTAGTGCATGTTTTTAGTGCCTGTGCAGGATTTATTGTACACACTTTGCCGCAATATCTAACTGAGAAATTTTACCATCTGATTTCGTGCATAAACGACGCTTCCCTTATCAGCAAATCTCGTATGTAAATATAACTATGTGCTTTCATACTTTTGATACTAAAGTGTGATGTTGCGAGCGTATAATCGAACCGCATGCGCATGAAAAATTGCTTATGCATCCAGCATCCTCGACGATCCTCTAGATCAGACTTTGAAGAAGTGTTTAATTTTTGGCCTGGATTTGTAAATTTCAGCTAGTGTATCTGTGACTAGCGTAAATGTTGCTCACACAGCCACTCTTGATCGACTGCCTGAAAAGAAAGATCTTACATCAAGGGCCGGTTTCAGGAATAATAGGTCTGAAAGAAAGCTCCACTGAACCATGCTAGAGATTCTTTATCTGACGTCTTCATGCAGATAATGATGGCACTCGTATTTCTCGCACGCGCATGGGAGCCACCAGCGTGAAAGAGATAAAAATGGCAGATTAATTTTGTCTGTTACACAGCGTACGTAAGAAGAATGATCAGTAAGCAGGAAAGCACTAGAGGAGGACACAAACTAGGGACTAACTATAATTAACGGTAAATTCGTCGTTCTTAATACAGTTTTCCTTTGCCTTTGCATTGACAGGTAGCTTGGCACTGGCTGGCGTAAGCCGTTGTACATCCTAACGGAGGATAGGTCTTGCCGCCAACGACAACGGATGTGTCGCAGTTCGACAAGGTGTTCGTCACCGGACAAGGATTAACTGCAACAGGAGATTCTATCAGCGCTCAAACACAAACAGAAACACTGAGATCAGATACAACATCGCGATTCCCTCTAGACACGTACGGCATAATCCGTTACGGCAAGTTGTTTCACCGGTGCATTTGGCACACGCTGTCCCAGCTTCATAGGGAGCATACAGGTTTGGTGAAATGTTGCCACTGAGAATAATTATTACCATTTAAACGGAGTAGGGACGGTATCACTTATTTTCAAGCTGCACTCACGCTGGACCATAGTTGCAAACGTAGAATTTAAAGCTGCCGCAGTCCTTATAGGCACATCCCACAACGAACGTTGTATTCCAAACAATCTACGGATATAATTATTTGAACTGTTGTATTATCGTATGTCACTATTCATTTCTCTACCCTTGTACCGCATAGTTTCACTTTAATTTATGTTATTAAGACCTTTATACTAATTTGAAAAAAATCATCCTGGAATCAACGGTTATAGTGACCAGAGTATGCAGTACAAATGTCAACTTAAAGGTCACTCTATGAAAGCTATAAAAGAATCTTGATCATGGCCGGCACTTACCTGGGTATAATGTCCGACAGCGGCTTTGCTGTTTTTGGGTGGCTGACCATAAATAAAATCAGCGATTTCGCTGTACCAGTTGTCTGTGGCACTCTGCCAGTTCACGGGTCCACCGCTGGTGCTGTACAGGTTTTGGCCCAAATCGTACTCTGTGAAATAGAGATCGTCACGGTGAATCTAGGCATTGTAGCGTCCAGCGGAGTCTTACTGCTGGTCTTGCGATACAGAGGCTGATCCGTCGTGGAATTAGGATGCCAAAAGTGGCAAAGAGCGGCCCAATCAGCGGCCTTCTGAGCGGCTTCAGAGTCCCAGGAAAGCTCGAAAGATCCCGTAGAGGGATTTTTGCGACGCAGAGCGTTATGCAGATCCACGATCTGCTGCTGTGTGGCGGCGACAGTCGTGTCGGGATTGACAGTCTGACCTGCACAATAGTTTGTTTTATAGTTTGTACAGAACGAGTAATCGATTTAACCAAAATATTAAGCCTTTCACTGATTGAATACTATCAGATATTATGATTGCAAAGAAAGCATGTAAGCAAAATCGCTGCATCAGCTGTTATGTAGAAGAATAGGGTCGTCTCATTAATAGTAGCGCAAATAACCACAAGGAACCGATTATTACCGGCAACGAAGCCAGCCGCCACAACAACCAGTGATGCGATCGCTAGAATACTCATTGCCGATAAGAATAGCAAAAAAGCAAAGATTTATCAGAGGTCACCAGATTTTTCCGAATTACAGCCGAACAGCGCTACCGACTTATAGTACACCTTGTTTCCGCTTTTATAACCTGTTGCGTACAGCCATAAAGTTAATACTCCGCAATCGGCATCACCTGAATTATTCCTGTGGAATTAGTATACAGTTTCCTAAATACATGATCAGCAAAAAGGAGGAACTCGCATATTTCCAGGTAGCCAAGCTACTTGCGGTGCCTGATAAAAATTTGCAGATAAGCTGAATTAGAAGGCAATATGTACATAAAATGCCTGGCGTCTTGACTTCTAAAACGAACGAAGGCGCTACGTCGCAGAACCGAGGAATATTCTATGACTTCCCAAAAGTATGGTTGATCAAAAGATGGTTAAATGTTGGGTTCCAAGAACATGAAGTGTTTTGGTGTCTCGAAACACTTTTGCCTGTTGATGACGTTTTTTTGTTCTTTGACTTTGATACTATGAGTATTTGCCGGAAGTTTACCGGTTAGTTAGATACGAGTATGGTTATCACGTTAGGTGAGGAAATAATTTGACTGAACTAGTATATCATAGTCGGAATCCGGTGCCCGTTTTTATCCAAGTTGCAAATTTGTTTTTATTACGAAGTGGCTACTTACTTTTAGGCTGTGAGAACCAGTTGTATTTGTATGCGGCATTAAACATATTCTTGGTCTTTTCACGGTACAATAAATTTTGAAGAATAACACAATGCAGTGCAAAGAACATACAATCGCAGCAATGTCAAAACTAAGTAAATATAAGCAAGCTAGGGTTATATAAATGGCAGTACATTTCCGCATTACATCTTTTTTAAACGTTAAACCTATAATATTTGCACGATTTGTTGCACATTTGACAGTGCATTTTGAATAGTCACCTGGAAGGAGTGGATAATGAATTACAGTAACATATGTTACAGGCAGCGGTCACGTTAATACGGATACATCTACGCAGGTGGCACTGCTTTATCAAAATAAATTATGCGTGACACGTACAGATTTAATTTCTCACACCAATAACTTGCTCATATCTCGTATTCCAATATACATTTAAATCAGTTTTGTTAATCAAGAACAAAAGGAGTCTTTATTTATTTGTTACAGAGTCGCCTTTGCAAAAACTCTGCAATCGCTGCGTGCAGATTTCTGATTTCATTCCCATTTGGAATTTATGTATACAATAGTGGTGCTGGTGTGCAAGTTAAAAACTGCAGTGGTTTATGCTGCACAAATTACAGTCGAGGCTTTCAAGTAGTACAATGAAATACAGTGGTCAGTTTCACAGTGACACTATTAAAGTATACTCACAATCATTATTGTACATCGATAACTTGCAAGTTATGCAGTATTATATTTTTTTTATGTTAATTCTGGACGCTACATCGGCCCATGCGCACACGTTATATCCGCTCAAAAAGCCGGCAACGACGGCAAATGCGACGTTTAGAAAATGAGAATGCCAACGTTGCGCGGCGTTAATATCAATCCGACCTCCTTATTTTCTGTCCAGTCACTATTACATACTGTAAAAGAATGACCAGCAGATAACTTGTCGCGATTATTATTAACCACCATGGTGCTATTTCCCGCTGGTTATCTGTATATCAACTTTTCCGATTCACTGCAAATCTGCAATTATTTTTCGCGCAGTCATGACATCAATGACCGCCATCTTTCGAAGCCACTAATTGTAAGTTACCAGCTACCCAGACAGCTAAACTATCAGCAGTAGAAAATAATACCTGCGGTTATTTTTGCTTTTAACTGAAAACTCGTTATTAAGCGACATCACGACCGTCGCTCATGCTCGGATCGCAGCATAAATTATCCAGAAGGTGGCACATATATAACGTATGAGAAATGCTAAAAGACTGCACAACTGAAGATTTTTTACATTTCTTCAGTGATTCTCTAGCTCTCCGCGAAAGGCTGGAACTGCAGTTGCTGCAACATCATGACAGTACTATTGCCTGCATACGTATATTCTGCACAATATTTTCACTGATTGTTAATTAACTGAAATTAATTGGCTCTACTCTGTAGTTATCCATACACATTTCCAGTATATCGTTGACTACCTTTTTAAACGATTTGTAGACAAATCTCTCATCTGTGTACCTATCACGCTTATCCACCATACCGCCTTTAGATGTACGTCCAATACGGCTTTGATTACGAACAAGACAGTGGTAATCCCATTTTCTGGCAACTGGCAGACAACGCGGAGTCCAATGCCGGCACACGGACAGTCACGCTACTGCCCCTGTGCGGGCATCGGTCGCCGCTAGTAGCCGATCCCGGAATTCACCGCAACCTGTAAGGTTACACTGAAACAACACGTATTTCCGTTGACGTCCGCTTCGTGAACAGTAAGTTACAGAATGAATTCTCCAGCGGGCCTGTCATGCAATATGCACAGATACAGTACATCGTAAGAAAAAATTGCAATCGCTGCAGGCATAACTATACTTCTACTCGGTAGCTATCATTGTAACACGGTAGAGATTCTATCAAACACCAGCCTTTTACAGTCAGCACATTTTCTTTCCATCCAGTGCCATAAAGAAGCGTTATGTGAATCCAGTACCAAATTTTCTCGAAGTTTAAGTTAACCGTGTGCAAAAACGGTTACAGTTTGCCAGGGTTAGCTGATAGTTAATTCTTCGAAGGGCAATTATATTCCTAAGGAACGGAAGTAATATTTAACAGTTCATGTACTACAGTATAAGCGTACCGTCGATATTTCGGCCATATATATTCGCATAATTACTTTAGCACTTTGAAGCCGCATTTTCAGTCTGAAAAAAGTTTTTTTAAATCACTTAATAGTTTTATACAGCTGCTTATATTTTTGGCATGATCGTGTTTACTGTTTTTCGCCGGTGAGTGGATATCTCTCAGGACGCATCGTCATCCGTTATTCGTGAGGGACGAAGCAGCGGCATCCGACTCCGGCGCAGGGGCAGATGAATCGCTGTCCTTGCTCCGGAGTGGGGTACCACATTGCGACGACCCATCTGTTGACCGCATATATTGTATACCCACCATCACCATTAGAAATATCCACTACGCCACCGATTATGAAGTATGCAGTGGACTTATTATTTAACCCCATTTTGCGGGCGAATTGGAAAGAATGCGGCGTCCGATGCCGGCACACGGGCAGTTATGTAACTGCCCCTGTGCGGGCACTGGTCGCCGCTAACAGGCCGACCACTACCCTATAAAATCAAGGGATCACTATAAAATAACTATGAACAGCTGGAATACCGAGATTCCGCGGTGTCCTGACAGAAACTGAATTTAGGGTGGACGATTTTAAATCCATCCATAAACCGTATACAAATTTATGCATTTGTGCCACATAATTGCGTATAACTGAAGTTTGGTTGTGTGAGCGGCTGCATGACTTGACAAAACCGGTACAGAATGATCTACCTGAAAAATATAACTAAATTGCTCGAAGCTGCTAGAATCGTTTGTTAATGGTAAACATCAAAGTTTCTCTCTAATAATAATATAACTAACTCAACTTCTACCAGAGTATGAGTAGGTACTAGATAGTACGATATGCGGATGTAGGTGATGCAGACGAATTCCGTTTATGGTCGTACTCACAGGCAGTCACAGTGAGAATTACTAATAATTAGAATATCAGTGTAATAATTTAAAACGCAGGTAAGTACAACTAATTAATGCGGAAGATGCGCGACATTTCGTTTACACGGTAGAAACGACCAAACATTAGAATGTAAATTATCATCTGCCATGATACCGTATGTATGTATTATTGTATCAAGGAACTATCAACGAACTAGATCTATAATACAACTACATAAAAATCTGAGACAATGAGATCGGGAAAACTATAGCATGATGAAAAAAACTGTAAACGCCATTAAATACAGCATGTTTCGAAACGATGTCACATACATTTTATTTCTTTAAAAAAATAATTTTGCCCGTGCCACCGATGCCGGTTCCGGCGAAACTGGCTCCGGTACAGCTTTCAAGGTGACCTTGAAATACTAGCAATTCCTGTTGCTTAGATCATTTATTTGTTAACTGCACTGTTAATAAGTTTATAATTGTATATTTACGCCAATAGGGAATTTAATTACATAATAGCCGGCTTGCTGTAATCAAAATATAGTGTTGAAATTCCTAAAAAGAAAAATTTTCACTTAAGAGACCTCTTTAGCACTTAGAATTGAAAAAAAATATTCGGCGGAGCGCTGAGAGATTCAAAGATTTCTAGAAATTTTTGGAAAGCATTGATCCGATTCTTAGAAGATACAGGACAAATTGATATTGAAATAACTCAGCATCGGCTGGCAGGCTAAAATATGTAACTGAGTGGAAATGTACGCTCATGCCGCGTGAAAAACTTGCGCCGACGATTAAGAAATCGTTTATAAGGAGATTTTTCGAAGCAGCCGACTTTTCAGTACTGTCCAGTTACGACCGAGGGAACTCAAGCCGGCTAGGTCACTGTTTAATCTAATAATTAAATTTAATATTTTGCCAAAATCTAAAACCTAAAAACCCTGCCAAACTGTGTTATCTCTGGTGAAAAAGATTTCTGCTTCTGTGCTGTATAGATATACAGTATGTCATTCAAAGTTCTACGTTAAACATTAACGGCACGTACCTTCTCAAGGACAAAATGTGTACCAAACCCAAATTAGCTTGATGTGAAATCAAACATTGCAATATCTATTATTAAGTATAAGATCTGTACTACGCGCGGCGCCCCATAGTTTTCAGATGTCAATAAGCAAAACCATTTTTTTAAAAACTGACAACGCCAATAGATCGACCTCGGTCCAGAACTGGCTCACATGATTTTCGTTTTAAATTCGTTCAACCAGAATCGTGTCGGCACGACGCCGCAAACGATCCAACCGACTTTCTAGGTGACCTTGGGACTTAAAAAAAATTTGCCTGGATACATTTCAAACATAAACTGACATATTGCATTAAATAAACTGAAAAATAAATAAATTGTAATTATTTTCGTGCGGCACCAAGCACAAAATTAATAAGAATTTAGCCTCCCGGTTTTTGTTGTCGGCACAATTGTGCGCTATTTCAAGGTGCTGGAAGTTTATCGGGCGGTTTGATACTGCTAAACACACTCACTAGACCTGCGTTTACTAATGTGTGGCTACTTACTAGCGCCCTATAATGTTTAATTCTTATTCAGAACAAAGTACGCAAAAAAAAAGTTTTCATATTTCTTAAAGCGTTCCAAACAAGCTGAGCTCGAAATATGTCTCGGTTAATCAACGCATTTACATCAAACGCGGGAGTGACCGAATTACCACCCCTGTCCCGTAAGATAAATCAGAAGCTAGGTTAGTGACCCAATGTGACCGAACTTCCTTAATTGTCCAGTGAGCAAAATCTGTAGAGGTGGGGGCCGAGTTACCACCACTGTCCAGTAAGAAAAATCACAAGACGAGTGAGTGACCGAACTACCATCACTGCCCAGTGAGGAGATCTCTAGATGAGTGAGTGACCGAGCTACCACCACTGCGAAAATATCACTGGACAAGTTAGTGACCGAACTACCCAGTGAGCAGAATCTCACCCAGTGAGCAGATGAGTGAGTGTTAGAGTTACCACCACTGTCTAATGAGCAAAATCTTTAGAACAGTGTGTAACCGAGCTATTACCACTGTCCAGTAAGAAAAATCACTGGATCTGAACGAGTGCCCGAGCGATCACCAGTGTCCAATGATCAGAAGCTCTAGATATATGAGCGAGTGACGAGTGACAGAGCTACCAAGACGAGTGAATTACCGAACTACCCCATTGTCCAGTGAGAAGAATCTTTAGGTAAAAGTGTGACCGAGCTTACTACAGTCCAGTCCATCTGTCCATGCGTGGTTCAACTTATAATTTTTTGGTAGGACACATCAGCAATCCAATCTAGATTCTGGAGTCTTTCCTCAAGACGTTGTACAATCACTGCTAAGGCTGTTAATACATTTACGAGTACTAATGAACTAAACGAATTCTCTATTCAAACCGGCCGTGGATCACAAGAAACGCGGAGGCGAAGCCGAAGCTGTTTCTTGTACTCGTATGTAATACAGCCATACAGCACGTACTCTAGCATTACAATCAAAATGTATGCAGAAGTACTTGTACGTGTTAGTACCTCGTTTATCATTACAGGTTATTATGTTACATTAGGCGAGATACAGTCTATTATCAGAAGCACGACTGACGGGATTCCCTAACTACGTAAATTTGTGCCAAAATAGTTTAATTTAATTCACTTAGTTTTGACGCTGTTTTATTATGCATTATATCTTTACAAGGTAGCCTCGCGCATCCGCGCTCGGCACTTAAGTACTGGATAGTATTGGCTTTGTTATGGAAAGGTCATTATAAATATATAAAGGCTGACGTTCGGAATTTCTGACGTTCTGACAATTTTAATTTTTCACGTTCTGATGTTCTGACGTTCTAATGTTCTGACGTTTAAACGTTCTAACGTCCTAACGTTATGACGGTATGACGTTCTAACGTTCTGACGTTCTTACTTTATGACGTTCTGCCGTTCTGACGGTGTTACGTTTTGAATTTCTGACGTTTTGGCGCTCTGAAATACGTATGGACTTTTGCAGGACTTAAGTAATAATATGCTTTTACTTAAAGAGCAAGTATTTCTGCATCCGCTATAGGTCTCCGTGGTTACAGTCATTATGTATTTAAGCACTTTTTATTGCTGTGCAGTGAATACTTCTTCGAGTGCTATTTATGTTTCCTATACTTAAGACTTGGTGAAACCAGTTTCTGACCACTGGTTATTACAAACAAACAAAATCTATTGGCACATCTATGGAAAATATGGAATTTTTTAAGACCAAGCTGGAATTAAACTGACCACGAGTTATCGAGGAGTTAAAAACGGCGCATAAATACGCTTTGGTCCGCCGGGCGAGTGCCCACGCTTGCGCCTTCCAATTTCACATGTTGTTGTTGATAGGTACAACCGTACAACCGTACAAGTATTTACTACCGGTACCGTACCGGCTTACCGTACCGTACGGTAAGCTGTCAGCAGGAATTTTGAAATTACGAAAAACAGTGCCGACAAAGCATTCTCGGTTTCCTTTTGCTGCAGATAGTGGCCGATTTCTTCTTTTGAAATTAAAAGAACTAAGTAGCTCAAGACTGATAAGGAGAGTTATCTCACGTTGTGTTGTGGACTGGCTGACAGAGTATGGGTTCTCATTCTCGTTCATAAACTCATTACTCGTCTATTGGTTTGAAGGACTACGCCGTAATACTCCTGACTGTAGAAGTTTCTTTTGTGACTTGACGTAAAGTGCTTGTTGCAGCTTGTAGTCTCTGAAGCCATGAATCCCATACCATCGTCGAACTCGGGGAATCGCGCCGGGATCGTGACGATGGGTGACGGTATGCAGTACCTGTTAGCGAGTGGAGAAATGAGCGATGCGAGGTTCGCGGTCGGACGGGATTATGGTGACGCGAAGATCTTTCCCGCTCACCGGTGAGTTCTCTCTGCGCCATGCTGATCCATGATCTACAACAGCTTGGGGCTGATTTTTTATTAATCGTAAATTGCGTGATGCAGAATCCTCCTCGGTGTCCGCAGTGCTGTTTTCCATGCAATGCTATATGGAAGTGTGCCAGAGAACTGTGCAGCTCCCGTCGACATTCCAGACATTCACCCCGAGGCTTTCGCCAATATGCTCAGGTTTGTCTATGAGACAAAGTTTTCCGTATCGTTCCTGGCAGTCAATATGCTAAAGACAATCGGACAAATTCCGTAGCTTCATCTACACCGATGCCGTGAAGATCCTCTCCCTGGACAATGTCTTCTTCACACTGGGTTGCGCGGACAAATATGACTTACCCTTTTTGGTGGTGAAGTGCACCGATTTTGCCGTGAACGAGCTCACCACGAGCAACTGCCTGGATATGTTGGATAGTGTAGGTTTCGCCAGGGGCTTTGCTATAGCAAATTATTTGCTATAGCATATATTTCCTGCAAATATCTGGTATCTAGTACGGAGTACCTAACAAGTTGTGTCGTAGGCGGTTCTCTACGCAGCTACCGCTCCGAGCATCGTGGAAAAGTGCTTGTGCCTGATCGATGAATCAGGCGAAGCTATCTGGGAATCGGAGCAGTTCTGTGAGATCGGACAGGAGGCGCTGCGTCTTATTCTCCAGCGGGATACGTTAACGGCCAACGAAGACACCATTTGTTGGGCTGCTGAAGAGTAAGCTTAATTCTGCCCACTCTCTTTCTTTTATGACACAAAGTGGCGTTATTTCTATTTAAGACTTTTATAAACGGTTTTTCACAGGTGGGCTGGGGCAGTGTGCACGCGAAAGAACATGGACGATTCCTCGGCGAATCGGCGTGAAGTATTAGGTCAGGCGTTGTTTCTCATCCGATTTCCGCTCTTGACCGATGTTCAGTTGCTGGATGGGCCCGCGGAGGTACGCTCTTCGCACCAGTTTGTAATCAGTTTTAGTAATTTTGAAGTCACTGGTTAAAGCATAATATAACCCGGCTGCTGCTTGCGTGCGTTGAGATTACATAGACAAAAACTATCAGCAATCGCAATCCCGTTAATGTGTGCGGCGTGAACCATCCAGTTAACATTTGCGGCACTTAATGTTTATTCTTCAGAGCGGTTTGTTGCTGCAATCGGAAATACTGGATATCTACCGTCACAAGCGGGCCACCATCAAACCGCAGCTGCCGTTCCATACGGAGCCTCGACGAAGTTGGCGCGTTCTTTCGTTTCCGGTGGATTATAGCCATGGTTTACAAAATGTGGTGTAATTTGTAGATATACGCGCTGAGGGCGTCATCAATTTCAAGATCCCAGATGTGAGGGAGCTGCCTGAGGCGGGCATGGATGTGCTGTATAGCGATCCCATTACAGTCAGAAAGCTGCTTTGGTAGGGGGGCACCGTGGCGGAAGTGGACTAGCCAGTTGTGCGGAGTTTGATGCCATTGCTGTGCTTCACTTTGCAGGCGCATCCAGGTGTATAAGAACACTGATGGTGAATCTCCTGCACTGAGCTACTTTCTAGTGTGTAATCACTGTCACGACTGCTCGAATTGCGATTCTTGGGCATGTCAGGCTACTGTCGAACTGCGCGTACTACCGTGGAAAGCGGAAACCGAACCCATGAATAAACGTATGACTGTGTTGCTGTAGTACTTACTGATGTGGCCCTCGCAAGGCTAACTGTTATAAAGGTTATGTTAAAGTGTTGTACGCTGAAACTCTGTAGCATCGCATGATCTGTTCAATAAGGAAGATAGTTGGGGATACGCGGAATACATATCTATGGAGGTGGGAGCATTTTTGCGATTGGAAGCATGGAATGCTTCGTCACACACCGTACCATAATGTGAATGTACATTATAGGAATTACTGGATCCGGCGAAAGGATATGTCAATCCTATTGATTTTTCCTTGAAACTGCAAGTTCGACTGACAGCTGACCTTCCTGTTGGAATAGAATAGGTGCACGGTGTACATGGGTGGCCTGCGAGCAGGGACGAACGACTATAATCACGATGGACATGCTCTGTTTGTAAATTTACTGGTTTTGTTTTAGCTGTTGCGGTAGTCATAGACAAGAAAACTGTGGCCTTTTGTTAATGCTGAGACGCCGGAGAGTTACGCCTGTGCAGAAAGCGTTTCACGGTAATTATCACATTGTCCAGATGTCGCTTTCGGAGGCTCTAGCTGCTGCGCTGCTTGTGCATAAATACGTCTCTTGTTCGCAAAATGCTGCGACCGGTTCGCAAATTCACCGGTATTCCTTAAGCTGGTTCGTGCCAAGATACTACAGTCTACTAGTGTGCGATTCTAGACAGTAGACACTACAGTCTAGATACTACAGTCTACTAGTCGCGCATTTGTGCGATTCAACACATGGGTTCATTAATCAGTAACATAATAATGCTGTAGTGCCACTGCTCGTCGAAGCAACTCGAGCTCTAATGCTCCAGCAGCATCCTTTTAACAGTATGATGCCTTCGCAATATAATCTTTAAAATTAATAATTTTATTTTTGAAGCACCACTACTATTTAGCAGCTCTCACGTAAACATTACGACGACACAGCCTTCTTGGACGGTTCACATAAGCCCGCTAAAACCCGGTATCCTCTTTGTCTGGCCACTTGAGCAGGCGTTTTTCCCGCCTTATCACACAAGTTCAGATCAACACCATGTTCCAACAGCATCACAGCGATTTCTTCTCGGCCATGCCAAGCAGCAGCGTGCAGAACGGAATTACCGTTGGGCAATAAACCAAGTCGCGGTTTGTGCGCAATGAGCAACTGGCAGATATCCAGGTAACCTTTCTGAACGGCTTTGAATAACGGTGTGGAGCCATCTTCCCGAGGAACATCTGGTAGAGCACCGCGCTGCAGCAGGAGCCGGACAGTATCGGGATGATGCATCTGCACAGCGATCCATAATGGCGATGTACCATCCTGCATCGACAACAAAAACTGTCACAAATTTACGCGTTAATACTTGGGAAAGGTCTTTCTTTCCCAAAGTTGAAATTCTGTTAAATACAATTTTGGGAAAACTTTCACATACATTTTTTAAGGCCACTATGCAATAAGTTTATCAACTTAGAATTCTGCAAAGTAAGCAAATAATTCTATCGCTAATCAAGACTCACAGCTCGGCTTATATTAGCATCCAGTCCAACATCCAGCAGGAATCGCACGACATCTTCGTGGCCTTCTTGAGTAGCAAGGAACAGAGCGGTGGCGCCATCCTGTTAAAAACAACAAACCGGAAAATGGCACAACGGGTTGCCAGCACGAATAAATGCGCGCGTTATTACATTCATGCGTGTATGGATGTCGGCTTCGTGATCATACAAATATCTCACAACATCCAGATGGCCTGACTGGCAAGCGACGGCGAACGGAGTGCCACCATCCTGAAATAACAAAATTTATTTATTATCACAGTTTCTGTTTTCCAGGTCAAAGCGGCTGTTTACATGGCAGCGGCAATTTATTTCAGCACCATGCCGGTAGAGAGTGGTTATGATGTCGAAGAAGCCGTTCTGGGCCGCATAGTACAGCGCTGTCGCTCCTGATATCTAAAAACAAATTTGCCCGTTACATTAATCTTTCGGATTCGGATTACAAAGATACTTATGTACACAGTTAAAAACAGAAAGAAAATATCTTTATTAATACTCGACTGTTTCGCTTACACTGACATGGTATTGCAAAAAATGTGTTTATTTTACCGTTTACTGTAATTTTAAGATTCAAAAATCGCTAAGGAAGTTGACGCATCCCTTTGTCTTAAATTATGGAAAGTACAATACGGTAAAAGGTGCATCAGTTAGCGTATGAATCAGGAATAAATTATAAGTTGGCTGGCTTTTGCAAGAGTTTTGGTTATAGCTACACTATTGAGAATTTGCTTTCATCTGCCAACGGACAAAATAAACTTGATTTTTTAAAAGCTTGTAATTTATAAAATGTTTTATAATAAAATTTTAAAAGTACATTTCGTCTTTCGTTGACTTCCGCCTCTTGCTCCAAGAGTTCCTCGACACAAGCCAGATGGTTATTAGCAACGGCCAACATCAGCGGCGTTGTTCCATCCTTAAAGAAAGTGTTCAAGCATGAAATTCACAAGCATCCGGCAATGCACCGCTGCCCCATTGTATACAGCACGTACATCTCTGTTAAAAGAAGCGTAACAACACTTACACTATCCTTGACATCCACATGCACCCGGCCCGAATCAAGTACCATCCGCAGTTTTACCAAGTTACCCTGAAGTGCGGCGAGATGCAGCAGCTGATCGTGCGGAGATTCCTGCTACAATACGGCCATAATTAATTTCTATGTATACCGAAATCGGGATAATGTTTACCTTCATCGACATTATGCAATCCAAGTACCGCGCCGCGCCACCATCTGTCAGGTAGACACAATGTGCCATGTAATCGCTGATAATCAATAATCATGTACCGGTGCCGTGATTAACCATATGGACGAGATTAATCCACGAGGAGATTATAGCGCATTTGACGGGAGAGATACACCGGCTTAATGATAAGCCCGGTAATATGCCGCTGCCGATCGATGCCGGCGTACCGCGTCGTACTGTACGTGGCGCTGATGGAACCGAGCTGGTGTTGTTGTTTTTTCTGGTACCCAGCGAGTGCGCGCACTGTCTCTCTCTCTCTTCCTCTCAATCGGATGTTAAAGTTCAACAAGCTGATTAATTATACGCAACACGGGCCCGCCAACTGGAGTGGAACGGAGCCAATCGCGTATTTAATTTAAAGCAGCTGATGGACTACTACTGCAGTGCAGTTACCATAGTATGCCGTTTAAATACTTGATTGGAAAGTTTAAAGAGGCAATTAAAGAGATGCCTAGCGTGATTTGGCAGATGTGGTCATGTTATAGTGTAACGGATCTATTTGCAGTGTTCATAATCATCTGTCAAACATTGCTGTATTGAATGTTTGATAAAGTTCCGCTGGGTTACGCCCTGTAGCCAATCATTTGCAAATTACACCGTGGTGGGTAAATATTTATTCACGGTTGTAACAATGTGTTAGCGCGTGCCAACGTGCAAAGTTCCAAACAATACCGGTGCTATTACTGTATTTTAACACATTAGTACAGTAGTATCCGGAAAAGCACCGAACATGTGTTAAACGACCATTTGAGCGAAAACAAATTAACTTATCAGCTGACATTGAGGCTTGCGACAAGCTAGCTACGAAAGTCAGTATTTTCAAAGGGCGACAGCAGTATAACTTAAAAGATCATTATACAGAGTAACTGTACTGTAATGTGAAGTGCAAAGCCGTTGGTCGAATGAAGACTTAGCTCATATTTATCAGAGAAAACTTATCATTCCTAAGTAAAATACGGGTACACTTTTGTTCCTCATCTATTTTTTTTATTATCGACACGAAGTATTTCCCAGAATTTCGCGCTGCTTTTTTGTTGCGTCAATCGTAATTAAATTTTTTACCCTGCTTAAATTTTGAGAAGCTGTTTTATAAGGGTTATTTCAGAAGCGACACCCTTCGCCTCTTTGGTCTTCGGCGAGTCCGCTCCGCATAATTTCAGGAAGATATCCACTGCTTCCTGTACCATACCCGAGGCCATCTCGTGGGACTCGCTAAAAGTACGACGTAACGACCGGTTTGTGCCGGCTGCTCCCCGTCGTCCAATAACTACCGCCTGCCGTCCAATCAGCGTAACGCAAATCGCCGCCCACAGTAAGTTCTGTGCGCGGTGAATGATGTATTTGGGATACATGGCGCTGAAAGAATCGGGCAATTTCGAATACGTACAATAATATTCTATATAAACTCCCTTTCGTCATCTTACCGCACGAAAGGGATGAGCGGCTCGAAGATCTTCCAGGCCTGTTCGTGATCCGTCTGGTGGAGTTTATGATCTTGCGTCCAGAAGAGTACATAGCGGAAATGTGCATCGCGATGAAGGATATCGGCGTCGTCGAGGTCTCTGCGCAGGTCTTCTTTTGCAGGTTTACGCTCTTCATAGCACATTTTTTGTAAGGCTTCGTATCGGGCAGAAAATTCTTGAAATCTTTTTAGACGATCATCATTCAGTGCGCCGCATTGTGGACAAGCTGCCAGACTGCGCTCATCGCTAGGAAGACGCTCCATACAGCCGGGTGTTACACACTTCAGTGGATCGATTTCCGCGGCCTGTGATTTATCGTAAATACAAGTACCAGCTGCTTTTGCCATATATTACTTTCGATATTTCAGCAAATAAATTATTTCTGTCGATAATTAACAAATAGGAGAATTACTGTTATATAACAGCACTTAATTTTAAATGTGTGCGTGATGAATTAACGGATAACTTCTAACTTAATGCGTTTACAATTTTGAACATCGTCGAATCGAATTCTGCAACAAATCGTAAGGAACAGAACAATTTAGAATAAGAACGAGAATTTGTTGTTTTCGCTGCTTAATTTATAATTCACTTGCGCAGGTTCAAATGTGAAATATACGGCAACACCGCGAGAAAACTATACGTACATATTCCTTAGTGCATTTGCGGCAGATACAAGGCCGTCGGTGGGTTTTTTCGAACATTTCTCGCCGCTCCAGCCGAGTTCTGGAGAACAAATCACACGGGAATTCGGCATAACGAAGCTGTGTATCAAAAACAAGCATTTTGTAAGGGAGTGACCGTAAATAATTCATACGAGTGCAGCAGTTACTCAGTGTGCTAATTTACTCTTCCGTGCACGAAACTAAGCCTCATCACTACGAATAAAAATGCCATAGCAGTGACTGGCAAAAACAATTTCAGATTTAGTATGTCGTTTTCGACATCACTAGTAATTGGCCAAAAACCGAAGCTGTACATCCTGCATCCCGCGATAAACGGGAATATCCTCCATAGCGTGGATAAACAAGCGGCGCTTCTGAAAATCCATGGTGATATTGCTATCCAAGCAGACCGGCGTCATCGTCCAGTGTGGCACTTGCGGAAACAAGCCCATCCCGATAACCCGCGTTTTCTGTCCGGGATTGTAAATTGGGATAGCGTTACAGTAGGTAATAGTGACACAATAGTCGTGCCTGCAACAAAAAAGTTTACCTAAGTATATTTGTCGATGCAACATAATTGGTTAGTTGCACAGCCAAGGTTATGGCAGTCAAGTTGTTCACTCCATCGCGCTGGTTTCAATGGCCAGTTTGCAGGTTATCGAATAGCGTTACTTTTAAAGATGTCTCATCAGTCATCGGAGTTTCGTAAGTGGCACATGATGAGCGATCATGTCGTTTTTTGTACTTTTCATATTATTTCTTATGCCCATTAATATTATAACTACCGTTGTGTATATCATAATTATCATACCGGTTAGTTCTTGGAAAAAGATCTAGAATTTCCGAGACAGATAATTTTCCATGGCCGGCGATTTCTTCCTTTGCATTTAACTGCAGAAAAGGCAAAAGTTATTACGTGGTACAGGGTACGTACAACATAAGTTTTTACATTAGCACTTAAAGCAATTTATCTTTTGCTGGTCAGATGCGTACGTTAAAATTATCCATAAAACCGGCTAAACGGTAGACGAATAGAATCTGATTCCGTACAACTGACAAATCAGGTTAGGTTTATGGCGACACGATACAATACGATACGATACACATCCATTAAATAAAAAAATCTTTCACAGCGAGAGGAAGTACCCGAGCCTTTCTGGCAATCTTTTGTGTCAGTATGAAACTGATGCTCCCTGGAATTTTTCCATTTTCAGCAGACCTTATAGAATCTGCTTCCAGATCCCCGGCCTTGTTAGCAGCAATATCAGCGGCGATATGTTTGAGAGTTTTGCATTCATTCTTATGTTCGCTTCTCCAGTCAGCACCCTGTATTAGGTACAAATTAAGCAAGGACGCTTCAGGGCGTATCATATGCGGTCTACCTGACACTCTTTACTGCAGTACCGGTGAACCCTACACTTGGAACACATTTGCAGCACGCCAGGTTCTGCCAGACAGTATGCACAGGCTTCTGGATAGTAGCGCCAGTCCAGGCACCATATCCATGGTTCACAGGACAGAATTTCATCGCCGGCTTTGAAGGAGCCAGTGCCGGTAGGATGCAAAGCATTAGCGCATTCTTCGTTATGTGACTGAAAGTAACAATCTCACCACTGGACGGAACAATCCGTACAAGTGCAATTCCCCTACCGTGTTGCTTCCAGTTTCCATCGGTTCCACGGGACTGTTTATTGGGGCCAGGTAGTATTTATCAAAACGGCGACAGCTGAATACTGGACGGCTACCTAACTCTACTGTATAATTTCCCAGTTCACCAATATTACAAACTGTATGTTTATTTCGGCCACCACCGAATCTTTGTGCCGAAAGGTCAAACGTATTAGAAAATACTCGTAGAAGGCTGCATCTGCATATTATCCACTGCATGAGCAGGAAAAGCAGGTTTTACTCCGTTTTGGCTGGGAAGATAGATTCGGATTCAAAAGAGTACACTGCTATCTGATAGCGCTGTTAATCGTTAACAGACCTCGCGTTGCGCGACATGGCGAGGGTTTCCTTAATTTCGCTCATGCAAAAATCCACTGACAGAGGCAGTCAAATGCGGCATGCTTAGAATTCAAAACCCATAGGTTCACGAACATTTTAACGTCTGGTAACCTGGTACGGGTTGCCGCAAAATGACCGAACCTCGCGCTAAAGAAGACCAGAAGCTTCTACGCAAGTAAAATAATAAATGTGATTTTGGTTTTGCTGACAACAATAGCTGCAAGCGGGGGGATTCTGTTGTACTTAATACCATCAGTTCACGTAGTCTCTCCTCGCGACTTCGCGTAGTCCTCCGTAACATACTACATTAACTGAGTAAATCATTGAAAAGGCAATGGGCTTTTTGTTTCCCACGTCATGTTTCCTGATTTCAAAGATTCAATTTTCAGGAAAACCGTAAATTAAAAACAAAGTTAGACGGAGAAGAAAATTAATCAGTGGCATCAGCAAATTGATTAACGACTTGCTCACTGTTTACTGTAATTCAGATCGGACTGTTTTAATCAAGATAAATGGGTTCGGTCATTATTGTCGGCAAATTTATTCTTTTCGGCCAACGGTTGCTAAGAAACCGATACCCAAAAATGCAGTGATTTATGCGCAGGGCAGTACATAGTACAACGAATGGTCTACACGCTTTGAAAAGCTCTGTACCATGGTGATACATACTCTGTACACGTACTTAAGGACTCTGTATAGTGCCGCGCATTTGAGCGCGTACAACCGGATATTTACGTCAGAATAACTACAGATACGTAGTGCCGTAAAGTGGTATAAGAATAAATTTGTGTTTTCGAACTGCGACCGGTAACGGTTAACGCCACAAGTCTTATCATCGTTAGCCGGTTGCGTAAGAGTGAAACGATCTCTGATAATGACCAATCCTTTCTCCCAACAGAAATTTAGCCGATATTTATAGATGTCAAGCTCAGTATTCTTTTCAGGTTTCTTCTAGACCAGAAAACAAGGCTTGATAAAGCTTTAAACGGTTGATTTTTTATCTTGAATTACTCGTGTTCTCGCAAAAAGTGCATAGAAGCGCGTTTTTGAAAGAATAGGGAACTGAAGTGTGGGCAGGAACGGCCGAAATCCATCAGTTTTCTCATTTCTTCCAATATCGTTTTCATAATCCGGATTTTGCGTCGAAAATGACATCACAGGAAGGCCATTTATCTGCCGGAGCGGATGCAGGACCGCGCGATGTCAGCAGCCGGTCATTCTGCGCGGGCGACGTTATTATGTTATGTGAGCCGTGGGTCTGGGGATTCGACCACAAAGCCTATGCGCAGCACTGTGCGCACTGTTTTCAGGAGAAGGAAGGACTGGCGACATGCTCGGGTTGCCACCTGCACCGCTACTGCAGCAAAGCATGCCAGGTGAGCTCATTTATATCATTCTATATTTTGTCTGCTTTGCTATGGTTGCAACATCTGCTGAACTTAGATTGAAAAATGTTGATTCTTTTTACGTGGTTCAAGTACTTACTGTAATACAACTTCAGCTCACGTTGTTAAATTAATTACGCACGAGTTAGTATGTAACAGTAAATGTGTTCTGGAACTGTTCCCGTCAACAAGATTTTCGAGGTTTTTTCAAATTCATAACTAGGTTCAGTTTTTAACCATTATTTATTACTGTGAAGTGTTACTGCCCTAAAGAGCGTCACTGTAAATTGTTCGACCAAGTTTGCAGGCCTCTGACTGGAAAAGGGAGCACAAATTGGAGTGTGCGATGTTGAAAAAGCTTGGTGGTACAATGGAAATGCTCGGTCTCTCCACCGGCTCCAATGAATTTTCCGGGTCCCAACCCTTTGATCTGGTGGCAAAGATTGCATGCAAAATAAAGGTAAAACTTTAAGGCTGCGGACATATAAAGGGATATAAAAGGAGATAATGCTGTATCTAGAAGGATTTATAGAACTACCGTACGTAGAACAATTTTTATAAAACTGTGCGGTTGTCACTTGGCCGCAGCTAGGCGCTTAATGCGGCACAACACGGAAGTCACGAAATTATTTCTACCCTAAAAACCGCATGTAAAAACATAAAAACTTGTGTCTACGGTGTACAGATGTGTTTAACGTAGCCACGCCACTTCTTCGTAGCGCAACGCCACAATGAATCTCGGTGACCTCGGGACGGTATCCGCTGTCGACATTCTGCGTATGTTTCCCACTGACGCAGCAGCCCTCCACCGTCAAGAGTCAGCGTAAGTCGAAAGATCAAGCCCGTACAGTTTTATGCAGCCTGTTTTTGTAGTTTGAAACCACAAATTTATTCCGATTTTTATGCTTGACTAGGTGCTGTTAATTTATTGTGTGGTATCATGATCGTATAAAGCTAAAATGTATAAGTTTGCATGAAACCGTAAAGGTCAGATGGTGGATTTTTTAGGAGCCATCCCATCAGCAAGGTGGAGTCTTTCCTGAGCCTCTCTCCTTCCGAATTCTCCGAATACTATCATATAGCCGGCTACAACGCTCTGGCCATGTTCGACATCCTCGGCACGCATCATCCCTTTGCGCATGCGCTGTATCCTCAAGCACCTTTCCGGGCCATGACGCCGGCATGCTGGGATGTCAATGTGGTGTTAAACTTCGTGGGCCGCCGTCTAGTTATCCATGCCACTCAGGATATTCCCAACTATACGGGACTTCACGATGTAAGTGAACTGCCGCAAATATCTTGTACTTTGGGAAAATACGATCACGTGCGTTTCAAATGAAAAATGAATAGTACAATTTCTTAGGAATTTACTAGAAGTAATCACGGCGAGAATATTCGGAACACTGCAAATTTTAATATCAGTGTACTTATTGAAAAATTAGCACAGCGCTTGGTTTCGGCGTTTTGACGCTCGTGGGTTGCTTTGGCAGGCTTAATGTCGGTTGCGAATTATGTACACCGCTTTGAATGTTTTCCACAGCTTCGCCACAATAAACTTACGCGTGATGCGTTTTTGCTTCCACGAATGGAACGCCGCCATGTGTTCCAAGTGCTGTATGGTCGTCCATGCAACTGTCGAAAATGCACAAAAGAATACGTAAGTAAACTAAGAATTTATTAAATATGTACAGTGGGCACCATTAATGTGGTTACTCTAGACAATCGGTCCGAGAACCGATATTTTAACGGCAAGACGAACAGCAGACCAAAATAAGTCGGTCATGTCCATTGCGCGTAGACTCACATGCTAAACTCAGTCACTTGGAACTTGCACCTTTCTTAGCGAAAACCATCAAGCGATATCTCAAAAGAATAAGAAAAACATTCTAAGAATTTTGATACCAAACAAATTGGTTTTTATTACATCTAAGAGAAAATCGAGGCTCCTAAAGTTTTCCGTAGACATAGCATAGGATTTGAATCCACGGTTTGGTTTGTTTTCACTCATATGCTTTGTCTACGGGAAACTTCAGGAACCTCGATTTTCTCTTAGATGAAATAAAAACGAATTTGTCTGGTATCAAAATTCTTAGAATTTTTTTCTCATTCTTTTGAGTTATCGCTTGATGGTTTCTGTTGGGAAATGTGCAAGATGCAAGTGTAAACATCAGCAGGCCGATGGCCAGCACGGAATTGGCTGTGTGAGTACAGATAATTATCTGGTTGCGCGCGGTTTGAGTGTAAACACATTTATGGCGTCCACTGTACCTGGAATTTCCGCCTTGTCATGATCGCGTTCTTGGTGCATTTCCAAACGTACTCTGTACATGGTTGTTATAAACAGATCCATCGTTCAGAAAAAAAGATTTACGTAGTTATTCTTGTGGAAATCCGTCCTTTTACTTACTGGCTCTATTGGTTATTGCGCTGGTAAATAATTCTATGTATTAAAACGAAAAATATGAATTTTTTGTTCGGCTACCGATCACTTCGGCCGTTTCCATTTCGGCCGCGCTCATTTCGGCCAAAGTTTTTCGGCCGCCACTCAATTCGGCCGCCATTCACTCCGGCCGCCATTCATTTCGGCCGCAACTCACTTCGGCCACAGTACATTTCGGCGGAAATAGGGTTTGCCAATACTTTTCACCTGCACCGCGTAATCTACAGATACCCTCTTCTCGGAGAAGCGCTCACGCTGCATAGAGAAAACACAACGAAACCACAACTCCTCGAAAGATCGCTTTTATTTCATCGAAATAAATGCTAGAACATCATCAAAACGAAATCTAATGAGGGGAAAGGGCATGAAATCAGAATGCTAAAAAGGAATCGATGTTGTCGATTCCGATGCTGGCCCCCGAATGGCAAACACGATCAGTCGTGTTTGGAAAGCTGGCAGATGGTAAGCCGAGCCAATGATGGTGAGGCGTCCGTGCCAATATCCTGTGCACTATGCACAACACTCTGACATGCCACGGGACGGGATGCCGAGGCCCCTTGAGGCTCAAAAACAGGAATGAGAAAAGTGAGAATATGCATGTTAAATGCAACATAGTGAGCAATTCTTCGTACATTGTACGAATCATAGTCTGTACGGCGTATGGTTGGTAAGTGCCAAAGTGCTCACTTATACGCTGCACTGTGGGATTTTCCCCTCTCTGTTCAATCTTATATATGGCGATTGCCAAATCGTTACGCGATGGCTGTGCTAATAAGGTTTTCTGTTCGTCCACTGCTATGGGCCTTCGCCCGAATGGAACGCGCTTCGCGGGTGAATACGGTACTTCTTCTATGTGTTGGCCGGTTAACTCGGCGATCCGTTTACGATTAGTTTCTACTAAGGCATATCGCCCACTATTCCCGGCCAAGGCCGCATCTACGATTATTCCCGTGGCGATTGCCTCATTGACTGCGGTAGTGACATCCGAGTAGCGCTGCTCAGGATTGACTGAGTCTAATGGCATTGTTAAATACATATACCTAACAATCTCATCAATGGTCGATCCACGAACGTTGTGGATATCCCTAATGGCAATTGCCACCGCTTTTACCATTTCCTGCATGTTGTGGACTCTCATGTCGACATATCGACTTTACGACTTGCGGTTATCGCATATTTCATCGTTGGTGACCAGTTCTCGTATACTTCCACCAGCGTCCCACGTTCTGAGGCTACTTGCACGATGAGGTGCATATTCCTCGGTATCAATATACCGAGGAGCTATGACCTGCCTGTACTTTTTGTAAAAGATAAGCTGACGCTGCCATCTTATCCTTTTCCGTACGTTATTAATAATGTCCAGAGTCACACTCGTACTTCGGCGATTTTATCGCTAGACACCGATGGAAGCGGTTTTCCAGTCTTTACTGGCGGCGGGGACTTGGTGTGGGCGGTTGTCCGCCAGGCTTTGGTTCCGGAATTTCCGGAGAGTTATTCCGTCCGTTAGATTCACTAGAAACTCTAATCGGATCTCCTTCGCTGCCTCTTTGGGCAATATCGCTACGTTGTTCGTCTATGACAAGCTGCGGTTGTTCGTCGTCATCCGACGACGATGGCTGATGTCTCAGCTTCTCCCTCACTTGAACAACTCTTCGAGCTGTCTCCTCTCTGTCTTCTTCCAGTTTACGCTTCTTTTCCTCTTCCCCTGGCGAGGGCGTGCTTTGCACACGATAAGGACGCGTCTTACTGGATATTGCACTAACACTAACGGCTGGCGACGGCGTTCGCGATCCCGTTAATTTCGGGATAATGTAACTCAGTTCTTCCTTAATTCGTACCGGGTTCGGACCCCGTTTAAGAGTTCCAGCTATTTGCTGGTGTTCGACCGGTGCTTGTACCACTCCCATCGGAGTAGGGAATCTGATTACAGCTGGCTTTAAGCCAGTCTCCTTCCAAAACGCCGGGGGCGGTTGCACTTGCAACTGTGGCCGTATTTGCGTTAAAACTTGTGGTGTATTATACACATGCTGTGGTATCGTAACTACTCGTAATTCCTTCCCATTAGGGGCGTCTGTTTTCGTCGGGGCGAACGGACCTTCCATTATAAAGGATTGTCCCCAACGCTGCCTATCTCTGGCCTCTTGCTGCTCATGGTCGGCGATCAGCTTTGCTAATCGCTCGTTGGCGTCTGCCGGTGGTTTCGGTGATTTACTCCGTTTAGGCTTTGCCTTTAATGCTGTTTCTACTCCTGCTTTTGCAGGTGATTTAACAGGTTTCTTCACAATCGACTCGTAAGGCACTTCTTCGACTTCTGTCCTGTCCCTGCCGCGTCACTTTGTGCCTTTGCACGCGCTATGATGGCCTTTGCCAACCTTTCCGCTGGCGGAGTAACATGCAGTTGATCAACTGCGGCTATCTCCTCTGGTTGGGCAGCAGTTGCTGCCAATGAATGTCTCTACGATGCCAAGTCGCGTTCCCGATTACTTCGTAAAATTAACTCGTATTCGGCATATGATGCCACTATTACTGGATCAGTTTGCGTACTACGTGACATAGTCACGGGAATTACTTCTGGTGCCACATTGGGCAAAATTACCGGCGTTTTGAACGTTCTGAACATTCGGGGCAGCAAATCGCTGCATCGGACGATATGCCTGATTTCCCGCTACGGGTGGGGCGAAGAAACGAGGATTACCTCGGCCAACCGGTCGGTTCGGTCGCTGATCGCGGTCCATTGCGGAAATATCTGCAATGGAAAATTACACAATTTAATTGTGAAATTTTTAATACGGTATTACGGTGTTAAAATAACGCTCGTTATTTTTATTTAAACAGTTATTACTGTTTAAGGAATTTTGCACTTTGTGCACTTCGATCCTACCATTATACGGTGAATTTTGACATACCCATTAGCGCTTTTGCGTAACTTAAGCAAAAATCGCCTTTTAGGTACTGTTTTATTAGCGCTATTGCGCTCATTGTCACTTTCCTCATTGTTTACCGTTTCCCATTCCTCCGTATCAATTACGGGGGAATTATTAGCAGCATTGTCTGCGGAGGTACGGACCACATCGTTCGCGGGGTTTCCCTTAATTTATGATTCTCCAACAAGTCCTGAACCAATAAGGTTTCTCTCTTGCGGTCTTCTTCGGTGGTTTTGTACGGCTTTAGCCGTTCACAATTACGACTCGTATCTCCTCTGTTTTATCGAAATTTATTCGTTTAATTTCGACGGCATTAGTGTAGGGAAACCCAATGATTTCCCACGGTTCGAGCTCATATTTCCGACGGAATGACTCCGTTTCGCCTTTTTTCTTCTCAATTTTCAGAATAACCATGTCACCTATATTATAGGTGTCTTCCGACCGACCTTTGTCGAATCGTTCGGCGTTTTTATCAAATTCATTACGAATATGCAATTCTGCGATATCCTGAGCGCGACTCAAATTATAGCGTAATTCCTCCATATAGTCGCGAATTGTCGCGTGATCTACCGGGAGGTTCGTTTTTGTTTCCGTATCTGCAGGAATAACCTGCTCTCTACCGTATAGCATAAAATACGGCGACAGATTTGTCGTTTTATTCGCTACACGGTTTTTTCCGGCAATTACAAATGGTAGGACTTTGTCCCAATTACGTTCCCGGCCGTCACTGGCGTACATCGCGAGTGAATCAGCAATTGTTTGCATTTGTCCTTCGACAAGTCCACGCCCGATCGGGTGATACGCAGCACCAAAATGGTGCTGTATTCTTAGCCTTTTATTTATTGCTTCCAATAGGTAATTATGGAAATGTGTTCCTCTATCGGTGTTCAGAATTTGTGGTGTTCCATACGGCAGGAACACGTCATAAATCAAGAAATTAGCGACAGTTTCCGCCTTTGCGTCGGGTATTGGTTTTGCAATTACGAATTTCGTAAGTTCATCTATCGCTACAGCGATATAGGTATTTCCCCGTGTTGTTTTGGGCAATGGCCCTTTCAAATCCACTTGCATTCTAAACCACGGCTCGCCGATAGCAATCTGCTGTAGCTTGCCTGGTGGCGCTTTGCGCAGTGTTTTGCGATGTTGGCATGCAAAGCAATGATCTACGTACTTGATAATCTGAGAGACCATATTCTCCCAGAAATAACGTAAGGCGATCGCCTGATAAGTTTTAGCGCGGCCTAGATGACCGCTAGCTGGTGCATCATGCATTGCATGCATGATATCCACGCGCATGTGCTTTGGCACAACAAATCGACGGTTAATACGACCGTCTTTTTCCGATATTTTATACAGTACACTATTCCACAATTCATAACCGGAATAACCGGGACGTTTAAGCAAATGAACGCTTTCTACGCGTCCTTCTAGTGCATGAATTATACGCTCGATATTCGGGTCTTTCTCTTGTTCTATCCTGTAGAACTTGAAGTTGTCTTCTTCTTCTTCGTGCTCAGCTCCATCTCGAACCGTTAATACCCGAATCGACGGCGTACTAAACTTTGAATCCTTAAATTCATCCCAGTCATCGTCTGGGCATTCGGTAGCTTCTCCCACCGGATGTCTACTCAACGCATCAGCGTTGTCACACTGTTTTCCGGGCCTATACAGTATAGTCATTTTATGACTGCTTAGCTGGAGTGCCCAGCGCGTTAAACGGCCATTTAATCCCTCTTTACGGGAAACCGATCGCAATAAATTCGTTAAAGCTTGATGGTCGGTCTGTACCGAAAAATGGGAGTATTCAATAAAGTGCCGAAATTTCCGGCACGCAAAAACTACTGCCATACATTCCAATTCAGTAATTGGATACTTCTTTTCAGCGTCGGTTAGCAATTTGCTCGCATAAATAATCGGGTGTCCGTCCTGGTGCAGTATCGCACCGATTCCTACTGTTGATGCATCGCATTCAATTACGGTCGGTTTACTTGGATCAAATTTTACTAATACTGGCGCGTTAATTAATGCTGATTTTAGATCAGCAAATTCACTATCATGGTCGGTCGACCAGTTCGCTTTCACGTCAATTTCTCCTTTTAATAAGCCGTATAGACGGCGTGTTCTACCGGCAAAGTCTTTGACAAATTTCCGGTAATAGTTACAAAGTCCTAAAAAGGATCTCAGATCCTTTTCACTCTCTGGTTTCGGATACTTCTCAATTGCCGATATTTTATCGGGATCCGTTTTTATTCCATCCTTGGACACAATATGTCCAAGGAAATGTAACTCCGTTTCGCCTATATGGCACTTGCTCGGTTTCAATGTAAAACCAGCCTTTAAAAGGCACTCACACATTAAACGTATTTTACGTTTGAGATCTGCGAAGTCTTTAGCGGCGGCAATGATATCATCCAAATAAGCGAAAATATTTTCGCAGTGGACGTCCGCTAACGTCCTATTCATGGCTTCCTGAAACGTTGCAGGGCCATTACAGACACCAAACGGCATCCTTAAAAATTCGTAAAGTCCATCCTGCGTAATAAACGCAGTTTTTTCGATGGAGTCTTCGTGCATTTGCACTTGCCAAAATCCTGCATTGCAGTCAAAGCCACAATAATACTTATTGTCAGCTACTGCCTGCAATAATTCATCCGGGTTAGGAAGAGGATAATTATTCTTTTTTGTGGCGTCATTTAACTTAATATAATTAACGCAAAATCGCGTACCGATGGTTCCATCGGGATTTTTCTTACCAGCTAATACTACGGGAAAACACCAGGGGGAATTCGATTTTCGAATTATCCCTTTCTCCAGCATTTCATTTACATGTTCTTGAATAATCTCGTGGCCTCGCCACGAGGTCCTGTGCGGTTTACATTTTATCGGTGCAATGTCACCGGTGTCGATTTGATGCTTGACTATTTGGACATCGCCAAACGGACGGGTTTTCGTCGCGAATAAACCGGGATATTCGAGAAATATTTCCTTAATTTCTCTAATTTCTTGTGCGGTTAATTCCGGATTAATTTTTAATTCATCCACCGCTTTTATCACAGTCTCTTGCTCTTCAGGTGTCATTTCTGCCAACATTGTGGCATTAACTTGAATATCTATATCGGGAATATCCTCATACGGTTCTAAATAGCCAATAAATTGGCCTTTCTTAATTGACTGCCGCTGATGTTGAAAGTTAACGAATACCATTTCAAACTTTTTATTTTGTGGTTTAACCACTCCCTCCATCGGCCTTATCCGCCGCTCCCTATACAGGTGCGGACTGGGAAGGAATAAAAACTTATCGGTATCGAACTGCTCATCTGCATCGAATTGGACATTCACTGTCGCCCAATTAGTACCCGGATTAATTAATAGTTTATCGCCGGCGAAGACTTTGATAGGCTTAGCGCGTGTACCGCGGTAAGAAGGGTTAATGTTCGGAGACTGGGAAAATTCCCAAGTCGGAGATTCATTAGTGATCTCGGCAGAATCAGTGGGCCCTACCAATTCTGCATTTACGATAATTAAATTATTAGGATCCGGTACTACTTCGATGCTAGCTTGATTAATTAAATTATTATTATTAGTTTCGTTCGTAGCGGCAGTATCGAGAGTATTCCTCACTACGATAGACGGATCGTCTTTTAAAAATTCAACTACTCGTGCCATCGGCGCAAAACTGATTGACCGATTATGGTTAGCTACGGTTTTTACAGCCGTTTCATTAACGTAATTATCAAGCGGTTTACACTCCTTCAACTGGTGCGGCAATACCGGTAATTTACGTCCCGTTAACTGTGCTAATACACGCAGCGATGTTCGTAAAGCGTATGGTAGCGGGATCTTCAAGTATCTGAATACTTCAGTCAGCTGTCGCTGTTTTTCTTCCAAAGCGGAATATTCCGCTTTGTACTGCTTTGCCAAATTGTGGACAATTTCCTCTGCTTTTGCAGAATCGATGCCCGGAACTGGTACATCCTCATCCATAAAGAGGTACATTACGTTGGTACCGTCTTCTTTGGATTTTATTAAATCCTGGATTTCTTTCAATAGCACTCGATACTCGCCCCATAGGCGACAAAATGTAGCTTTTGCTGCTAACCGGACTTTCACCGGCTTCTTCAATACAGATTTGAAACGGATAGTTTCACTTGGTTCTATTGTGGCATTTGCCACGGGTATCGGGAAGATTTTACTCCCTTCTGGTACGGCATTTTTTTCGGCTTGTAATTTCTCTACAGTATTGTCGATTTGTTCCGTTGCCACGGGTATCGGGAAGACTTCTTCCTCTACGGTACTTGTCGTTTGAATAACCGGCGACACCGGTTCGCTCATTATTAATGGGCCCGGTTTCTTATCGGGCTGATATTCTAAATATCGCAATTTGTTATGTCGAACGGCATAAAATTTATCTTGCAGGAAATCCTGCCCCAAGAGTACATTTATTTCATCGGTCGTTGGCTTAATATAAGCCGAATGTAAAGATTCGAAGTCCTTAATTTTTATTGCTATTTTGCAATAGTGTGTAACGAGGAATCCTCGTACTCCACCAATACCGCGTATATGCAGCGGCTTAATTAACGGAATTCTTGCAGCTTTTATTTCATTTACAAATTCACTGGAAATTAATGAAGTCTCTGCGCCGGTGTCGATCATTACCGGTACTTCGCAATAATTTATTATTGCTTTTATCATTAGCGGTGCGGTCCTTCTAGGTTCGTTAGTATCAGTTAAAGTTGTAAAGTTAATGTCAGCATCGCTGATATCCGATAATTCATCGGCATCGGTTTCAATTACTCGTAATCCATTGATTACTATTTCTTCGTTTTTATCCGGCGGTTTGGGTGGAATAGGGTCGGTAAAGCCGGAGTTTACCGCCCTTCCTCGTTTTCCTGCTCAGGCGGAGCGAAGAACGGATTATTATCCGGAGGCGGCGATCCCGATGTCGGGCGTACCCGATCCTCTACTGGGCCGACACTCTGGCGGGAATTACTCCTCTGCCTGGCCGGCGAACTAGGTTCGCTTCCCGATTGACTGCCACTACGGCGCTGATAGAAATCGGCGGCATATCGCCGATTTCCAGTCTCTGGATCGTGATAAGCGAGATATGTAGGGTTCTCGCATCGCGGTTTATCGCGGAACTGACACTCTCGGAAGTAATGCCCGCACAAGTCACAGTGTTGGCAATACTTCACTACTCTGTTGCCACGCAGAGTTTTCTGCAAGGCCGGTGACCGATCAGTCACTTCCTGTATCCTATTAATGTTATTTGCCCATTGCTCCTTACGAGACGGTGCACGATTATCATCTTGGTTAATTCGACTGTCATTACTGTCAGCTTTGCTGATATTACTACGAATATTATTATTATTATTGTTACGATTGCCGTAACTCGGTTTTCCACTGTTTTTACTGCTTGGCCGCGGCGGGCTGGCCGCCGCTGCCGCATACGATTTTGGTTGGACTTGTGCAGTTCGCACATTGACTACATCGGCATCTCTATCCTGTTTACGTCGGACATTTCCGACTGGAATAACATATTTTTCGGGATTATTGGAAGATAAATATCGGAGTATCTCGAGAAATCTCTCGGGAGTATCCGGTCGCATAACTTCCATTTTGTCATGGAGTTTTTCATGCGGTTTTAATCCGCGCATTAGAAACGACACGAATTGTTCAGGTGTGCCATTAAACCCAGCGCGATCGCGCAAAGTCATCATGGCCTGGTAGTAGCTTTCCAGAGTTTCCTGGCCAGGTCGGTAATTACGGTTTGTTAACTCTGCTAAAGCGTTAACCGATCGCTTCGAGTCGCCAAATCTGGCGATTAACTGCTGTTTCCACTCACGATATGTTATGGGTGCAGCGTTGGAAGTTATCAGCCCATTGTACCACACAATGGCTTCATCTTTAAGGCAATATGCCAATTCCGTAATTTTCCTCTCATCTGTAGTCCACCGATTTGCGGTGGCTGCGTGATCAAACTTTATTATAAAGCTATCGATATCTTCTTTGCTACCATTGTAGCTCGGGCGCGGTACTGGTTGGCGCATTACATCAACCAAGTCCGATTTTCTTACAGGACTTACTGTCCTGCTTTGTCCAATGCCTGCTCGTTGAATTTCTTCCCGCAAAATACTGCGGAGATATTGCTGCTTATCAGCACTCGGCATTTCCCGAGAGCCACTCTCGTTCATTGCCGAGGGTGTATGCTGTACACGGGATGATTCTGCTTCGGTATTACCGGCATATGCCCTGCTGAGCGGTCGCTCGCCGTATTCTACGGCCTCCGGGTTCATCTGCCGGTCGTACAACACTCGGTAGTCTTTTGCTAGTGAATTGAATCTCCCAACAAGGGACTTATGTTCGGTTTGACTTTCATGCAGCATCGACTGCACATTCTTCAAATCCGTTACATGATTGAAATTAACGGTCTTTAATCGCTGGTTTTCTTGCCATACTTGATCGAGCATGGTGTCCTTCTCAGCTAATTGCTGATTCATGTCGGAATTTCTAGCACGTGCTTCGTCTACTTTCGCTTTTAATTCGGCAATTGCCGCGTCCCTTTCACCTATTACAGCCCGCAAGCCCAATACAATTTTTTCCATATTTTTAAAAGAGCTATGGGCGTGCTGGTACTGATTTTTGTGGTGTTGGACTTCGTCCTCGGCTACTTCCAGCTTCCGCTGCAAATCTCTGATCAACACCTGATTTGCTGAAATAGTTTCGGTCGCCTGTTTAAGTTCCACAATGGGGGAACCCTTTGCCGGCTTAGCCGCAGAGCTCAACAGCTCGTTCAAATTAGCTGTGTAAGATTGCGTTTTACGCAATGTGGTAGGTACAACTGTTACCGGTTCCTCCTCTTCTTCCGTCGTTGCGGATTTATTAAGTTCGCTTTCACTCACTTGAGAAAACGACCCCGTTGTAGTCGTTGACTCTGTAGTACTGTCAGACCGTTCCGGTGCAGCTGCCTGCACTTCTTCCCGATTATCGGGATTAACCTGTCGAATTTTATCTGGAGTTAGCGGCCTGAAAAACAATTGATCAGGCGGCTCCATTACTGGTGTACCAAGGAGGTTATCTCCCTGATCCATTACGGTCGCTTTACGCTGTTTACGAGTTTTATCCTCGAGTACTTTGTGTGTGACTTCCACACCCGCTCCTTTTAACTGGTTCGCTTTGCTGCGCGTGATTTTATCCTCTTGGGAAACGCCACTAGTGCCAGCCTTTGCTGGATCGTCGGTTATTCCTTTTAGTACTTTACTGGCTGATTTTAGGACGTCTTCTACGCCCTGTTTCAACCTATCAATGGCTGGTTGCTTTCTGGTCGGAGAACGATGTATCGGCATTATGCCATCCACTACGGTGTTGTTAAATTCGAAAAATACCAGGTGATAATAATTTTCGTCGAAGTCTAAACTTATTTTCTATCCGTCACACTGCTGGGCTGCCTCGCAGTTTTCCATTTGTACAGTTAGAAAATTGGCCTGGGCGGCTATGAATGTCCTGCTCCACGCAATTCCATTAAGCTGCTCTGCAGCTATGCTTACACAAAAGAACGGCTATCACTGATAGAGATCAGCTAGTTCTTTGACATGACTTCCAAGCAAGATCGGGGAAATCCACTCTGTAGAGCCATCGCTCCGTCTTAAATAACCTTTACAAAAAAACAAATTGTGCACTGCGTTAATAATCAAGTAATATCCTAAAAAATGGAACGATCGTTCTCTTATAGGAGGATGTCATCCAGATATACCACGACAATATCTGTCACGATGATTTTCACTACTCTGCCATCTACCACAATAGCCAAAGCTTTCCTCATTTTTGTCACAATTTTGACTGTACGGTACTCAATTAATTGAAAACAATCGTTTTCTTCCTTCCCCGTTTCATCAAAACACTAATATGTACTCTCTGGACAGAAATAATCCGTCCTATTCAGGAATTAATCCTATAAAATTCAAAATTATAGGCTTAGTGCCTACCACTTCGATACGTTGTCCGCGGTTCTTCTCCTTGCTGGCGGCCGCGTGCCTTCCGAACCAGCGACGCTCCTTGCTTCTGAAGTAGGGTTCTTCTTCTGGTGTTGCTGGGTTATCGCTGGTAAGCCAAGGTCTCCACCAAAGAGAGGAAACTTCCGTGTCACGGCGTGTTCAATGTAACGCCGTTATCGAGTGCAGAATGTCAACAAAACTACGGGAATGACAGGGATCTTAAGGCATCTCCACCATCTCGGAGAAGCGCTCACGCTGCATAGAGAAAACACAACGAAACCACAACTCCTCGAAAGATCGCTTTTATTTCATCGAAATAAATGCTAGAACATCATCAAAACGAAATCTAATGAGGGGAAAGGGCATGAAATCAGAATGCTAAAAAGGAATCGATGTTGTCGATTCCGATGCTGGCACTCGAATGGCAAACACGATCAGTCGTGTTTGGAAAGCTGGCAGATGGTAAGCCGAGCCAATGATGGTGAGGCGTCCGTGCCAATATCCTGTGCACTATGCACAACACTCTGACACTCTCGTTCCTATTTCATTTTGCACGCCAAATTCGTTTGAGCAATTTTGGTAGTGTTACTGTAACCATCATGTCTCCCTTCAATGACCCGAAGTCACCGTTCCGACAGAGTACTGATAGAAAACCTAACCGTACGCCACATTACAAAAAATACAAAATGAAAAGAAATCTTCATACCCTAATTCACCTACGGATAACCTAAGAAACCATGGAAACTAATCTCGATGAAACAAAAAGAAAATAAAAACAACCTAAGAACCATAACAAACCTAAGAAAACTTAAGAAACCTAAGAAACCATAACAAATTTAAGAAAACCTAAGAAACCTAATAACCTAAGAAACCTATGAAACCATAACAAATTTAAGAAACCTAAGAAACCTAAGAATACCTAAAAGGGAAATTAAGAAACCTCAAAACCTGAGAAACCGTAAAAAAATCTGAAAAACCCTACGAAAATCTAGCAAACGTAAGAAACCTAGGAATCCATAATAAATCTAAAATCCATAAGAAAACATAAGAAAACGTAAGAAAGCCAACTTAGAAAACGTATGCAACCCAAGAAACCTATGACGGCCGAAACGTCCAGTTGCCGAAATGAGCGTTGGCCGAATTGAGTATTGGCCGAAGTGAGCCACGGCCGAAATGAACGTCGGCCGAAGTGAACCTGTGCGGCCGAAATGTAACGCGGCCGAAATGATCGGACGCGCAAAACAAAATAGTAAACAGTTTACCGCATTTGTTTATGCAATAAGCGGTCGTTGAATTGCGCTGTTCATATTTTTCAGCAATATTTATTGTGACCCTTTTTGCACGGTTTAGGATGCAGAAATTAATCCACTGAAGTGTGTGACACCTGAATGCCGGCAACCCATTCCTAGCGACAGTCGTGCACTGGCGCCGTGTCCGCAGTGTGGTGCCGGCAACAGTGACCAGTTGGTCAAGTTTATGCGGTTCATGGAAGAATGCCAAGCGGTATGGCAGAGCGGTCTTTGTGAAACGGATCAGTTGAAGGAAAACCTAAAAATTCATATCAACATGAATGCGGGAACCTTCCTCCATCCGGACGCGCATATTCGCTACGTTTACGGATTTAACCGCTACAAGAAATATTTCGAGGAGGGTCGTTTTGATGATGGCTGGAAGATTGCCCAGGAGATGATCACCTGCTTAAAGTAAATAGATTCAGTTACGAAATTTGCAAATAGTAATTATCGAAGATCGTCACATGCAAATTACGAGAAACCACTCAAGTTATTATTCCGTTTGCAGAAAAGTGTATTCCGTGTACGATATTACCTTCGCTCCCCTGTTGGCCACCACAGCCATCCATTCGATGGAGGCGTTGCACAAGGAAATCCTGAAGACAGTACCTTTTGCCAAACCGGCGGAACAAGAACGGCTGAAGTCCGTAGCGGCCGCCGCCTGCCCCATTGCGCGTAGTTACTGTCAAGACGCCGAAGATATCTACACCAGGGTCCTTGGCCCGGATTCAGCTGGAGCGGAAGTCGGCCGGAAGCTGTCGGCTGTTGTGCAACAGTCCATTTGCAACATCGAAAGGGCCCTTGACGCAGATTACAGTAAACCGTTTGTTTATGCTTGTTATTAGGTGATTTGTCATAAAGCAGACTATCTCTTTGTCTGCCTCAATGGGTTAATGAACAGTGGGAGTAGTTGTTTGCTTCCATGTACCATAGTTTAAATTTAAGTTTTGTTTGCAAAGTACTAGATTAGTGCAATGTTTTGTCGATCGACAATGATTATGTTCATAAACGGGTTAGACTGGGGAGAGCGAAAAACTGAATTCATGGAGTTCAAAATTTAATTTGTGCAATAGCTCATTCGGATAAACGTTAACGCTTAAACCTTGCCAGTATGCAACCAAGTACTGTAATTGAAGTACGTACATAAGCGTCTGCTAACAATTATAATAAAAATAAATTGTATTAAACATGAAACGGAGCAGATACCTGTGGTTCTATATAAGATTTCCATTTTTATAGTAATGACAACAGTTCAAACATCAAATAACTGCTTTTGTATAGTTAGTTCATCCAGACACTCTCTTGCCTGCTGTACTCGGCTCGAATCTGCTCCACATAATTTTACGAAAATCTCAGTTGCTTCGACTGCCATGTCGAAGCCCATCTGACAAGATGCCAGAAAAGTGTTGATCGCAGATGAATTTTCGCCGGTAGATTTCGCATAAACTGCTTTCCGTCCAATGACGGTTAAAGGTATTGCCGCCAGCAGTAAGTCTTGTGCCCGCCAAAAGCCATATCGTGGATAAATGGCCCTAGATAAAAAAATAACAAACATATAAAAAATAACAAACAAATAAAAAACAATTATTTGGCTGGTGGTGCCGTCTGAATTAAGCTAGCGCTTCCGTGACCTTACCGCACACGCGGTACGAGCGACTCAAATATTTCCCAGGCCTTTTCGTGCTCCCCTTTTAAAACCAGCTTATGCCCTTCTATCCAGGCCAGAATATAACGCAAATGCGCATCGGGATGAAGGATATCGGCACTGTCAATTTCTTTAAGGAGCTTTACTTCTTTAAGTTGTACTGCTTTGAGTATTTCTTCTGCAGACTTTTCTCTACAAGTTTCTTCTTTCTCTATGGCTTCGTATCGGCTTAAGAAAGTCTGGAACGTGCGTAGTCGGTTACTGTTGAGCGCGCCACATTGGGGACACGCCAGTAGGCAGCGACTGTCACTGGGAAGACGTTCTGTGCAGCCAGGGGTCACGCATTTCAGAGGATCGATTTCCGCTGCCTGCATAATCGCAAACTGATGTTGCGACAATGGTCAATAGTATCCTCGAAAACGTACAAACCTACCAGCTGCGGCGGAAATAAGTAAACTTCTCGGTCAGAGAGGCGTCAACAACACGCACAAGAAATACACATATCCACGTAACAAGAATTTTTCTGTACATGTTTTTGCCTGACAATGAGTATTGCAGCCATAGTCGTGGTTTAATGCTCTTAATCGGATAAACTTCCTATCCGATTTGCTTGGTTATTCAGCCGCAGCATTTGCTAAAGTATTTTCGCCATATTTTGTTAAAAAATTGTATATACTGTAGTTTGTAGAATAAAATACATAACATATGGCATTCTTGAAGGGAACGGTACGTACGTATTCTGGAGTGCATTTGCAGCATGTACAAGGACGTCCGTAAAACTCTTCAAACTGTGCCCGGCGGTGGTTCCGTGATTTTGTGAACACATTGAAAGGCATTTCACAATAACGAAGGTGCAGAGAAAAACCAACGCTGCTGTGACAATCTTTCAATCGCTCAGTTCAGATTTCATTGAATTTCCGTACATCATGCAAGCCTGTGTAAACGGGAATATCTTCCGTGGCATGGATGAACAACCGGCGCTTTTTAAAGTCCATCGTGACGTTGCTGTCCCAGCACACTGGGATCATGAGGCCATGCGGTACTGCCGGAAACAGTCCCGTACCAATGATACGGGACTTCCTTCCAGGCTTGAGAATGGGAAAGGCGTTACAGTGGACGATGGTGACACACTCTGCCATGTCTGGGATCGATGGGGATGGCGACTGTGCGGACAGGGCTTGATAAAGATACGGATGACATCTTTGGAACCTATCATAACACATTTTTTGCAAGTCGTGCTCGCGCAAATGCAAATACGTAATAAATTTATCAAGTCCATTTTATAATGATGTTCATACGCATAGAGCAGCATTACAGCGATGATGCTCGACTTTTCATCTCGAATTACGTATTCATTACTTGAAGAGTGTTCTGGCTGTATTGGTGGGAAAAGGTTAAAATAAAAGCTCACTAATACCATTCTGATTGTGATTGCCACAGCTGAAAATCACATGATCCCAGGTTCATTTATATGACCATTTATCGTTTTAAACTTCGTCAAGCAGCAGAAGTTCTAACGATATTAGATACGTGCCTATTCCAACGTACCGGCGGTTGACCGCATCATGCTGGTTAAGCTTGGGGAAAAGGTTCAGAATGTCTTCAACAGATAGTTTACCATGTCCAGGAATTTCCTCCATTATATTCAGCTAAAAAAGGTCACATTCGGTAAAACCGCAGGAAATTTAGCTTTAATTGACACTGTATAATATTATTATTTGACTTTTACGCCGCATAGTAACGTTTTCCATTTATTTGTTATGTGATACAGAAAAAGGACAACCGAAAAGTTATGACAACAAAAAAAGGTTTGCATCGAGCCATTTGCACTCGTAAATTAAAAGAGAGCAGTACGGTGCAGTACACTGATTGTCAGCACAGTACCCGAGCCTTTCTGGCAATCTTTTGTGTCAGTATGGAACTCGTACTCCCTGACATCATTCCGAAATCATCAACCCCGGTGGTATCCGTGTCCGGATCATGGACATGAAGTAAGGCAAGTTCATCGGCGACACATTTGAGTATGTCGCACTCGGCCTTGTGTTCCTGCTTCCAATCGGCAGCCTGCGATAAACCGTACGTAACAGTACGCTATGGCGGCGTGCACGCACCTAAAACCTCTCGTGATGTACCTGGCACTCTATGTCGCAATAGCGGTGCAGTTTACACCCGGAACAAGTGTAGAGTTCTTTGGGTTCTGACCAACAATAGGCGCACACTTTTGGATAAGAATTCCAGTGCAGACACCATACCCACGGCTCGCAGGATATGATCAGGTCTCCGGCGTTAAAAGACCGGGTGCCGGCACGATCTGAATCTTTTCCCGCGTTGTCCATGACTGGGACTTATACACTGCGGCAACTTAATGGTTAGGCTACAAATGTCGCAAAACACGCAAAAACATTTTAATTATTACAATATGTAATATATATTTTCCACGCTTTCGGGGCTAACAGTCAGCCACACAACTTGTGACATAAGTCCTGAGCAACTGACGGTTGCTAAGACACCGTTGAAAGTACAGTATAACGTGCACGTGCATTGTAAAAGAATGCAGTGCACTTTGCACAAGGCTAGATTGCCTAGTTGCCAAGAATTCTCGGAAGGGCAGCGGAAAAAATAACCAGAAATTGCAGATGTACAGTGGACTTTCAAATCAATATGCGGTCATTGTGGTTCATCGTGCAGCAACTGGCATTTGATTTGAAGCCATGGACAGTTGGACACATAAGAACCAATAACAAAGGCGTTTTTCAAGGGGCCATCAACGAAAAGCGGATGCAAATCGTAACTGCCGTTCGGGAGAATTTCTGCACCAAAAAAAATTATTAAATAGATACGGATACTGTACACGGATCTGTAGTATTCTGTACAAATACAGTACAAATCATTAAATGACGTGGCAGCTCTCGGATACGGCGAAAACCTTTTACTTTTAAATTGGCTATTGACCGGCCGGGGCTGGTTGCTTTTTAGGTTTTTCGAACTGCGACACGAAGTATTTTTTGCAGTCGTGTACAGACATGAGACAATATTAATCATTGTATTTAGTAACGGCGCTAAGACTAAAATACTTTAGGCTTTTCAGTGGGCACGGGTCACGATTTTTTTTGTCGTTGCGCTGGCCGCGTGCAGCTGTGCTACACGAGCGCATGTGCTGGCTGTCTGCATGCTGCATGGTAAGCCGTAATCCGCTTGTGCTTGTTTTGCTCTGCGTTGATAAGTGAAGCTGTATTTTTAACGTTGCATGCGTTGTCCTATGTAGTTTTCAAGCACCCTTAGCAGCGTCGAACTTTTAAAAAAAAGGCAAGGAACTGTTTGCCAAAGCTTCCATCAAAGTTCTGTGGGAATTCTCCAGCCGGAGACCTGCAATTAGTGATGGAATCCACGGACACCATTAGCGAACCAGTCGACGGAGAACGTATCGTTAGTCGGTCGTTTTCGGCAGGCGACGTTATTCTGACCTGCGAGCCATGGATCTGGGTGTTCGACCGCGCCGCGTATAAAGACCACTGTGCGCACTGTTTCCTAAAGAAGCAGGGACTGCGGACATGCTCGGGATGCCAACTGCATCGCTACTGCAGTAAAGCATGCCAGGTAATCATGAGAATGCATGCAGCGTACTGCTCCGTTTCCGCATGGAGTTGTAGTGATGAACTTGCAGTAAATTAATTTCTCAGTTTTCCGCAAACTGGTGCCGTCGTCTGGCACTAACTGAATTGCTAAAATACATGTACGATGGAAGTACTTCATTGTACAAACCGTAACAAACGTTGTGACCATAAAGCTTGGGGAATGTGGGTAGGTCTCCGACTGGAAAATGGAGCATAAACTGGAGTGCGCTATGCTGAAGACCCTCGGTGGCAGTATGGCGATGATGGATGTGACGACAGGCACAGGACGAACAAAATTTTACGGCGGGCGGGCATTCGACCTGATCGCCAAGATATCCAACAAAATCAAGGTAGGTAGTGACTAGGTACTTAGCGCAATCGTACAACACGGTGCTGCGCACATGATCGGAAATTTCCTTCGGAAAGGTTTTTGAGATTTTATAAAATTTGTTTACCGTGGGGGGTTCTGTAGCTGAACGTAACCATGGATCTCGGCGATCAGGGAACGCTATCAGCTGTCGACATTTTCCATTCTCTCCCTGAACAACCATCCTGGCCCCGTGTCGGGGCCGTGACAACGTAAGTCAAACTCAACCAGCTCATTCGTATTAATCAGCTGATTAATCCTTTACTTAATGAAGCGCCGCTTAAACGAGAACACTCTACTGCGACCTCCCTGAATAAAAATGAAGTATTAAATGCTTTCCAAAACAATCGCGGATGCTGTTTTCGTTAAGTACTTGAGTGATGGAAATGTATTGCCTGCTTAAACGAACCAATACGCACAGTACATGTAGTGGTGCACCGACATGTTCGATTGCAGGGATGAGCGCGTGGACGATTCGGCACTCGACCTCGGCATCTCTCCGTCCGAATTCGTGGACTATAATCGGATCGGGGCATACAATGCAATGCCCCTGCGTGACCTCCGCGAAGACCGCGATCGGCAGTATCCTTTTGCTCTGGCCATCTATCCACAGGCGCCCTTCCGGGCCATGACGCCGGTGTGCTGGGATGTCAATGTCACGCTCAACTTCAACGGCCGCCGCTTGATTATTGTCGCCACCGAAGATATTCCTAACTGCACCGGACTGCACGATGTACGTCCCAGAACTGGTGAAACGCTAGCTCCCTGTACTTCAACTTCACTAACGACCATCACTTCGTCTGAAATAAAGCACTTTTCCCGTTTTTGTTGGGAAAATTTTGCGTTGAATAAACTATTGAAATGCAAACATTATAATACAAAGGAAATTGTACATAAAGAAGATTACTGTGGTTAATAGAAATGTGAAAATATGTGATTTCCGAATTTACCTATTCTGTACAGCTTCGCCACAATCGGATGATGACGGATCCATTTTCGCGTCCGCTCGTGGAGCGGCAGGATGTGTTCAAAATGTTCTACGGCTACCCATGCCCATGCCGGAAATGCACCAAAGAATTTGTAAGTGAAGAATTCGGACTGTATAATGTGCTATCCACACTTGAAAATATGCAACTAGGGAAGCGATGTACAGTATATCGATATCCCGAAGCTTTGGTTATTGCCTTATTTATCACTTTTACCAAACAATCATATCGTTATATCTGCCGATCTATCGCCTGAACGTAAGATGGTTCCAGTTATTAAGATAATACTACATGTGATTAAAATGAATAAACTAGTCTAAATAAATTCCTGGTCGGGCAAGAACATGCGTTACGTATGGATAGAAACAGCTGTACATGGTTTAGGATGCGGAGACCAATCCTCTAAAATGTATTACGCCGGAATGCCGGGAACCGATTCCCAGCGATAACCGTGCACTGGCGCCTTGTCCACGGTGCGGCGCGGTGAACAGTGATCAGCTGGAGAAGTTTATGCGATTCACGGAGAAATGCGAAGCGCTGTGGCGGGATAACGTCGCGGAAATGGAGCAGACGCTGGAAAATGTCAGACATTTTAAAGAAGTCCAAGCGGAAACCTTCCTCCATCCGAACGCCCATATTCGCTATGTGTACTCGTACAACCGCTACCTGGATTACTTGAATGATGGCCGCTTTGAAGAGGGTTGGAAGCTGGCACAGGAAATGGTTGCTTGTTTAAAGTAAGGTCACTTATCCGAGTTCCTCGCCAATGCTTGGAATCTGAAGCATTTTTATGCGTAATTAATAGGAAAGTCCACCCCAAATATGACGTTGCCTTAGCTGCCAAGATAGCCTCGATCGGGTGCATGGCGGTGAGTGCTGTGAAGAAGAAAGTACTGAGTACACCGCTGAAAAAGCGAAAACGACTGCAACCATTCGTTACGGCGATGTGTCCTGTTGCGCGCAGTTATTGCAAGGAAGCGGAAGATCTGTACATCAGCGTGCTGGGTGCTGATTCCGCTGGAGCCGACATCGGTCGCGAATGGTGTGCCGACGTGGATGACCGGATTTCCAGCCTTCAGGCGGCGGTAAACGGGGATGAGTGTCAACCGTTCGCCGGTTTCGTCGTCTTTTAACGGCTCGGAAACTCGGGCAGCCATCGGAAATGTTAATATTTGACCTTCTGACGATTTCTTCTTCGTATGAAATAATTCTATCTATCTTCGTATGAAATGTACTTCGTATGATTTGTTCCGTTACACATCCGTAATAATATAACGATTGATGCGAGTGTCGTCTTTACAGAATTTTTTCTGTGTATCAACTTGTTGAGAAATTCGACTTATTTTCTGGAAGATAAATACGGAAGCTGCGAGTGCACGGTCAACAAAAACATTGTTTTCGTCGTCGATTTGTGGGTGTATTGTTGTACATACGAGGTTACTTATGTGCACAAACAGTGTTCTTGTCATTGTGCTAGTCTAAATAGAAACAAGCCCAAAACCGTGATTCGCGAGAAACAAGCCACAATGGCTACCGACATATTGGTCAGCCACTCGGTAGTTAGTAGTCACCATACTTGGCCCCTCTTCGGTCGCGAATTCTCGGACAGTTTGGAAGACACAATCTGCAGGCGGCATTAGGCGGGGGTTAATGTTAACCATTTGCTGGTTTCGTAGCTTTTTGCGTGCTTCACTGCTTTCGCAAATTTCCTTGTTGATGTGTTCTTATGCCTGCAGTTTGTTCCGTACTATTATGAAAATTCTTTAACAAAACTTTCCTTTGCGTTAGCTGTGGAGAAGACATGGCTTTGCATCGGACGATACCGTAAAACAAATTCCTGAAAAAAAATCCTGCGCCTAAATGTATAACCGCCTTCAGGGCTAGGGTACATAACCGACGCTGAGCGCAAACATCGATAGAATACTGTAAAATTATATTAGACAGAGACAAGCGCGTGAGTATACTGCTTAATGAGGCAACGTCGCGTTGCCGCTGGGCGGAAAATGAACAGCTACAGTACGTTGTTTTATTGCTCCGGCCCCACAATTTTTCACTCCGACAGAAAATCGTTGTCCAATAATATTCTCGCAGCTACAGTTTCTGCCTTTTAAGAAAACAAGTTAAACCTAAAACCAAGCCAATATGCAAAAGAAGCTTTAGCAAAAATAAGCCTCACAGTAATCGGAATAGTATTAACTATTACCAACCAGATCATGAGAACTATTTAGCATGACAACGTCATGGGAAATAAATCAACAAAAACCAAGTCATCATTTCAAATCAAGTCATATGCCTTTTAGAGGCAGGAATTAACAACACACAACAACGTAACGTATAAGTAATGGCAGAGGTGAGCTCTCCAAATGCTGTCAAACCAGCAAACAATTATCGGTAATTCCCGTTTAATGCCAGTTGCAGGGTGGAAATCGTGTCTTCCAACTCGGCAAACCTTTCGCGACCGACGACGGCTGCAGCGAAATCTGGTCCCAGCACGTGAATGTACAGATCTTCTGCTTCCTTGCAGTAACTCCGCGCAACGGGACACATCGCGGTCACCAGTGGTTGAAGCCGTTTTCTTTGGGCCAGCGGTGTTCTCAGCACCATCTTTCTTACAGCTTCCAGCGCCCTGATTCCGATCGCGGCAATTTTGGAACCGAAAGCGATGTCGTACTTGGGATGGATGTTCCTAAAATGAAAACAACACGGTCACACTGATGTCTGTAAGCCTTGCAGCCGGTGACCTTAGACAGTTGACCATCTCCTGCGCCAGCTTCCAGCCCTCTTCACAACGACCCTCCTCAAAGAAGTCCAAATAGCGGTTGTACGAGTAGATGTAACGAATATGGGCATCCGGATGGAGGAAGGTTTCCGCTTTCACGTCCTTGAAATACTCCACATTTTGCAGCACCTGCTGCCGTTCATCAACACGGTTCCGCCACAGCGTATCGCATTTCTCCGTGAATCGCATCAACTTAACCAGCTGGTCAGTGTTGATCGCACCGCACTGCGGACACGGCGCCAGTGCACGGCGGTCGCTGGGAATGGGTTCCCGGCATTCTGGCGTCATACATTTCAGCGGATTGGTCTCCGCATCCTGGAACCATACACAGCAACGTCAAGCAGCGAACCGCAGTCACTACGTCTATTCATTTTACATAATAGACAAATGAAAACATCTGCTTCTTACACTAAATGAAGCCAAGATATAAGTTAATCATGTAATGTATGGAAGTACGTAGGTATGTTTGCGATCTATCTGTGAACCAAGCATTAATGAAAAGCGTGAGGAATTTCTTTTTTCAAAATGACTAGATTCTTTAATACAGTAAAACAAATGCACACCATGACGATGCGTCGGCGTTATGTCACTTACAAATTCTTTGGTACATTTTCGACACGTGCACGGGCGCCTATACGTCAGCTTAAACACATCGCGACGTTCAAGCAGTGGACGCGAAAACGGATCCCGCATCAGCCGATTGTGGCGAAGCTATATAAAAAAATCGGGCACTGCCACTTATCATTCCTGAGTGCCACAAAAGTAAATTACATTATTAGAACACCGGAAAAGCTTGCAATAACACTGTTTATTGTTCGTGGCAACGGTGCTGCTGTTGTCTTTTACTGCTATGGACAGCAAATAAGGCGAAACTTTAAATTTATGACACAACGAAAAATTAGCATCCGCCTTAGAAACTGTATTATGCCAGAGAAGAGTTATTACCTAAAAATTGGTTTTATACATTAATTACTGATGTATTTGGAGAGTAAACGTTTCAGTAATTTACCACTCACATCGTGAAGTCCGGTGTAGTTGGGAATATCCTGTGTCGCGACAATAATCATGCGGCGGCCACTGAAGTTGATCGTGGCATTGACATCCCAGCACACCGGCGTCATGGCCTCGACCGGCGCTTCTGGATAGATGGCCAGTACAAACGGAAAGTGGTTTTCCGGGATGTCATAAACCGACACAGCGTTGTAGCCACCTGTCTGATGATAGGTCCAGTATTCGGATAGAGAGATGCCGAGAGCGGTCGCCGACTCGGCCAGTGACTCCTGCCTGCAACATTCCACACAAAACGTCACACATATACACTTAGTCAAAATTAATCAGTTCAAACCGGAAAACTGACTGATATCAGTTATTATACTTGCGTCACAAAGAGTTGGCTTACGTGGGCTCCGCACCGTCGTTAGAGGAAGGATTCGCAGGAAGTAAGCCGAAAATCTCGGCAGCTGACAACGTCCCCTGATCCCCAAGATCCATCGTCACGTTCAGCTACGAAACACCCACGGTTGCAACAAGTATTGCAATTATTTTACGTAATGACAAAAGCCTTCGACAGAAAGCTGGCTGAATAGTTAATGTACGAAATACAATTATGCTGAGCACTTTACCTTGATTTTGTTAGCTATCTTGGCGACCAGATCAAACGTCCTTGCGCCAAAATACTCCACGGACCCGGCACTCAGACTGATCAATGCCATGTTGCTACCGACCTTTTTCAGCATAGCACACTCCAGTTTGTGCTCTTTCTTCCAGTCGGACACCTACAAAGCATCCCGTGCTGACCACTGAACTAACTTCGAGCTTTTCGTATCCCTGCCTTTACACTGAGGAAAGCATTGACTTCCGTGCTATTTCCATACTGTACGAAGAAGTAAGTACGTTACGGTGTCAAATAGCAGATTGTGTTCCTCCTTGTACTGACCATGGTTAGCTTACCTGACACGCTTTACTGCAGTAGCGATGCAGTTGACAACCCGAGCATGTCCGCAGTCCCTGCTTCTCCTGGAAACAGTTCGCACAGTGGTCTTTGTACGCGGCGCTGTTAAAAGCCCACACCCATGGCTCACAGGTCAGAATAACGTCGCCTGCAGAGAACGACCGACCAACGGCAGCTTGCTCCGGCCCGGCGACTGGTTCGCAACTACTATCCCTGAATTCCATTTTAGATATGTCCAGAATTACGCACTGAACGATTTCCTGAGAATGATCAACTTGGAAGGGAGCTTCAAATACGGGACTCAACAACTGAATCACTTAATGCGGCAAAAGGTAAGCTAGAAAAAAACTTAATGCCGATAAAATGGCGATCTGCTGTCCGCAGGTCTTCGTGATCCAACGTGAATCGACAAGAACCGATCCGAACGGGTGAAGCACATCTGCGTACCGGCAGTTATACCGAAATGGACTGAGTACATGCTGCAGGCCAATCAGGCGAGACCGATGACAAAAGCGGTGAGTCAGTACCGTAAAAGACAGTAGGCATGTGCACTGAGTCGACCGAGCCAGTACACTACGTATCTGTACGAGTGCGCAGTGTGTACTACGCGCTAACCCCCGCGGGATTTTAACCAGGGATCTCATCAGCACGGCATCCGGTTAACCTTTAAATCCTGCTTTTATGGTAAATGCGGCCGAAGAACGTGGATCTGTGCTGTGGAGCCTTGACTACACTGCGTTGGATCGTTTCATTTCATTGTTCATGTCGTTGGGGTATCGTGGAACGAACGTGGATCAGGCTCGGAGACGGATGGAAGCGCGGATGTTTGCGGTCGGATTTTGTACGCGAAGCAATCTGGGGCTTGAACGCTGCGGTTGGTAACCAGAAGCTCTGTGCACCTGTGGAGCTGCTTGTTTCTGTAGTTTTTCATTGTAGGTTCGCGAATGTCGTAAAATCATCTTAATCGTCAGTTGTTTTTATGTTGGTTTCACAACAACCGGAAAAAACTGAAATAAAAGTTTCACCCCCGCGGCGTAGGTGCGTACCTGGCGGCGTATGCCGGGGGCAGATGCCAGAATAGTGTTCTGGCATGAAAACAACCGCCAAGGTCTGTCACCTGATTACCGGGCATTGTGTGAATTTTATTGAAGATCGTCCAAAGGAGAACGGGAAAAGCTGCTGTACTCGTACTCGAATCACATCAGCAAATTCTTAAAATTTCAGCCTTCCTTAAAAATCTGTTCCAGTAGTGAAGTTCAGTGTAGTAAGCGTGAACTGGCACCGGGTAGATATTAAACCGCAGCTGGGTTTTCCTTATTAATTGACCTTTATAACAAACATTTCTGAATATTCAGCAAACAGTTCTGGGTATTGCACTGTATAAGCATTTCTGTATATTTTTTACTGACTGTACAAGGAAGCAAGTTTTGCAGCTAGCAGGCAATTAGTTTTGCTTGTAGACTGCAGTTATGGTATGGTTGTTCAATTGTTGTGTGCAATAATTGTATACATGACGTAGTAATCTACATCAAAGATGGCAAGATATATGTATCATCAATAATCAATGGTCATCGCACCTTGACAGCAACAATATCCGCTCACCCCCTTTAAGAGCATAAAAGCCAACTGATTTGTCCGCAACACACACCAATCAATTTCCCATAACGCTTTTCCCGGCGACTGGTTTCCTTGTATCCAGTCAGCAGAGTTCGTTTCGATTGTTTCATATCCCGGCAAAATGGCAATTAGACAAATGCAGTGACAGTTATACTCCGCACGCCATCCCATTCATTTGAACGGGGTCATCCGCGTCATCGACAAATCGGTAGATTAGCGTTCAATGCGCAGGACGGACCGATATACCACCGTACACAGCCGCATCTAGCGTCGTAATTGGCCGTTAAGCGTCCCTCCGTCGGATGCGCATCTGCACGGCTTCCCACATCACTTAACACGGCCGTAATTGTCGCTGTAAAAATACCCTCCTCTCGCCAGTTGGGAAACGTGCAAATGTTGTGATTCCCTCACCTGTCAGGGGATGAGTTAGTGCTTCCGCTCGTAACGGTTTAATCAGTCGTCCGCTGTGCGTTTTACTTAATCCGATTCATCATCACGTTGTCCTCATCCGCAGCTGCCTGTCAGTGCTGTAGTCCCGGTTTTCCTCACCCGTTTATTTCCGTCTTATAAGCACTTTGCACTGGTGTCTGTCAACTTTCCGGCAAAAAAGTATTGATTGACTGCTTTCGCTCGTTTTACGCTTTTACATTATTCGAATCCGGTTAGAATATTTTTGGTCCGTTGTGTATTCTCGCATAAGAAGAAAACAAATAACGATGTCGAACGCGACAAACGCGACAGATTGGGCGGTCAGTATCCCCATCGGTGGCCTGGTCCTACTGGACACTACGGTCTCCATTTTCTGGTCATTCGTCGCCAATCTCATCATCCTGGGCGCCGTCTTCATTGACCCGCATCTCCAGCGCCACAGCAATTTCTACGGGGTCTCCTTAGCCGTTTCCGACGTCCTCGGGACCGCCAATCTGGGTTTCGGCTGCTACGACATCCTGTACAACCGTTGGGTGATCCAAAGTCCCGGATTGTGTAAATTCTGGGTGCTGATAGATTATACGATGAGTCTGACCGGGAGTCTGTCCATCTGTTTAATCAGTTATGACCGGTATAAGATGGTGTTCCATCCGCGATTATATGCGTTCGAGGAGTCCAGTAATCGTGCCGTGCTACGGATCCTGTTTGTCTGGCTGGTGTCGTTCGCCTTTTATATCCCGGTATGTCTGTTCTGGGACTACTTTGTGGGCTATTCGGTCATTGCTGCGGATGATTGTGATCCCGAGTTCCGGGATGTGTTGTGGATGACGATTGTGTTGTCGGTGGTGGAGTTCTTCCTCCCGTTCTTCTTAATTGTGTACTTCAATGTCCGACTGATTTTTGCGGTCAACAGACGAGCGAAGAGGTTAGTGCGCAGTTGTAATATCTTCACGTTGTTCTAGCATAGGTTCTACACTCTAACCAAGCTAAGATTTACCTGCAAAACCGGCTTATAATAATTTGCTGGTAATTACACTTTATAGCTACTGTACTTAACGCACATTTAATTTGCAGCTACGATAGTTGCGTAACTTTTGGTTTTTTACCGAAGATTTATAGATAATTTTTTGCATTTGGAAATTTTATTAGCTCTTTCATATAATTTTTCCGGAACTCGTTTATATAAAATAAAACTAGCCACTAAAATCTGAATTTCTGCAAAATTTTCTTTGTTTGTTACATATGTAGTTCAAAATAATATGGTAGACATTTTAAGGACGCATGGCATTGCGTAGTGCTATTTGTTCACGCCGTGTTCATTACTTATTCATGTTGTTGAGGTTTCTGACGCTGTTCTAGTCATCTTGTAGCCCGCGGTATTTAATTATTTATACAGCTGACGCGCTTCCTATAGGAATATCGGGAACGCTTTCATGTGCATCAGCTACATATATTGAACTAATCAAGAACCTACTTTAATTTATCGCAAAACTGATCGTCTTGATGTTCAGAAAACTAATACCAAAAAATTTATTTTCGGTTTTTTTATCTTTTCTTCTGTTGCTGTTTATAGACTGGTGGAGGTCAAAAAGAAACTGGGTGAAGGCCCCCTCTCCAGCCTGAATTTCCCCGTGCACTCCACCGACCACGAAGCCCGCGAGGAAGAAGCGTTCGAGCGGAACCGGCTGAATACGGAGGCACGGGAGATTGCCAGCGCCAAGGGGACCACCAAGAGCGTCCTCATTCTGGTGGGTGTGTTCGCCGGCTTATGGCTGCCGTGGGAGTTTATCGGGAATTTTGTCATCCCTATCTGCGACGACTGTGTCCCGCTGCAGCTATACCAGTTCGCCTTCTGGCTGCAGTATCACACGTACGTGGTCAATGCCATCGTCTTCGGCTTAACCGTGGAACGGTTCCGGGATTACTTCCGGAAAGTCTACCGGATGATTGTGCCCAAGAAGGATAAACGGGTGCGCTTTCATCTATCGACCATTTCCGTCTCCCCCGAAGGCTAATTTGTGTGTACTAATTTTACTAGTCAAAAATATATTTTTGTAATCTGAAATTACTGTTTCGTACCCGGAAATCTCATGACCTTGTGATATATGTTTTTACCTGGATTGTTTAGCGGCGCTGTACATGTTCAAGTACCCCACTTTATAAAGTGTTTAGTCGTTCTTCTCTGAATAAATTCGGAAAAATATTTCTCGGGAACGGCATTGTAACAGATGCGTTGCTGAATCTTCAATGCGTTGTACGTGCCGTTAACAATAGCGACAACACTCCTGTTGTCAGCAGTCACTGACGTCGGAAATCTCGTGCTCCATAGTTTGATCTCGTTAGTGTTGAAAAAGTAATCGTGATCTCTTGTTCGCTTACGTCCGTAATGACCTTAGTTATGCACTAAATTTACAGATAACCAGCTTGTTATGCACAGCAAGATGTTTTTGCACATTTTGAACCAGCTGCGCACATGTGATACGAGTACGTTAACATACCGCACACACAATAATATGTCGACATAATATGCAGCTTCGTTGTTTATTAATGGATTTTGGCACTAGCGAGCACTTGAATCAGATCGATAACATATATTTCTAAAATTAATTAAGTTTTCATAATTATATATACCGTTATTTTTGGGAAATACAAGCTAATTGTAGGTCTGCAAAGTTTTATATTTGTACAATAAACATTTTCAGTGCTATAAAGCGCATATGAATTTGCATCACCATAAAACAAAGCTAAACGCACGTATAATTTGTACGCAAAAGTTTTATTTCGTTTCGTAACTACTTTGTTTACAATTGAGCGGCAGATAAAATGAAGACACTTTCGTATTCACGGTTTTGCACTATATAAAACTTGTTGTAAGCTTCCGATAATAAAGCTGCCTCGTTATCGCTGGTTGGCGTAAATACCCACGATTATTTTTGCCGACCAAAGAAAATCATATTCCCCGCTTCTGTTTACAATTGTCCATAAACACCCAAAATTATGCATTCTAGTTTAGCAGAAAGATAGCAAGGTGTAAATGGTTTTATTCCTAATTTACTTAATGGAACAATTGGGCAGTACCAGAGCTGTTTACATCATACGAGCAAACTGCAAAATTAACTGCAGTAACTGACGTATTTACCTGCGTAACCTACAGATTATAAGCCAGTTTTACGTAAATTTTTTTCATTGTTTTAATTTATCAGTTTATAAATAATGTTGTTAACCCACATTTTACTGCGGTCGCTGTATTTGCAGCATGTGCCAAGACGCAAGCTATGAAATGTTAATTAACGATAAACATGACGCCCGGCAAAATGTAGTACACAGCGCGCCGTGCGCGTGCTCACATGCGTTGATAAATCCATAATTCCATTTTCTTACTCATAAACCGATTTCACGCGCATTTTATGAGAAAACCCCCTTTGGCAAAGCCGGCAGATTGATTCCGGGTACTATCGGTTTATTATCCTGCTTGGAATATCGACATTAGCGTACCGAGCCATACGGGAAACGGAGCGGGCAGTTAAAGGACACAAAACATAATATATTATGTGGAAGGAGTATAATCAATACCGGCAGTAACAATTTGTTCCGGCTGTTTGGAGACCGGGCGCGCGCAAACAAACAAATTAAAACACACACCGGTTTCCCTATTGAATGCCGGCACGAGAATTCCCAGCAAACCCCCGTTGGGCCACGTGACGGAAATACTGTTTCTCAAGATACACATACCGTTTAAAAAACTGTTTTCGTTCACCCGTCTTCGCCGCGCACTAGGCAAGACATGCATGACTGACCGGTCAAGCAGGTAAACAATGTTGTGAAGAGACGGTTAATTGGCGGGGTGCTGATGAAATCATCGGATTGTTGAAGTGTTGTCATATTTCGGCGGAAGTCCACTTATTGGTCGAATAGATGATGGGTATGACTATTCATATTTTAATTACCCACAAGAATGGGACGATTTTTTAGCAGTATGAAAAAAGACATAAGAGACCGCGTAAACAATGACAACAGCTTTAATCCGGCATATATAAGTGGCTTGGCCGTGTCGACGGTAGCATGTAGGAATCTCGTTAGTATAAGTACTTTGTAACACTGACATATTGAAAGACTTCCGGCAAGCGTAATCTGCAAAAAGTATTATTCTCGTACAGTGCATTTGCTTTGCACGTTTTGTCGGTTTTTATATTTTTGACACGATACGTTTTCTTTTAATTTTTTGCACCATGGATTGCTTCCTAATGTGCTTTTTTATCCTTGTATCCGTGCTTCTCATATTTACAGGTAAGAGAGAAATTAAAAATTATCCAGTAACAACGCTTCGTATTTCTTGGGGCTTATTGATAATCGATATATGTGTTAACAGTACAGCCAACAGCAGCACAGAATCCCTGTGCCTGTGGATTTGCCGGTTACAAATCCGTATGCACCGAGAGCGGAATAACCTTATCGGCCTGCAGCGCGAAATGTTACGGTAAGTCTTAGTCTAAGTCTAACAACCACCGCGTAAACACTATTCTTGATCCATGGTAAACGTTCAATATCGTTCCGGTTTTATTTAGGTTTGAAAGTCGCTTACGATGGCAGATGTGACACTACGGTAAGTGGATGCAATGAGATTCGAAAAAGCAGCATATTAAACAACAAAATTATTAAGCAATTAATGTACGCCAAATGTTTGTTGATATAAAACCCGCAAAAATATTTTGTTGTAGCTGTTAATTGTGGTGTTCAGTAAATTTTGGCGATTAAAAACTTTATTATACTTCATTTTGCATCATTTTAATAGTTTTGCAAAATTGTTAATGGATTTTGATAAAAATATTTTTTTCTACAATTATTTGTTATGGTCGATTAATATATGGCTAGATTGCTAGAATGCGGTATTTATGAACTAGAGTAAGTACTGGAGATATATGACATCGGAATAATTTTGGCGGATTTCTAAATTTAGTATACCACAGTTTCAGTTTGTTTCATTGTATTGCAGTTCTTTTGGCAAGCCATGAAAGACAAAATGGATCCTAACGGCCCTCTGCTGACTCCTAAAGCAAACCGCGAACGCGCCAAGGATAACATCTGGAACAACCTGTGGAGACTCTGGACCAAAACCCCGGGTCAAGCCAAACCCACACCTGCTACAACTACTATCCCAACCACCCCCACGACAACCACAACTACTACGACAAGACGACCAACTACGAGAAGAAAGACCACTACCACCACGACAACGACAACCACCCCGGCACCGGTGTTTGTTCCGCTGGTCACTCTGAACCCGCTGTCGGGTCCGCGCATCCTCGTCGCTGCTCCCGAACGACCAGCACGGCAATCGGCGACCTTAGCGGCACCGGCTACACCGTCCGCGGGAGGCGGTAGTTCAGCGCAAAATCAGCCGGGGAATGCCCAAGACAACACCGCCACCACGCAGCCGTTAACGGATGCCGATAGGACACGGCTGATAAGTGGCTTATCGGGGCAGAAGTTATTGGATACGTTGAATGTGCTACTGGCAAAAAACTGATGTTCTTTCATTTATTGTACCTTATTTGTTGTTATGTTATGAATAATCGTTTTCGCTCTTATATTAAGAGAGGTTGTATATAAGTGAATTATACACTTATTACAATACAAGGTTATAATTTACTTTAACTACGGTTACGCCGAATAGGCGTCGTAGTCCACCCTTATGTACAGATACAGCACAAAAGCCATTGTTGAATAAAATTTCTAAGACCAACCGTTGCTATTTATGGAATGTGTAATAACAAGTAAATGAAGTAACTATATTGTAGTGTATCATAAAGTCTGCAATCAAACAAACGCAGTCGTGTATAAATAACCTTTAACGATTGCACAACCTGGAACGTCATCATACTTTCCAATCTAAATCCAGTAGTCGCATTATTTGGGAAAACATTCCCCAAACATCAACATCTTTGTCATACCTTGCCACGCAGGGGTCATTACCTAATACCATGTTTGTTTCCCTTGTTGATGCGCCATAGACGGAACTCGACATTCCCAGCCTTTGTTGTAAGTTTATCAGCCGGCTTTACCGGGCACTTTCCACTTTGCCGAAGGAACAAGCTAAATTTGTCACCGTTTTACAAGTGTGTCATCGCTCCAGCCAGTCACGCCTGGATTCTGCGAACAATCAAAACAAGCCCAGAAAACTTTCGCAATGTGCAGCACTACCTGGGCATGGCGCACGCAAGGGCCCATTGTTCCCGTTGTATTGCGTCAGAACCGGATATGGCGGAATGGAGGGATGGTGGTATAAAAGTCACCACGTCTTCCGGTAATGATCATAGCACAATTGTTTCGGGATTCTGTGATTTCTTAGCGCCTCCTATCAAATCAAACCCTCCATCATGAATGCGATGTGCCTTATCTTGACCTTTGCCGTTGTCTGCGCGAGCCTCATTTATGCTGTTGAGCTGGACTCAGATAATGCTAGTAAGTCTTCCGTAAATTCTTTACGTATCCACATTTCAAGCATAATATTGCCGTAGTTACCTTATTGTGAGTATAAGTTTCGCGCATAAAAGCATTGTTTTTTTCAAATATCGCTATGAATTTATAGATATTTAATTTTTTTATATTTAATTATGGTCATAGTTTAATTTTTTGTACATAACTACGCTTCCTTCACATAAATCCTCGAGCGTTGCAGTAATAGTCAATTCATAACCATTAACTGGTTTCTTTTAATGATTTTTTACGTATACTTTACGCTTTCCTACGATGGTTTTTGAACAGTTTGTAGGTTTTTTCTTAGCAAAACAGTTTTTTCTTCTAATAATGTGCGAAAATTTGCATTTACCGGTGACCTTTAATTTACATAATATTTTCTAGGAATTACCACGTACGAATCTGCCGACAGCCCGTTATGGCGTTGTTATTCGCAATATCCGTTTAACGCCAAATACACCTATTTCTACTGCAAGAGCATGGCCATGGCCATGGGCAAACGAATGCCCTATGCGGACCTACAGAAACTGAGCATCCCGTACACCCGCACCGCCTGGGCACCCCTCGGCTGGCTCCCGTTGGGTCAGTCGTACCAGCACACAGCCGACGTCGACGGCGAAGCCGGCACAAGTAATCAAAGCGGACACCGGTAACTGGTTCCTGGGATAAATACAACCTAACCACCCTTTCCGCTGTCGAGAGCGCGTTCAGGCGTAATCAGTATTTAGCATTTACTAAGCGATCCTGTACTTCGATTACCGGCATGAACGTCTGCAGAGGGGAAGAGTTCAAGAGCTGTACATTTTATTCGTTTAATTTATTGCTGATTGAAAAAATTCTAATTTGTATTGAGTAAACAGTTGTTCTAAATAAAGCGTATGCGCGGGGTCCATATTTCGTTGCGCCGTAACCTGATGAAATAAAGTAGTATCCGAAATTAACAGTCAACTGGTGGTGAAGCACGCAACTGCGTAATGGAACATGATAATTTGAAATGTGCCGCTTGATCAGGAAAACCGGATCAGTTCATCGTCGAAGTGCTTTATGTGTAAACTTGGCATGCCCAATATCGGTCAGGAAGGTAATTTATTCGTTACTGCCCAAAAGCCAGTACGTCGTCATGCTGCCTTTTCCCTGCAAAAACGAATATAGTAGAGGTGGAACTTAACGCCACAGGTCAGAAGCTACGGACCTTTATATCGATTTCACCGCGTAGCTGAATGATGAACTCCGTAAACGAGTCCAGAAGGATCTTTGTTGTTGAGCTAATGTGGATTTTCATGGCTACCGAGAAAAATAATTTTTGCAGTATTATGTAGATACGGATTATACCTTTGCATATATCGTATCTCAAAGGTCAACCTTTTCCGCACATGTTTAAAACTATGTCGAGAATAAATTTAGCAGTATAATAAAGTAAAAAGTAATAAATTTTCTCTGAAACCATGGTGTATTGTGTCTGTATACCTTCACTGTTCGACTCCATTCGGCTGGCTGTGTTAACCGTGTCACCAAATCTGCAACCGTTGAATAGTTTTTAAACTACGGATATCGCCGAAGGTTTGTCCGTAGTTTCTGATCCCGATACTCACATGCAATAACGGGGCATCTTCAAACCAACAACGCCAGCTGCACACGGTCCTAAAGTCAGAGTAAACAACAATGATATTATTGTTGATATACCGGCAAAGTACGTAGTGCTCTGTACCGGTATGCAGGCCAATGCGCAACTGCAGATGATCAGTGGGACGATGACGGATGTGGAAACGCCGCATCGCTTTGATGGTCTTTAGGGACATGCGTGCCAGTTCGTATGCATGACGACTACCGTTGCGCTGGGGTAGTCCACTGGCAACCTGTTATTACACCGCACATTTTCACCAGACTACTATTAGTATGTATTTCTGCCCTGTTGACATACCGCAGCGGTAGGATGATATCGATAATCTTATAGAAATAGATTTGTTACACGTGCCGTATCACAGCGCCAAAAGCAGGCAAAACACGTCGATGATTGCGTCGAAACATTATGGACTTACTAAATATGAATCGCCAATCGTTTCCACTTTATACGCATCGAATCCTTCGATAATACTGTCCAGTAACGCTGAAGAAACTTCGTTTAACCTGCGCACGACCTAACCGAACCTGGTATTAAGAAAACAAAGCTTACTGTAAAGATCGTTTAAAAGGTCAACGACTTGCAACGGGGTACTGGATGAAGACAGTTCCGTGAATCCAACAATATCGCTATAAAACATATATGCACATTAAACAGTTATTAAGCTGAAAACGGATTCTCATAAAGGCGCCATAATACGTTTTCCTAACGCATTAAATGATACTTAGCATAAACGCTTAAACAATTTCAAAAAGTAATCAATTATAACATAAGGTGCGAACGTACATACCTGAAATAAATGGTTACATGTTCAAAAGTTTCCGGTTCGATGTAGTCTCCTCGTTTCAGTTTCTCTGCGATCGGCCTAAAACAGTTTTCAGCGACTTTACCTTCTGGTACACGGAATCGAAACCGCGGTTATACTGTACTTTGGTAGCATCTGGTTCAGCAGCTCTTCCGACTTGCGCTTCTCCTCCATGAAGGCCTGCGTACGCTCGACCACCAGGGCTTCCGAGTCCGCGGCGTACTTCTCCATGCGTTTAATCAGGTTGTCCATCAGGTTGCCGGAACGGGATTTCATTAGCGGTCGCAAGCGCTGTTTAATCAGCTCAAACGACGGACGCTCATCGGGGTACTCGGTCCAGCTGTCGGTCATGGTGTGGTAGAATTCCGGATCACAAATCGTCGGGTCGAAGCGCGGACGGAAGGGCGGGTTGCTGCCCTTGCGAACTTCACGAATAATCGCTAAAGCCCAAATAGTCGCTAAAGTGTCATTAATGAAGTTTGCCGCTCATCTAGCACATGCTCAAATAAATTATTTTAACATGCTTCGAACGAGTTTACAGGAATTAATTTTTGCGCTTACAGCTTTGAGCCTTCGCATTTATTTTTCTTTCTTTAGCGGTTCTTGTATTTATTCATAAAATTCACCAAGTTTGGTTAGTAAAATTCTTTATGGAAAGATAAAGCGGGCTGTTGCGCCTTCCGTAAAAGGTCAAGCAGTTATATGAATGAATCGTTACCGCACGTCTGTCTAAAAAAAAGTTGCTGTCGAAATACAAATACATTATTTTTTGCTAGAATAGTTACACTATACTCTGTATTTTTTAATTCAAATAGTTCAGGTAAAACGCTGCACTGCTTTTCAAAAAAATAAAGTTTAAACCTTAGCGACCCAACTTAAAGGTGTTTTCTATTTTTTTATCCAACGCATATAATGATGAGTCTGTTTGATTTTGAATAGCTACCCTAGAGAATCCTTACTGCGTATATCAACGTTCATATCTTCATACGGCTCCGTGCGCAGTGCAATCTCCTGCAGCATAATGGCGAAGCTGTACACATCGCCCTTCTGACTGCCGCCGATGGGCATCGGCTCCCGCAGATGCTCCGGCGCCACCCACAACATGGGCCGCAGCTGCCGCTCTTCGGCCTCCGGGTCCAGGAAGGCCAGATACTTGGGTCGTAGCTGCCACAATCCGACATCGGAAATCTTCACCACCAACCGTCCGTCGATTAGACAGTTGTGGCTGGTCAATCTCCCATGGGATTTAAACGGTGATGAGTGTAGGTAACTCATGCCCTTTAAACATAACATCACTTCATTAGGTAAGTGGCTCCGTTCCCGTGTAATTGGTCTTAATAAAGGCCACCTCCAGAATGTCGTTAATCAAGGAATACTTGAATGTCCAATCCAGATTAAATGATTCCCGATCCAGGAGGTCACGGAGACTGCCTTTGGGGCAATAATCTCTAATAGTCGACCATTAACATGTTTACCGTGAAAACTAATCGGTTTGTTAAGGAAACGTTTTACGTAATTATGCTCTCGTTGCCGGCGTCCACGCACAAGCCCACAAAGCGATTAATGTGATCGTGGATTAAATTGCGCAGCTGCAATATGAGATTTTGACAAAGAGTAACCGGAATATTTGTCCCACCTAGTCAATGATAATTAGCAAGTGCCTTACGTTGCGCAGTTCCAAATACAGACTGCGGTTGAAATAAATCACGGTGCCGATGCGCTTGATGGCCACCGGTGATTCCTTGTAGATTCCGGTTTCGATGAAAATGGGGATGTGCGAAGAATTGTTGCTGGATAACGTTTTACCGGATATCAGACCGGTACGCGATTGTATTACAACGGAACGCTTGGAATCGTTTTCGCCCAGCTTTGAGCCTTTGCTCTGAAAAAATACACTTTCGTATACGACAGCATACGTACATCGCAATGGTCAATAAAACCTGCAGTTTTGGAGATTATGCATGAGTTGGGACAAAACTTAACACGTGTATGGTAAATCTGTACATACGTAATGGTTTAGCAAATGTGGCATAGCTCAACAGTATTCTATGGAGATCAAGCAATTTTGTATGCGTATCTCGTAATATTCAGATCAGTCTTAACATTAAGTAGGGCAACAAGAGATTACTCACTTTATGTAGACTAGCGCTGAATGTGGAACTAGCCGCTCGTTTAACACCTGTAACGAGCATAAGACGGCGATTTCGTCAAATTTGTAAAGCGCTGGACGGCAGGTGCTTACTTGTAATATCGGCCCATGGTATTCTCCAGTATTCCTCATTAAGGCTTCTCTCATCGCGCCACCGCCTGCAGTAAACAGATATTTGCAGACGTAACCGCTCCTAAAGTATAGCCGGATTTTAGCCAGCGTATATATGTACTTATAAAGCCAGAAACCCAGTCCACCCAGCAGCAATCCGCCCCCGCAGACGGCAATGGCGATAGTGGCGCCAAGTGGGAAACCAGCACCTGCAAGATTCATCAGCCACATTAATATGTACAGTATGTGCAGCAAAATAGCGGCAAGGAGAATGCTTACTCTCGTCTGCACACAGCCCGCTCTTCCCGTCGTATCCACACGGCGGCGTGTTGGGCGGCGGACCTTTACGATCGGCCCAGACGATGTCACGGAGACGAACAAGTTTCTTGGTCGCCGCGATGAATTCGATTGCCGGCTATAACAGAAAATCTGAGCGCAAGGACCGCTTGACATGATATTAGCGACGAGGAGTCTTACCACAAACTCCGAGGTAACTGGATCGAAGTTCAGCAAGTAGAAGTCAAAGATCCGGTCACCAATCTCGTTGAGGACAATCTCGGTTCCGACACCCTGGAAAGCGCGGCCCCACATCTTGCGGGTCAGGGCCAGGCCGTCAGACGGGTCTTTGCCTTCGTGTAGTGTTTCATTTAGAACCTAATCAAATTTTCCGTTTATCAAAAAGTCACAAACCAAAAAATTCCCTAATGGTATTCTCGAAAGAGCTGTCTGGTTATGGAGTACGTACAATTCCGTACAGCCGGCACGCATCGAAGAATCCCATAACGGCATGCGGAACCTAGACGGCACAAAAACCACAACGTCAGCCTTTTTCACATGTTCGACACTGGCCGACGGGAAGGGTACTAAAGAAGCGGCACGATCGTCCACCTTGTCCGCAGCCGGATATGTAAAGTTGTACTTGCGAGCCGACAGCTCCTTCAACCGCTCCATATACTTCAGATATTCGGGATTATCCGGCATTTTTAGCATGACCACGAAGAGACTCTGAAAGGCCTTCTGCACGTCCTACAATACAGGGCCATAGCCATAATTTAAACCTGATCTCACCAACATTTAATGATTTTGTAACACTGTCTCCATTTTGGGTTCTTCTGGCAGTTGAAGTGAGGATGTCGTACCTTGTTGTTCTATAAATTAGAGTCAGTTGTATGGTGACATATTTCATGTTTTTAAAAAAATTAGAAAACGTACAGCGAAGTGCAGTACTCGTACGTGGCAAACTGGGTTAAACATGGTATAGAACGACGCGTGGTAAAAAGGTCAACGTCATTGCGTAAAACAGTTCTTGTCTGCATTGTTTAATTTGCTCAGCCGTATTTTTACATATTTTTTAAAAAGAATATGTTCAGTGTTGGTTTTTCTTCTGGGATTACTTTTAATGTATTGGAATCGCCTCCGTCTTTATGGAAGTTCTCCAGCCGTGCCGCATCATACTCCCGCTGGCTGGCCGTACTGGTAGTGGCCTTAAAGGTCAATGAGCCGGTTTGGCCGCTGATGTAGAATAAATCCATCGTAATGTACAACTGTCCGCATAAACAGAGCACATCAATAATTAAAGCACAGTATTTTAAGGCAAATGAACTTACATAATCTCCACTTGTCATTCCCATATCCGATGCGGTCAACTGTAACGGTTTTAAATTGAATCGACGACATCCGGAAATCAGCTGTGTGTGTTTCAATAGTGTTTTACCATCATATCGCGGGTGATATTGCACATGGCGGCAATAATAATCACTGCAACCGAATTCGTTCCTACTTTGGATGCGATCAATGTACAAACAAAACACGCACACACGAACGGATGTCTTTGACGGTAATATAATTAACGTAATCGTTTGTTCTGTTGTAAATACAATCTTAATCAGAATAAACTAACCTCTGGCTACCGCTCGTGCTCGCCCCAATATGGCCCGGCAATCACTCTTGGAGTTAATGGAATTCATGGGGAACATACGCGATCCCAGATCAATATTCCCACCCGTATCCTGCAGGAGCTTTTCGAAACCTTTACCAAATGCGGATGATGCGCTATCGTTATCGTAAATCTATGGAAGAAAAACGTGTTTGTTACGATGTATTTATTTTTAATTAATTTTATTAATGAATTGCTTACGGTAGACTGTATTGATATAAATATATTGTTCATGTGTTCAGATGCTCCAGATAAAGTACTGCGTCGTTTTTTAATTTTAACACTTACTACAGCGATGTTGGTGTAGTGGAATAAATTCAGGATCTGCACGATAAATAATCCAACGGCATTTTGGGTAAAACCCAGCCGCACGAGCAGTTTGCTGGCCACCTTCTGGTCCGCTGAAATACCGCCGGCTTCCGTGCTGATGACCGGTATATTCCACCGACCGACCAGACCGCGAATCTGCTCCACCGACGCGGTACACGCGGGTCCCATCAACACCGAGCAGCCGGCCAGACTGCGCTGCATGTGCAGCTCGACGGCCGCCGGTGACATCATTAAATATCTGCGGGTTATCCAGAGTCACACGCGATATTCAAATTAAGGCTTATAGTTCTTCGAAATGTCTGCACAAACATGTGTGTAACCTTTAGTGCAGCACGAATCCACAAGAACTTATTAGCTACAATGATCAAAGTTCTGCAGCTTAAAAAATGTTGCATAAAAAGCGAGGTATACAAAATGCGAAGGTGTGTATCTGATATAAGTTATATAACCCTTCAAATTTTGTAGCGAAACCTCAAAATTAATGACACCGAGTTTGTATTTTTTTGCTACCTGTAAGACTGTAAGAGTATGAATTTAGCCAGTAATTGTTGTTAGACCCAGCGATGATCGGCTGAATCACTGAATCGTTATTGTTGCCTGCTCAGCAGAGTAAGCTTTGAGATTGATGTTCGTATGAAAATAATAATCATTAACCGGCCATATGTAGGCAAAAACTAAAAATCTTTTCCTACCACTGTGACTCACTGACTCTGATAGTAATCTACGGATTAAACAGCGTGGCTTACGTATCATCGTTGCATCCACCCGGCAACGCTGCCTTAATCCATTCGAAGCGGACATTCGTCGGAAAATCCGCTCGCAGCGTCTCCAGACCCAGCTCAATAGCCGGGTCAATGACAGCATCCTTATCTTCCCACAGCTGACAAAACGTTATCACCGTGTCATTGCCGTAGTTGACCAGGACATCTTGGCGCTGACAGTACTGCTGGCACTGTAGCGACGCGTTGGTACTGGCTACCAGCAGTAAACCGAGAAATCCGTTGACGATCATAAACCCCACCGAAGCCATGATCCAACTGAAATAATGAAGCGTATACATTTACTTATATTTACCGGTTCCACACTGGCAGTGTGTTAACTATAAGGGGTTTTTGGAAAACGCTTGACCGGCTGCCATAGCCTAATGGTAATCGCAGACTGTATAGTTGATTTGCGAAGGGATGCCGGCAATTTTCCATCATTGACGATCCTACAAAGCACGATAATGCGTGCATGCAACAGCGGAATTTGATTCGATTAGGGGTTTGCGCAATCAACAAAATTAGTATTAATTTGTACCTTCGTTTTGGGTTTGCTTACTTGATTGGACCGAGCACCTAGCGCTTGGTAGTGACCGAAATGAGATTGAATCAATAGATTTGCATTCTGCCGCACACAAACGCGTTTAGGGCCGCTACTTTCCGGGTAGAACTGTCGGTTTATGAGGAAACAGGTACAAGTTCTCAGCTGCAAGAGGTCATGCTGCTTAAGATAGACCACTAACGTTGGCGGTTAGAAATTGAAATAATCCGTACATTTATTTTATGGTTACAAATTTACATAGATACAAAGTATTAAACCAAGCGCAAGCAGCTCGTGTGACGTTTTAAGTTGTTTATTTTAAGTTGTTGTGACGCAAGCAGCTCGTTTAAAGTTTTTTAACTGTGTATGGACGGCATATTCATTTTTTCTTGTGAACTTTCTTGTGAACTTTCTTATATCTTAGTTTTGCGAAAAGCTGTAGTTGTACTTTTGATCAGTTCCTTGTTGAAATACATGTGCCGTATGTATTATCCGTCTCGCCGTTGACTACTTCAAATCAGACCACTTTTCTGTATATTGGCAAATTTCCATAATTGCCCCCAAAAAACTGCCCCTTAAACAGCCCCCATTGGTCTCTTTTCTCCAGCACCGAAACGCCACTCCACCCCAGGCGAACTGCGACTATCTCGTTATCTTTTGTCTTTCCAGTGGCTTTTCCCGAGAAACCCCCAGCCATTTAATATTGGACAAAAGTATCGTGAATGACCGAAGCTTCTTTAAAACCATTATCAGTTTATCTGTCATGACAATCATATCTTTGCGAATTCCACTTTAAAACGGGGCTTTTGTCACATTCTGTTTTCACAAGAGAGCGAGTACTCGAGCAAAAACTTTCGTATTTCAACTTCCTTTATTGTTAGTTACGTAACGTTTACTTTCAAAATTATTGGAAATTCGCTTGCGCCGCTTATCTAACGATAACGTTCATTTATGGCTCATCATAGTCCATGGTCATGGTTCAAACCACATAAGCAAACGTGAGAGCAACCGTATCTGAACCGTCAGTGCTTTGTCGTGTTCGGTGAAAACGTAGCAAGCAAAGGTTATCATTCTTAACAATTAAAAAAGCTAAGATAACCTTCATTTTCACATTTCCGGTATTATAAAACTGGAATCTGGGAAATTTCTCTAAGACCAAACGTACATGGACAGCGTTTAGTGTTTACCACCATCCACCACAGGCTTACTCGTACACTAGCTATTACGGTGGTGCTTCTAAAATGACATTGTCTTTCATCTTCGTTTTGGGTATTCCTGCGGCAATTCATTCAGCTCAAGGGAATTTTATAGGTGATTTAATTGGACATGCCGCTAGCGAACACTGTTCCAATGGTAAAGACGTATCAGCGGATCTTCAGACATGCAATTCTGCAATAACGGATGTCACCGCCGACTTGAAACTACTACAAACAACCGGGAATGTCGAGGAACAACCTGGGATTTCGAATGAGAATTTTGCCACAGTCACCGACAAAATCTGTTCGTAAGTGTGACCTTTCGGTATTCTTCAAGATTTACCGTTACCGTTGATTTGACTATGTAACTGATGTCAGGAAAAATTTTGCCTCAGTAACAAAGGTTCAAAAAGCATGAAACTTATCAACTGAATAAATTATATTAACTTATTAACTACCTTAACCTAACTTACTTAATCAAGCATGCTAATTATTGCAGTGCGGTAAGTTCAGCGTTAATCTGCTTCGGGCATGCAGCTGAAAACTGTGGGATATGGCTGCAAACGTCTGTAAGCAGTGCCAGGCGGTTTATTCAGGCCTTCTGTAACGATCCGCAAAAGGGCACGCACATAAAAAATTTATTTCTCTGCCTTCCAAAGCTGCATCACAAGTTCATCGGTTTGGAATCGCATTTCCCAATTGCGAATCCGACAGCATTTACAAAGATACTCGTATTTTCCGGCATCTCTAAGCTAAAGTGCCAGTAAGTTTAATACTGCAATATTAAAAGGGTTTTGCGTTCAATATTGTTTGTTTAGATTAACCACAGAGCTGCAAGGTCATAGAAAATGGAGTGATCACTGAACAGTGTGGAGAAGAAGCTGCAGTGACTCTCAATTATATGTTAGATAGAGCCAACGAAGAATTCTCTCACAGATCTGTACTAGAAGGACGTGCAAAGCCACCTAAGCCAGGCAAGAAGCCTAAGCCGACTAAAAGACCAACACCAAGACCCGAGCAACCGTACCGAGAGCCGTATTTAAGAACCACCTTCAACGCATCCGAACCGACAACTACTCGTTCGCCGAATAACCGGAATTATTCGGCTACGATCACTGCACAATTCTGGATCCTACCGATAGCACTAATTTGTTTGGCCTTGTGGTGGTAGGAACTACAAACCACAATGCCTGCTGGATCGCCATCGTATATTGAGTCAGTGGCTGACATTTGCACAGTATCGGCATACACCGACATTGTACAAGACTTTGGATTTTATATATATATATATATAATAACAATAATTTATTGTTCTTGGGTACAAGATAATAAAAGCGACGTCGGCTTTTATGAACTATACAGAGTAGTTCGCGTCTTTTTCTGTTATCATGCTCTCTTTGTAGCCTCTTGTCGGGTTACATAACGACAGCCTGATGTCATAAAGCTGCATCTGAACTCTGAAGACAATTTGGTACGTCATGAGGGGCACGGTACCGTCGGTCGTATGTATAGAGTATGTGAATAGCACTCGTACAAATACGCATGTTAGCACTGAACGAAAACGTCATCGAGTGCAAGGTTTCTGTGCTGTATTGATGCTGCGCTGGGAGAACAACCTATGTCGTGTATTAAACGGCCTGGCTCTCTTGCTCGGATCTCGCAGCGCCGGCGCCGGCCCAACCCGGCACTATAGTTCTGGCTTCCTTTGAGAACCCTCGAGATATTCTGTCATCCTACTCTCTGCACACCTTTAGCCCGGTTTGGCAGTCGGCTGTAAGTCTGTAAAATGCCTCGTGTGGCCGCTGCATGTGCTTGAATAAGTCCCATCCACCGAAATGTTGGACATGGTGGACATGTTGGACCGAAATGTTGGACATAAAACGTTTCGTTAACCACAAATTCCCGCGCTTTCGCCTTACCGTCGGTCGCCACATCCGTTTCCCCGACAGATATTCGTGGTAAAAGGCTAAAAGCATCAACTAACCTGCCTGATTGTAATGGCTGCGTTTTAGCACTGGTTCGCGAACTCGGTATCGTCTGCCCTAGAGGAGTTAGTAGTCTCCCTACAGACTTACTTGATACTTGATAGTGTACTCCCGAGTCAACATTTCATTACGTTACGTAACCGGTAGCCAGCGTCAGTTCATAACTTCATATGGATAGTTGCAAATGCAAACGTGGCGTGCTCGATTGCAACTCGATATTTTACAATTAGCACTTATGTATCAAAGTCTCTTCCAACCGCAGTCAAAAGAATAGATTCTCATGAAGCATCATGGCCCAAAAGCTAATTTTTATTAACAATCCTAATAAGCCGGTAGCTATGAGGTCAGCAAAGCCCTCAATTTGGAACGGGATTCCATTGCGTATTTTACTACTAATCATGCATTTTGCTGGTCTGAACCCGACCGTATTTCTGGCTCCGGAAAGCTACAAAAGTCGCAGCCGGTTGGACAGATTTCGGCTGCTCATCTGGTACTGCTGCAGTTTCACATTATTCTGTACACTCTGCATCCACGGATCGTACGATGTGTATACCATGTTCTCCGTCTACCGACAACAACTGATTGACACCGATTTCTTTATGCTGACGTTCGCTGCACACCGGTTGTGCTTCAGCATCAAGTGCGCTTCCATGGTCGCCATCTTATCCTTAACCAATGGGAAATTGCACAAACTACTCCGAGAGTTCGAGCATATATCTCAAGCATTTTTTTCCTTAAACATGATTAACAGGTTTAGCTTGATAATTTGGACGGCGCTAGTATTTCTCGTAGCAATAACCGGCACGAAAGCCGTACTAATTCGGCAAGCATGGTTTCGGCTCTTAGCACAGTTTCAACGCACATCGAATTCCGAATTTCAGTTGAACGTGTTTGATCTCGGAACGGTATCTTTCAGTTTTGTAGCCACATTCTACACTGTGATGAGTGTTTATACGATAATCATTGAAATCATCCCGGTAATTATCTGCGTTGTCATGATACTCTGCCTGACCGAAGCTTTTCGGGTGGTGAATACGGAGTATAGAGCTATGGGTGACCTGAAGGTTTTTCGCCAAAAGTACTTGCGCCTGCAAAATACGGTACGCAAAGTCGACCGACATTTCTCTATTATATCACTGTCGATGTTTATCTGTGATGCTCTTGGGTGGATTGCATGTATCTCGTTATCGGTTCGCGTTAGAACGCTTTCGGATTCTGCGCAATTTGATCCGATCTCGGCGCTGGAGACGCCCTTTATTTACTTAATCGCAGTCACCAGTTTCGTGTTTGTTGTGAAAACGTTCTGCAGCATTCGCTTACATCGGGTGGTAAGAAAGAAGCCTGCATGACAAACTGGAATTGGTGTACTTTCGCTCGTCGTTGCAGGCCCAAGAAGCGGTTGACCTTTTACAAGTAATGCCGTCAACGATGCCGGACGAAATGAAGGTCTCGGTGCCTGAATACCTCAACAGTCTGCAGCATGATCCCGTTGCCCTATCAATAGGAGGCATGGTTCTGCTGACAAAGGACTTTCTAATAACGGTATACCTTATACCTCTGTTCATCTTTACCGCTGCTCGGTGTAACAGTTTCAGAGTTTCTTGTTTGTCGTTTATATAACAGGTGCTGGCACTGCTGATGACCTATAGCATCATCGTTTACCAGATCATGGTGGGTCGTGAAAATCAACTGCCATAGCCGTTTAGTTTTGCTGTTTTCGTTGAAGGCAAATCATTGTTGCATTGGGTTTCAGGATCAGAAGCGAGACTTTCAGAAGTTTCTGAAAAAGGATGACGAAAGCGTGATTGTTGGACGGATTGTCGAACGCATGCTTAATTACACTAACTGTGTGTCGAAGTCGAACACTGAACTGACTGACGCCATGCTTCAAAATAGTTATTGAATTTTTTTAATCGTTTGGCGGCTCGCTCAGTTTTTTTTGCGGTTCATGTCTTCTACTGCAAATACCATGCAGCAAACAGCGTTTTTACGGTTTTCGCTGTACAAATTAATCAAATCCACGAACCGTGAACTCGTCGTACAAAAAGACCAGTTATTTATTCAGAAATTCTAACTAGCGCGCCAATACAATTCAAACATACGCAGCTTCTAAACATTCATCGTCTCGACATTCTAACCAACAAAAAAGGCACATCCTATCGGAATGATTACAGAAAAAATACCCGCGGTACATGCCGACCATTATGCTACAGGCACCTGCGAATACCGGAATACGAATTGTACAACACACGATGAACGCAATACATTTGGCGCACTACTTCTTAGCCTGCTGCTGGCCGCCGCCGAAGTTGGCGTTGTTAGGATTCATCTGATTCGCATGGTTATCCATAGCCGCCTGCATCCCGGCACCCTGATATCCAGCGCTCTCACCTCCGCCACCGAAGTTCGCGTTGTTGGGATTCAGTTGATTGGCGCGGTTATCCAAACCCGCCTGCATCCCGGCGCCCCTGGAATCCGCCGCCGAAGATGGCGTTGTTCGGGTTCAACTGATTAGCGTGGTTGTTGAGATCGTCCTGCGTTCCGGCGCCCAGATATCCGGCGTCGTGGCCCGGTCCCGTGAGCGCATGGTTAGGGTTGCACTGATTGGTGCGGTTGGCTTCTCCGGCAGGATCCATTTCTATAAACCCGCAATTGACATTAGCAATTAACAAGACTCATAATTATTAGTGAGCATATGATGATCTGGAACAGCGAGCAACAAAAACCGATACCGTTAAAGTTAGTTAATCGCTGTAATCCCAAAAGAACGTTCCCGGAAAAATTATCCGTAAAGCAGATGGCTAACGACAAATCAAAATGACAAGCAGAACAAAGATAGACAAAAAAAATTAAGCAGCACTGAATTACCACATAAAAAATTCTGTCTGGTTCCCTTTACGAGTTACCTGTGGCTGTGGTCCTAATAATCCGACAGACACCCAACAAAGTACGAAGACAAACTGATGAAAGTTGCAAAAGAAGTTAAAAAACGAAAGCAGAATTACAAGGTTGCACTAACTTCCGTTCTGGAAAAAAACAAATTTTACAGATGCAGAACTGCAGAAGCTGCCGTTTACCTATATGGCCAGGCCAGAGGCAAAACCCACAGTGGCGATGTGGGCGGCCACAAGCTGTGCAGCGCGCTGATTGGTGTACAGAGTACGCGCGATACCTTGCGATGAGCGCCGCGGAATTATCCCAGGCACAACGCAAGAAAGAAGAATGCCGAATGGCACCGCTTTACAGTTTAAACTTTAAAGCGATCACCGTGGGCAGTGGCGTAACGAGCCTAATATTTTGGGGGCCATGGCCCACCCCAAACGAAAAGTTATAGCATAGAGTCTATGGGAACGGCCTACCCCAAAGCCAGTACTTGTGGCCCACCCCAAACCTTTGAGCTCGTTACGCCGCTGACCGTGGGTCATCCATGACTTTATGCGGCGTGCCTTATCTTGATTTCCGCTTGTTAAGAAATCTGGACAGCATTCAATTTCACGCCATCTCGATGCTCTTGCCAGCACAGATAGGAAAATTAGGAATCATAGGACGTGTTCGCGCAGTAGAAGTACGGTCTGTTTACCAGTTTACGGATACCAGCACGCATAACAACTGACAAGTGACAGCCATTAATCAGAAACCAATGGAGTGATTGGTTTAAGCCCTCGCCCTCTATCCCACCGGACGCAAACTACGCACTACGGACTTAACTAGTGCTAACAAGAACCACTTTGGTACATTGCGCATTGTCAAGATATTGAGATTTTTCACTTCGCGAATGCATAAAAATGTACGGCAAATATATTTCTTTTATATTCAACTGATGGCGTACTAGGTGTTTAATATAAAGGTTTCGTAAAATGTTCGCCATAACTTTGCTCCTACTTGACTACAACGCCTCAGATTGTCTGCTACTGGGTTGGTTTGGCTCAAGCCATGTTTACCCAGTAAGCGCTATGGCCAAGTTCGCTGTTAATTGCCGCACTTTAGCCACGCCCGACCCTTTAGCCCCGCCCCAACGCGTTAAACCAATTACTCCATTCCTGGATAAGAACGGCTAGATTCCAATTTCCCAAAAGTGACGGAACTCTTTTTGACTGAACCGCTTGCGCAGCATCACCGCATTCAAGTTGCAGCAACTTGCAACTGTTCCAGCATGTAATAAATTAAAGTCGACAGGAGTGAACAGAGAATGCAAAATTTAAATGATTAAATCATGTCGGAAGCTGTTTTGAACTTTTGGTCATACTTTCTTTCAGATGATTTTATCTGTTGGCTTCGTCGATGCAATAATTTCTCGTCAAGCCGAGATGCTTGACTTACGAAATTTTCAATAGGCAGCGTTCAAATATTACGTAACGCAATTTTTTCGTTTTTTTCACCACCCCCTACCCCTTGTAACAACGCGTAACAAATTTTTGTACCCTACAGCCGTACGTAACGGGTTCTGTACCCCCACCCCATAATTCGAAAAATTTTCCTAAAATTTTAAAAGAAAAATCACGAACAGTAGCTTTGCATGAGTTCATCGTCATTTGAGTAGTCATCGTCATTTCACTTTAAATACAGTTCAGTGGGCAAGATACTCATAAGAAAATATTGCTAACATATCGGGGAACGTGGGAAGAATACACTTGGTAAATTTTTTTTGCGTGTTTTGTACGCTCCAGAAGTAATAAGATAAACATTTCAGCTTTATCTTTAGTGGTGCCCAAATGTAACGTAACATGCTCGTCACCCACCCCCTACCTATGTAACAAAGCCGTAACGCTTCGGCCAGACCACCCCCCCAACCATGGCCGTTACGTAATATTTGAACGCTGCCATACTGTAATTTAATCGAAAGATTTTCTTTGGACGACCTTCCGGTTTAGGCGCGATTCAAGTATTACGTAACGGCTGAGGGGTGGGGGGTGGGTCCGGCTGGCGTTACTCGCCCATAAGTAATACATGGATAAAGGTCACAAAAGGGTGGGGGGGTGGTCGAAAAAGTTCAAAATTTCCGTTACGTAATACTTGAATCGCGCCTTACGGTTTCCGGTGTCTCTCAGTTCTAACTTCTCACTCTGTTCGGTGCTCTGTGCATGGTGCACCCGCATTTACCGGCAGCCACGTTACTGGCGCCGTATCGCTCATTAATTTGCGCACCGCTTTGTCTCGCTGGCCAATCAGCATTGCTGCTGGCTGTAGTTGGGCGTGCTCAGCGCTTGCCAGCAGTTTCAATACTGCGCGACTCAGCTGCTGTGTTTTGACTGCGTTTTGACGATGAGTTTTGACTTTTGACTCCAGTTTTGAGACTTCTTTCAGTCTTTCACTTTTTAAATCCTTTTGTAAAATTATACGTACGTAAATTTCATGGTTCGGTATTGGTCACCCTGTTTTTCTGTTGACCTACGGTTTAGGCTTGATAAAGCTGTGAGCGGAATATGAGATCGTAAGTGATCATTCCTTTGGGCAATTCTGTCGCTGGAAGTTGCGGAGAATGCCTCCACCGTTGCCGCGTCCGCGTTATCTGCGAGATTACAGCGTCCAGTCCCGTGACGTCCCTATCTACGGGCGCTACATCATCCTTCCAGCGCGTCTCCACGCCGACGAAGACGCCCGCCGCCTGGCGCAGGCCTTCGTCGAGCGCCTCATTGATCGCGACGGCGTGCGCGATGATCCCCTGGAGCCACATTCCGCGTGTGCGCCCTTCTCCTGTTTGGAGCTGTACGATCTGCACGGGGGGATGCGCGACGTGATCTGGTGCATCATGCTCAGTTTCGCCAGTGCCAACTACGCTGCGACCGTCGTTCGCAGTGGCGGAGATGGGCAGTGCGCTTCGACGCACCAGGAGCAGGCCGCCAAGAACCCGCGACGCAAACGGCAGTTTATCCATGCCTCGTCGAGTCCGGACAGCGCGCGTGCCTTTCTCGAGGCGCTGCAGACCGTGCGACGGGAGCTGGAGGTGCCCGCATGGAAGAATGTGAAGGTGGCAGCGCTCCTCGAACCCGGGAATCTCTGCATCAACAACCAGGTGAGAAACAGTCAACCGTGAATATTAGGCAGAACACTAACAGTTAATAAAATGATGATTATAATATGTGTTATCGAGTAATTCATGATTAAACCTTTAGCTATTTAATAGCTTTTTATTTTTATCGCATTGTTTTGGATTTGTTGCTGTTTTGTTTCGGGGCTCGGGCACTGGAGCGTCGTCATAAAAATGGTTAAATCGTACTGTAGTAATTTATCAGTTTTGCATTTTTCGTTTTGATTGTGGGTTTTAATTCGAAACTTTCGTGTGAATTTTTTCGTCGTTGCTTTAAAAGATCTGCTTTGATCGTGATTTTTGGAGATTGGTTTTTCGCGCTTTGGAATTTTCCTGAATGTTTCTATCCAGTTTTCTCTCTGAAAATTTTCAGTGCACTTTATATTAGTTTTGCTCTGTCGACTGTCCTTATATTTGATTAATCCAGAATTTTCTTATTTATCATTCAGGAAAATTTGCAGTAGATAAACAGCAGTATAACAAAATCCTGATTAGAAAAAAGAAGTTGTTTGTTGATCCGGTCTATCCAACGCATTTCTCTAGAAATTGACAACATTAATATTTAAAAGGCACTAGGCAATACTCATCAGAATAACAAAAAATGCAAACGCAGGTACTTCGGTGTTGAAATTCGAACATTAAAAAAATAAACAAACATAGTAGTTATTTGCGCATTTTCTTTGATCGTATTTTCAGATTTTACGAACTTTTCCTGGCTCCATCCCCGAGCGCAGCTTATCCTGCCGCTCCCTGCTGACCACGGCCTCCTGCCGCTTCAAGGACGCTCTGGACAGCTCGCCTCTCACCACCCCACCCTCACCCCCCGACGACATCGAGGAGCTGATCAACCATTCCCGCTCGGCCTCCCGCTGCCCCTACTACGCCCTCAACGCCCACACCCCCGACGCCGACATCGTCTTCACCACGTACGCCGCCCTGACGGAGATCGTGGGGGAGATGCGGTTGCCCGGGGAGACTCTGCCGTTGGGACCGCACACGGTCCTGCTGTGCGATGATGCCTTCGCGATGGACAAGGCGCTGTCGACGGCGTACAAATGGACGCTGTTGCCGCGCGGTCTACGGCTGGTGGGGGATTATGTGCGGGAGCGGGAGGCGTTGCGCTATGCGGCGGAGGCGACGCCGGGGATCAAGCAGTACGAACGGGCGCCGGAGCAGATGCAGCACTTTGCCCGGTTCATTGAGGCGGTACGTAGCGCTGATTTACTGCCCCCGATCAAGGTCGTTGTAAATGTTTAACTAGCTACCTGCGTTTGGATTATTGGAGTTTTGCGTAATACTTTTTTTGCGCTTTTGATGCATTTAGAAAGTTTCTGCGGATTTTTTGTTTTCTAGATTTATTGCCTGTCGCGTTAAAAATAAGGCTGTGAGCTTTTAATCGGGATTTAGGACTTATCACTTTTAGAAAGTTATGAACTGCGGTTTTAAAGTAGAATTATGAGTGTTTTTGATCCTCATTCTAGTGATTACTCAGTAGTATTTTTGATCCTCCTCATTTTCTTAGTGTTTTTGATTCTCATTTTGTTGTTGATCCTCATGAAATTTTTAAATGCTTATAAATCAGTTGACTACCGTTTTAAAAAGTCAAGCCGTATTTTGGTGTCACTAGTCAGTAGTAGCTACTCGAATTTTTATAGCCGGTACAGTTCGTTTTTTCATTTTTAATTTACATTTTCGGTTTCCGTCGAGCCAGCTGCACTTCTGCATTTAATCGTAAATACTCTACGAGTAGTTTTAGATTACCTAGCTATGAGTGTGGAATCGATTTTTATTGACGAAACTTTTTGCAAATGGTTATTTGTTTTAGTTGTTTGCGCTTTATCCGTGCTATTGCTCACGAAAAAATAATTAACATGTCTTCGTTGCAGTGCATTGAGTTGGCCTGCAACACGGAGCCCATCGTCGCGCAGTTCGCCTACCTGTCCACCTTCATCCGTCGTTGTGGTCTGCGCCAGTTCACCCCCGGCACCCTGCACTCCCTGATCATGTCCACCGCCTACGACATGCTATTCGGTAACCTCCTGCGTCCGTTCATTATCCGTGCCGCCCTTCCTTCCCTAGCCCAACTGCTGCGCTTCGTCACCCTCCTGGACAGCCACGACATCTGGCGCTTCTTCTTGAACCCCAACCAGAAGCTCAATCCCTTCCGCGTCCTCTTCCGCCCTGATACCCAACGGTATCCGCTGTGCCGCTTCCCGGGCATTCAGCAGGGGGCGGGCGGGCATCGTCTGCGCAGCGTGGTGGATCCCGCCTTCCAGAATGGGCGGAATCAGTGGAAGGCGAAGAAGGAGGTCGCCCGGACGAGTGATCGGGAGTTGAGCCGGAAGATGGATTTGGTGGGGTTTTCGTGGGTGCCGGCGGCGGAGACACTGCACCGGTGGAAGGTCGGGCGCATGGTGGTGTACGGGACGATGACGCCGGTGTCCCTGGGGGCGCCGCTGATGCCTGTCTTCCGGTTGGTGAGACTGAAACATTACATGCACGGATCAATACACTAATTTGGTCTATTGCTGTTGTTCAGCTTGAATTTTTTGCCGATTGGCCGAAAATCGATACATACATAATAAATATATACATTCATGTACTGTATATAATTTTATTTATCTGATTTTTTTGTGCGTATCCCACCTGCTCACAATATTTATTTCTGTTTATTTCAACTAATCAATTAATTTTATTATTTCTTTCATTTATCTGAAACTAGGGAATCATGTCGTCAAATTTTTTTATGAATGCATCCAATTTAAGGAACTGTTACTGTAAGTGCTTTTTTGAATTTTGTGTTTGTTTTCCTTCCCTGTAGTTTTAAATTCTGAAGTTATAGCGGCGGCTTGGATTTAGTATCGGAACCTCTTGAAAGTATGTTGAATCACCAGTTTCAGTCCTTTGGCTGGGTTTAAAAAGGAATATGCGGGTACTACGCTAGCGAATTTTTACCATGAGTTAAACCGATCTGAATTAACTCTTCCATTCTGTTCGGTGCATTTTCCCTGTCATTTACAAATTTACGGTTGTTTTTATCTAATTTACGGTTGTTTTTTATTATTTGTATAAATTTCTTTTCTCATGGGGGCTGAAATTTTCAACTGCACTTCTTGCTGACAGACTGAAGCCGATGAGTCCCGATGATCCCACATTATGCTGTCGCTTCCTGGACCACGGCCCACCCCCGACCAGTCTCCTGCTGAAATGCGCCCAAGAGCAGCGCGACAACGTGGAGTACCGCCGCGTCCTGGGCACGATGATCAGCAACATCCTGACCGTCATCCCACAGCCCTACTGCGTGGCGGTTATCTTCCCCACCAGCGGCTTCTTGGAGGAGTGCATGGTGACGTGGAGTACGTCGCCGTGTGGGGAGGGGCGGTTTCTGCTGGAGCGTGGGGTCACGACGGTGCAGGCGGACTTTCAGCACTTCATCCGGGCGTGTGCTCGTCCGGATGGTCTGGAGCCAGGGAACGGTCGTGGTCATCGGCATGCGGCGGTGATGGAGGACTGCAAGCCGGTGGTGCTCGTGGCCCGCAGCAGCGCGGTAGATGGACTGCAGTTCCGCATTGGACAGAATCGACCGGTTTCAGTGGTGGTGGTTGTGGGGATGGCGTTTGCATATGCTGATGATCCCGCCGTCAAGGTATATACAGAAAGCCTGCCGAAAATTCGAAATAAAAATGTTCCGCAAATAATAAATCGGTTATGAATTATTTAAAGTTTAATTTTAATTTAAGGAAGTTAGTTACAGTTTTGAGCAGTTAACGCTTTTTAAAAATGAGGGCAAATTTAGAAATAAACAACGAAAAAAAATAGCAAATTTTGAAATAGACACCGAAAAAAAATTTGGATTTTTTACCGGCTAAGAAAAATTTCACAAAAATTATACTTTCCCGCTTCCAGTGACTTTTCCATGTTTTGTTGTTGTTTTCGCCAGCGTCGCGGTCATGATTAAGATGCATCTTCTGCCAGTTTGTTATATTCTGAATTTTGAAGCCATGCATGAAATTCAGTAATTTACTGATTTTAAATACAAGCTAAAAATCACTGGTGTCTTACAGAGTAAACAAGGTTTTTTCGACAACGTCTTCGGTAAAAAATGGGGCAAGGGGAAGAGCTACTACTTCCAGGAGGCCGTCTACCAGACCCTCCGTCCCTTCCTGGCCGCCAGCGGATGCACCGCCTCGCCCCTCGCCGGCGTGACACCCCACCGGCTCCTCCTCCTTCTAGACACGCGTCTCCGCCAGCAGAAATCATACCCATTGGCCGTGGACCGTAGTCTCAAACAGTCCACCGAGGACTACACCACCATCCTCCAGACGACCATCCCCGCCTTCCTCCGCGCGGCCCTGCATCGCGCCCCCCTCCCGACCATCCTCCAGACCACCCTCCCCGCCCGGCTGGCCGTGGATCCCCGTCTGAACCGGTATCTGCGCACCCGGTATCCCGTGAACTGGTGTGGGAAGAGGGCCTGGTGCGGCACGACGCTGGAGAAGGCGGCGTGGTGGCGCGGCGTCCTGGAGGGGATGGAGCGGGCGGTGGCGGTGTATGAGGGTGATGGGGATGTGGAAGCAGTGGCGCGGTCGATCCTGGAGGCCCTGGAGATGGAACCACGGGAATTGCATTTGCTGCGGGTGCGGAGTGAGTGTCTGCCGTGGTTGGCGGGGATCGTGCGGTTTATCTTGGATCCGGCCAAACAGGACGAGTGGGCGCGGGCGCTTAACGCGTGGAAGGCGGCCATGGAAGCGAAAGCTAGAGCGTAGGTGCCTCGTAACGTGTACAAATGGAAAGTTTTTGAAGAAATTAGTTTATTGTTGTGTAAGTTGAATCCAGTCATTCCAGTGTAAGAAATAATTAATAAGCGTTTTATTCGATATATTGCACGATAAAAAAGGAATAAAGAATCCTGGTAAGTCACTTAAAATAGCTGGGAGGTGATTACAATGTGTAAGTCCAAGGTGGAACTTAACGCAAGGAACAGCGTAAAGCGGTAAAATAGAAAGAAATAGAATTATACTAGATTAAAACATATGATCTTTTTATTAGTTAGCCCATAGAAAAATTTCCTGGCAATCTGGTTACGCGTGGCATAACATCGGTGCATGTTGTGTATTTTTAGATTGCCTGCGCCAGCGGCCACCTGTGGCGATATGCGCGTGTAGTAGTGGCAGACTGGCAGGTGTACCGACACGGGCTGCGATTCGTAGTGACTCGTTGGACGCTGATTCAGTAGCGCGCAGCTGATCCTCGCTTCCTCCACCGTCTGGATCTCGCGTTGATGCATACGGTTCTTGAGTGATATTGTAGCGGATGTTGTGTGATCGGTTGTTCTCGGTTGCTGTTTTCATTGTTTTGACCGGTTTGCCATGAGCGCAGCATGCTGTACTGCACTACGGATTCGGTAATTCACGTTCTAATCTCACTTCTGGCTGACGGTTCTGTCTGTTTTACCTGTACGCCTCACAAAATAGTAAACTGAGTTGGTGATCCTGCATCTTCCTGACTGTGGCATCTGGTTTTGCATTTCGTTGCATGCATGTATTTTCGATTAACTATCGCGTAATTGCAACCTTACTCTAACTAGATTGTCACAACCTTCGTCGACTTGCTGCAATTCCGATTGCGGCTTCGCTGCTGCGGACTTAGCTTTTTTTTCAACAAAATTTTCTATGTTTGATATAAGTTTTTTTCGAATCTCGCCACTTATCGGTACGAGCTTTAGAATGTTTTAATTTATCCACGAAATTCTGCTAGAATGAATTTCTTAAATTAATACTAGTACTGCTGATTCGAATTTCTGCTGTTTTGTGTGCTGAACCGCGATTGCACTGCAAGTATATTCATTCGGACCATTAAACGGCGAAATTTTTGTTAAAACTTACTTTTTACTAAGTTGTTTGACAAAATAGAAGATGAAGTAGAGAGCTAACAAAATGCTGCTAACTAAATATGTTTTTGGCCGTACGCATAGGGTATAGACCAATGGTAAAACGGCCAATGTCAAAACGCCGGCGGAAATTTTGTGTGGTCAAAATGCCAGCGGAATTTCTTGCACGTGCATTTTTTTACGGAAAACATAAATCGATAAAAAACCGATTTATTATTAAAGCGATTACAAGTACAAACACGAAATACAAAAAGCACTTACGAGCTTAACACACTATGAACTCGGTATTCGTCTCTAAACAAAACTATACTACTGTTAGTTCTCAACCACGCTTCAGCGTTCGGCAGACAAACAGTCAACAATAACAAACAAGAACGAAAGTTAAAACAAGCTGCAGAATTGTACGAGCATCGACTGCGCAGTGGAATACCAGTCAGCTAAACATAATAATTATTCCCGTACAATCAAATGTACATCAATGTACGCATAGTCCTTTACTGTAGTGGTTGAAACGTTGGGTATTTTCGGCACAGCTTTAAAGCGAACCGAACTGGTAAATTTCATGGGCCTATTTTATTATTAGACTTTTGATATTATAAGTGGTTGTTACTTACAGTATTGTTGTTACTTACTTGTTGTTACTTATTGTTGATTTTATTTGCAGCAGTAGCACAACACCAGATAAAGCGGACCAGAGTACACGATACACACTAGTCCCAGCCTATCGTAAATATATCGTTCAGCACTGTTCGATAAGCCGCCATGTAATGTTTGAAAGTGTCTGGATATGTACCAAGAGAACAGCTATAGAGTCTGTTATCCCAATTGTACTTGGCGAACTTCCCGACATCCAGACAATACGGCTTGAGAACGCTGTTGACAGCCTTATCTATGGAATCTTTTTCAGACTTGTTGAGTTGGTAGGGTCTAATTCTCGTATAGACGTAAATATGGGTGCTGGCACAATTACCCGATGTGCGGTTGTGTCGGGCGCACCAGAAAAATATGATGTACGTCTTGTAATCAACTGACCAGACAACGGAGCGATCATATCCTAGAAAGAGAAATAGGGCGATTTACACGATGAAACTTTGTTTAATAAGCAGATAGGTAGATTCAATTATAATGTTACTTACGAACTGTTATTATGCGTAAGCTCAAATACAGACTGCTAAAAGTAAGCTATTCGTACCGTCGCGAACGAACTCCTTTTTGTCGGTATATTCCACGTATGGTCCAAACTGCTGAAGGTCGTTGGTAAAGTGCGCTACTTCCAGCACGAAAGAACAGGAGCTGTTGCGGTTATTTGTAGCGTATTTGACCTTTTCGATATAAATTACTGTCGCCGGCTTGGGTTGTTTTGGATCAATTGGATCAACAGTGTAGCCTCCTTGCATATAGTAATAATGTTCTGCATTCCATTCGGAAGCGTTGTGATGGGTGCGATTGTCGGTATTATACGCCAGGTATCCGAACCATTGAGTGTCTACAAGCTATACATGCAAAAGAAATTATGGAACATGGTCCGAACTCCGAAGTGAAAGCCGCATATACAAAAGCTGAAACAGTTAAACTACAGAGTACAAACTCGAGTCAGAATCAAAACCAAATTAGCGGGATACCTTTCAAAATGAAAAAATTAATAGGATTTGACGATTTTAAAATCCGTTGTACAATTTCGGAAATATGATGTGAACATAATTATTATGTATTTCAGAATGTTCTACAAGTACTGGAGCTGATCGGTGAGTGCCCGAAAAGGCTCTTAAGAGAAAGCCCGCGCTTTCCTGTTATCTGTTTCATGGCTTGCAAAATTTGCAGGAGTTATAACATTTAATTTAGTAGGTAAATGTATAAAACTATGTATTTCCATGTAAAGCAACACGGAGAAATGTATATGGTGAGTGTTCGGTTAATTCGCTGGTTCGTGCAGTGAAAATGTTCGTTTCACTGTCAAAATTTGGCAATGTCGAAGTTAGAGCCCCCAAACAGTAACAAATTTTTGTACGGCTACGTACGGTTACGGCAGAAATAACTGGATTGACCGTACGGTATACCGTATACGGCAGTACCGTATACGGCAAGCCCATTGTAAAACCGTGTTTTTGGCTTACGGTTACGTACGGCACTTTCGTTACAGTACCAATTTTCACTACGGTTACGTACTGTTGTGCCGTACAGTATGCCGTATACGGCAGTACAGTATACTGTTTGGGGGCTCTAGTCGAAGTACAATATCACTCTAATAATAGTAAATCACCGCACATTGACTTGAAGATAGGGCAGCTAGTAGAAATCCTTGGAAAAATATTTTTATGGGTAATTTTCCAGTGGGCGTTGCTAAATGATAATATTTTTAAAATTTTCGTACCTTTAATAAGTAGCATGTCATAAGTACAATGTCATACAAACGTAGTACTAGAAACATTTATGACAGAAACACTTCCTCAATGCTATCCTGATCGGGAATTGTACCAGTTAAACAGATCGCATTCCCCCGTTGTATCTGTATAGAGAGTCGCTGTCTAAAAAACTCCGTCTAAAAAATGATAATATGGATGCTAAGATGACATTATCCCAGCTTAGCTATCGAAATAGATAAATTAGCAACTACATTAGCTTAATAATTAAGGTTATGTACTGCACACGCATGTAAAGATTGTTACTCACTTATCTCTATTTTAATTACTTATCTAAATTTACTTAAAAAAGTTAATTATACAGGCATTTATTTAACGATTTACGTATGGATTGTACATTACATTCACGATACATACGTGTTTAAGATTGTACGTAGCGTTAGTGCGCGGAATGACATTGGGGATCGGCAAGCACTGGCCACTTCCGGTGCTGTTTCCAGGACTTGTAATATTAGTCGTACTTCCAGCTGCATTAGTCGTATGATAAATACTTGCGAGTAGAATGCCTGAAAGCCAACGACCATAGCACAGATAAAGTCCATGAATAATCCTTGCATAATCCTTGCACGGGTTTGTATTAGAGCTATGCACAATCTAAACGACACTTACCAACACAAACAAATCTGGTATGCCAGCGCCGCATTTTGTTTCCTTGCGGTTGCACTAAAGGTCAAACCACAAAAAGCAGATTTTGCAAGGTAAGATTAAACATACTAATACTAATGCACGTTTTAGGGAATTAGCTTGGCGCTATGCTGCTGCGATCGAAAAATAGAGGTGGTTGTTGATTATTCTATGTAGACGTAGTCGCTTTATATACGTAGCCTTACGTGCCGATATTTTACAAATGACATTGGATATTTATTCAAAAATTATTCGATTCACTCCCGCACAATCAGAGTACCTGTATTTTAAGTGGAGGTAAATCGCCGTTGGGATGTTTAGATCTAATTGTCCGTGCCTCAAGGTGAATTCAAGGAGCTTTTGCAAACAAAGGAACGACTGGAATAATTACGGTTAAACAGTCGCATTTGCTGGAATACCTATAATCGCGGGTTGAACGTAACTAGTACCTATGCCGGAATACAACGTATTGTTTCCTGTGACAGTTAGAGATTAATAGTTCATTGGTACATTGATCCCAGTTGGTGTCCACTTCGGCTAACTTCTTGCTCAAAATCCTTAGTCGCATATTTAACACTGAAGGATAAAATCTGCGAAACAGGTTTGCACTAGTTCGTTGCAGCGCTTTATATTTCAGTTGTTTGACAGATAAATATGTGCATAAATAAATGCATTAATACAACATATTCGCGTGTCATTCTCATGCTTGAAAACTGAAGTACGTCATCGTTTCCTTGATGGTTTTGCATCGAAATTAATTTTATTCAGTAAATACTGCACACTAGTACTCTAAAAAGCGCGCGCGTAGTAGTTCTTACAGTTGCTAGCTCGTTACAGCAAGATGAAAATGAATTAACCGGTTAGCACCGTCTCTACCCTACGAGTAGGAGTTTATAGAGCAAATTTATTTCTTGCCGCACAAGGAATGTGAGTGTGAGTGTGACGACGAATGACGCCACTGCTCCCATCAGCTTTCTTCCATCCTGATCCTGTGTTACATAGTACTGCCGGTATTCTCAGCTAATCTCCCTTGCTCTGCAATGACTGATGCATGCTTTTTCCTTATTAGACAACCTCCTCCGCTCCGTGGCCGAGATCCTCCAGATGTACGTACACCGAAGAGAGCACAAGCCAGGTCAGACCGGACGACGTCCAAGTGACCTTGGTCAGTATGGACACCGGGCGGGTCCAAGCTCTATCGCCGCAGAGCGGGATGACGCGGGTCACCGAGCTGCACGTGTCGACCATGGTCGTTGTGTGTCGATCCGGACCGGAAGCCCACTCTGAGCATGATGCCCATCCACCAGCTGCTAACGGCGTCAGCGCCAGATGCTAACAGCAGAATGTCCTGGATGCACGGCTGACGGCCTTTACCAAAGTGTGTCATTAGTTTCGGGAGCTGCCCTCGCTGAATCTGTTTCCAGTAGACCCTACTATGGCTCCACTGGCCGATGCACAGGCAACTGCGGATTAAACTGTTCTTTGCGTGGATCGCGGTCAATCCCAAGGCACACTCATCGTCCATGAATTCAATGCTGGCTGAGCGGGACGATTCGCTGGCAAATAAGAACGGGTAAATAATACAAAAGATTAAGTTCACCAAAGTTCCAGGCACTACTGTTATTTCTATGATCTGTCTTGGGCCACATATTATATCTGAGGCAGAGAAAACTTTAAACTGTCGACGATTGTCTCACGATACCACCTTGTAGTTCCGAATGTACTGTAGAAGGGGAAAAAAACAGTCATTCGAACCGCTTCCGAGCCTCCGGCTGGACTGGTGTCGGCAACCTGGCTGTGTGTGACGTTTTGGCTGAACATGGCGTTCATGTACCGCACCAGATGTACCTATTCTATATGAACTTTTTGTCTCCTTTTATTACGACTCATCATTACACGGCTTAGCGGCTATAACCGGACACTGCTGCTTTAAAACTGAATTAGGGAATAAAACCAAAACATCTAATACGATAAGTACTGTCTTTAACATTATCAAGCGGTTTAGGCGTGGCAAAGTGCTCAAAATGGCCGCCCCATTATCACGAACAATGGCAATGCTGAAGCGCTAGTTTCACAAATGAACCTTAATAACGCGCTTCTCCCCCTTTCTTGAAAACTGTACAATCTAAAAACGTGAAACGTTCCTTCGTCGACTCTCCAAATTAAACACCCCAAGACTTTCGCACACAACAGAACAGGAGGAGTACGGCGGCTGCAGGTCGAAATGGAAGTGATCCCGTTTTTGAGATTTGAACCATGCAAGGTGGTCACAGTTATAATTATGACCTCTCGGATTTAGAACATCGGTATCGCAACTACTGAACTCTATAGAGTGAGCTATAGGCTCGATAGGCTATCCGCTTCCCTGTTTCAGTTGGTTCTTTTTCCGCGACTCCTCTAACGACAGACTGGAGCGTTAAATTCGGCCCTGGTCAAAGACGTACGCCGTTCTTCAGTAAAAGTGCACTCATTCTGTCGCAAGTATAGATACTGTCTGTATATAGGGAAACTGCTGAATTGACACATCGGATAACACACTGCGAAGTGCAAAACCGACTTAAAACAATTTTAAAAATACAATAAATAAGTAAAAGTTTCAAACTCGATAAAAATTTTCTAAAAAATTGGATGAAAGTGGAGATTGGAAATATCTGTGGTCACGTTGTTAACAGTGAACAAATAAACCATGCAGTGGCGTGATGCGGAGACTTCAAACGTTTTTGGAAAGCAACTTGGTCTGGCAAAGCGCTATACAGCTTTCAGGAGGCCTCGACCACACCCGGCGTCTTTTTCTGTTGTACTACTTTCTCCTTTCCTCCCCTGGCTCTGCATCGCATCACCTCTCGGCCCTCCTGCAGGCCATATACACCCTACCTATCCGGCTGACCGCGGACTCCGGCTATTCTTACCGGTCAGGCCTTATTGCTAAATTTTCTTTGGTTTTTTGTTAGGTTTTCTACTTTCTATTTCATCTGGATTGGTATCTGCGCAGCTGCCCGATGCACCGATGCGGTCTCCGCGAATCCTATTGCATGACGTTGAAGATATGTAACTATTAGACGTCGTGGCGCGGCATTCTGGAGATGACGAACGGGTTGTGATGGTATATAAGAGCGATGTGGAAGTGAAGACCATATCGTTTTTTTTTATGTAATTTGAGCAACCAACGAAATTTCTCAGTGCAGCCGATCTCTTAACAAATCTTTTTGAATATTCATAGTAAACAGATGACCATTGCTATTTTGGCTCGTTACACTTAATGAACCTTTTTACTATGTTTCGTACGAGACTAACTATGCAATACAACTATAGGCTTCCGAATTTAAGCGGTCTATGCACTTTATCTTTTCTCTTTCCGCTGGAACCCCGGAAAATCACCGCGGTTTAAATCAAATGGACTTTAATGCCGCGATTATTATCTTGCACGATACTTACGATACATCTGCGCCGTCGCCGATGCTTTGAAGTTGCACAGATTGGGAATATCCCATAGCATTGCATGCAGGGTGTACTGAGTATCTGTAGTTAGTAGTACACTACTACTACGTACCCAACGGAGGCTGTAAGATCGACCAGCCAGACCGCGGAGGCTACTGCCGAACCTGCTCGGTTATGTTCCCACAGTTTCCACTTAATATTAACGATGCAATTTTGGGAAATTCGGTTTACTACCTTCGACACACATACAATCTATATAAAGTCTTCGCGATGGATGGTCTACGGCAGTTGTAGATAGTGATACAGTGATTGACTGTCGAAATATAATGTGTCGGTGTGCTTAAGGAATTGCCAAATTAATTACGCGTTCACGATGCTGTTATCCGTTTGCATACTCGGTGAGTTCCCGAGGCATGTCGGTATCCTGCTTCGATGTTTCTTGTACACTGGACTTCAGAATGATGTTTGCGCATATCCATCCATACGTATAGCGCAATCAGTAGTAGGTGGTTACATTTTAATAATTTTAAGAAGTCCACTGCACGCACTGGGCTTACACGTTCTGTAATTTATGGAATATACCGTTCTAAGTAGTTATGTATTTGCTTTTGAAAACTTTCCAATAATTTATTAATCTTATTTGCCAGGTTATCAGTTATTAACGGTTATCAGTTAGATTCGGTGAAGACGTCGCAATAAATAAGAAAACCGGTATTACATTACTTTTTGGTATACATATCGGTAACAACATAAAAACACATTTTTTACCCCTTCGCTCCGGACTGCAAAGGCACTCCGACGTGCATTTCGCTAGTTATTACTATGCATTACAAATTTAACTGTAAAGGGTACACTGTGCTATTCGAAAGTCAACATTCTGCAGCGATCTTTTGAAAGTTTTGAACTGCTTGCAGTATCGCCAGGAGTGCAATCGTGTTCGCTATCGCGGCACACTAGCGTAGCTGACGCGTTTATTAAACGCCTGTTAAACATCTTTGTATACTTTACATATGTACTGTATCGTACTTGCATGGGATGTAGAATTTCGTCTATGTTGTAGCCCATACCTACCTACTGCCCCTGCTTTAATTACTACTCGTATTGGCAAACTCTGGAATTGCTTCTCTTTAGATGTGCCAAAAATTAATTTTTACTATCACAACGCATTAAAGAAACCTCACAGGATGATGTTTTCTATTGCAATAGAAGTATATGAAGTTGATGTTAGTCAGTCTGTGCATGGCTTTCTGTGCAGGAATGGTGGCCGCTTCAGTTACCAGTGTGCCAGCCGAAACCAATCAAACCGCTCAGTCAGGGCACACCGACCACTCCCACGCCTGGTTAGGGAAATGGGAATCCACAAAAGAAGGAGAAGAGAATCTCGCTCAGCTGCTGGATCAAATTCGTAAGTACGGCGCGCGTATGGAAACTGCCGGTACTGCATGTCACCAACCGTCTGAGTTGACCTTTTCTCTATAAACAATAATAGGTGACGCTATTCCGCATTACACTGACAAAAAGGTCACACATGAATATATCGAGGAAGGCGAACAGTTCCTGCATAAAGTGAAGATTGTCGACGGTGGTCAGGAATATGAAGTGCGCTTCAAGCTCAACGAAGAGGCCACGTTCCATCTGGGAAACGAACCGGATATCAAGGTAATTTAGGAGATATTCTGAACGATGGCATAACAGTTTACAAATCCCAATATATAAAAAAGACCAACCAAACGAACGACTCAAAGAAAAAGTTCGTTTTAGTTTATCCCATTATAACGCAGCTATCTGTATTGGTGTTTCTGGTATCTATGTAAAGAGAGGATTCATAACACAATTACTTTCATTTAATCATAAACAGTGTGTATAGTGGTGCTTTTACAGTACGTGTACAAAGAAGAAGGACCAAATAAGCTCACTGTCCACATGAAGATTCCTTCGAAAAACAAAGAACTGAAGGAATGCTATAACGTTGAAGGAGATAAAATCGTTAAGGTATATTCACAGTTTGCCTACTCCATAATTAATAATAATAAATTTATGAGTATTGTACAAGTGAAACTGTATACCTGGGCGCGCAACAATCATATATTTATATACCAGGTTTTTTACCAAGTTATTGTTAGTATACGCTGTTTAACTAATTATACCGCGGTCATAAATGTAAAACGAATTATTTTGCCATCACGGCAGCCTGTATCGTTTGCCGTATATACTTATCGTATTTTAATGGTGCTACCCCGAATATAACATTCGTTTTTCATATTTGCTTTTAGAACTACGAATCTGGAAACGTCAAAGCTAAGCGGATCTACAAACGAGTGCAGAACTAATCTGTTTAAAAAACCAACGGGATAATAAATGTTTCGGTTTTCTGACGATCTTTGCCTCTGGATGTATACAATGTTGCATCTAAATGTAGTAATAATTGTTATCGAATATGCAGTGCTGCATGGCGTTATAGATGCTTGAATTGCTGCCGTACTTGTACCGTAAAGGATTTTCCGCATTAAATTTTAACTGCTGAAATTAAAGACGAAACGAACTACTAATAAACTTGTTAAGTAAGCTCAAATATAATTCTGTATAGATAGCATAATATATTGCTCAAGTCATTACTTTTGAGCTCTCCAGCTATAATTTTGCCGATCTGATGCCGAGCATTTCTACATTAACACTTCTTTCGTTTCTATGCCTACATATTTTGTATACAAGTACTAGGCATTTCTTACAAGCAGCATAATTTATTTATTTGTATATTCACTCAATATTCACTGAATGTTAGTTTCAAATTTGAGCGGGTCCTTTCCAAAACAATTAAAGCGTATACTTTCGTTTATTGAGTGCATATTATTTGTCAGTGGTTACTTTTGAACATATTGTGCATGAAAGTGCAAGTGCGAAGTTTCGTTACGTTCAGCAACAATTTTTTGGTTTTAAGGACGTTTTTTATGATACGGTTGAATGGTCACATGTGCGATTTTTAAGGCGAAATTAACCAGCAATAAAGCTAGTAAAATCGCGCCATTTAGGTGTACATAGTTAACAACGTAAAATTTATGTCTTTCCTGCAAAGGATTGTCGAATGCATATTTTTATACATTGAGAATCGGCTAATTACACACCGCCGCCATGCGTACAGACAGGTGATTCCGCTTTTTCTGCGCTTTTTCATTCTGAACAGATTGGCGCGGGCCGGCTATTGTGGCCATTGCGTAAGGACGTGTAGTGGCGGGTAAGCGAGCTGTTTGCTGTAATATCACACTGAATTGCCGGTGCAACACAGTAGCGCAACACAAAAAAACACCGCGCTTCGATTTTTCCTTAATGCCCACAACCACGACCACGCAACACCTTATTGATTCCGCTACGGCATCACAAACGCTCACACTCGGCAATTCCCGTGTGGCCGGCCAATGTTGAGAATCGCGCTCGCCGTGCATTGATCATTTTAATCGTTACAGGAAGTAAAGTGCCGCACTCAGCAGTCTGTATAATATTGTTCTCTTCATACGCCGATGATTGCATTCAACGGATTAGGATTTTGATACCTTTCAGGTACGGGAAAACGCTCTATGCAAAACTTTCAGAAACGGGCAGTTTTTCTACTGTTTATAACAAACTAAAAATTCCCGTTACAGGCAAAATAAACAGCTGCTTTTATGAAAACAATTATTAATACAAATCAAACTGACAAAATCTTTTTTTTCGAATTAAAATTTCGGATTCGGTAATCGCGTAAAATACACATACTTAAGCGCGAAAATTATGTATTGGTAGTTATTAAAATATTTCGAAGAACACAGGTAATTAAACGAACATAAATTAATACTGATGATAATTCTTACTTAATACAGGCAGACTAATTTTATTGAAATAAATTGTGAATTAATATTAGGAAGTAATTCTTACCTTAATTAATTCCTATGATAAACGGTTGTCGCTTCAAATGTACCCGGAGCGTACTGTCCGTCGCTGCCCGTTTAAGCACCCAGTAATTACAGCGAGGTATAAAGGTGGGAAAATTATGCAACCGCTAAATCGAAAAGATCGATGAAAACCCGATGGACACACACCGCTAATTGACTGTGTATCTATGCAGCGTCATAATCATCCCCTAACAATTGTGCAATCAAAAGTCAACACCGTTCATAACCGGTTTTAATTTAAATACATCATTGACATTTCTGGATTGGGCCGCTTTTCCTTAATAGCCCGTATGCAGGCACACAAGAAGTGGATTTCTACTAAATACCGGCAACTTTTTTCCTTCCTCTACTGATTAATTCGCATTATGCCAAATGAGGCGCACTCACACGTACTGCGCTCCAGTAGCTGAACGGATTTATTCGAGCGCGACATCTTGATGTAATGTATTTATTCAGCCATTTTTCCGCGAGTTGATTACGGTTTCTGAATGTCTGTATTACTGTATATTACTCGTATTATTGTGGAGTTGGAAAACGTGGGTGGATTTATGTGTAATGGTGCCAGCAGCGTTCTTTCGCCAACCTGTACAATTACTGTTTGCACACACAAAGACACTTTTACTCGTCTGCAGAGAAAATTTTTACGATTTGATTTCTGCCGGTGGCGATGAATCTTCGACCGGAGCATCGTTTTTGCTTAACTGAAAACTCCGACCGTTAAGCAAGGAGAAATTGAAATATATAATATAGGTGAAATATGTCGTGAATCATTGGTTGAGACTTTCAATCAACGTAAAAAATACAACTGCCCACCCAGAGCTGTAACTTTATTTACAGTACTATACAGAGTACGCATTGCGAACACAAAAATATTTATATAAAAAAATCAGAAATTGCAGTATTTTTAATTAACCAGATTTTCAAATTTGTGCGCTTTTGCTAGAGAATCTGAGAGCGTTCAGATAATTAAGTATAGGCAAAGCTTCCTAACCGCGATAGTTACAGTTCCTTAATTCAAACCGTGTTTGTATATATATTTATTCCATTTTTCCTTAATTAATTTTAATATATATTTAGAGAAGCTTTTCTGCATGAAATTAAAAATAGGTAAAATTATCTAAACAACAATAATTATTAAAGAAATTTAATATTTGCCTTTGGTGGTGCTGTTTTTGCACTGAACAATAATGGAAGTCGCGGCTTACCGTGCGTAACCTTTCTGCTCTTTGCATTGATGCAACATACAATACAACTGCGTTCTGTTGTTACTTGCCGTTTTCCCGCCAAAGCTCGTTTCGTACGCTTGAGCGAAGTTATTCGAACGGGCCACAAAAAGGCCCCCTTATATATTATACTAACCACGCAATTGCTCACCGTTAGAAAATTTCTTTTGACCAGAATATGATTTTGCAGGTTTTGCACGTGCTGACGACACCGAAGAAAGGTGTATTAGCCATCACACGCAGTACAATTCGGTGTGCCGGAAAAACAATACACCGGACCGGAACTGTACGGAGCGGGGCGGGGCTAGCCGGGCGCATGCGCAACGGATTATTATATGCTCATATCGATGACGCGTTCATATGTGCATGTACTCGAGTACAGCGCATGTACGAAGACGCAGACCGGAACTCTCTTATGTTTCATCTTTTCTTTCGAAGGAAAAACAACACAGTACAGTAATACGGCTGCTTGGCCTTCGTGTGACAGAACCGCCATCATAACAGCGCGGGGCGCATTTTTCCTCCGCTAACGTGGCAATCGCATAACGCGCAGTATACACAGTGTTTTGCTATTATTTGTGGGTGGTACAGCGTGAATTGGTCAATTGTTTTTGCATTATATCCGACTGGAACCGACGAGTGGGATGTGAAGTCCCGAATTAAGGAGATCCACCCGGGTACTATTTACGGGTGCGCGTTTGTTGGTTTATATATTATTGTTAGTTAAAGCGGGATCACGCGGACGGTGTATATAATCGCCGGTCAGCATCGATGCGGTGCGTCTGAATGGTCGCGATTACCGGTGTCTGAGATCGGGAATTTCCAATCTTAACCGGCATATTTCATCCCTACACTGCTGGGAAAATGATCACGCTACGAATCCTTCCGTTTTTATTACTGGGAATATTTAAGGTAAGAATTCCTTTACAGAATCGTCGCGGAAAAAAATGTTTCGATATATGTCGCTTTTTTATATATGTATTATGAAGCTTTATATATTTTAGTACCTAAACCAGCTTTGTGCAAGCATTTAATATTTCCAATTTTCGATTTTTATTAACTGTACGTATGCGATGACTTTATCTTTTTGCTAATTACTGAAGGGACTGATTTTACTTTTTGAATGAACTGATTGAGTATATTGTGTCTTCCGTGAAATTATGTATTTCCGCGATGCCGGTATAGGAAGATGTTCTCTACATATGTGTCTGTCAGAAATTGGCTGGCCTATCGTTAATCTTCACCACGGTGCCAGTTTAGAAGCGAATATGCGGAAAGATTTTTTATTTCTCTTCTCTCTTCTTCTCGCGCCATGTGTATTACCTGTTCGATGTCTAGCGTATACACGCTGTCGTGCCGGAGATGCAGTGGGGTTAAAAAGAAGAGAAATTGCCGATGATCAGCGGCGATTCAGTGCGAGCGCGCAAGTTCATATGACGCCCCAGGGGCCCAGCATATTTTCCGTCCATGCGCATCGCAGAAAACCTAGGCTGCTGTTTTGTGTGCTGTATGTTTGCTGGACGATTCTGCGCGAAGAGAGATAGGTAGCTAGTTGGGCAGGTCGTCAGAGTTTAGCCAGCTCCGCGATCGGCCATCAACGTTGGCCGTATTATATGGTGCGTTGATATGGCGCTAAATGATCCTGCTACCATGATTGATCATGGTCAGTATGCACGACACGGAAGTCCACGGTTTATTACTTACCTAACTACAGTCTGTAGCTTCGATAATTGCCAGCGTTCGAACCACTAAAAAATTTTAGAAAATTAGGGAAAATTTTTTAAAACATTCGCTTAATTGATGAGGATGTGTATTGCTATATTTTCTGAAAGCCCTTGTTCTAAACTTCGGAAGTCAAACGGTGGCGGCACGAATAGCCGATCGCCCGAAAATTCTTTTTTTAAAAAATCCGAAGAAATTTATAGAAATTGGTTTAGTAGTAAAAATGTTTATTTTAATTTTTTCTAGCACTCTTGTTCTAAACTCTAAAATTCAAAAAGTGGCGTTGGGAGGGTTTCAGTTTTGCGGCCACACGGAAGTCGACGGTTTATTACCAAAACACTTTCGATCAACAACATCCTACTCCCGAAAAGAATTTTCAAAAAATCAGTAGGAAAATCGCACGATAAATATTTTCATTTTTTTTCCGGCAGCTCGTGTTCTATACTCTAGAAGTCAAAAGATGCCGGCGCTGCGAATAAACCCATTTTTTGTTGGGTAGTGCAGAAATTCTACATCTCAACTGTTTTGCCGGAGTAATAAATTTAAATCAGTTTTGTCAAACATCTGGCTGGACTTGATTAGGGCTTTATAATAAAAATAGATGTTTTTCTGTGTCATGGTGAGCAAAACGCCCAGCACTCCTAAGTGGCCAGCGCCCAGTGTGGGAGCTCATCCGACAAACTGCTGCGCCAATACCGCACGACAGGATTGACTGGGTCTAACAGGCCTCAGCCATTTTTCATTGACTGTGCCTGCTGATTTAAAAGGTAATTACGGTCCCAAGCCAATGGAGTGTCAGGGCCGGTTTCGCGTATATATATCCGCTCACTGGAGAAAATGATATTTAATGTGGCCATTCTGTCACAGACCAGTTCTTAAAATGTTGTCAGATGATATTTGACGAGATACGGGCGCCTCCAATGGTCGCGGCCAGCGTGGTTGTAATCAGTATTCTTCTGCTTTTGGGAAAATCAAGAGTGAGTTTTGCAAGACGTGGTTTTGAAGAGAAGAAGGTTGACTACTTAACCGAACTGGTTTACTGTGCAGTTTTACATCGGGCCGGCTGCTTTGTCAGATGTGCTGCAGCGTGCACATTTTCAATTGGAGGCCAGGTATTGGGCGCCAAAACAAACTGCGACGGGGGGATATTGAATATTTTTGTGCGCACCGTAAACTGGAATAACAGAAATGTCGTAATATAATTAGTGGTGTTTACACTTGCTGATTTGAACCAAACCGATCATTATCGATTGTGTGACCGGCGCGGTAATCAGCCAGACGGTCAACACTTTGTATTTGCATATAAGGAAAACTACGAGGAAGTAGCGAAATTTATTTTTGGGGACGAGCAAACTTTAATCGGAATTATGCAGTTAGTGAATTTCTCTATAAAAAATAGGTAATCAGCGCTGTGCTTTAGATAATAATTTTCTAGCTCGGAAGCGAAATGTGTGTTGCTTAAAATACATATAATACCAACAAGGAAGTTAATTATACATTATGTATTATTGGCATTTACCAAAGATTCTGCAGCCGCCGTCGTCACGCACTGAATGTGGGGCAATAGACGCCCATATCATTTTGCAGACAATTAATCTCCTTTAACCAGTTAAAGCTTCATTCACATAATAATCTCACGCCACAGCCGATATTAATAGCCCGCGCTTATCCATTGTCCGTATGTATGTACTAACATCAACACACATGTACCGGCTACTTGAAACCGTACGCGATTTTAACAAGCCTTATCAGGCCCCCTCGGAATATTTATGCATAAGCCACTTGGTCGTGGGGAATTGGCTATAAGCGGTCCGCCACTCGGCGCACCGGGCCATTGTCAGAGGGGTAATGGAATGCGCCGGCGTCAGCGGAAATGCTAATTTCCCTTACCATGTTATCGTTTATCGATACTCGCGCATGCCGCGTTCTTCCTGTGTACCGCGCCGTGTGTTTACATATTGCGTCGCGGCGCTGATCAGCTGTAGTCTGTAGTGCCAGGAAGCGCGTCAACCTGTTCTACACGAATCGATTCGTTGTAATCCCGATAAGCTTATTAGACAATAAAACGAATCAATACAGTATTATGAGTTGTTTGTTTTTCAAAAATTATAAGACAAATTATTACAACAAATTAGCAGTCTTTACGATACTAATCGCCTGCAAATAAAGTCTTTTTAGCCGTTTGTAAAGTAAAAAATTACAGATTTACAAAATTAAAAATTTACCAAGCCAATAAAACTGAAGGAATTTTTTTGTTAAAAAAAATTTGGAAAAATCGGTTTGTAGTTTTTTATTAACAGGGAAATTTGATTCGTGTTTATTTTTGCGCAAAAAGCACACACACGCTCACTGATGTTTGACCACTTCGTTCCGGCACATGTGACATATCAAAAAGTCCGCGGCCGTATATGAATATCAGTGTCAAGTGGTTATGGTGCAGTGAGCTAACAAAACGGGCGAATTTGTTGGTTTAGATGCATATATTTACGCCGCGGCCACTTGATCGCGTTAATCTGAGCGTGCGCCGTCATCATCGTCATCGTACCGCTACGTTCGATCTGAAGGCCTAGGTCAACGCCGGTTCGCCAACAGCCACACCGAGAGAATAATGTCCGTAAAAGTTTTTCTATCGCTCACCAATTTTGACGTTTATTATAACCTCATTGCGGCTGAAGGTGCGACGTGAAGAGGCTATAACAAGCCGGCACTTCGCAGTATTATTCAAAATGGCTTTACACTTCGCAGGTCACTAAAATGATTTTATTATGACATAATTATTCCCTTTAATTAACCGAAAAAAAACGAATTTTTTGCCTTATAAATATTATTTAAAGATAATTTAGATAAATTTAAATTACATATTAAAATAACGCTGATATTTTTTAGTCCGATTAAATTTGGGCGTTTTTAATTATTGCCTGGTAACACGTGATATTTATCCGCAGTTCTTTTGCGAGGCATAATTTATTTGCTCATTATTAATTTGAAATGTGTCCAAGTCGATTATTGGGTAATTGCTGGTCATAAAACCAAAAACCTACCTGATTTGCGAGTTTCATCATACATCGCAAATGTGCGTGTTTGATGCGGAATGCGCAGCAACAGGTAGCCCGCACTTTACCGGTAACATCTGCCAGCTATAAAGCGCTGAATATCCTTGAGCAGCAACTATCTAATTCTTTGACGATCGCTGGTCCCGAAGCCATTCTGGGCAGTGAAGCGCCTGTTGTCGGCAATTGAGATATTACGATTACCGCGTATATATGTTTGTTAACAAGATTCCTCGCAATTTTATGCATGACACTCGCGGGCTGGCGTCTTTTGTGTGCATATCGTAAACACTAAACACTGGCCGGATTACGAGCAATAGCGCCGGTAATCACACCGGCAATTGTTAAAGAAATTCATAATTCCGCTACTCAAATAAATGTGCGTATAAACACATCAAAATCACTTCCGCTATAAACGCTTCAATGTGATTCTTAAAGACCGAGTTATAAACTTTGCATCGAAACATTATTAATAAAATTATATTTACTACGTATTGTTTTTTTTTTGGAATAATATTATATTTGTGATCAAAAATAATTTTAAAAAATTTAACTTGCTTTTTTAACTGGCTTTAATAATTAAAATTAGATTATTTTGTTTACTGAATTTTATCAGTCTTGCATATTTTTACCGCCGTCTACAGACGAGATTTATAAGGTAAAATCTCATGATTGGGTTAACGAAACGTGCACCGGCTGGCGGAGGCGGGTGCACATGAGTATCTATCGCCATTCAGCGGCGCTGTGCATGTGTTTTGTATCCGTAACACAGTGTGGTCAGATCGGTAAGCAAAGCGTGAAATGCAGCCACTACAACAACAACCACAGCACATTGTTGTGCCATTCGACCCCGGCCTGACCTTACGTAACCAATCTGTAATACCGTGCATAATCAGCAGCGCCGCTCAGCTGAATCATCGCGGTCAAGATGCAACACATATGGCGTAGGCAACGATTCACCCAGTTTTTTTCGCCGTCGCTTTAGTATATATTCTCTGTCGTTCTATAAGTGTTTTGTGCTCCTTATGAATCGGCGTTTTACGGTCTAAAATTATAATGTAAAACCGTAAAATTTTCAATCGCTATTAACCGAAAAATCATGGCGTAATGCGAACTCTGTTAAAAACAATAAGAAATAATTTATCTCTTCTGGAGAAAATATTTAGATTAATGGGATTTATTTTGTACCACGAGTTTGCTGTGTATTTGCAAAACAAAACTTGTTTTTCTACCCGCAGTAAAGTGATTTTCTTTTCTTCTGATGCGCGGCAGCTAAATTGACAAATAAATTGCTTATCCGTTAATCGCTACACAATACGCTTCCAATCCGGTCGCTTTCCGTCAAAACTGACCACCGCAAACGCTGCAGCCATTCCGGTCGACAGCGATGAGATTAGGTTCTCAGCAGTGAAAATTTATGAAAAACGTCTAATTCATGAGATTTCTGTCAAACTACCGGCTTTGGTATGCCCGTCAGCGTTCGAAGCGGGCCGTTCACTATTTTTCCGTTTTCAAGTTAAACGACCCAACTACCAATCACTCTACAACACAATGATGTTGTGCTTAATATAGTACCACTATGATATTATTTTTGTGGCGTTCAAGTTCGTAATCTGCATGTGAAAAGCGCGGAACGAGAGCGAACAATAACATTTGCCGGGCAGTGTATTAACTGCCGGACATTAGTCGCTGGCTGCACGCGTTGGTCACCAATGTCACGCCCCGTTACGACAGACGGTTGTTTATGTGGGTCAAGTTCGTGCTTTTAATGAGACCGTCGCTCCTCAATAGTCTAGGTCGTTTTGTCAATAGAAACACTTCGGTAAATAGTGTGTTTTGCCAAAGATATTTTATTTGTTTTAATTATGAAGTTTTTCGAATATGTAAGCAAAACTGCAGCGTTCCGAACAAAAAAATAAAACTATTGCCATGTGGTTTGTGGCGGTGTCTATAAAATAAGTCACATATATTTAGCCAACAACAGGAAGAGCGTTAAAACGTTTTTTTCTCAAAACGGTGAAACATCTTTTGACTTCATTAATTTTATATTTTATTTTTCTTTGTTACAGCAACGATCTTCTTGACCTTTGACCGAATTAGGCGGGCTGAAAAAAAATGATAAAAAATTCGACTAATTTAAGGTTGTAAAAAATCAATAATAGCGCGGTATACAGGCATAAACGATGACAGCGACAATTTTGCGTGAAATGCAACATTATGACCATATTGGTATTAGTTGGGCAAACAATGGCATCAGCATAATTCGGGCAATATTGAATATTGATTCAGGCGCACCACTGCATAACACCGGTGTGTTGAACAAAGCGTTTTCGCACGTACTTTGTGACTTGGCGCTGGACACCGGCGCAGCCTCTTGAGCCGCTGCATTAGACAATTTTGTGACAATTGTCGGCACTTGACAGTAACGAAGAGTGCCGTGTGCACAGTGTCGCGGAATGTTGATATCTTAGAGAAAAAAACTAACAGCCTGCGTTTCTTAAACTTTCTTTCGTTACAGGTACCCGGCATATCGGCATCCGGAGTGCTACATGTGGAAGTGCTCAGCTATACCAGTCCAGGTATGTTGTCAAGCGATTGCTCGGCAAATAGTCCGCAGCGCCAAAAGCAACACACTGTCCAATGGGTGTACAGCGCGGAAACCGGCGCACTGTAATTATCCATGCATGCATAGTATGACGCATAATGTAGAGTTTAAGAGTATAATTGTTGGCGTGGGGAGAAATGGTTCGCAGAATCGACTGTGGACTGTGGTTGGGCTGAGTTGGTGAAGAACGCGGGTTCGACATGTTGACTAAGTAGTCATGAGTGGTTCGCCGTCAGAATGCTGGTCAAAAGTCAGCAAAAACCAGAACCTGACATCCTGTTTTATTCAATAGTTCGATGATGAAATTCCTTGTCAATAGCATTTTGGCAGCCTTAGGGAATTAAAGTGTAGTAAGGACTGCTTTGAATAAGCAGTCATAACTTATGACTTATATTTAGTTATAGATATGAGTGCTACATATTTCGTGCATATTCTGGAAAATCGCGATGACTCTTAAAACACTTGATTCATAAAACGTTAATAAATTTTTGACTAGGTAGAATGATTAAGTACCTAAAAAAGCTCTTTAATAATTTTGCAACTGACCGAGACTAGCGTTTACCCCTGCAAAGGAAACAGCAAAAAAATTTTAAGCTTTCCCTAGTTCGAGATACGATAATATTATTACCATGCCACTTTATTATTCAGATTTTAATTTGACTGGCTTTATAATTAATTAATTTCGCATTCGCCTGCTTTACAATTTTGGCCAGTGACAATGCCGACACACTGGGAAGCAAGAATAGTTAGTTATTCGATGCCGGTTAATTAACTACTGTTGTCATAGAAATCAAATGAAGCGATTTTATTAGGCTGCTATGGCAACCGCATTGTTATTGTAGCCGGGTGTCATTTAACACAGTGACAACCATCATAAAACCTGCCATTTAATTGACACATCTAAACGACGCTAATGACCTTGGCACTACTGTGTGTGTTGATACAGGTGCATCGAGGATACGACCGTCGTCCCTCTGCTGTGATGCCGGCGACAGCGCCGAGCCGGCCTGCTCGGCACCTTGTGATATTTTTGTATCGATATGTATTAGCAAAGAGAACCTCAAATCCCGTTTTCCCAAAGGCCTGACGGATGCGGACAGCATTGACTGCGGCGATGGGAAGCTGATCGATGCGCGGCTGCCCTCGCCCTTCGGGTATCCCGACGGTGCCCGGGTGCCGGCTAATCTGCACTTTAAGAGCGCCTTCGACGGCCGGTGGGCGGGATATCAGAATATTCGTCTGCAGTTGCGACGCGGCGATAAGAACGGGAATACAGAGAGTGTCGACCGGTTTAGTGTCAACTATTTCAAGACCGATGCGTTCGATGAAGGCAGCTATACCGGGAAGGTCTTCACGGCGTCGGGGATCAGACCGAATTCTACATCCAAGTAAGAATTGTTCTGCATAAAAAAATTTGGGAAAAACAGATAAAAATTAATTCGAAAGGTTCAACTTTAATCAAGGTCGCGTAGTTACGAAAAACTACTGAATATGAGACATTAGTACTGCCAAAAACCATGCGTGACTGGCGTTGTAGTCGATAAAGATCGCACTTATGTTTATTATTTCGCATGCCATAAATTATGTTAATGCGGAAGATATCATCGGTACTGGTAAATTGTCGCTTGCCGTAACCAGTGTAAATTCCTTCTCGTCCGCCAAAGTATTACGCTCAAGTAATCAGTTGTTTTTGAACTTTCATGTTTTCCAAACTATCGCATGACTTTTTAATTATCTTATGCGTTGATCTTGTATGCAATTTAAATACACAGTAAGCTGCAACTGAGTGCAGATAGCAAGTAAACACAGCACTTTGGATGTGGTGTATCTATGTCTTATGCTAATCAGTTTGGCTCGTATTTCGGGTTTTGTAGATCACATACATTAACATATTACACTTAGTTGCACTTCAACTTCAGATTTCTTCGTATTTAAATTGTATGCAAACTTCTTTGCACTTTGGATGTACGGCTGTCATAAAACTAATGCCCTTTTGTGAACACCATGATTCCAATTAGCCTAATTGTAAATGACCAATCAGCGACGCTGTAAGCATTGTGTTCCTGCATCTCAACAGGCTGGAAGTGCGCGTGGCCGCTGTATGCGACTACACGTCGTCGCGTAGTGTGGCACCCTACTGCGAGAACGCACCATGCAGCCCGACAGATGACTGCACTGGCCATTACACCTGTCATCCGGCCACCGGCAAAAAAGGTACGTCGCGATGTCGATGCCTCGTGAAATATGTGCCAAAGGGTCAAATCCACGTTATAGACAGCATTATAGACAGTCATCTTTTGAAGCATACTTACTTGATATTACGTGAGAATTCCGGCATGCTTAATCACTCGGCATGTGCCGATGTATCTTTTGCAGTGTGCTTAAACGGATGGACCGGAACCAAGTGTAATGAGCGCTTAGCACTGCTGCCCGCCTGCGCCAAAGGTATGGTAATAAATCTGAACGATAAGGATGTTTGGATAATTAACGTCACGGGTCTATTAAAGATTACGTTACATTTGCTAACCTTTATGACGGAGTGTTAAGATTTCGCTACGTTTCCAACTTTTATGATGAGGAGTTGATTAGTGAGAATTATGGCGTTAAGTGCGTGAAAGAAATGGTTCGTTGGGTGTGATACAGTGATTGGTTTTTGCAGATCATCAGTGTGCCAATGGTGCACCGTGTATCGTCAACGGAACCTCACCCAGTGATTACTGTACGTGTCATACGACGCATTACGAATCCGTCATTGTCATGTCGCTGTTGTTGACTTGTTATTTGTTGACCTTTGTTAGCCTAACAAAAGATCGCTGTTATTAATTAATTGCTAATAACTGCACAACTGCTCTGTTCTAATAATTTGTCATTGCGGATCTCGACTGTGATTGGTCGATTTCGTTCCTGTTTCTCTATTCATTTTATACATGCTTTTGTGCGTAAAAGTAATTTTATATTGACGCAATATTGTCTCTCTTAGTCGCGAAGGTATAATTTATTCCGTTTTGCAGACTGCTGCTGCTCCGTCGGCTGGCACGGTCCCCACTGCGATAAACCAGCCGGCATCGATTTCGCCCGTCTGCGCGTCAAAACCACCAGCCTCGATGACGAATTCAACAGCCTATCGGATGCCGTTGACGATGAATTCCTCCCGGCCGATTTGGTCATCAGGCCGCAGATCCGCAAGGTCCGCCAAGCTCCGCCCAACCCCACCATTCGGGTGGGCGTGCAGGTTCCCGAGACCGCCGGCCGCGTCCTCCTGGTTCCGACCGTCAACGCCACCGCCCCGGGTTTCGTCGGGCACCGACCGCTGTTCAACATCAACGCCCAGACGGATCCGCAAATCTTCAGCTCCATGCAGCTGATCAACATGGTGTCGCCGGTGGACGGAGCGTTGGGCGTGCATAAAGTGGCCATTATGAACGCGCCCAAGAGCATTCAGGACTTGGAGGCTGTCCTGCAGACGGCATGGTGGAATGCCAATTTTGGTAACAGTACGTTGACTAACTCCCGCACTAACACATTTATTATGATGTGAAAGGCCATGGATTGTGAGTTAAACATTTTTGGTTGCAGAAGCCCAAGGTCTGTCGCAGAGCGCGGTGACCGTGAAAATCCTGCAGTTCCGCGATTATGGCCTGTTTTCGGATCAGGGGTGAGTGAACGTCAGCTAAAATGGAACCGCAAAATGAGTAAAATTTTATGGTATTTGTATGGCGCCTCCAGTTTGCGAATCAGCTTGAAATTGATTGGCAGGAATTTTTACGCAAATTTGCCTAGTCTGCGTTGGCAAGCGAATGCTTAATGTACTCGTACTACAGGGTGAATGTCGTGTAATGAAGCTGATTTTATTCGGCTTCGGCCAGCATACATAACAAATCGCCTGCGCAGGTTTACACTAATTAAAACCATCAAATTTTTAAACATTAAAAAACATCCAAAATCGTTAGTGACTCGCATGATCTTAGGATGTGCGTTAAGTGTACCCAAAACAGCCGCTGCATTTCCACGGACTACCGCTAAACTTAAACGTTGTCTTAAAAAGGCGGTAGATCGTGGTTCCCCGGTAACTTCACGGATCTTTCTGCCGACGAAACGGATAAGCTCGGCGATGTCGTGTAATTGTAGTGCAGTGTAGTACATCGGCTATCCGTGCTACGCACCTGGAATTCGATGAAATATGAATAGTTTGCATGTTTGACATTGCACGTAATCTAACGATTTTCTTTTTTTAACCGTCCAGTTGATGATAAATTTCTTGAATAAAATTTTTCCAGCGTGAAGAAATAGTTACTCTACTAATTTTTTCGTGTTGCAGAATCCCTGTGATCGAAGCAACCTACGCCGTCGGTCTCAACCGCTCCATCGTGCCGGCCACCTTCGACACCTCCACGGTCCGCCTGCCCGACATCCAGGGATTGACCCGCGCCCTGCAGACTCGTGATTTGCAGTTGTGCGATTGTGATGTGTACGAAGGACGCTATCTCCATTTAGTCGGGATTGTCAGCGTCGGCTCCAACGCCACCCAGTACCAGCAGGCCATGCAGGCGGTCTGGTTGAGTGTCGGGCCGGAACTGCGCTGTGGCAACTGCCAGGTCAGCGTCCGCTTCGCCCGGACCGTCATCACAGTGGGAACAGCCGGGTATGCTAACGAAATACAGTTCATATACGTATAAAAATAAACAAAATATAAGCAAAATATATTAATGATATAAAATGTATACATAATGTAAAAATACACACAAACATAACAGTATTATAATTATGTAAAGTAGTTATATGATATAAAAATATACCCAGTTTTGCTTTGATTTTTTTTATTCAGTGATTTTTTTAAAAGTTTTTTTCACTTTGAATTTTATAGTACGTATGATTATAAAGGTATCTGTTCGTACAGTTTTACAAGTTATTTTCTGTTTGCATTTGTATAGAAATATTTGTATTAAAATCACTTTTTACCCGAAAAGTATTTGCATATTTGTATTAAAATCAATTTTTACCCGAAAAGTGTTGACCATAATATTATTTCTTTAGGGTGCGATTGACGACCATCCCATACGTTGTGCTGCTGAACAATAAAGTCTGGGCGACGCAGACCTTCGTGAATATGCAGCTGGATCCCAGTGCCGTCGAAACGGCGCTGGCGGCGGTCGGGCAACCGGTGCAAGTGTACCATGGAACGCAGTTGCCGGTTTACGCCGCACTGGCCTTCGTCAATTACCTCAACGCTAACATCCACTTTCAAGATATCCCGGCGGTGCAGCGAAGTTTACAATCGTATCTGGACGCTCGCATGCGTAAGGCTATATGAACCGCTAAATGAACGACTCCACTGAGTGTAGAGAAATCAAATTTAAGCGTTGTCGTAGTGTAGCGGCTGTATGCCATATGTGATTCGGACCGTTAAAAATAACTTACAGCTCGCTTTACAAATTCAGATGTCTTATTAATTTTTTTATGATCTGAATTACTAGTACTCGTATTATAGCTATCTTACAAATCTTTAATTTTTCCATAGCCCGACCCCCGGTACTTGCAACGGTATGGAATCTGGAGCCGTTCTTGGATCCCACTGCGTAAGTAACGGCCAGTATAATATTAAGCGAAAACGCCGGTTTAGTAAAAACGAACGTACGGAGTATTTGAATTACGATAGGAACGTCATTACGCAATCGTCCTACTTCCTGTCCCTGCCCAACGGCGAGGTCATGGACCCGCGTCTCTTCTACGCTCCCCCCATCATCGACATCCTCTCCCGACAAAGCGAGGGCAACGTATCGACCTTCACCGGTGAGACATTGGGCATCCACCCAGTGTACCTGTACGGCGACATCAACGCCAATCTCCTCCGCTCCGTGGCCGAGATCCTCAAGATGACGTACGCCGAGCAGAACACCGGCCAGGTCAACCCCGACGACGTCCAGGTGGCCGTGGTCAGTATGGACAATGGCTTGGTCCAGGCTTTGCCGCCGCAAAGCGGGATGACCCGGGTCACCGAGCTCCACGTGTCGGCCATGGTCGGCGGTGTCGACCCGGACCGGAAGCCCAATCTGACGCCCTTCCACCAGATGTTGACGGCGCCGGATTCGCAGAATGTCCTGGATACACGGTTGACGGCATTCGATACCAAAGTGTGCCGGAACTGCCAGTTTAGGAAGCTGCGTACGTTGAATTTGTTGCAAGTGGACCCTACCACGGCGTCGGTGGCTGATGCGCAGGCTATTATGGACAAGCTCTTCTCGGCGTGGATTGCGGCCAATCCCGAGTCACCGTGGCTGCCGATGAATTTGATGCTGGCGGGGCGGGACGATTCGTTAGCCAATGAAAATGGGTAATTTATAAAACAATTAATTTTTAACAGTTTGGTTAACATACAGTATGTAAAATTAGTTACTTCTTACTTGTAAAGCTACGGTGACCTTTTTTTATTACAGAACACTGGTATCCCAACTTTTATACTCGGTGGGCTACCCGCTGCCAAACTTCAACTGGTACATTCCCCGCGATCCATCTAACGACAATCTGGAGCGTCAACTTGCCCTCGTCAAAGCCGTGCCGTTTTTCGGTACACCTATTCTGCCGCAACGGATCTCCCTGAACAAACATATGGGAGCGGCTGATCAGACGCTTTTCGCTACCGCCGCCATGCGGGCGTGGGCGGAAGACAAAGATGGTATGCAGCATTTTGCCTAAAGGTCATCTAAACGAAAAGCATGATTTCTTTTTTTTTGCAGATTTGAGACTGTGCCTGCAACCGGATGCCAACTGCTTCATCGCTGTGGCTGATGCCGAGAATCCAGCCGTTAACAATGTCAAGTACGTATATACGGCATGATCTGCAATAATAATTGATTTGTAAAGGCCAAATAAAGTATATATTAAGTCAGCAATTTCGTTGCCAACCTGTAACCCGAAATTTTCTTGTAGTGGCAATCCGCAGTATCTTTACAAATATTTCATCCTGGTAAACGATAAAGTCTACACGCCTACCAGCCCGCTCTCCCAATCCCAACTGATCAAACTCCGCAACACCATGGACGCCACCAGCGGTACCGGAGCGGGCGGCGCCGTCGTGGTCATCGCTCCTCCGGCCGGCTCCAACATCACCATCGCCGTGACCCAGGCGCCCACGACGACGACCACCACACCGGCCGTTCCTGCCACCCTCCCCGGCGGGGCAGCGGCACCTCCTCCCCTCAACTTCACCCACTCGCTCAACATGGTGGTGGGCACGGAGCGCCAGAAAGCCAAAGTCCTGGACGCCGTCAAGAACGTCTGGTCGATGGCACTCGGCCCCAACGTCACCAACGTCCGCCTAATCCCGGTGTCCGACCAACCCGGTTTCCCGGATCCATACACCGCGGACGGCCTCCCCATCCGCACGGTCGTCTACTTGGTCCAATGGACGCCGGTCGGCACCTACAACATCCAGAATGCGGTGTCGCTCTTCAACCAGCTCCTCCCAGCGGCTAACATCCGGGAGATCCAGTTGGCCAACCCGGGCGGCAGCACTCCAGCACCCCCTTCGGCGTTTGTGGTGGACTTTGGTAAATCTCCGGTCAACCAGTCTGTGGCAGTGGTTCCTATTATCGTTCCACCGGCACCTGCGGCCCAGAATCAGTCGGTTGGACCCCAGGCTGTGGTCCCGATTCTTGGTCGTAGTCCCGGACCCAATTTGAACGCCACGACTACCACGGCGGCATCCGTCGGTCCCGCCGCCCCGATTCTAATCATCCCGGCGGCCTCCACCGCGACAACGGCGGCCCCGAACGTCATCAAGGGTCCCTTTGTCATCCATGATACCCTCGCCATCACCGCCGACACCAAACGCCAGCGGGACCGCATCCTGGAAGATCAGGTCAAACCCCAGTGGGTCCAGGCGCTCGGTCCGGGTGTCCCGCGGTTCAACCTGATCGTCAAAGGTGACCAGACCTACTCGACACCCTCCGCGCCAGAAGGCAAGACGCCCGCTGGCAACAGTATCCGGCAGATTAACTACGATATCGCTGGTGTGTCTGGTGCGCCGATAGATACCACCGCCGCCTTGAACAAGTTCCATGAATTGGCGGGACAGGCCGGTCTCCATGACGTGTGGGCCATTCCGGATCAGTACGGCACCATGGTCTTGGCGTCGACCATTCCCAAAGCCACAACGACCACGGTGGCGTCCGCTGTCGGCCCTGCGGTGGCAGTCATCATTCCCGCAGGACCGGTGGCAACAACTGCTAAGGTACCCACAACGCGCCGCCCGGTGGTGGCCCACGGCGACTTCAGCTTGCCGGACGTGATTGCCATTACGGCGGACACACGGCGACAACGGGATCGCATCCTGGAAGATGAAATCAAACCAGTCTGGCGTGAAACATTCGGTATGTTATCTGTGTATGTTACTTTTAGGGTGAATGTCCTAAAGTGAAAATAGCCGGTGAATGTTGTGTGAAAAAAGCCCTTTCGTTATTTTATTGCAACAGCTCCACGGGGCGGTTGATTTAACGACAAATTATATAATATTTTTTCTTGTAGGAAAAAACGTTTCCGATGGCTTTAAATTCACCGTGAAAGGCGATAGCACGTTCAATCCACCGAGCACTCCCGAAGGCAAGAGCATCCGCCAGATTGCCTATACCGTCGACGGAATGTCCACCGTGGACCTCAACTTCAACGAAGCCGCAGACCAGTTCCACGTGCTGGCCCTCAACGCCGGCCTCCCGAGTCTGTGGGCGGTGCCGGATCCCTACGGCAACTGGATCCTGGCCTCGTCCGTCCCCAAAAAGACCACCACGACGGCCGCCCCTACCACCACCACCGCCAACGCCACCGGACTGGCGGTCATTCCGATCGTCATCCCCGGTTCCGGCGAATCACAGCCGACCCCGGCGCCAACCGAGGCACCGGTTCTGGTTCCGGAAGGCACCACCCGTCCCCCGCTGATCGTCCCGCCCGGACCCTTCACCATCCAGGACGTGGTGGGTGTGGTGGCCGAGACGAAGCACCAACGCGACCAGGCCTTTGCCACCGCCATCCAACCGGCGTGGCAAGCGGCGCTGGCACCCGTCACGCAGTTCAACCTTCAGCCCATCACGGACACCGCGTATACCACCGCGACCCAGGACAACGTCAACGGTGTCCGGTTGGTCGGTTACGTCGTCAACGGAGTGGCTGACGCTCCGTTTGACACCAACGCCGCGCTGGAACGCTTCCATGATTTGATCGGCGGGGCCAAACCCCCGGGAGTGTACGCCATCCAGAATAAGTATGGGAACCTGGTGGAGGTGGCCAGCCTCCCCGCTCCCGCGGCGACCACGACTCCGGCTGGAATATTACCGGTGTTTATCGTCCCAGGACAGAACAATCAGACCGCGGTGGTAACCCCAAACGGCACCGTCATTCTCCCGGCCCAACCGGCCACCGCCATCCTTCCGTTTGAGCCCCGCGCGTCCGGAAGTGTGCTGCTAAAGAGTTACGCCGATACCGACGCGCCGGCGATCCAGGACACGCTGGACCAATTGTGGGCGGGTGCGCTCGGTGCTCCGGCCGAGAGTATCAAGATCGCTCAGTTGAACAGCAGCGGACCGACCGGCAACACCACCGCGGACGGCGCCCCGATTTACAGTTATAACTATCTCTTGTTGGCACTGCCCAATGTCACCGCCAACGTTTCGGACGCTTTCCCCGCATTCATCCAGATGCTGACCAACGGTGACCTTCAAGTGAACCCAGAGGCGCCGGCTAATATCACGGAGCAGGTCAATAAAAACGACACGGCGATTCTCGGTGTGCTTCAGAGTCTACAGCCGGTAACTACCGTTGCGCCAAGAACCAGTACCGTCGCGCCGGGACCGGCCGTTGTCTCTGTATTAAGTTTCAAGGAAAGCCAAGACGTGATTATTCCGGATGCGAGCGCAGCACAGCCGTTTATGGATGGATTGAGACATTTGTGGGCACAGGCTGCCAGTAAGTGCTGTTTTGTTAATTCGGTGAAAAGACGGAGCTGCGACTATTTCACCGAATTATCTCATACCAAATAAATTGTCGAATATGGTATACAATAGAAGTACTCGTATTTCTTTTAACTTATAATTTCTTACAAAATTTTGCATTTCTTTAGTTATTTTTTTTATACAGAATTACTATCTTTATAATTTTATGCCAAAATTCTGGCATGTACACATATTTCTGTAAATATTTTTATACGTTTATCTATACTCTAAGTATGTTTAAAAAATTCTTTAGGGATTTAGAAATTCATTTTAATTTCAAATAATTCTCGTATTTCCGGCATTTTCGAGGTAAGCGTCAAGACATCGTGGCGAATACGATAACTTGACTTACATACACCTTAATAACACCGTTTTCTGCAGACGTCGAAGATCCGGCAGTGCAAATTGGCTCACCTAAACTCACCAAATCCGATCCGCCCCGCGTCGCTCCCAACGGCGTGCCAATCCAGAACCTAGTATACGACGTCACCATCCAGAACAATAGCGACCCGGTGAATGTGATCCGCGCCCGCGAGAGGGCCTTGGCACCTAAGTCCTCCATCGCCGGCATGCTGTTCTTCGGTTCCACCCTGGCCGCCAACACCACCAACACCAGCACGGCGACCATCGTGCCCATCCCGGTACCGCTTCCAGCGGGAGCGACCACCGCCGCCCCGGTGGTGGCCACCACTTTAGCGCAACAAGCTTTGCCACCAGCGCCACCTGTGTACTACCACGACCTGGACGCCCACATCGCCAACATGGACGTGGTCAATCAATTGCAGAACGACCTCGGGGTTCTTTGGTCCCAGGCGTACGGTGTCCCACAAGGAAACGCCCAAGTGGTCGTCCAGGGAATGCAGCCAGTGGGTGTCGACGAGAACCAGCGACCCATCAGCCGGGTCCAGTACACTGTGCAGGCACCAAAGAACGAGACGCCGGAGATCATCGATACCTTTACGAAACTGTTACTGAACTCGCCCATCAAGGACATCCTGGTGGTACCGAGTAACCCAGCGCCGCCGGCCGGAAAAACCTCCCATTCGGTGGAGATCGCCGTGTCCAACCCACAGGAACTCGACGCCGTGTACAGCGGGCTGCGCAACTCGTGGGCCTCGACGCTCGGCTTGGACCAACAGCCCGGGGCGGTCACCGTGGCCCTGACGGCGCTGTTGCCCGAGAACGTGGCCACCCAGAACGGCGTGCGCGTCCAGAATGTCACGTATGATCTCACCGTCCCGCCCAATGTCGCGGTGGGCCCCGAGCAGGAGCAGGCATTCATGCAGGCGCTCTTGGCGTCACCCGCCCGACCGTATCTCTTTGTCCGTGGTGAACCTGTTCCAGCAACCACGACCGCGCCCAATGGATCCGTGTTTGTAGTCCCGGTCCCGGTTCCTGTCCCAAGTGGACCGGCGCCGATTGCCCTCACTGACTCCATCATTCTCACGCCCACCTCCCGAGGCGCCACCGCCAACATTATGGTACCGGTGAAACAAGCCTGGGTGACCGCTTTGGGACCCAGTGCTTCCGACGTCCAGTTGACGATCAAATCGGACAGACCCTACAGCCAACCAACCACCGAAGAAGGCAAACCCATTCGTAATATCACCTACGACGTAACGGGAGTATCCAGTACCGGCCCGGTCGATGAGTACGCCGTGAAGGAGAAAGTTCGGCAGCTGTTGGCCACGAAACCGGTTGACAACGTCTTCCTGGTGCCGCCTCTGGGAGAGCGTCCGGCGACGGTTGCCACAGTGGCGCCGGAGACCACGACCAACGCCTCGGTGCCGATCGTGCCGGTGGTGCTGACCACCGCCCCCGCGGAGACCACACTTGCCCCGGGTGAGACCGCTACGACCGCCAATGCCACCGGCCTTGCGGTGATCCCGGTCGTTGTCCCCGGTACCGGCGCGGAAGCCACCACCGCGGCACCGGTGACCGCCATGAAATTCCTCCAACTGCGCCGCCCGGTGAAGGCCGGCGATGAAGCGGAGATCGCCGCTCTGATCGCCGCGGCGTGGGCGGAAGCCAACAACCGGTCGCCCAACGATATCCAGGTCAACGTCACTAATATCGCCCCCACCGTCGACGAGAAAGGTCAGCCGTCTTCCAACATTACATACTTACTGACATCGCCGACCGCGCTCGTGGTCCCGGAAGGCCCGGCGATGACGCGAGTGCTGGCGCAGAAGAACTGGCCGGTGTGTGATCAATGTTTCATGGTGCCGGAGCAGAAGGTCTTCATGACCATGCCTGATCCGCATCACATCGACCCGACGGAGATCCGCAAGGGCCTGAACCAAGGGGTCACCCTGGCCAATCCGGACATCGATAGCACCAGGCTCCAAGTGGGCTTCCCGCAGTCCTCCCCACCCAAGGCCACGGAGCTGGTCAGTGAGGATCAAAAACGGCTGCTTCAGGTCAACTATTTCGTGGCGGCAATCAATAACCAGAACCAACTGATGGGAGCACTTCCGCCCAAGGTGGACCAGGTCCAGGCGCAGTTCCCGGACCGCACCGTGTACGCCGAAGGGGATGCGCGCCTGCGTGAACCGGTAATTCTCCACATCCAACGCCGCGATGACGCCTGGCAGCCGGAATACAACAATCCGGATCAGGTCCGCAAGAATATCCGCGAGGAACTGGAGCGCATCGGGGATAAGGCGGTGAAGAACGTGGCCGCCCAGCGGAATCTTCCCTGCAACGACTGCACCGGAAAGGTCCTGGATGTCATGGATCTGTACGGCCGCTTCGGGCGACACTTCCTGAAGGTCATCATCTACCCGGAGAACATCGGCAACGGCTACCCGGATGCCAGCGTGATTGCGGATATTAAGAAGGAAGCGGAGGGTCTGATTAATAACTCCAAACAGCCCATCACGGTATCACCAGAATCGGACCGAGCTACGATGGCTACGGATCCGGAGAAGGTGTACTTCAGGGATTACCGCGGACGCCCGACGATCTATGACATACGCAATAAGGAGTCAGAATTCCTGCAACCTTGGCTCAACATCAACCCTGATTGTAAACCCGTCGGCAAGGTGGACTGCGGTCTGCATGCACTGATGCTGTCGGCGGAAACCCGGCAAGCCATTTCTGACGGGTACGTATGTATAATACACAGAATGTAGGCACGATGTAAGTGCTTTGTTTAATGCATACTCGGCAAACCAGCGCCTCTCTGTTCGAACCCACTGCTGGCTAATTATGCTCATTGGATGTGTTCCTGTTGTACTCTGTTTGTTGTGTTTTTTTGCTAAAGTTGTGAATCGCGGACCGGGTGAGTCGGGGTGACCGATTTCAGTTTTTTAGTTCTACATTTTACATATATGTCAAATATGTGTCCATGAAAAAATTTAATCAATTTTTTAATAGGTCCAAGGTGACACGCGTGTACTACATCGTGGAAGCCAAATCACCATACGTCCATTATCCCATACCCAGGGACATTAACACCCCGATCCCCAGCCAACGCCTCCGCTCCATTGTCATGCCGAATAGCAGCCATGCCGCCCACAACCTCGCCGAACGCCACGCCAAGCACGCTCGCTCCGTGATGACACGAGAAGCCCATCGCTTCCGTCGCCAAACTGGCGACGAGGCGCCTCCCACCGGCGGTGAGGCTGCCACGCCTGTACAAGGTGCCGCTGCCGCTGTTCCAGCCACCCCGGCGCCAGAAACCGTCGCGCAGCCGGTACAAGCCGCCCCACAGCCAATACAACCCGTTCCGCCGCAAGTGGACACACCCGCACAACCGGTCGCAGCCGTCGTTCAACCAGTAGACGCCGTTGTGCAGCAACCAGCCGCCAACGTCGCGCCGGCGGACAACGCCAACGTCCAGCTGACCAATTCCACCGCGGCCCAGACACCGATACAGTTGTACTGCTACATGAAAAACAACGGCACGTTCATCCCTTATTTCAGCGAGACCGTACTGGCCCTGAAGGATGATTCTCAGGGAGCCGGTAGCGCTACCAATGCCCCCGCCGTCCCGGCGGCAGCCGCAGCCCCGACCACAGCGGCACCGAATGCCGGCAGCGAGGACGACGCCTCGCTCCGAATCGGCGCACCCCAATGTACGGACTGCGTTTGCGGCATTCCGGCTTATAAGATTCTTCTCAAAGGTCACGTTCCTAAGGACCAAGTGGCCAATGTTACCAGGGACATCGGCCGAGCGTGGAGGGATACCCATGGTGCTATTCTGAAAGATGAAGCCGGCATTGATCTGGATAAATGGGTGCCGTATGTTGTCGAACAGGAACCGAACTACGATTACCGCGATGCCAAATAGTAAGCAAGACGGAGTCAATTAACTCATCTCATATGTTAATTACATCAGCTGACAGTTTCTTTTGACAGTTGACACTTTCTCTTTGCAGCGGTAACTTAACATACTTAACGTACACGATCCTCGTGGCGAACGGAACAACGGATGATTTACTGATCCCCGATTTGACGCAAGAGCAACTGGCAGCTTACGGCGCCAACGCCACGTACCCGCCCTGCAACGACTGCCATCCGCTGATGGACTACGTAGCGTTTGTCGGTGGTCTGCCGACCGACAATGGCACCAACAGCGTTGTGGCTAAAGCGCTGGCCGACACCTGGAGCGATGGAAATCGGGAAGCGGTCAAGGTTGCTGGTAGCCCATTCACTGTTGATCCAAACTACTCATTAACAGGAGGCTACAGCGCTAAGATTGGGTAAGAGCTGCGTTTGCATACAACAAGCGTACGGTGGAGAATTGCATTGTAAAAAAGGATTACATTAACGGTTTTAAGGCTTTTAAATTAACGGCTCGTGGTTGACAGAAACGCCAGCATTCCCGTACAGCGTCTGGATTACACGGTGGCCGTTCCGCCCAACACAACATGGAATATGCTGGACTGGACTGTCATCGGTCTGCCCGACTTGGAAACTTTCAACAGCCACTTCCGCTCGGACGTCAGTCCCAATGCCACGGTGTATCCTTATGAAACGGTGACTGCTACCAGAGCGGCATCGACTGAACCTGAATACAGGCTGACAACAACGGTAAGGCAGAAGAGTATTTCGAAAGTCGAACGCAGGTCTAACCATGGAACGTATGTGTTTGCAGCCCAACTGGCTACCGGCAGCCATTATTGTTCCTCTCTTCGGTGCCATCCTTATGGTCTTGATAATTGTCTGCCTCATAACAAGGGCAAGGTAAGAACGCGCCTTTCAACTAAGACTTCCGCTGGTATTGTTTTTGTCACCAAATGTCGTTGGTTTTATTTTTTTTTAAAAAGTGGAAGTGTCGGTGTACTTGTCACCGTTGTTACCAAAGGTCGTCGGCTTTGATATTTTTAATTAAAAAAATGGATGTGTAGTTGTATGTCACCACTGCCACCAAATGTCGTCTGCTTTACAGTCGGATCTTCCGCAGCAAGAAGACCGTGGTCATCACCGACCCGGCCATGATCCAGACGATGCACCCCAATGATTCGCCTTTCAAAGAGGGCAACGGCAAATCCAACCATGGTTTCGATGATTTCCACGGTGGTGTACGACAGGATATCAGCAAAGTATGAAAGGAAACGGCATAGTCACGGTACATTGCGAGAGTGTGCCGTGTGCGCGCCGGTGTTTGCTCAGTATAGTCCTAGATTTTGACCAATTTACTTCTCCCCCCGGACAAAGAATGTGGCTTTCTTTTTTTGTGGATTTACGACTATAATTGTGTAGGTCAATATTCTTACATGTTACTCATTGGTTAGTGAGATTTTCCCTTCAGGTTGCGCAGCTAATTGAGTGTTGACTTGAGGCTTTGATATTCTTCCTTTGGCATTCTTCGCTTAGTTGTTGTTATGTTTGAATCAAAACTGCTGTGTTTTGTTTCTCGCTGTTAAAATTGTTCTGCATGAAATACTCTTATCGGCAAAGATGTTAATGTTATTTTGTCACAAATATCATCTTATGGCTTCCGAATCATACCGGTGTATATAAATGTCGCAGTCCTGATAGTTATTAACTGCAGTTTTGTATGTGTTTACAATACGTATCTGTACTTACCATTAGTGCTTGCTCGAAAAGTTTTTAATAAAACAAGTGATTCGTTGCGGTCGTCGCACAGAGTGGAAAAAGAATCAGCGGTAAAATGGTTGTTGTCATTACATCTTTATCATTTAGGACATAGCTGGTGCAGAAAAAATTAGCGCTTCGTATGATTTATTGGATTTCACATAATTAATTAATTATGTAACTCGTAATTAGAAAGCAGCTTTACAAAGTTCGATATTCATTGATAACCAGATTATGCAGAAATTCATTAAAACTACTCGTAGCAATTATACACTCTTATATATTTTGACCTTTATGACACAATCATGCAAGGCCTGCCATAATAGATGCAAAGAAGATCTGTGTTGCTGTATTACGCTACTACATATAAATATGTGCTTACGTATATACAGATGCAATGAGCGAAAGAAATAACATGCATAATGTGACCAATTAATCTGTGTAGTCATTAGTGATCATTTTGTCAATAAGATCAAGTCGGTTGGCACGATTATTTCCGTTGGCGTAAGGTAGGCCCTGTGACAATGTACAGTATCTCTGGCCTTTCGTCCCTGAATGCCACAACAGTATTGTCGGTATCCGTGCTGCTGGAAATGGTTTCTGCATGCATGAAAATATGCATAGAAGGACCCAATCAGTCGACGACAGCTCAGCAGTACTTCCTGCTCAGAACTACGCTTGATCCTCGAATGAGTAATCCTTTCAATCGGCATCTCCAGATCGTGGGATGAGTTCTCTACTTCCTACGAAACCGACGGTTCTTGATTTCTGGCTCAGCTGAAGATGATTGACTTTAATATAAAAACGGTAAATTTTAAGCTTCTTTCCAAGGTATCACACAGACAAAAAAACTGATTTGGTGAATTCATTTTAAAAATTGCTCGGATGTATTCGCCTTTTTTCTGCTTCCATAATAATATATCACTATAATTATGCATGTCTATACATAAAAAGCCAGTTAATAATTTACGTACTTTAATTAACATTTGTCACACTTTTAATAATTTTGACATCATTTAAACTGAAATTTAAGTTGGAACTGAGTGTACTGCAGCAAACCTGGGACATTGATTCCGGTTCTGAGGCCGTCGGCTTTGTCGCATCATTAAGGATGGCAAGCAAAACCAACACGAGGATAGCAGAAAAAGCATGGCTGCTTTTTCTGCCGTTGGGGTTATGAATTTAGCTAGTGCTGGTGCTCACTTAACTCGCAAGCAACGTCATCTGGGCTAAATGCCAGCCTTATTACTGTATATACGAATTTGTACCACTGTTCGGCCCTAAAAAAAGGCACATGACGATGACGGCATTAATGTTGAAGCCCATATTAACGGTTCACTTACTTCCGCTTGCAGTACGATATGCATCTTCCTTAAAGGTGTGCTTGCTACGCGACTTGTATCGTAAATTGGCATATTGTTTACTGTAGGTCTATCATGAGATCTACATAGGAATCAACAAACCAATCCAAAATTCTGACCAGGGCACATTTCCCGGGCCTACAATCAAAACAGCTCATCTTTCGTAAAGAGGTATCATACTACCGTAGTCTGCTTTAAAAAATTATTTCATCTGCAGTGGTAGATGGGGCATGGCCAAAGAAAAATTAGATCATACATATTCAAACTGTTATTGTTCAGTACCACAGATTTCCATTACCAAAGAGTTCAATACCAAAGATTTTTCGGAATTTTTTTATTTTGCGCGCATTGCATTAGATATGCTCGTGAACCGCTTGTCCTGCACTGACTTGGCAGATGCCACCGCTGCCAGATTAAATTTCTAAAACTTTGTTTGCAGTCCGTAGGCAACGTTTTACGAGGTATGTACGAACACCAATGTTTTATTACACATTAGTCATTAACCAATAAAGTATTCCCAAAATTCGCAAAGTAGCTTATCAGCGCGGCGGCATAAATCAACGTGCATGAGATACAGATTCGTTTGGGCTGGACAACTGAAGCGTTTCATAGGCTCATCTAGTACAATGCACGCAAAATAAAAAAAAATCGGAGAAGCTGCTCTTACACTTTTTTTTCACAGCGTTACACTATTTTTATTTCGCGTTAAGAGCAACAATTTTTTTCACACATTCTGCATAAGTTCATGAGAAGCTGAAAAAACAAGCGAGTTACACAGCAACATCTACGAGTACAAACACAGGCGGGCGAATAACAGAAAAGATTTCGTCTAAATTCGTCGCCGGTGGTGCTGTTCCCATAATAGATGCTGCGTTTCCTGGCTGAATTTCGATGCTGATCCGTTGACGCAAAAACTTTAGTGCTCGAGGTTCGCCTGATTGCTGCTGGATCATCTTTCCTAGCACGTTAAACAGCCGGGTGGTTTCTGGTCCGAATGTTCCGTAGGTCTGGAAGGCCGCCATAAATGTGGTTACACCGATAGCCGATAGCACATTATAGCGCTATCGGCTATCAGTGTAACCATATTTGCGGCGTCCAGTGTATACGATAGTACCCTATCATTTTCCTCCCGCTGTACTGACTACTTAGATTGTGCGTACATGATAGAAAGAAACACAATGTGTGCGATCTTTAAATTACCAAAAAGGTAGGCAAACCAAATTGTTTTTAATAACGTCATACTCAGTGTTCGCGCTACAGTAACAAAAAAAATATGGCGCTGCCTAGTGGCCAGTATCTACAAGTATTCATGACTATTTACGTACGTAATGATAAGTCCACCTGGCAGTTTTCGTACAGTTTCTAGATGAATGAGTATCACGTTACTCGTAGTCTCGTACCCTTTCCAGCTTTGAACTGCGTTCTATGGCATTAATTACTGTTTAATTACAATCCACCTTTTATGCGCAGACCATCGTACGTTTGAACAAATTAGCTTACCTAACAATGGTAAAATAGTTCATAAAATAAAGCATAATTAAATTATTAATGCAACACAATTCGAGTTAAACTAATTTATGTGCATGTAAATTATCTGCTGTCGGCCCGTTTGCCGATTATAAGCGATAAGCCGGCTTGCGGGAACATGCTTCAACAAACGACAAACCGTAGAAGAACGCTACTGCTGGATGTACAATAGAATGAGCGACAGGTAACCATTTTCATCAAATTTAGACCGTTTAAGGTCTAAGGATGCCTGATAACTTTGTCAGTCAGTTCAAGTATACGGGCGCGATCATTTCCGTTTCAAAAAGGACAATACGTGTCTGTTGCTTCGTCCAACATCGCCACTCAGATGGTGTCGGTATCCGAGCTTCTAAAAGTGATTTCTGTATGTGCAAAACAGCTCATGAGCGATCCCGATAAGGGTGAGATAGGTTTCCGTCAGCCGAACTACAGTACGTGTCCATTCGGTGCCAGTAGCATCACCGACTCTGCTCCCTTCTTCAGGCTGACTGTAATATATACTTTTTAGATTTCTAAGGATTATATTTGCGTTAAGTTTCGTAGCCATTTTTCGACAGTTAGCGGGCATATAAATTACACGCAAAATGTACCTGGTATTCCGCCTTTGTCGCCCGGAAAATGGTATTCACACAACGTGGAGGTAGGCCGTCTGCATGAGCCACACCTCCCGCGTATAATCCGGCCGCACCCAGCACTCAATACGCGCCGTCGAGCGGGCCTGCACCCTGGGCAACACCAGCGTGGTGGCGCGACGGCCCGTTGGACTGTACTCCACCCCGTACTCGGACACCGTATCCAGTGCCACAGCGTCGGGCGGGACGTATTTGCGAAAGCTTCGCTGGCTGCTTTCTGGGTTAATAAATATCAAGGCGCGGAGCGGGTGCCTCTTGGGCGCCTCTAGCCACTGCCGGTTAAACCGCCAAATGAAGCCAATGTGACTGTCGAACTGCTCCATGGGATGGGTGACGCTGGTCACGCACTGCAAGCGAGCTTCCGCCGCCCGACGAACGGTGACGTTAGGCAGCGGGATTGGGAAGAGTTCGCTGGCGGTGGGCGTCACCCGCAGACGGAAGGCTTGCAGCCGGCAGAATCGCAGCGGCTCATCTGGGCACGTCTGTTGGCATTCCACTACGCCTCGGTCGCTCCACTTGGCGTTCTTCAGGATCAGAGTAGCGGCGGATGCCGGAATTTCTACGGCGGGACTAGCGTCATAGCGGGCCGTGACATCAATGCTGTTGCTGCTGTTGACAGTCACCACTTGACCGTTATGTGCCCAGGCAATGTCCGGCATCACCGTAATGTTGGGAGTCAGTGGCAGAGGACAATGGAATATAGCCTCGTCGCCAGAATTTGCCAACACAATGGGTAGGTTGTCGGCGGTGGCATTGGATTTTTCCTTGTTGTTATCAATCGGCAAATAAATTCTTCCGTCAACTGGATGACGAGCAGCATCATTCAGAATTTTATCCACTAAAGGATTCACAAAAAAGTATGACCTACTGTACCAGTAAGGTACATCCGCATTTACTCATAATAATTACGTCCATTATTGTACAGTGGACTTCGAAAATTACTTGACGTCGGACTGGGTAAGTTGCGCAATTTGATAAATCTGCCAGCGTCGCATTATTCTTAAAGGTCACTTTAAAGACAGTAATGACTAGAGTAACCCGGTATTATACAAGGACTTCAAAAATGTGGTTAAACTTACGTTACCACAAAACGCGCGAAACCAGGCACTTATCTGTAATTTAGCACCAAATTCCGGGCTGGCCATCGGCCTGCTGATATAAACATTTGCACCTTGCACATTTCCCAATCGGAAATCATCAAACAATATCTTAAACGAATGAAAAAATGGCAGGAATTTCGACGCCAAACAGATTATCTTTTCGAGATATACAAAGGAATCGAGCTATTTAAGTTTGTCGTAGACAATGCATACGATTTCTGCGTGAAAACGGAAACTAAAACCGTTGATCCAAATCCTATGCTATGTCTACGAGAAACTTAAGGGCCTCCATTTTCTCTTAGATCGCGTAAAGAAAAACCTGATTATTATTACCTCCTACCGAAACGAAGCGTCCGCGGCTTTAAAACAAGGTAAGTTGACCCCGTGCTGAAGCTGTTTTGGGAAAAGGCTTGGCTTGCTGTTTTGGCTTGCTGTTTTGGGGAAAGGCTAATACTCGGAGGAAAACTAAATCACTAACACCGCTTCCCTCTGTCGTCGCAAAGGGAAACGGTGCTCGTGAATTCGTATTGCTCCTTTTATTGAGTACAAAAGCTAGTGGAATGCTTGCTTCGGCTATTTTTTAGCATTTTCAACAGCATAAAGCCATTTTGTACCCAAATTACTGTTGTGAAATTTTCCCTGCAGGCTGCAGTGCAACGGCTAAAATGTCGTTAGCACAAGCAGATCTCTTATGGCGTCACATGTGTATTTATTACAACAAACAGACATCTGCTGTAGAATGGTCTTTGTAGTACCACTACCCGCTGACGTCGCATTAGATATTAGAGTACTTCATTCACGTAATAAGAAAGCGATAAGGAAGTAATGACGTAAATAGAAAGTTCGTTCTACTCTGTTACATGCAAAAGGGCAAGCAGGCACACATTCCTTCTTTGGTTAATGAATCGGTGTAGGCTGAGGTCAAAGAATACTAGCACTGTACAAATATTTTAAGATCACTCACACTGTGCAAAAGTACATTCCCAACTTCCATCTACGCACGCCAGTGTACTGGTTTCGCGTACTCTGCCGGTTTTTTGTACTGGGCATGCCAGACAAAAAAAGAAATTATGGGACATCCAGATCAGCGCTATCATATACAAATTTAGGGCGAAGCCTCTTGGTTCGGCGAGCACGATCACGCGGTGGTTGAAGTGATCGGTGCAGTGCACCGGCCAACTTTTGGAAGCGGGCCAATCAAGCGCGTGTAGCGACAATGGATGCCGCAGTGCCATAAAGACAACTCCGAAACGGGCGGGACATACTTACTTCACGACTGTCGCTTACACTACCAGTGGCCAGCGTGTTGCTTTATCTACAGGTGTTGACAGCGCTGCGACGACTGCAGATAAGAACATGCTGGCTTTACGACTGCACAGCCACCTACAGTGCAAACCTTCCTGTTTGTAAAGTGAAATGATGCTGCAGGCAGCAGTTCGCAGCCCGTTAAAAATGGCTCTGCAGACGTCGGACTGCAAAACCAAGGCAACAAGGAGCAATACGCATCGCTAAGCAACAGCACTGCAAATTCAGATTCAACCATTCAAAAAAGGGAATTCCTAAGCACACCGATGGAAGCACTGCAGTTCTAAGCAGTCAGTTTTCAGGCAGATGCTGCACGGCAATTTAATGTCGCGCTCTAGTTACATAAAGGACAAGTTTCAAGCAATTTTCAAAGTAATTTAATTTGCTCTGCTGTACGTTGCTTTGCTGACGAAATAATCCTGTTTTGCATTACCACCACGTGCAGTTAAAAGAAGTCGTTTGCGCCTCACGCTGGTTGAAGGAAATGCTACGGCTGTTTTAAACCCGTTACCTTTTCATTCGTGAGAAGGCAGAGACTTTAGTGTTTTTTTTAAAATTTTAACTATCAAGTAGTGTACCGGTACCAGGCTAACAGCGCTCGCAGTTTTTAGTACGTGGCAGCTACTCGTATTGCCAAGTATAAATCGCATCTACTGACTGCATAGCGTAATACTCACTCCCAGTGAAGCATGGCTCAGCATCATGTTGTTTCTCGCCGCATGCTCATGGTGAAGCATGGCTTAGGTTGGCATAACTTGTAACCCGCAGACTTTTTCTGACAAAAAGGGCTTAAAATTCAGGAATATAATATGTGTACAATAACATGCAAAACACACATCCATGTATGGAGACGGGACCCCAAATAGTGATCGTAGCTGGAAGATGAGGCAATAATAAAATGCTCCTGAACTCACATTCTGTAATAATAATACTTTTTTGTAGTTGTTATAATTATAATACTGATAATAAGAAACTTAGGCAATCTTCTGTGATTAATATTTATCTTCGCTTCGCTCGATAAAAAAGAACAAGGACTGTACGATACTTTGTGAGATACGTGCGTACATACAGTACATGTACACTTTACACATATGTAGGCGTGCTGTTCTGCTCTGCTTTCTATTTAATACTGATAGCATTAATTACTGGTCAATCAGATTTTCTGTTTTCAAAAGCAGTTGCAATAACCGACACATCACCGCAACCAAAGTCCAACGGTTCCAATGTATACTGTGTAGCATCAGAAGATCAAGCGCGCAGTTGCCCGTTAAGAGTGGTATTTTCATGCCGTATGCCAGACGGAAGATGGGTTCGAAGCTTTGTTTCCCGTGGGCAAATACGCCGAACATGACCGGAAACGGGCCCCAGCCATCAGATGGAATGGGAAAACATATAACAACAATAACAATAACAGCGCCTAATGTAAAACTGCACCCTCTGTTTTGCCATTATCTTCTTCACTGCGCCGTGGCGTATCTGTTCACTGCATTACATATATAATATTAATCTGTACTACAGATACACCGTGTCCATTCATTTCGGCCACCATTCGTTTCGGCCGCTATTTATTTCGGCCACCATTCATTTCGGCTTCAAAAGCTAGGTTACCCAGTTCGATTTTCAGTTTTAAACCTGTTGGCCTAACATTGTTAGGCTAACAATAAAGTGCGAAATTCGAATGCAAGCGTTGCTTTTATTTCTTTATGTTTGTTTTCTTATGCTTATGTTTTTTAATGTCGCTAGACACACATGGATCCCTGGATGATTGATTAATTTTGCCGCTCTAAATTTATGCCTTGTTTTACACTTATCCCTATTCTAATACACCATGGTTTATTAGAATATGGATAAGTATAAAACAAGGCATAAATTTAGAGCTAAAAAAACAAGGCATAAATTCAGGATAAGTATAAAACTCTTAAGATTTCAAGAATTAAACTTAGATACTCGTATTGGCGATTATAATACCCAAAAAGCGCAAATACAATATTGCTTTTTGTGAAAACGAAGCCAAAGCGTCGTCTACACAGCAACTTTCTGCCTGTCCGGCGTGGCCGCGACAGCAGCGCCGCTTTCGTGAATGCTTGAATTTATAGCCGACACCCCTGCTCTTCCACAACCTAGCGCATGCCCAAGCTAATCTGAATCCACAAGACCGCGCCTGCATGCACGGCCGGATCTCTTCGAAAAGGCATGTGTCGGTCTCATTTCCGGTTTACACGCGTAGCTGAAACAAAGACCCCTAACTGTAGGTGCTGAGAAAACCTATTTTTTACCAGGCGACGCATGGGCGGCATGTACATATGAGGAACAGTGAAAGGATGGGGACTGAGTCACCGATTACGTTAGCTGTACCGGCGACTCACGTATTATGTATCGCCTATCCAAGCCTGTGGTGCACTGCCAGTAAGAGCTCTAATACATGTGACGAACCGGTGCTATTATTTATATAATGAAACTTAATACCCTTGTGACCTTGTCGATAGCATGTCTTACAAATTTATAATCGATTATTTGCGCATCAGCAGCAGTGCTTAGAATTAAACAACATCGGGGAAGCGGTGATGGTATAAGTAAATACGTGCAAAGTATAGATCATATATTCTATATAATACATGCAATATAAGAAAGCCATTACACACACAAATGATATAGCTATATCATACTTGCAATTAGAAAAGTGCCCGAAAAATGAAATGTTGCGGATTAAGTCGGATGGTTCATACTAATTGTATTTATGATACAGGTATATGTTTACAAGCCCAGCACGGATGAATATTGGCCGATGACTATTAAAAAACAAGTATCGGTCGCGCTAGCGCGCGACCAGTTGTGTTCAAGGTATGGAAGAATAAAAGAAATTACAAAATATACTTCGTACAACTATAAAATATTTCAAATATAAAACCCACCGAGGCCAGCTACCAAAATATTTTAAACATATAAAAATGCGGACAGCTTTCAAGCTTTCCGGTTAAAATCGATCAGTTTATAAAAACTGTAATGTAATAATCTCCTTGATTTTTCTTTTCGTTTTTCTTTTTCATATTTTCAGTGTAACTTTATATTGATGATCTAGCCAACTCGAAACTTGAATTTTTTGGTACGACAGATCGTATTTAAACGGTGATAAAATGGATGGCGTGGGATCACTTACACGATGCCCATAAAACACCATTAAGCCGATATTTCGGCGCAGAATTAATGAAACTTGTGGGAAACAATAAACGGTTGCTCAAAATGACCTCGCAGACTGCATCTTTAGCTACTAATACTGTCCGCGTGTGGCGGAGCAGGGCTGTAATTGCAAGATTTTCAGCCATTCAGCAAGCTGTTCAGTATTTAATAAAATAAATTAAATAATAAATACATATTTATTAGATTTAGAGGTTAGTGAATACCTGAGCTGCCATCAGTATTACAAAGTAACGTAGGTTAGTGAATGCCCGAGCTACCACCAGTACAACAGAGCCGCTACGTTATTGAAATCAGTAAATGGGCCGCGGGCCGGCTCTTAGATATTTAGGAATTAGATACTCGTATCAATTAAACACTTTAGACCGTGAGATATTGAGGTACTCAGATTTCTAGATATTTTAAAAATTTAGAAGGTCTGGAGGCTAAAAATATTTAGAGGTAACGGCCCCGCTGCGCGGGACCGAGTCAAAATATTTAGAAATTCGGGAAATGTAAAAGCTTTAAAGCCGACTTTGGAAGAATTTATAGGTATTTGGAGGTAATCGAACGGATTTAAGAACGTGTTAAAGGTTTCTAGAATTATAAAAAATAAAATTATGTTTGATGTATAATATTTGGCAATTTTAAATAACTACTTATTGTTTAGGTTGCTAAGTTGCGAACTCTCTAGAAGCTAACAGCATTTAAGTACTACAAACATCGGTCGCGCTAACGCGCGACCAGTTGTGTTTGAGGTATGGAAGAATGAAAGAAATATGTACAAAGTATACTTCGTACAGTAATAAAAAAAACTTTGAGAAATACTTCAAATATAAAACCCCAACGAGGCCAGCTACGAAAATATTTTAACATGTAGAAATGCGGAAAGTTTTCAAGCTTTCCGGTTAAATTCGACCAGTTTTATGAAAGCTGTGAAAACCTCCGTAATTTTTTTTCATGGTTCTTTTTCACGGTGATAAAATGGATGGAGTGGGATAATTTACACGATGCCCATAAGAAAACATTTTTCGGCGCAGAATTAATGGAAACTTGTGGGGAACAGTTAAAGGTCGCCCCAAGTGACCTCGCAGGCTGTATCTTTAGCTACTAATGTAAGATTTTTCAGCCATCAGTCAAGCTCTTCAGTAATTACCAAAATAAAATAAAAACATATTTATTAGATTTCGAGGTTAGTGAATGCCCAAGCTACCACCAGTATCCCAGAGCCGCTATGTGAGTGAATACGGTAAACGGGCCACGGGCCGGCTTTTAGATATTTAGAAGGAAACCGTTACAGGCAACCCCTAAAACCCCCGTTTGTTATAGGCAATCATTTTGAGATGTTATTTTATTTATAATTATTACATATTATAAACACAATAAAATATTATTTACATATTCTGACATTAGTTTATTATCGTTTTATACGTTTCCTGTTAACGTGAAAACTTTGACGCCGAGGCCATCGGAAGCCATGAAGACTGATGTAGTATTCGCATCACTGGAAAATGTAGACGACCTGAGGGATCATGGACATTTTCGTGTGGTGGGAGAAGAAAACGCTCTGGAGACTTTCCTTGAGCAAGTACAAAAAGGTTTTTTACGAATGTGTGCAGTGTGCACCATTGAGGAAAAAAAAGGGGTGCCCCGCTGTCGCCGCATGTCCAGCCCCAGCTGTACCGTAGCGAACAGGTCAATGTAGTATTTCCAGTTGTCCAGCTTCAGTTGTCGGGTCAAACCAGTGCGGCCCAATGGTGTCCTCTTACATTGTTGAACTGACCTCTACTTTTCTGAGCCTCCAGAGTTTCAAAATTTTAAAAACGTCTAACAATGTCTGAGTACCTCAATATCTCACTATCTTAATTGTCTAATTTATATATAATTTCTAAATATCTAAAAGCTGGCCACGGTCTGTTTACCGTATTCATACACGTAGCGGCTCTATCATACTGTGTGCTTGGGCATTCACTGCCTCGAAATCTAATAAATATGTATTTATTTTATTTTAATAAATACTGAAGATTTCGACTGATGGCTGAAAAAAGCTTTAAATTAGTACTTAACTAAAGATGCAGCCTGCGAGGTCAGAAAGCTTGCAATTAGTAGCTAAAGATGCAGCCTGCGCCGTTACCTCTAATTTTTTGAGCCTCCAGAGTTTCGAAATGTTAAAAATGTCTAGAAATGTCTTTAAAAATGTCTTTAAATGTCTAGAAATGTCTAGAAATGTCTTTAAAAATGTCTAGAAATGCACCCCGTTTATTACAGGCAAAGGGGTGCCTATAATATACGGTGGTTTTAGGGTGTGCCTATAGGGGTACCCTATTTAGAAATTACATATAAATCAGACAATTAAGACCGTGAGATATTGAGGTACAAAGACATTTCTAGACATTTTTAACATTTCGAAACTCTGGAGGCTCAAAAAATTAGAGGTAACGGCGCAGGCTGCATCTTTAGCTACTAATTGCAAGCTTTCTGACCTCGCAGGCTGCATCTTTAGTTAAGTACTAATTTAAAGCTTTTTTCAGCCATCAGTCGAAATCTTCAGTATTTATTAAAATAAAATAAATACATATTTATTAGATTTCGAGGCAGTGAATGCCCAAGCACACAGTATCACAGAGCCGCTACGTGTATGAATACGGTAAACAGACCGTGGCCAGCTTTTAGATATTTAGAAATTATATATAAATTAGACAATTAAGCTAGTGAGATATTGAGGTACTCAGACATTTTTAGACGTTTTTAAAATTTTGAAACTCTGGAGGCTCAGAAAAGTAGAGGTTACGGCCCCGCTGCGCGGGGCCGAGTCGAAATATTTAGAAATATTTAGAAATTCTGGAAATGTAAAAGCTCTGGAGCCGACTTTGAAAAAATTTATAGTTCTTTTGAGGTATTCGAACATGTATTTAAAAACATCTCAAAGGTTTTAAGAATTAAAAAGAAAATATAATTTTGATGGAATTGACAATTTAAATAACTGTACAGATCTGTAGTTTAGGTTGCTAAGCGGCCAAACTTGTATTTGCTTATTCGAGACGTTTCCAGAATTTACTGGAAATTTCTATGAACTTTAAACGCTAAGTACAGAAAGTTCGAAAGGGTTTTTGAAAACGTTCCGGAAACCAAAATTTTTCTCCAAACTGCAGGTAGGAAGCTTTGGAAGATGCTTTATTTTATAAAATTAACAGCTTAGTGGAAAACTCAATGTTGATTTAGGAGATAATTTCCAAAACTAACAACCTTTAAATACTAATTATCTTTAAGTACTACAGCCTCAAAAAATTTTTTTAGACCTTCTCCAAAACTTAAGATTTTTTTAATGATAAAGGTAGGAACGTTTGTGCGATGCTCTATTTCATAAAATTATCAACTTATTGAAAAAATGAATTTTGATTTAAGAGATAATTTCCAAAAAATAAGGACGTAAGGATATATGAATCTATTGATAAGTAACTCTAAGCATGTGTTGGTTTGCGGTCGCTAACAGACTGTCATATAACATTAATAAACCCGTACGTATGTTTAGTAATATCTATATTATGATACATTTTACAAAAGTTAATCGAAACCGGAAACACGGACTGTTTACTTGTACATACAGTACATAACTTGCAATGATGTCTGACGTGATAATGACTAACGTGTTAAGTTACAGTACATGAATTTTTTACTTTGTATTGTACTCGTACTTATTGTTAAGTAGCAGCTCAGATATTTCTACTGTTCTGGGTCAAGTTGTGTTAGAACAGTGTGTATTTCTTATCGCGTCCATGGTAACAAGCTTATGATTGACCACTGGACTCAGACAAATGATTTTGACAAAAAGTCAACATTCTTGGATCCACCGCTATACCTAGAGAATTTTGATGTACTTTAAAGCAACAAAATTGGTGAAGTAGAAGCCGAGATCCTTCGCCTCAAAGGACAGGGGCCGAAGTCCTGGCACAGATAATCAGTATTCATATAACTATATAATATTGAAATGTGAAGAATGCACTAATGAAGCATCCAGTGTGTAGGGTAGTTTACCCGGCGTACTCTGTATACTCCTGCGAGTTTACGTAGCCCGGGGCTGTGGGTGGTTGCATATAAGCGCAGGTGTATGCACGGTTGGGTTGATCGGATGAGTTGGGCGGTCAGGCAAATACAAATGCATTTATATAATTATGAAGGGTCTTGATCGGAAACTCGGGGAAGGATAGTCAGCATACTCGATGTCGACGGAATTCCGATATAATTGTGGTATAGCCTAACGCGTCAAGGACTCAAGGTGGAAAGGAAGTGCGGGAAAACCGGCGGGTGGCCGATTCTAATTCAGTGCATTCTCTGCAAAAGCAAAAACTATTGTTGGTCGTACATGGCTGAAAAAAATGCATATTACCCACCTACACAAGATTTTCCTGTTTGCATTTAAGTCTATTTATTGTGTTTAAAAACAGTGCAATAATATGGAAGAATACTGCCGCCGTTTATCCGCTAATCGCGCTCCATACGTTGCGGTGGATTAACTGTATTTTACCAATAGTAATTTTTGTACAATGTTTTTTTTTAGGTGGTGAATGGTTGTTATATTCCGGGATGGCCGGAAGGGTTTTGGAAAAGGCTTTTATTAATTACGCAGGCTTAAAGATAACAGTTTCGCAGAAATTCGGTTGACCTTTAATCTAATGCTTAAGGGGAGCAATTGCATATCGCATTATTGCGCAAAAGTAATTACAAGTTTGATTAACGGCTTAAATAATAAATTTTTATGTACCGCTAATCCATTTTACTATTATCACTTTTCGCTACAGCCGTTGGCATCATAGTTTGGTGTGGGTCATTATAAGATTTTAACAGTACGGGGATACATTCTGGGACGGGTTTCAGAGTCGGGAAAGGTCTCTAATCGAAGAAAATGCTGAAAGCGTACATAATTTGCCTGAATCCGCTCACCTTGTACGCCACCGTCACTCGGAAATGGCTTTCAGTCTACCAGGTGATCTCCCCAGACACTAGTAAGTCATTCCGAACAAATCGCTTCCAGACCCACCACATGCTCAACGCAAAAACGATCCCAAAGGCCACGGAGTAAAAGGTCATTTCAGTGTACGTCGGGAGCTTAGCCGCTGGCTGCTCGGATTGTGGAATTGGTTCTGGTGCCCTGCAGCTGCAGCACTCTCTAGCGAAAAACGTTTCCGCGTCGATTGCTGGTCCACCGGGCAGGTTGACAACCGGCAGTTTGTTTAACTCAATTATCCTCCCATTGGACATTAGGTTAACAATAATTGTGGTGTTATTAAACTCCGTTAACGAAGCATATGTTAGACTGACAGTTCCAATAAGAAGGAAGCAATACTTTGTGAAAAAGGTCATCGTCGCTTTAAAAAGATCAACTGTGAATTACAACACTGTGCTTAATTCCTCAACAACCAGGTCGAAATGTGTAATTAAAATCGGGCAGCACTCTCCAAAAACCCCTGCATAGCACTATCCTAATTCCTAATAACAGCACATAACGCACAGCTTATATCCGCTGGAATTATGCAGCCCCTTATAATAAGAGCTCCCGCAGAGCTTGTTGAATTACGGAACAACAATCTGGACGAAAGATTATGATATGTTCCATCCGGTAAACATTGGTACCACCTGCAACTGCTCCTTTTTATGAATTGGGAAATTAGAATAATGAAAGTGCGCAAATATTCTTGTCAGTATATACATCGGACTTCAAAATCATGTTTACGCATATCCCATAGCGCTGTCGGCTGTGGGTTTATACAGTGTACATCTTTATAAAGTCCACTGGATACTTGTAGTATGCATCTGTGTTACTGCATGCAATACACAATTGCATGTACTCTGTACACTGAAACGTTGCATGTACTCTGTACACTACATACCTAGACGCGATGACGCGGTAGATGTACAGATAATGTAAAATCTGGAAGCACGTAATTGAAGGGGCAAAAGTGCAAAAACGGTATCAATTTTCCTCACATATATATAGGGGGCAAAACTAAGCGTGTTCCATGGTTCCCCTGTATTGCTGCCGTCACCCGCCTGGAGTGTAACGTTACGGCAATACATATGGTTAAATCTGGCGCGGTACATAAGCGCCATGTTTAGCCACAACGTAAAACTCTAGCCGGGTGACGGCAGCAATACAGGGGAACCGTGGAACACGTTTAGTTTTGCCCCCTATATGTGTAGGTCGTTGACTAATCATGATCCTTATCTGCACTATAATCGTCCACATCCGCATGTACATATGCAAATTTGTTAGGATAATATCGCAAGAAAAAAAGTCTACAAACGGCAGTGTGGTAATGTTAGTTTTGTATTTTAACGGCAAAGTTTTTTAAACGGCGTTTTTGAGCGGCAAATGAAAACGGTAAAGGTAAAGGCTTAGGATTTCACGGTTTTAAGGCAAAGGTAAAGATGGAAAGGCAAACTGAAACTTCAACTTTCTAAACTGAGTGGCAACATAATTTTCTTGACTGCAGATGTGCAGTGTACAGTTTATTGCCGAATCAAGTTGCTAACAAAGTTAACTGCCAAATCACAATACTACGGTGGACTATCGCAGGAAATGAGTCATACATAATTGTACGTAACATATCGTATGTACTGTTTATTGGTGGTACTCTAGAAACAATTAACGAAGGCGTCGTTTTCAAATGTGATACAAAGTGTTAGAACTCAAAACCGATAAAATTGCTTTAATACAAAACCACAATCTTAGATAAGCAGTCAATGAAACATCGTCACTGCTTATCAAACAACCGGAACTGTTTTCGCAAGCGTAAAGATGTGCCTTAATTGTGAACTGAGAATCTCCGTATACCGCAACGTATTGTACATATCAGATCAATTAGAGGGGTATCTTGCTACAATTATCAGCATTGAAATGACGTTGAGGACAATCAACCACACCAACCCTGAAAAGTGTTGTTTGTGTACATGTACATTTATGCAGGATGTACCGTTTATCTGTATACGCTCTTTAGCAAGCCTCATGAAAATCATTTTCCCGTTTAAAAATGAAAATTTTTTTATTATGCAGAGAAATTGTGGCCTGATCTGTGGCGGTCTTGTAGTACATGTCGTTGTAGTGAGTTCAGTAGCGATTGTATTGTTCTTCTGTGATTTGAGCGAGGTACCTGCGAGGGCTAGAGGTATATAAGCGAGGTATCGCGCAGTTGTAAAATAAGCGTTTGTAATTCCAACAAGCTAGAGATCTGATCTCGATGTGACTAAATTCACGGTTTGATCTCGTGTTCGATTTCGGAGACCACTTGGTGACCTTTTACCTTAAGTCTTCAGTTGCTTTTTATTTAATTGGCGCTCGCATCCGGATTCGGGACTGCATTGCAAACGTGGTATCCTCAGCTTCTCGTTCCTTTATTGACCTTTCGGTCCCTCTGTCCTTCATTCCCAGCTAAAGCCTGGGGACGGATTACTATCGCTTCTGCTACCATCTAGCGTACAGGATCGGTAAATATTACCATTCTTCTTCGTGCATATTTCGCGTGTTTGCAGCAGGAATTCCTGTGTTCCAGTCTTGTACTCACATTTAGGCCATCCGTTACCATTCAGGTTTCTGTAAATAATTTGAGATAGAAAGTGCTTTACTGATTGTGTCGTGGTCGGTATTTATGGAATAAGGTCTTTCATTCGCGGCACATCTGCCCAACTCGAACTGCACTTACAACGGAAATCAGCTTAACTACTTGGAACGAAACCTTAATATTCCAGCAGATTTCGATGTCAACCTGGTACTGGGCTCTACCAAAGAGCTACTGCCCATGTGCCCAACTATGCACAGTTCTCATAGTGACACACTTCGCGAACAAAGCGAACCTCTTCTGTTCCGTGACGCGCTTACCGCTGTCCGTTTTTATGGATTCTGAACAACCGCAAATGCGACACTGTATCCTTATTTACGGTTTGTACAAAATGTTAAACATCAGTTAACGTGGTTTCAGATAGAACGTAGTCAAGTTGGATATTTGGATAACGAGTTTTTCCGTGGATTTCGTCCGTTGAATACCGAAAAACTTACCACAACGACACAGAGACAATTTCGCCCGGCGCATTTTAGCTACTAACGTATCCTCTGGTCCCAGCACTGAACATTGGCATTGCGCCAAAATTGGCATTTATCTCTCTTCAGGGCAAATTAATAATGGAAATTGCCTGGTCGGTCTTCGAACCATTGGCTCAAAATTTGGTAAGCTAGGTATATTGCATCGCATTTGCGTTCGTCTGCTGTTACTTAAACCATATCATTTATACGGATAATCATTTACAGTATTTGCGTTTATAGGAACATCTACATCTTAACCAATGGGCTATCCGGTCAATGGAGCGGAGCGGCATACACTTTACATTATCATTAGTTTCTCTAAGAATGTCCCAGTTTGGTCTACCAACAATTCCAAAGAGCGTCCTAAGCACGCTAACCCCGCGAGATCCCATCGCGCCAAGTTTGGCGCAGCAACCCACGAATCGGGACTGGAATTTCTGGACGCCTAAATTCTGTCCGTCAAGCAGCAACTGCTCCTGCTGCGAAATGAAAGATTTTTTGGAATGGGCCGGAAAAATTAACAAACCTACCAGCCAGCGTCCGGTCAGCGTACTGTTCATGTGTGGTGGCGCTAACGGAGTAAATTATAATCAGACCTCCCAATTTCCGCTCGATCTTCATGCTCAGTGTAAGTGAGCAATATAACAACAAGCTATACGAGCAATATAACAACTCAACTTTTTACTGTAGTTTATGCGCGTTATTTGTATACTGTCAGCGTATCCAGAAATATTTAGGATAACGTTTAAATTTCATAGGCGCGGAACCAGTGAAGATATCCAAGCCCGTTGTGTGTTATAAACCGCCTCCGATCAAAGTGGAATGCACCGGCAACTTACATGTGACAACCAGCGAACCGAATCTACGCCGAACCGATGCGGCATCCCTTAGTGTATCGGCTGACAGTAGTTTCCGTTGTCGGACGTTTTTGTATAATATCCATTCTAAGATTCTACAAATGGCCGAAGAAGGCAAAGAAGTCAATCAAACCGCACCGCGGACAGTCACCGCAACGTGCAATAACGGGATGATTAGCGCTGATATGTTTGATGCTTATGCGGCTGATGTTACGAAACTGACATTCGATAGCGATGCAAGCACAAACTGCCGAGACAAATTCGACTTGTTTCTAAATTTCGTCTACGCACAGAAAGATCCACAGACTCTTTACGAGGACGTGGTACCAACCATCATTCCTGTTGATCGCTGGATTAACGAGTTTCAGATTTGCTCGGATACACCTCCATTAACGCTCTCCTGCAATGGTGCCATCGGCTGCATTCCCGAGAATTAACATTTCGTCGCATAACTCCACAAAGCTGCTGTTTAAGACAACCAGGTTTTCCACTGCAGGAAAGCACTGAAGAACATTCATAAATATCTGCTCGAACAAAATAATACGAAAGTGGAAGATGCCGTGGAGCAAAACCATACAGACCCCCTGATTGTGGTGTGTCAGAAAGGTCAAACCGTGATATCGCACGGAACACAGGAACAATCCACATTTGCCAATATCGAATACTACGGTACTCCGCACCGGATCAGCTGTGCCGCAATGCTTTTGGTAAATTTGTTAACCGTTTAACAGGACTGTTAAATGTCCGCTCAGAGCCTGAATAAAACAGTCATCTTCGAGGATCAGCATTTTCGATTGACAATTTGAAACGGAACGCTCTTATACTTTGTACATCTGTCAATGGGTCCACTATGGGAAAGCTACAACTAATTTAACCACCAGCAATTCCGTTTTTCCTGCTAACTGCGCATGATTAAAGAACTGCGAATAAAATTACGCTCAATTTGTATCGTAATGTATATACTCCAAGTCTCCAACTGATTGACCATTTTCAATACTCTATAGTGTCTGTACACTATAAATTCGTGTTCGTGCATGTACGAAAATCCCGAACATCTTTTTGCACTTTCTCACATGTACACAATTTTTGGAGAACAGATAACTTTACTCGGCGAAAATTTTCCGGCACAAGATACATATTTGAAATGAAACCGCTTGGTGATGTATCTTGATATGCAATAAATATTCAGACCTGAACTCCCAAAGCAACACTGTGTTTTTCTTTCAAAGTAACCTTGATCTAACGCTGCTATGGTACGAACTACGCAATACAAAGCCGGTTGTACAATATGTAAGTGCATTCGAAGTTAATTGTATTTTATATTACAAACACAGCCTATTTATCTAATTTAACCAGGACTAAGTATTATGATCGTTTTGGTAAATGGTCAATGATGAAATAAAGTTTTTGTAAATACGGTTCTTATAGTCGTCAATATCTTTGAATGTGCGTTCGGTGTGCCACAAACAGCTGCTGCCTTTCCTGTGACCGCTCCTAAATTTAAACGCTGTCTCAAATAGCGGTTTAACGAGGCTCCCCGATATCTTCACGGATCTTCCGGTTGGCGAAGCGGATGAACTTGGCAAAAGCCGTCTCGATTAATGAGATGCTGTGGTTGCTATCAACGGGTGTTTCCTTTAGATCCATGGCGCATATCCTAACATAGACAGTCATGAGAGAGGGTTTTTTCCAAGGTGATCCTGCAATTTTGCTGCAAAAGCCCAGTTTTTTTTGGCAACAGCCGACAGCGTATACCGGCCCACCATAACAAAAATGAGTTGTCAGTTAAAAAGTACGTAAGTATATCGACAGCATTGCACGATTAACTATGTCGTAGAATTACGCAGCAGTTAACTTTATATTTTTATTCCATTCACTCTCGCTGATTTCGCACGCTATAGTACTGTTGAATTTTTAAAGAAGTAAAGCTTATTTGAGTTCTTACGTTGCCAGACTGGAGACCCCAAATCACAGGGGACATCTCCACACATAAATACTTTAGCCTTGAGAGTGATATGTGGGCTTTAACTATGTATAACAACCATGAGCTTTACAGGACAGCACAGAAAGGTCAGCCGGGCCTTTTAAGGAATCTGTTTTGCTGTAGATGATAAATTTTAGTAGGTTTTTACTTGTTGGATAAACAAATTGGCAAACCAAATTAAGTTAGATTACAAGATCGACCAATAACCTAGCAGTCTTGACCACCATTTGATAGCAATGAAAGGTCGGTTAGGTTTAGGAAAATTCTTGCAGTCGATAAGCTCTTGAGCGCAGGTTTTACAAGTGCCATTTCTGGACGGCTTGAACGACAGTTCTGTTCCGCGGTTATTTTAGCCTGCTGGCCGGTATTAAAGTTATCTTAGATGCGTATGTTTTATGCGCTGCTCTGATCACTTACTGTGGCCATAATATGGAATATTCATTAATTCCGTTAGCACGCTGATCAGCGCTGATTAAAACAGACGCCTCTAAAAGCTTAACACTTATTGCGCTATACAGTTTTTTGCTCCGATAAATTTGTTTTTATGTTAATTGTTTTCGAAATCTTAAGTCGAAGTCTTTTGGCATTTGCTTGCCTCACTGAAAAAGTTGTTCAGTTGAAAAGAATGGAAATGTGTTATTTTTATTAGAATATAATAATCTCTATGCAACCTTACAGTGACGATTTTTTGAAGGTCACCTTGAAGTTTGAACTTGCAGTTTCACCGATCATACCGGCATGATGGCATCTGTTGGACTAATTCCTGGCAATTCTTTTGCAAACAAAAATGCATGTAACACAGCTTCCGAAAACCTACGCTGACTCGGATATCATTACCAGTTTCTTGATTAATTTTTTGGTTTACTCCAATCCGGAGGTTACGGGGTAGTTATATAATAGATGTGGTTTCTTGATCCAGAAATACTATGGTATAAACATGACACGTTCCAACTTTTCCAGACCACTGTCTTCCGTATTGTCAATCAATAGGATCATGATTTTCTACGTATACTAGGACGCAGTTATCATAAATTTGGCACATATCAGCTGGATCAAGTTTCTTGTAAAACTGTGACACGGCAACGCACTATAAAGGTTAATTATTTAATTAACAATAATTCAGACGTTGACGATTACAGAAGCCCAGGTGATAAGCCGGTAGGTTGTACGACATGGAAACGCTGGTTACGTTACGTTAGCGAAGATCTACACCGATAAAAGCGGAAAAGCGCGTTGTATAGACAATTCAAGCGTTTGCAGTAGGTTTAAAATTACTTTCGGCCAAGGTACCAGTTGCTGGTCGGCAGGGTCTCACTCGATGGCAGCGCACTGGGCGGCACCAATGAACTGTACTGGTGCTTGACTGACGAAGTGCGTTCCGACTTCAATGGTTGCAATTTTAAAAGGGCACGTAGATCTGCCGATGACGCAATGGCATTATCGGTGATTGGTTGGCTCAGAAGAAGCAGTAGATGGTCATCTTTAAACTGTCGGCTTGTATGGTCCTGGCGTTTTTCGACGGCAGAAGGTTCGACTGTAATTATTTTGTTTCAGAATACTGACAGATTTCTTAAGAATTCCCACACTCTGTAACTTACCTCTTCGCACTCGCTCTAACGAAGTTTTAAGAGCACACCTGCATCCATCGATGGAGAATGCAACAAAAAACATCGTCAAGCACAATTTAAGTAGTACTGTGGACATTTTCGACAGTGTGAGAATAAGTAGCAGTAGCACACCGGAAAGTAACACGTTGATAATTCTTAAATTGCTTGGACTAATGCAAACTTCTCTTCTCGTCTAAACTGCCGTATTTTCAGTCTTACTGTGTAGGGTGTACCGCCTAGATTTGCCATTATATACGCTGCTCATCAAATCCCCTGTCGAGAGCAGCTAGAAACGTCTTAATGTCGCGCGGCTGTATGCGTCCAATTTCCATCAATAATTCGTTTTCTACTTTGTAAGAAACCGTCAGAAACGCGATAATTGGGCCTACTGTGTAAATATTTAACATGTCTCAGAAACTGCAATTTTGTAAGAATATAATCAAAATGTCCACGGGAAGCTTGAGTCCTTCGACTACGTCATTTAAATATTTAATGTTAATTGCTCTGCAATTACCGCTGCACCGACTGCGGAAAATTCCCGCTATGAGAGGGCAGGTTAGCGAAATATCATGCATGACAAATGGCGCATAGAGAATAAGCCGTTGGATGCTGAAGAGTTCCGACATAGCGCGGCCGCAGCCATACATTTCAAGCTCATCTATGCCATCAGACTTTCTGATGACCATACGCATATTTAGATGATTGCGTCAATCATTAGTACATTACGGTTTTGAATAGTAAGAGTTAATGTCTTGGCTATTTTCTGCTTCATACTCGTAACAATGGCGTGCGATATATGTATATGGGAAGCTTATACCGCTGACGTTACGAAATTGACCTTTCGTAGCGACTCAAAAACAATCGCGCGCGACAAGTTCAACCACTTTTTGAATTTTTTTTTTCGCACAAAAGACCCACAGACTCTTTACAGCAGCCATCATTCCTGTTGATCGGTGAATTTCAAGCAAACAAATTTCATGTTTGCGCGGATACACCTCCATTAACGCTTAAAAGGTAGATGCAATGATGCCGTCGTGCATTCCCGAGCATCGGTATTCAATCGAATGATCCACAAAGCTGTTGCTTAACACTAACCAGGTTTTCCACTGCGGGAAAGCATTAAATGGCATCCATAAAATTAATGTCTGCTAGAACAGAAACAGAATAACACGATAGTGCAAGATGTTGAGGAGCAGTGCCATAGTGATTCTACAATGGCGGTGTGTCAGAAAGGTTAAATCGTGCTTGCATGAAGTACCGGAACAATCCACATTTGCCAATATCAAATACTGCTCCGTACCGAATTAGATATGCTCGCAACGCTTTTGCCAAGTTTATTAATCACTTAACCACAGTATAAAATACCCGATCAGTGCTTGAATGAGATACTGTATATATCATGTGCGAATTCAGTCAATTCACGCGCAAATTCGATAGTACTCGTACCTTTGGAAAGCATTGTTTTATGATGAGTTTTATCCACTTGCTGCTTTTGTGCGTAATTGTGCGTATTTATTACTTTCTGAACCAGAAGTTGTTTGATTACGTAAAATTAATTTATTACATTTCATTATTGCCAACTGATTTTACTATCAAAGCAACGTAGCACAAAACAACCAATGAACATTTTGCATTGCTTAGGAGTGCTATATAAAAAAACATACTTATTGCAACACATTTACACCAGCTACCAGCAAGACCGACGTCGTGAGAATGTGAGAACGACAATGGCATGCGCAAATTAGGATGTATAGCGACTCGTAATGTACTTGCTATAAATGTCCATCAGGTTACTGCGATCGTTTCCGCTGGTGAAGCTCAGACACGTGGTGAAAATCGTCCTGGCGCTGTTGTCCACATCCAGACATTGGGAATGCCGAGATCCGGTTTTCTCATAGGTGGCCTTACACAGGAGCCACAGCTCATACAGGTTTGTGATCTGCTCGCGGCACATTATGGTCAAATCGGCGGCGGTCACATCGCGTTTTATTCGCTGAGGAGAGACGCTGGCCGATGCCAGTTGTAGAGCGCTCGACAGTTTTGTTATTTCCTGTAATACATATCTCACATTAATATTAGACACTGGTTGTCATTGCAAAAAAACTAACAATGTGTCCTCTAGAAATAACTCTTGTAAGGAATTAGGAATACTAACATCTAACTTATTCTAACGCGCTGGCAAACTTTAAAACTTTTTTCCGAAACCGATAGTGCGATTGAGTGGTACAGGTTTGACGGTTATACAACAATACAAAAAGATATTAGAAGGTATGTAAAGAAAATTTTTTTGCCTTTATAGCGGACTCTCTCAATACGATATTGCACCCACCTGTGTAAGAGCTTGGTCTGGCTGCTCCATTAGATCGGCGGCGGCGTACCCCACAGCTATCGACACGAGGAGGACTGCAATAAACCTGATCGCCATCGTACCGTTAAAAATATTGGAGAACTGGAAATATATACTGGAGATCGAACGAAATATACTGGAGAACTTAGCTGCTACTGCAAAACAAGAAAAAACTGAATTGTAACGTTGGATGCCTAACTGCTTATGCGGAATTCTGTTTTATACTCCTTTTGCGGCCACATGAATGAAAACATCACTGACGACATTTTCAAAGTTTTTGCATAGATTTCCGTGGCGTGTTATCCTGTTTTTGTAGCGCGATGCTTATCTCCAGTGCATGTATCGAGGCCACTGACGCCGGGTGATGTAATTAGTAAAGTACGAATCGGCGCTCCCAGTTAACAAGCAGATCGCAAAACCAGATACCTATTCACAATGAGGCTCCATATAGATTTCTTTATACGGTTGTTAAAGTACTCGTACTGACAAACATTACCATTAGTCAAAATAGTGCATTTGTCAGTTAAAATTAATGCAATAACACCATTAAGTATCCATAATTATTACCAATAAGCGCGGCAGGCGTTTAGACACTAATGCTTTCACATTAGCTTTGGAAAGCAAAATCAAAAAGAATAAAATAGAAACATAAATTAAAGACTGAAACTCTGAGTAGCACTGGCTCAAAACTTATTGTGCCTAAATGATCACAAAATGCTCCAACAGTTTTGACACGGTAAACAATGACTACCTTGCAGGCGCTGTGTCAAACCGCAAATACCAACAGTTTTTTCAAAGATTTTATTCTAAAACTATGCGAACTTCTAGCTGCGGTAACAGGCAAAAATAGGTTTATGAATATTATAAATGTTTGGCAAAGCACACATTCTGAATTTTCAAATGCCTTCGTTCTAGTTATTAAAAAGACTTTCCGCCTCCAGCCATAAACAAAGGGGATCAATTATTAAAATTATATTAATTGAATTATTTAAGTAAAGACTATAAAGCTAACGTTTCCAATCTATACTTCTGCATTACTTCGCTCACAAACATAATATTGGATGATGTCATATTGATTAACCTTTGCTTTTGGTTAACCTTTGTCCCACACCCAGTGCTTTTTGCGTAATAAAGTCCAGTAGGTCATGACTCATGACATCATCCGTAACAAAAACAAAAATAACATAATACACCCAAAAGCACCTTTGGATATCGTCGTCACTTCTGTGTTACACCTTTCCAGATCGACTGGTATATAAATTAAACGTTCCACCATTGAAGTCACAACTGCATTACATTGCTCACTATTAATCGTTTGACTATTACGCCTGTATTTACTGTAATTTGATCAAGCACGATCTCGATTATCACTGAAAATGGCAGCAAAGTTTCTAGTGATCTTCCTGACCGCAGCAATTTTTGCCTATTTTGGTGTCTTCGCTAAGGGAGTGCCCCAGGATGCTCTCGCACGGGTTAGTGCAACGCTTAGTACAGTCTGCATTTTTGACGCTTTTTGTTTTGGTTGTACAAAGTGCATTAAAAACATTCTGAGTAGATTTGCTATCGACCTTTTTCAATTTTTATCTACGAGTAGTCTTCGTCCACCATCCGATCGTGACTACAATCTTAGCGGTTTACAAACTTCGCTTCTGCCTTTTATTTAATGGAACGTAAAACTTTTGATTCTACAAAATTCACTGTAGATCTAAACTGCCAGCGAAAGCAGACCATCATAATTAACCGACACTGCTGTTTTGCAGAAAATCACGACTTTGTCCGACGCTGTGCATAACGCTTTCGCCCACCGCGATCTTCCGCGGACCAAGCGCGAGACGGTGACTCTGGAAATCAGCGAGGCCAGCATGCCCGTAAAATGCCGCGAGACCGTCACGGCGCTACAGGAGTTGTGGCTACTGTGCAAGGCCTATTACCTGCGTCTGGGTTCCCGGTACTCCGGATGCAACGATAAAGACAGCGACATGAAGAGAACATTCGGCATCTGTCTGACCTACAGCAATGTGGCTGATCGTGAGAACCTGGTGGATATGTATAGTAATTTCATAAAATATCAGTACACTTCTTAATGTAGCTGTTTGACCTTTATCTGCCTAATTTACTAGCTCGATTGTTGCAACAGTCAGTGTTGTCGCTCTTTATTTATACTGCTTAATGGTGCGGCCTTTCCTGAGTTTCCTGGGTTGTAATCTTTGTGTATAAACATAGGTACTCGTTAAGGTACCAATTTTGCATTAAAACCGATCCTTAAATGTAAAGGCTTCTTATTATCGTTACTGTGATCCCTCTTATTCGAAGGATTTCGGATTACAGCTATGCTGCCTGAAAAAATGTGAATAAAGTCAGTGCAATAACGCTCTGCTATGTCACTGAATTTTTCTTATTTGCGGTATTGCTGAAAATGCAGTGTATTCACTCCAAGTTATCACCAGAACTTCAAACGGCAAACTGAAATTTTAGTTAGTTATTACTCAAATGGTGTTCAAAAACGTGCGCGATTCTACTAAAGCATATTATACTGTAGGCAAGCGCTACAGTAATGCCAGGCAAACTGCATAAAAAGTCCTTGGCATAACTAAATTCCGCTGAGGCCATCTTGTATTAATATTAAGTACGTATTTGAAAAAATACTTCCATGAAAAACACCACAAACTGCACAACTAAAAAAAAGTGCATAAAAGCTGCATAAATTTTTGCAGTACAATATGCATAAAATCTTGCTCAGAAATTCGCTTGAACAGCCAGATGCATAAGTACAGTAGGTAATTCTATAAGACTTCCATAAAGGCCTACGCAAGAACCTGCATAAATAGGCATCTGCATAAATAGATAGTTTTTGCATACTTGTAAGCGATTTTTCTGAATAAAAAATTTGTTTTCTTTTATTATGTCAAGCTGTAGTTTGTTTGTCAAGCTGTATCGCATCAGAGCATCTGTAGTACATGATGTACATCACAATACAATCTATGAAAGACTCTGATGATCTGATCACTTTCCTTGACATACTCGTAATTTCACGCTGTCCAAGCACCAGAATTAAAAGTATTATGTCCAGACGCAATATCAACTAGGGTGCACCTGACCAATGTTATGATGGCAAAATTAATTTGATGTAGCGAGAAGAATCGACTTGCACGATACCTGTACTGTTGAGCATGTATGAGGATCGTGTGATACTTGCTAAAGATGTCCAGCAAGTCACTGCGATAGAGTGAGTGGTTACTCCGCTAGTGTAGCGTAGACCTCTGCTGAAGTATTGCTGGACCATGCCGGCCAAATTCAACATGCGGAATACGTGGATCCGTTGTCTTCGTAGTAGGATTTGCACACAACCCACACCGAGTACATATTCACGATGACCTCCAGGACAGTTCACGGTGTCAGTTCACGGTCGCAACGTCGCTTTTCACACGGGGATCAGGAGAAGGAGAAGAAGGAGGAGAAGCGTTCACCGATACCAGTTGCAGAGCGCTCGCTAGCATCATTATCTCCTGTACAACATAGCTGAAATTAGGCAGTGATTTTGATGACAGACAAGTTAAGGGAAGTGGGCCGGTACATGGTACCAAATTCGTGTACATGCACAACAACTTACACTTTCGCTCCCTCCCAAACACATTTTTGTTTCGGTTTATGACATTCTATAGCCAAAAGGTTTGTATACACTGGTGTGAAAACCGTTTGTGCGCGCAACATCCAGTTCGGGAGTTATGGCTGTTAGAAAATTCCAAAAGGTTTAAATGCATTCAGGTGTACCAAAAGTCTCATTATGAACCGATCTCCCTCGAATTTTGCACGTAAATGGACATAACCACGAAGAATGTTTTACACCGATCCACCGTTCTAGCATGTTTTTCAAATTTAATTTAATTTCAAAAATTTTAAAATTCGTTTTAAAATTTGAAAAAAATTATGGAAGTCTGGATCGGTGTAGAAACGATCTTCATGGACATGCGCATTTACGTGCAAAATTTGAGGGAGATCGGCCCATAATGAGACTTTTGGTACACCTGAATGCATTTAAACTTGTTGGAATTTTCTAACAGCCATAACTCCCGAACCGGATGTTGCGCGCACAAACGGTTTTCACACCAGTTTATACAAACCTTTTGGCTATAGAATGTCATAAACCGAAACAAAAATGTGTTTGGGAGTGCGCGAAAGTGTAGTTTTTGTGCATGTGCACGAATTTGGTACCATGTACCGGCCCACTTCCCTTAATTACATCGGCACCTGGGAATGTTGATCAAGAAAGCTGCAATCGGAATTATTCTCACCCGTTGGTTAATTGTGTCTTGTACTTGAAAGCACCAGTAACCAGTTATGAAATGTAATATTAACTGCACTTTTTGCTGTCGAAAAAATTAGTAGCATCAAGTTTCACCTGCTTACACAAAAATATAACGAGGAACTTGAACTGATTTGAGCATGGACTGTCTTGATGTAGCGTTCACTTGTGCGAGAGCGCATTGTAGGGTCCCCACCGCAGCGTATCCGACAATAATCGGCACCAGGAGAATTGCGATAAACTTAACCGCCATTGTACCTCTAAACGTGATACTGAAATGGATTGAAAAGGATGGCTCTTAATGCCAGTGCACAACTGAACCATAATAGTTATTTCTTACTTAACTGCCTCTGCAGAATTCAGTTTTTTAAACTCCCGTTATTGTGTTTCTTAGAACTCCCGTTATTTCGTTAGTACAACATTAGTGCAGTAAAGTCAGCGAGGTCAACGGGGTACTCTGTATTGCTAGATTGGGCGGTCAGTTCGTTGGTAATGAATTAAAACAGATAATACCAGGTATCATAAAATCCCAGTTAATTCGGTTACTCAATAAAAATTCTGCAATGAACTCAATGCGTCACGCCTCAACTGGACCAGCGTCGATCTTTTCTTTTTTAAAAACCATCCTTAACCATAGTTTACGAAACTAAGTCTCGCGTAACTGTCATTTTAATTCAAGTGAATCTTCAGGATACATAAATAAATTATTTGCACTATAATAACACATTATTTGCGCATAACTGACACAGCATTCAACTTCGTATTCTCTACCAAATTGCATAGAACGCAGTATTTTAGCGGGATCACAGTCTGTACAGTAATAAAAAAAAGTTATTTACGAAACCAGCTAAATCTCACAATTCGGCAAATTGGGTCACGACAGAAATTTAAAAATGGGCTGCAGTTATACATCTGAAACAAAGGGTGAAGGGGTGCATCAAAAATCCTGGAATACAGCTCGCTGCTCCTCTGGTGCCGGCGGGCCGGGATTATCTCGCCAGTCTTCCGGATAATCATCAAAATTCCCAGCGTCACCCGGATGCGCAACGTGCGGATTATATGGCGGCTGTAGCGTAAATATCAAATTTTACCATACAATTGACGATGTACTACGGCTACACAATTTTTATTTTATTATGCAATCATTGTAATGTACTTAATATATTTCATTATGGAATACAGAACTGGGTTTGCTAAGCCAGCTGATGTGCATTTATGCTCTTCTAAATATGTGTGCGCTTTACTTTACTTAAATATATATATATATATATATGTATATTACTTCGATTACCTCCATTTCTTTATCTAAACAGCTTTGCCAGTTTATTGTCCAGAACCATCTGTGAGCTTTAATGTCGTCGACTCCATTCTAAAATAACGATGGCATGAAAAACAGTTAACACAAATTTTAACATAATTATGCAGAGAGCAATATACCACTAAAAATTACAAGTATTACGCTATCTTACCTTCATGCTGCCCAATCGCTTCGTGCGGTCGGCCACTAGAAGCTTTTTTATCAGATCCCTACAATTAAATAAGTAAGCCACGGGTTAATTACGCTGATGACCGCGTGCATGACCGCAGTATATGAGTTCGTCTTATGCATTTGTTATTTACTTTGCAACAAGATCGAAGTTTTTGGGCCATCGTATCTTCCCATCAAGTATTTTCTGGTAAACTTCAATGGGGTTATCGGAATAGAAGGGCGGATGGCCAACCAGCATCTCGTAAACCAGAATCCCAAAGGCCCAGTAGTCCACGGCTTTATTGTAGCCACGACTCTGGATGATTTCCGGCGCCAAATATTCCGGTGTTCCACATAACGTCCATGTCCTGTCATATTAAATAAAATACTTTATATTATAAATATGCTTGTGATAAACGACAATTTGCTTTCCTGTGATATTTACTTAAAGGTCACAGTGCACGAGTATTAAACCATGCCAAACGTTTTATCGTATATGCAGCTGTACATATGCTTTGCGTCGTGACTGCTGCGAAAGTAAACGCTTCCGAAAGTATTATAAGCAGCTTCAGTAATGCGCAACAAATTCATTAATTTGCTTTCCCGTTACGTTACATTAATTGCTAGCGAGTAAATATATCGTAGATATCAATCAGAAAAATAACAAACAGAGCTTAGTAGCAAAACAGGAAGTACTTAACATAGTTGACGGACTGTATTATGTAAAATGAACATCCTGCTGTACAGTGTACACGCTCCAATGAAAACGGTATAGACAATAATATTATTGCTCCTAATATAATATGCTCGCGCATATAATGCATTCACGACTGACCGGTCGGTTAGCTCCTTGGCGAATCCGAAATCGGTGATGCGAATGTGGCCTTTGTGATCGAATATCAGATTTTCCGGCTTGAGATCCCGATAGACAATGGACTTGGCGTGCAGGTATTCCAGTGCCAGGAGGATTTCCGCCCCGTAGAACATGGCGGTCGGCGCGGGAAACCGGCCCACCGAACGCAGATAGGTGAAGAGTTCACCGCCTAAACGGGCCACTATTTGTTATTGCCATGCAGTTTTGATGAGGTATAGCGCCGATGGTGAACAGAAAATACCGGGAAAACATGTAACGTACCTGGTGCATATTCCAGTAACATGTATAAATTAGTGTTATCGTGGTGCGACCAGAATCTGCAATAACCAATAAGATTAATTGATTACGTGTATGTTATGGATTTAAGTAAATGGAATTTCGGGAAATTATTTGGTAATTTTCCCAGTAAACTTTCATTATGAGTTTTTTTACGTAGTTACGGGAATGCAGCGATATTACTGACCGCAAGATACTCGTAGTTTTAAACGGTCGCCTAAGTACGCATTCTGCATAAGTAAACAGATTTCCGGCGCTGATACCACGTAAAAATAAATGGGAAATTTTATTGCACGTAAAGTTCTAAAAATAGGCTGGCCGCTGTATGACATTAAAGAAAACGACCGATGGTATAATTTGTTTATTTACAGTTTAACGATGAAGGGATGATCCAATTTCTCCAGAATGCCCTTCTCATCTTTGATGTGCTCGACCTGTTTGAGCCGGAACACGTCCTGTATGCGGAGTATTTTCATGGCAAAGTATTTCGGTTCCTGTTCCGGCAGGGCGCCGGTGTCCTCGCAGAGTACTACCCGTCCGAAGGTCCCGGTGCCTGTAAACACTACTAGCGTGAAAACATACATCCGCATCTACTCTAAATAATATTACGGGTATATGCACTGCGCGCCTAAAAGTAAACAGATAAATCATGCCCGGAGAAAAAAATGATCAAGAGGGAGATATTTTTAATCACTCTCTCAACGCTTCCCTGATTACGCGCAGCCACCGGTTCCGCTATAAACACCGGTGACGTCACCATATATTTATATGCAGTACCGGCTACGGTTAGAAAATGGCTACTTTTGCCGCTGTCGCTCCGATGATTGGCAATTTGCAGAAGGGGAACATGCGTATAAAATATAAACATGGATACATGCGTGGATAATGGGCAATTTATCTCGAAGCGGCCCACTCGATGTCTCTGTGGCGGCAATTAACCGGATCGAAGTTTCCTCGATTAAACTAGAATGATCTGAGGCTAATAACGGACTGAACGAAATACTAAAAATATTTATGCACCCCCTAAAAAATGGACTAAAATAAGAATTTTGTATAATTTTGAATTTATACGTCTTATATAAATTTTCGCACGCGAGTATAACTAATTATGGCAAGGCTAAGGTCCCAAATTTGTTTATATGTTTTTTCCGAGAGCCAATAACCCATACTTTGTTAGGATTTTGGTGAACGTCGTATAGTTCTGCGTTATTTGTTATTTTTCTTCGAAAACATGCAGGTGCGTGTACAGATAAAAATCGGTCACGGAATCCATACAAATGCAAAATATTGTTCCATGAATTTTTCACTGCCGCGTCAGCCGCGGCATGCACAGCGCACGAGTGAAAATACCCAGTTCCGCAAATCGAGAAGAGGACTGGGAATTGACAATGGATAAAGAGCATAATTTCATGTATTACAATTTGCCGGCCTTGACGTCAGCGCATTGAGAAACACCCGGTGCGCCCTAACAAACACCCGGTGCGCGGCCAATTGCCACTGCATTACGATGGACAAATGCCGGCTTTTTGGCAAAAGCGCTGATTTCCCGTCGCTAGCTATACAAAGCGAGGACACCACCGCTCCCACGTTGACTGCAGCGCAGTGAGCGCACCCATATGGAAAATTTGGCAGTTAATTGCATAACGAGAAAAATACATATTTGCCAATTGATGTACGGGCACATACCAGAAAACAAGATTACACTGCGGTACACATGCCAATTATGTAAGTGCATTCGAGGAATTGTCGATCGGCAATCCGCACGGGCAATATTTTGACTGTGTCTATGTAAATTCACAAATAAACAACAGACCAACTACTATAAAAACAAATAAAACATTGACAATCGGCAAAATTTTAATAAAACTAAATAAATGCCTCATCTAACACCGATATGTGGCGCTATTTGAAATACTGACATATATGCATTTTAAGCCAACAGAAAAAAACTATGCACAGTAATTTAGATTGCAATTAACTTTGCTATGTGTACATAATTACATAATGTACGGAACTCGTAGTTCGCTAAATCACTTCGCTTGTCATTGTAAACGGTTCTAATTTTTATGTTGCGTGCACACTCAGCAGAAATATATCCGAGGTCGAGAAATAGGTGAAATGTTTTTGATTCTAATTAACCTTTACGCTGTATATCAGTGATTGAGCTTAATTTTTGAAATACCAGCTGCGCCGCAACCGGCACGCATCGGATATTTTAATGAAATGTAAAACATCGTAAACGAAACTTGGCTGAAAAATTCCACCAATTCGATTGGCCATATCAACACAGAAAATTACTGAGAATCACTTAAAAAACTCCTTTTCTACAGATTCAAAAATAATACAGAACGGCTGCACATGACAGCTGTCATAAAACCGTCATTATTCCTCGGGATCAGCACCGGGATTTGTTATGTGTGTGTGTGTATGTGACTGGCTGCAGCTTATTGTCGAGGATCATTTACCGGGGAAAGGAAATTTGTGTTTATTATCGGCAACGATGAAAAGCACTTGAGTGATCGGCATAGATCAACGTATACCCTCCCAAGGCAAACATGGAGATGCTGGATCGATAAAAGCAATCAGGAAAAAAGCGCCCCCCTGTTTTGTTCGGTCATCAGTGACTTTTGACATTGAAAAGGTTTGCATCGGCTGCGCTGTGCGTGAGCTTCATTAGCATGCCATGCTAGATTAATTTCTACTCTCAGTCCATCAACGGAAAATATCATCATTGGTAGTACATTAAAAAGTGCTCTTTCGGCAACAGAAAATTGTATTTCCACTGGTAACAAATAACGGCCTTTTGTTACATCCTGGCATCTCAACGTACAGTTTTGAAATCAGCTGACTTAGAATTACGGGATGTAAAATCTCGTTAGCTTATTGCAAAAAAATTACACTTATTGCTTACCGGTATGATTTACCGAAAGTTTCATAAATATACTTATCTAAATAATTTTTAAAAGGTTGGCCTTTACCAAAAGATTTGCAGTTTGAATTTTTCGGGAAATTAAAACAATTTGCTTATCATTATATGTACAAGCTTGTCCGGTAATTTCTGACGAATCCATACAGCGAAATATACAAATTTGCGTGTTATGCCAAACTCCATACTACGGCGCACCACGCTGCCTAAGCACGTAACATGCATTTCGCTGGCTGGTGGCTTGGTGCACGCCATATAATTAAATGGAATAATAGTAATTGCCTGGCAGAAGGTGGCTGAAAAATGGTCGGTGCAGTAGGCGACAACCTAACTGCTGTGCGCATTACGAAATTTGATGAACGTAGTGAAGTGGCCATCGCTATAGGCGCAAATTTCGCGCTATCTGTAACTTTACGTAGGAAATTACCGGACAAGCTTGTACGAGATAATTTTATTACATTGGTTGTGTGTTAAAATACTGATTCTGGTAGCTAAACTCTTATTTATGCTTTAAACGAAAGCTTCAAGAAATGGAGTAATGTGTAGCTTGTTATTTCCAGCCACAAGTTCATCAACATAAGGTCATCAGGACCAAACAGCGCAGATGAAGAATGCGATCAAATAATGAATGTGACGGACGTGACCTTTGTCAGCTGGACCAAGGTCGGTCTGTGGGTGACTTGCCGCGGATTCCCAGGCCGGTGTCGCGTGAGTGCGGCCTTGTGCGGTGGAGCGCAAAACACAGAAGTGCAACCAACCCACAACAAACACGTACCATAGCGGCACAGCACACTAACGCTGCTGCCCCCACCGTCATCATTATCGATGCTGGCTAATGACTGCTTACATGACTCTGTCGTCTTCACTCTTTCCTCCTATTCCGACCGCATTTTTTGGACGCTGAGATGCGGGTAATCTGATCGGGTATCGTATACCAGACCTGACCCCAAAAATAACATCAAGCAATACAACGCCGCAGCAGTTGCGGCGTTTGTGTTTTTCAGCATGTGTACAGCTTGTCTCTCAATTTGTATGGCAGTGCACACTTGCCCGCATAGTGTGTATTCTCGTAAAGTTCGATTTCGCCGAATAAACCAGAAGATTTACAGGAAGCAGCGGTAAATTTAACTTGATGGCTGGGAAGATTAAAATTAACTGCCTTCGCGTTAAATTCAAAAGCATGCTAAATTTAGAATTTTTTATTTGAAGAATTAACGGTTATAACTAAAACTAACGGTTATTATTAAAGTTAGTTCGATAATTTCTGGTAGCAGTTTCCCATTTGAAGTTATTTTTCTGTGCCGTCGCAACAACGAAAACTAAAAACATACTGAGGATGGAGAATGGCGTTTCCGTTAAAATTGGGCTCACTTATGAAAAAGCAATAATTTTTTTGAAAATCACCGTTAAAGCGTCGTAAAGATTTGACGGTCAATGTCAGTTGTAAAAAACAGCCCCGACGCTGCGCACAGCTTTTCGCGCCAAAAAGCGTTATATAAGAGATTGTCTTTCCAAAGTCAAACCGCATAACAATTATCCTCACATGATTGCGTTTGCCCACGCGCACGCCATACCCGGCGCGGGGCTTTTTCATTTCCGGCACAAACACTGCCTGATAAATATTCGCTGCTACACGACCGGTCCTCTGTATAGAGCAACGCAGCCCGCGCTTTGTGTTATCCCGCGCGCCGTATCATCACGCTATAGTGCTGATTTCTTAATTGGCAGCGGAGTGCGGCGCGCCATCGATTGGCGGCGTAAAGGGAAATACTAACGGGCTGATTTTAAGCCCTCTTGATTTAATACCTGTGCAAATAAGCTAATCGATCTCGCGGTTACACGGTAACGTGCCGCGCCGGCGCACGATATCGGCTAACTTTATAGTCGCTATAATTTGTCAGGCTGTGGAGAAGTAGGCGGGTGGGGAGGAAAAGTTAGCGGGCAATTAAACTATAAAGGAAAAAAAAATCTTTCTTTTAATTATACTGCAGTATGTTTGATTTTCAACGCCCGCCATCCAGCAACCTAATCAAACGAATGTTCTTGTGCAATTTTGAAATTTTCGGTGCAAGTAGCGCATGGCGATGTATCTCGCTTTGTACCTGCATTCCACGATCGATTAATTGGTAGATTAGGTATAGTAAAATAAGACGTAATTTAAAAATAAAACTGCCCGCGTAATTACGTATTAAAGATTACGCCTCAGGTGTGAAAGGCGATACACAAAGTATTTTATCTTGTTTGTTTGCCGTACATTATGCATGGCAGGCAAACATCAACGGATTATAAAACGTCAGCTAAGTCAATATTACTGCGCGCTTACGTCAACTTCCACAATCAAACTTTAAGTGCAAAAATTCAAGGATTTAAAATTTAAGCTATACAATATTTCGGAGTGTTACATGTCATATTCAGATGTGCTGAATTTGTGCGTGTGCTTACATACATTTACGTCATCCGGCTTCTATCATAATAGCAGAAAGAGGGACTTTAACAAGTGTCATAATATGTAAATTAAGAAGGTACATAATTATTTTATATTACGACAGTGGTTAGGCATATTCGCTGTTAAGCAAGATGGATCGGTACTCATATACTCCGGCATCAAGAAATCATTCCTGGCTTACCGATCGTCTTGATCCATTTGAAGTTATCCAACTGGAAATTCCTCCCCTTCCGCGGATCCTCCAGCGCTGGCCGCAGCAGACTGGACGTCAGCCGGCGTGTATACTTCCGGCCCACCTTCTTCACCACCTTGACCACCGCCGGCTCTCCATCGGCCTGCATTACTTCCACATTAACCATTCTCGTGTCAATACTGCGCCTAACCCGCGGTGATGTCTGGAAGACAAAATCCACACAGACATTATCGGTGGGTGTCAGCGGGACTTTAATCTGCGGCGTTAGAGGGGAGGTGACAACCGTCGTTGTAGTGCTGCTGGTTGGGGTGCGATTATCGAGGACAACTCTCTTTAGCGCCGTCTGCAGATCCAATGAGACATCGGCCGATACATCACCACCACCCTCGATGCTGGCCAAATTCCGTGGCCGGCCCTTCGTTGACGACCTCCTTGACAGCGAGATGGTTGCTTCCGCAACGCCTAATGTCTGTCCGTCACTCATATATGAAATATTATGTATTCCGCTGGTTGTGGAATATAAAACAAAAATACACACCGCGCGCGTGTGTGTCGGTGTGTTGGCGATTGTCCTCCTTTAACACACTGTAAAACGGGACACTAATGGGCACACATGCGGTGTCCGTGAAAGGAGGACATGCCGGCAGAATGAGCACTGCTCAGCCGCAAATAAATACATCAACATCCAACGCTACTTTGAGTTGCAACAAAACTGAATGAGTGTGTGTGTGTGTGTGGAGATACATAGCAGCGAGAGTGTGCGGGATCATCCGCAGCGGATACATACTTAATTTGCCGGCAATCTGCGTCATAGCGTTCAGGAAACGTCAACAATGTTTTGTGCCGGTTGTGTGTGCCTGATCCGGTCGGTTAGTGTATGTATGCTGTAAAGCTGGGCTCTTCCTCTCTTTTCTCTCTCTTCTCGCTCTTCTTCTCTCGTTCAGTGTGTGAAAGTGGAGCGAGCCTGCGTGTAAGCTGTCATGATCGGTGAGAGAGCCAATTGGATTAAACGCGTCGCTTCTCTCGGGTGTACGGCTATACGGATGCGGATACACAACGTCATATATGCGTGAGGATTCTGTGGGTGCTGAGGAACAGCCTCCGGAGACGCTTGCTTTGCCAATTGCACAGTTACTTACAAACAAACCCAAACCCATTGATTACGGGGATACGACGTCCTGATTGGCAGGCAACCGCGTAATCCCGGCAAATTATCCAGCTGATGACGCGTTGATAAACAAAGTGCAGCTAATCAGACACTCCCTTTTCTTTGTGTTCGCTCTATCCGTTGATTGTGGCGAAACGTTTCAAGATTTGAACGTTTAACGAGGTTAAGACGGTTAAGCAAATCTAGCTGTTGTGGTAACCAACGGTTTATAAGGACGATATGTATTGCTGTATAGACGGCTTTGCTGCACTTTCGCCGCACAATCTCGGATGACGGTTACCCATAAATAAACAATTAATAATAATTACTGACGCATCCTTAACTGGCATAAATAGACCGCAACCCCGGCAGACATACCCTCCCCCACAAAGCCCCGTCTAATGCTTGACCGCTTTTGACTTCCTGTCGGCCAAAAGAGGCAGTATCCGCGTGGGACAGTGTGCTGTTTTTCTCGGTTGGGAATGTGGAGCAGCTAAAATTATCATATAGTCCTCGTACGGAAAAGGATGTATGGCCGTATTTGTATACATTCGTTAGCGACGCTCGATCTGTCCGTTAGAACTGTCGCGTTGTTATTTGTCTGTTATGATGCGGAACGCATCATAATTTCTAGAGCTGCCATGACGCTTTCGTCACTATACGGCCACTATATGAACGTTCCTTGTATACATTCGCGCTAAAATAATTTAATTTCTGCATGTGCGAATGATTTTTGTTAGCAATTTTGGCATTTTAAAATTGTACGGGACTTCTGCTTCGAAACCACAATAATTTAGTTGCTATCAGTATAAAATGGTACCGTACATACGTCGGAAGTATTACGGTACGATTAACAAAAATTGTAACGGCGTTTGTAAATTAGTGAATGTAATTCAAGACTACGTGGTGCTCGGTAAAAATTAAAATTTGCCGGCACCGCTGGGTCAATGGAAAACATTAACGTAAGTACGTACTGTAGGTAACTTTGAAATCTGAATTAGAAAGTCATGCTCCCAGCACTGTGAGATGCTGCCGGAGCGGCTTTTGGTCACTAACTGATATTTATACGACGCTGCAAACAATCTAAAGCAGTTTTTACATAGTGCCTAGTTCAAAATCCAGGCAGACAAAACTAAGGGGGATCGTATGGTTAACCATTTCGTGTGGTGTTGCCTGACATTAATCCCAACACTATGCCGTTGCGAATGTCGTCCAGAAACTTTGGAAGATCCTTGGATTTCACTAAAACTCCCATATCAATGCGGCCATCCTGCAATAATAATAATGTTTTGCCTTAATTCTGTAAATTCCAGCTGTTGTCGATCACAAACTATATGTCTGTGCCCAAAGTAACCACACTGCTTACCTCCATCTGATACAGCAGCATGCTGAACGTAAACATCAGTCCCATCATCTGCAATAATTTCCATCGTCGAAATTTCAATCGCTTATTTGAATTTCGGTCAGGTTTGCTTACCGTTACGAGAAATGTTACGGTCAACGGTAAGAATCCGCCAGCCGTCAGGGTAATCGGTTGTTCGTCCAATCGGGCCATAAACTCCAAAGCATCCAGTTTGACCGACTGCTCATTGGCGGACAAAGAAAGTGCTTGTAAAACATCCATACTTCTGTGTGCCTGCAAATAATCATTTACGAAAAACTTGAAGCAGGTTTTGTGACCTTTGAAATGTTTTACTCAAAGATTTTGCCCATGTTATATCACGTGTGAAATACGAATACACCCCTCGTGGAAAAAGTTAGATTTGTGACGTACGTGACCTTATACTGCATTTAAGTTTATTTGTCGTATGGCGTTTAGAGATTTCACTTCATTGCCTGGTCGGATAGCCGAATGCAGCTCATGGCCACGCCCAATGCACCCAAACCGCTAACCACAACCACCACGGCAAACGGCGCTGTCATGAAGGAAATAATATCCCCCGAACCGCTTTTTGTCAGACTCCACTCTGGAACGCTCCGCACGTTTAAGCTTACACAGGAAACAATACCCAAGCATGTTGCTAAGTACTGTAAAAGAAGGATCAAAGAGAAGATGTGATCCAGTTTGCGTACTAAATGGCTGTGCTTTCGATGCTCCTTTGCGATATCGTGCAAGCGAATGTTAGCGTTGCGACCTTCTTGGAAACTGTTTAAAGCCGTAGCGGTGACATCAAAACTGCTGGATAACGTCAGAGCCGTGACGGCTACCGCGAAATTGGTGATAACGTCTACCGCGCAGCACAGAGACATTCCAAAGGCAAAAGTAAAGGATACAACGCCATACGGCACCATTACAGCATTTGGCTGTAGTGGCAGCAATGGGACACTGAAACTGTAATCGAATGACGGAGTGAACACGAACTGGTTCCATTTCAGGAGGTCACGAAAACTAGAATAACTTGTAACCGCGACGGACATGATCGCTGTCAATATCAGCATCCGCAAACATGGATATCTGTTTATATAAAACCGAAACAATTTCGTCGTGCAGAAACTGCCGGGATTTTTAAAACTTTGCACAACTTTACGAAGCTTCGTTGAACGAGATGACATAATGTAAATGATTATTATGGTTTTGATGTGGTAAAAGCAGCGGTATGCTATGAAACTCATGATGAAGAACTCGCTGTCGCGCAAACTCGTGCCGTAAGCATTGTAGAATGTCTCGAAGTCAACCCAAGTGTAGAACGTTATAACCGCCATCAAAGCGAAGGAATAAAAATACCGAAGAGGCTTCAGGAAATTAGAACCCGACTGTGAAATTGATAGGGGATGGAGACCAAAGAGCTGCATACAGAGCAGAATCTCTTTGCAGGCGATCCCGTCATTTTGATCATTATCCATTAGAGTAAGGTCACTCTGCTTGCGGCGTCTCAAACATTTCAGAAAAGGCATTTTGTGGCTGTAATGTTACTGTAACAGAAATCCACAGCGTTGTGGTCTTTATTAAGACTGCTAAGTGTGAAGCGGCAAATCTGCCACAACCCATAATGCTGTTGCCGGTCCAGCATCACGTCCCTGTTTGCATTTCGAACAACAACGATTCCTGGGAGAATCAGCTCAAACGATAGGTCAGCAGGTTTCGCTTGCTCGTTCTTCGAAAATGCTGCGCTAGTTTTGAAATGATAAAAATAATTACCAGTAAGAGAAGAGATCTCGATCATTGACTTTTCACAATTTCGGAGAAAGACGTTGCTCTTGGCGCTCGATATTTTTCAGATAAGTACCTGTTTCTAACGCGGCTGTTTGCCGAACGCCGTTCATGCGCGCAGCACCGGTTCCAGAGATACACTTTGTATGCTGTTTCAAAATGGACAAAAAGCTTTGTTGTACACCAGAAGTTGTTTTGTCTAGTTGTTACCCGATATTTTTTTTAAATTTGCTGTGAAGACTTATTATGACTTAAAGCCAAATCTGATCCAAAAGAAGGTCCATGGAATTTTTTAATTTTAAAATATTTATTCTATTTAAAAATGTTTTATAACTAGTTTTAAAAACTGTGTATGTCCATAAGTTTGTCCATTCATATTACTAGGAAAGTGCACCGCTTAGGGCTAGCACTATAAGACCGAAGCGAAGCTACTGTTAGAAACAGTAAAAGGGAATATAACCCAGCAAGGTCATACGTTCAACTCTGCTTGCGTACTTACTTTTCTATGTAATGTAAGTAATACAGCAAAGTCTTTGATAACGATATTGGCACAAGAATGTATTTCCGTAACACTCGTACAGAGTATACTAACGTTCATTACTCAGAATTTGTACAAGATGCAAGGAATATTAACGCCGCTTTCTGCTAAAGGCACGAGTAAGTGCCTGTTATCTTTTCTAAGTTGGAGCCGTACTTACCGCACTCTATATACTGCAAGTGATAAGAGCAGCAGTGATTCATATTATAAGCTTGCGATAGGCAATTTATGACGCATTGCCATCAACGCCATCCATCTCGTTTCCTAAAGCAAGAGACAAAAAGCACAGGAAATTTTACAGTACCAGCAGCAGCTCGTCATCGTTTAGCCCGTCACAGTGCCATCGGCAACGTGTAATGGCATATTAAAGCAATTTCTTAATTTGATTTGGAATGAGGCACGCCTCAGACTTTTCTTTCCTAAAGATATTCTACTGTAGCAAAAGCACCTCTTGGTCAAACTGGTTAGTGACCTTTTCATGATAAAACCATTTATGTGATCTTCAGCATGATAAAATGGCAATAAATGAAATTATAATGGCATTAATAACTGTCGTATCTGATAAATAAAACTTGCTTGACCAGCTTCTGTCTATGAGCGAAAAACTGGAAGTGGAAATTTTTATGCGGCCTTGGCACAATTAAGCTGTACCGAAGTAAATAGCGCACTTTTCGTTGAACAATTGCGCTATAAAGTCGTGCTCGTCAGTCCTTTGAACAGATATATGACAGCCAGAGTCGCATTTACAACCCTTCATAATTTCTGAAAGTTTCAGTACCTGAACAAACATGAACCGCGCAGTACTCCTCTACTTCTGCACGACTGTTTTCCTTATCACTCAGTTCTCCGGTAACACGGTATTTGGTCAAGAAAACTTCTGGAACCTTTTCCAGTCGAACAGCCCACCGGTACAGCCAGACATCATTTTTAAGAGAAATTTGCGTTTGCTATCTGTACTGAAGACTTTTATCAAGAAACGCATAGTAAATGCGAAATTTACGCTTTCATCCCGTAACGGTGGCCAGAATACCGCAAGCCAATGTGACAGAGGATGTGGTGCTCGATGTAATCGAAGGAATTTAAACAACGGCCGTTGCAAGTCTTTCTTTACCGGCATGGAGTGTTATTGCAATGGACGAGCGCTGCAGTAAACTGCAGATGACTAATCGTCTCTCTTGCCGGTGCAAGAAGACCAACGGAGAATTGCAATGCAATTGGAAATCTCTGGACAAATACAGTCCTTGCGCATTAGAAGGGACTTCAAGGGAGCAGGTTTTACTACGTTATCTACGGAAACCAAAATCTGTCTAATGACTACCCTAAAGTAAAGTTATTGCACTAAGCCGAAGTAAATCTGTTGTTCCTCTTTACAGTGCCCGCGTGCCGCGCGTACGTATCACAGCATCTACTACCAACTTTTCTCCTCAAACAGCTTGTCAAACCAGAATAAAATTGCACGGTACCAGAGTTTAAGGCCGGAAGGTACTACCTCGTATAACAAAACTATCTCACAGTAGGCCATCAGCTGATCACTTTACAAGCGAATACGTGCAAGATTAATTAACAGCATGCAAACTGACGCGAAAAAACTAACTGGAACTAACAAGGGTCTTCCAGAATTTGTTGTATACCGAAAAAGGACAGCTAACTGATCTGCATTTCTGGGGTTTTTCGTTATATATATGGTAAAAAAGGATGACATCAAAAGAGGTGAGTGCCCCTGCACTGACACCAGCCAAGCTTGCGGAGGTACACAAACTGCCTGCGCCCCGGGAGAAATCGTTAGGGCAAACGAAGAAGATCCCGGCTTGGCAAAGAGTGTGCCGGATGATGGCGCACCGCGTGATTGCTGGGCCGCTACGGAAGACAATAGACATAAGGAAATTCATTGCGCAGAACGTACCCGCTGGTGAGTTTCCAGCTAGTAAAGCCATTCCTGATGGCGGATGCTGCATACTGTTATAGCTTTTCTGTTGTTTATAAGTTGTATATTAATGCTGTATCATAATTAATGTCTTGGCCGCGTTACGGTCCAATTTTAAGTTAGCCCGTTATGCCACAACATGCCAAAATGATGCCAGCAGTAGAGAATAACATAGCAATGGCGGACAATAAATAATATTAATGCGGTGAACTGTACAGAGCACAGATATGTACTGCAGGGTTTTGCAGAGGGCCCGATTACTTCAAAGGAGCTTAAATGCGACATCTTCTTCGATTTGATTGCGATGGTCCTTTTGCTTTTCGACGTTTTCACAGATAGGTAATGGAGCTGTAAAGATGTATGAACATCGTACGCTTCTGTAGTTTTCTCACTCATCTTGTTTCCTTGTGAATTCTACAATTACCAACTGCCTTAGAAACGCTATTTATCGTACTTAACAGGTTTATCGTACTTCAGTTATAAAGAAACGTATGATCAGACGTTTCTTTATAACTGAAGACTAAAACTGGTACGCCTTAACGTTAATGGTTGTTCTACTCACTCATATCCTCCTTATACACTGGGGAATCATCTGGTACAAGGAGCAGCTGAAGTTAAACGCTCATTTACTCAGCAAGCACATCCCCGCTGAGGAAAGATGCACGCGCTGTATCACAAGTGAATTCCAAGGTACCGGCTTTTAAAACTGCATTGGAAACGAATTACCGTTAAAAAAATTTACTTATGGTATTTTACGACCGTACGTGTGGGAAGACCAGCTGCAAGCACCGACACTGCACATCTGCATTCACCTCGTGCAACTTGGCCCGGCGCTGCGGTAACAACGAGGCACTATTTTCAGTTATTCCGTGGCTAACTGTCACTACCTTTACGGTTTGTAGGTATTACTACTTCCTTCGCTACAGAAAAGAGTTTGCCAAAGATCCTAAACTATACCGTTATCAGCGTCGTGTTGTCCACTTAACCACCAGTCGCTTGCGATTGTGGGAATCGTTGATGGAAGGTGTGTCACAGACCGTTCTGCAAGTGTACAGATATTCTGTATATTCTGTATATTCTGGGTACAATGCTAGCGCGCGGCCCGGTACCGTTCTCGTTCCAGGCTGTGGCCCAGGAAGCCGTCTGCATCGGCGGTGGTGTCTACCGCTGTTGGTGTGGTCTTCTTCCGGCACAAAACCAAATTCTTCTTTAAAGCGTTCCATTTTGAACACATGAGATGGTAAAAATCACGGGATGCCTGATGCTGTTGGCAGCGCGGATCATGGCGATGGCGTTGTTCACTATCCGTTACAAATCCTATATCGCGATATTCTGCGCCCTTCACTGCATCTTCACGGTGATTATTAGCAGGTGCGAGAGCAATCGGCGACAATCCACCCTGATCAAACACAATCTCGCGACGATCTCCGATGTGTATAATGTGTGGTGGTGGGTGACGACGATCTCGCAGTGGACAGTGCAGTTGTGGATTAATCTGTAGGAATTCGAATATTTTGGCATGTGGACGGCATACCGGCGGTTCTTTTTCATATACTACGTGGTATACTGCATTGAAAATGCAGTTTTAATTATTTTGTGGAGCATGTCCTATGTTTCTTACGTAGACACTTTTAATGACCCACAACCGGTTGGCGGTTGTTCTTGTAGTAACGCTGGGGTCTTTTGTTGGCATATTATTGTGCACGGCATGCAAAGGATCTTGCCGATATGTCAGCTCGTGCTGAAATGTTTTGGTTCTACTTTGGTATGTAGTAATTTGCTTCTCTGTGTTTGCGCGAAAGAAGCGATATTAGCAGAAATTAAAGTCCGCACAATGATAATCATTAGATATTCAAACCAACAGTTTCGTAAAGTATTTGGTAATGAATAGTGCGTGGTCATACAGTCGGATCACGTGCATACTCTGTGTATTATGGCGCGCAAACAAAATAGAGACTCTGCGATATCCGACTGGACTGCCGTTATGGTCCGTAACATATCCGCTGATATTTCTTAGTTTGACCATCGGTTATTTCCGGTTACTTTGTTATGGACGGATTCTGGGGCGGAAGATTATCTCTGGTTATCAGCTGCCATTCGTTATTTCATTGTCAGTTAACTTCCGAATGTCAGCAACTTCATACACCTCGTCCCTAGTGGAACGTTTCGTGAACGTGTATACGATGACTTTGGCTACACGTTTCGACTTCAGTGACAGGAGAAGGATCCGAGGCGCACACAAGCGAACAAGAAGATATTAAAGACGATAAGTATCAGAAAAGTACATACTCTACATAGGCTACATAAGTTGACTAAACTAGCCTTTTTGCAGGAGTCCGACTCGGATCATTCGGACGGAAACTTCCGTCTTACTGAACTGGGGAATTAAGATGATCCGGTAGGAAATGGCAAGCTACAAAGGACAAGTATTCAGGCAAATCCATTAGAATACACATATTCTAAAGTCTTTGTATAGTCTAGATAAAGGCTTTGATTTAAGGCAGCGAACCAAGAAAGAGATACAATGCGGGAATTCGGCAACTACAATAGCGACAGCACCAATTTCGGGATATTTGTAGCGGGGGCCGAGATAGCATGTAGGTAACTGTGCCGTCTACTTTTACTGTTTGTTGGGGTGGAGTGATAACAAAGAAATGGTAAATTTCAAACGTAATTACTGCACATATTTCGGTACGCAGATTGCAAAACTTTAATAATAATTTTAATAATGACTGTTGACTGCCTAAACCTTCCTCGAATCATGCCAGCTATACGACGCAATTTCTACAAGTGGGTAAAATCGAGTAGACTCTAAATACATGTATTTTGCTAGAGTATTCTTAAGTACTTGAGTATCTGAGGCATGTGTACCTAGTAGTACCTACTGAATTTTAATTTGAACGGGGCACATAAACACAGTGTCAACAGCATTCGTATTCTGCAGAGGTTGCTCATATGCCTGCACTTTCTGTCTCTTATCCTGCTGCTAGGATTTTGGTAATTTACGGCACTAATGTTCAACTTAATCCCGCGTATTTTCCTTCTACTGTGTTTGCTCGCACGGTATTCCATAACATTCGCTGGGTACGTTTCTAGCATCGTTTCAACATTCGCCGATATTCTCACATAAAATGTTCTCAGCATTCTGTTGTTGTTGCCCTGTGTTCCGGATCTTTTTTAATAATCAATGCAATCAATGCAAGTAACGCTGCAAAAGATTTGCATACCTTTACTGATGTTTCTTCTTAAACGTTCGGGGATTACGCAGGTTTAGCAGTAAGTAATGTTTAAATAACGTAAAAAAAGATTGGGTACATTACTTTACGTACAGCAACGCTGGTACTGTGCCTACGATGGAGCGTATTGGTAACAACCAAAGAAGCCGGCAACGTTGCCGCTTCCGCCATCTACCATATTGTAGCGATAGTATTTGTACGAACGATAAGACCGCCCAGTTATGATGAATCATTCCATCGCGTTATGAATTTGTCCACTTTACCGGCTAGTTTCCTTTCTCATGGACTTCTAGAATTCAGTCTTGTGCTCAGCTTGCTACAGCTTGCATCTACTTGATTGTTCCTCTTGCTGAAACCCTTGCTTACAACCTTGCTGTGTTCTTGATTCCCTTGTCATTAAACATGCCTTGAGTTACGTTGTTGCGTTTGACCGCTTGGGATGAACTAGCGTCATCCCAATCGGAGCCACCTGTGTAATTGTGTACATCAGTAAGAGCGTCCTCGGCCAGCATCGTTGCCGGCCGTGCCACCTTTCACCAACAGCCGTTTAATCGTGGTAAGGCTGATCGCCACCCCACTAGAACAGTAGCCAGATAGGCCACTGTTACATGGCGCTCCTGTAAGAACCATTCCACCTGGACGCCTGCATATACCAGCAATTTCCATAATATCACCACTTCCCACACCAACCAGCGGAAGTCCCGGAACGGATCGCCGTTTCGTGAGTGTTTACTGTGTCCGTTGACGCAGTGAGATTTGCTTTTTTCGGTCTTGATACATTAATAACATCAAAGTTTTGTATTAATTTTCCGAACGCTAAATTAATTAACATCACTGTTCCTGTTGCGATGCCATTTTATCAGAATATATTAAAACTGCAAATATAGAAAAATAATTTTTGCTGCATTATTTGTTCGCGCTTTGGCTAACCGTTATATTACCGTTTTTCACCCGGCGCCGCTGTGCCGCCGTGGTCTGGTTCGCGCCAAAACTTCCTTGTGTATCGTAAACACTGGTCTAGATGCTCTGAGAGCACAACCCTTAAGATGAGGCTGAAGCAGTTGTATGATAAAATAATGGGGAAAATGTTTACTAAAGTTGTTGATGGTAAGACTAAAAAGCTGCGTGGGGAAGAGGTGTTCGGTTGTGGTTCTATTGACCTTTACCTGGCTATTTTACGTTCTAATAGTCTCCTGTAATAATATGTTACCCCGACTGTTCTGCCATCTGGATGTTGTTTTTTAGTTATTTTTATCTTATTATCTGACCAGACTAGCGAGTGCCTCAGGGTTTGTCTGCTCTTGAATAAACTAAACTAACTAAACATGGTCCACCAGTTCAATGGAATCTGAGGAAATAAATTTGCAGTCTCAGCTTGGTGAACTCACCAAGGCGCAGTTGCAGGACATCAGCAACAGTCTAAACGTGTACATTAATCGGAAAGTCTCTAGGTCAGGTTATGTTGATAAATTATCTTCCTACATGTTAAAGCACAACATTACTTTGCCGAACACTTGTATCAACAATGATAACACTGGAAAGATTAACGCGCTTTCCCTGTCGACATTACACGCAGCGTCAACGTCTGCTGTCCAGTCTTGGTCCTCTGCCCAACCGGCCCGCAGCCTTACACATGCACCGTCAAGGGAAAACAGTGGACAGAGCGCAGTGCGTGGGAATACAGCATGCACTCACATCAGCCACACAGAACCGGTGCTTCGACACGACAGACTGGAGCAACGTTATAAACAGGAAGAAACAATAATTACCTTTTCAGATGATGAGCCTTCCGATGAGTCACTCACTCAAACTGCTTTGCACAGCGCTCCGTTAGCAACCGCACAGAGAGAGCATGCCGCGCACACAGCCGCGCAGCACGCCGCATCCGCTCATACCGATACAAACATTACTACTGTACAACTGCCGCTTGATATTAACCGCTTGGTACAAGTGCTCGCGTTACAGTCGCGTTACGGATATACTGCAAAAGATACGTTGACGAGGGCCGCGACATTGCCAGTCCCAACACACCCCACGCACACACAGTGTTTGCAAACACTGCACGAAGCGGTACGATTTTTTCCTCGAGAATTAACAGACACCCTAAAGAGAAAAAACGCCAGCCCAACACACCGGCGAGGCCGCGAGAGATGGAAGAGAGGGAGCAGAGCGGGTACGGACAATTCCCTCTGACATACACAGCACAACACATTGGGCGCTTAAGCACATATCTGGCAGGCCTCGCGAGCGCGCGCTGCCGCCCGGATCAATATCCCACTCGGAATGCATACAAAATTCCCCCGAATCGATCGCGCAGGGGGATCGTCACACACAGTCACACACATACTCGGACATATACACATCGTCACAAATGTGTATGTTGTGTGGTGATGCATCCATAGCTCTTCCTTCCTCCACACATGGCCCCATCAGTGTACTGGTCTACTCCAGTTTCCACCTGCTTGAGCATTCTACACACACACAACACACACACGATGAGGGAGAGAAGGGAGGGAGGGAGAGCGATTTCTCATCTTTCCCGCTTTCCCATACCGCCGCGGCAGTATGCACACACACAGTACTGTGCAGTGGCAATACGGTGGGGGTAATATGGTCGGGGCTAGTTACGGGGAACACCAGGCCTAACAACGGCCTGACACTTTGACAATTGGAAATTTAGCTCCAATGTTTAGCAACTATCAATAATTCTCTCTCTCTCCCTGGTGCGCTCGCGCGGCACACTGCCTGCACTGTGCGTTTATGTGCGGGCTGCGTTGATATGTACCGAAGTGCTTGTGTGCTGTTGTACGAGAGCCACACAACGACAGATCGACTTGATGAACAGTGCGCACCGCACACGGATATATGTGTATGATTATTATCATTTTACACACATGCGGATCCGTCTTATATTCTCCTGCCATGCACCCGCGCGCGAGTGTGATGGAATGATAACACAACAACGGATCATTTAGCCGATGGTTTCCTGTTGGATGGTATTGACTAACCGTGGATTATTGTTCTCGGACGGATTGTTATTATGTTGGCCCCGTCGTCCAGTGAGGATGAGGACGAGAGCTATGTACCGCATAATCATCAGCCGCTGTCGTCGCAGTCGCAGCATCAGCCCGATCGCGCTGATAGTACATCATTGGCTTCCACCGTTACCGATCGCACTTACTTACCGGGCCAGCTCAGTGGGGATTCCCGTAGTCTACAACTGCCGCCCATCTCCAGTAATGCTTCCTTACGGAGTCTCCTCACGCCGGCCTCGTCCGAGCCGTCGACCAGGGTGGCCAGTGCGGCGCAAGTGCGCCCCTTGAGGTACGTCTGCAGCGGCCGAATATCGCTGTTTCATGGCTGTCAGGGTTCGCGACGCTGCGTCGCAGGTGGTTGAAATTCAGAGCGTGGTTTCGGCGCTTGTGTATGACGATCTTTTCTTGCTTGCTGTGGTAATGAATTTTTTATTCGCGTGATGCGTGGGACGTTATCGAAATGGCAATGGTAAAATCCTCCGTTAAGCACCAAAGCTTACGAAAGGAATTAATTTACTCTTTAGGAAATTATTTCTGCATTCAGTTTCAAAATTTTTTTTAATGAAAACATTCTTATTTTTACTGATCTGAATTATAAGATAGTAAAAAAATTAAAAACCACGCGAAAATTTCCGAAGAAAATTGTCACTTACGGACCAGCTGATTTTAAATTTTTTCCATAATATTATAAAAAAAATACTAGCTCTGGAGGCGAACTTCCGCACACATGCGCAACGTGCTTCGTAATGTTGGCAACAACCGATGTTGCTCATAGTTGTGACTTGTGAGTGGCGGTATGAATTGCCCAGCCACGCCAGGCATTTGACGCGGTTGTTTTGTTCGGAGTGGAAAAGCATAATCCTTTCCGTTAATCACCGATGACAGAGTCCCGATCCATACCCTGACGCTCATTTCCCTCCCATTTAGCCGGCACACACACAGCAGTTAAAAGTAAAACCCGATATTTTTTTGGAAGCGCCGGGCGTCAGTTAGCACATCCACAATGGTGCGCATAGATGCGGCAAGTTAACTATAAACTTCCGCTCTAACTGACAATGACTTTTGTCACACAATCAATGTCCAACGCAATACGACGCCGACGGGCATAAAAAGCCAACAGCGGAAATACCACGGTAGACACATTCATTAGTCGGGCCTGACTCTCTGGCTGGCCTGGCTGCGATGGATCCATGCCAGACGATTATTACCTCACATACTACACACACAATGCATCCGCGCGATGTAGGACACACAGATGTTAAACGCAAATCCCTCGATATCACGCTCGCGCACTTGATGACTATTTTATGACCAACGAGTCACTTTCCAATATTGCCACTTTTAAAGGTTTCCGCGCATGCAATCTTTATTTTGAAAAATCCAATAAAATTCTGTGTAATTTTGAACCATTTTCAAAAAGCATTTCCTCGTTGTACATTCCGTAACTACTTTTTCATTTTTTAAAATTTGGTATACTGCCCCGCAGTCGAGGCAGTCTTTTCTCCTAAACCGGAAGTTCTTTCCTTCTTTTCAGTATCAGCTTAAAATTATTCGGTTGGTCATTAATAAAGAAAAAAATCGATATATTGTTAATGAATTACTCTGGGTGAATGAATCGTTGTAATTATTGAAGGATCCTCTTTCCAGTCACGAGGGTAATTATGCACCCGGGTAAAAATGACGCAGTCCTGCCCAATCGATGCTACTCTGACTTCCCGCTTATCCCGTACTATGAAAACAACTATCAAGTAGCGTCACATGTTTGGTTATCCTATTAATTGTGGATGTGTCGCAATATGCGGCCACTATGTGACTGTGTCGTTACGATATGATCGGGCCAGCGGATATGACGTTATCCGCGGTACTGGGTCCATTGTCACCATGGAATCTGTTAGGATTAATAAAGCAAACTGAAGGTGGAGTGCACTGTGTGTGTTACACTGTGTTGCGTAATCGCTGTCAACTCAGCGGAACCGCGTTACGCTGCGCCGAACAAATTGCGCATTTACCCGCTGTGGCGGCGGCCAGCTGTAGAATTACACTACACTGTCGTTTCGGTGTCGTTGTGGTTGAGGATGTGCTACATGGCCATCAGTGATGGTTATGACTTTCTGACGGCCCCGACCGTCCCCACGGGACGCAACCGGGAATTGAAAGGGAATTTCGCTACGGCTATCCGCCGTGCAGCAACACTGAAACACAATTTGCCGGTATTAATGGTTCAAATTAAAGTCAGTCCAGAAAAAAAATAATTCCCCACTTTCCCTTCTCCCAAGATTCCAAAAAGGGAAGAATGGGGAATTTCTCGGTTGGACTGGGGAATTTATATCGGTCATCTGAAAGATTAATGAGGATGTGATAGATATAAAAGCGCCGGCTGTGGACACTACAATAATTTCCCATTAATTATGCATAACAACTTCCCTCCTGTCTTTTCTCCCGGCCCGTTCCCCGGGATGAATTTGTCGACTGGAGCATCTTTGAATCACGCATTTTGTTTATTGATTTTTAGCCCCATCCGTGCTACGTCCAGGCAGCACCAGCGATTAAGGTGTCGATTCTTTAGAAACCAACAGGAACTGCCCGCGCGACACTGTTAGCGTAATCAATTTTTATTCGAGTTTTGCTGCCGCAGCTTCCTCTTTTTAATATTCACCCGACATCGACAACGGCGGCGCGTCCGTCCACCGGACGAATTTGTCGATCAAGCATGGATAACAAATTTATTCCAAGTGGCTGACTATAGTCAATGTACATAATGAACTTCCTTTCTCCGGGTGCGCACAGCCGTGCCGATGAGAACAGGGATGACGGCGGGTGCGCCGTGTGTAGACGCTGTGCGTTGTGTGTTGATTTTGTAATTAGCGAAACGGGCCAATCGGCGCAATTGGCTGTGTGTGCTCAGTGTGCAGGGGCTAATTTTAGACGGACCCGCACAAAGAAATGAGCTACTTGTGTAAAGAAAGGAAGCTGTATCGATGCGCGAGCGCCGCTATCGAGCTGCCTAGACGCGAATATGGCCACGGGTGTGTCGTTCCAAGGTCATGTAGCGCGCGGCGATGGGCCTTCTTATGCAACTGTATAACATTTGCATAATTGCGTTCTTTTGCGGCCTACAAAAAATTCGGGGGTAGCGGGAAAAGCTGTCCCGTGTGCATTACGTAATGCTGGTAGCAAATGTCAAGCGGTTGATTGTTAACAAACACAACGTTGCGTGTTGCAGGGAAATGTTTCCTCATGGTCAGTTTTAATCATGACACGTGCCATTGCGACTCGTTTGTAAATTGTACGTACGTACGTACGTACGTACAACAGTTTAGAGTTCAAACGGAGTTTGCGCACCTGTAAAATATCCGGTTACGCAATTAGCATTCACAGTGCAGAAGACCGTCATTCATGTTTCAACATGCACAACTCCGCTCTGACAAAAAATTATTTACATAATTTGTGGCAAAATACAAAAGTGGGAAATGAAAACAGCAGCTGCAAAATTTTTGATATCCTTCAAATTTAATATTCAGAATTTTCGTTCGAATTTTTTGCTGTTGATGTTCTTTGTCATCTTCATACAAACTACCGAAATTTTTTTTTAAATTTCTCGAGTGGGATTCTGCGGAACCGTTTCTCCTGCGCACGTCTCTCCATATTTGCTTGTTTACTTGCTAACGTATACGAGGGCCGAACGGGGGGAGATCGATTGCCCAGAGTGGCAGCTGATGGACAATTTTTGGCGTTTTGATGGTGCATCGTTTGGTTTCCGTCAACTTTAGCCTAATTTACACTGCTGCGACACACTTTCGCGCTATCATTTCACGGAAGAAGAGTCCCGGTAAACACACACCGCTTGAACCCGGGCATTAATCACTAGGCTGTGCTTCCTTATTGGTCGACCAGGATTACTTGCAATTAACCCGTATCAGTTCAGAAAAAATCGCTTTTGGCGACACGAAGTGTACGAGTACCAGAAAATGGTGACAGAAAGTTCAGCAACTTGTCTTGCTTTTGCAGTCCCAGTCCCTCGGTAACATCGGAGCCGCCCACCGCCCAGCATGGCCGTGCCGTCAACAGCCTGCACAGTCAGGACAGTAAGGATATGGACGCGGTGGAGCGGGCCGAGAAGGAGGAGGAAGAGCGCAAACGGCGTCTACAGCTGTACGTCTTTGTGTCGCGCTGCGTGGCCTATCCCTTCAACGCCAAACAGCCCACTGATATGACCAGGTAAGAAAGACACCAGACAGTTATTCACATACAATCGCTGATTGGCTAATTAACGCGCCACCGCTGTTTGCCGTTGATTTACCTAATACGCCCGGCTGTTTGTCCTTGTTGTTAGCCAACACAGGCAAAAAAAGTCAGATCAATATTAGTGCAATTATTGCTTTGGCTTTTTGGAGTTTACTCGTCGTGTTAGCTGGCTACTCGCAGTGGAAGAGCGGTTTTGGAAGAAAAGATCAATACGCTAATGGGATTATGAACATACGTACTTATTAAAATTCGGAAAAAGTGGAATCGTTTCAGAGGGAGGAATATCATACAGTACTTAAAAGCAACGAAAAAAGTTTTGCCGGTTTTTTAAGGATAATAAAGAGCCATTGAGTGCGCTGGGATAATTTTTGACGATTTCGATACTTCTACAATAAGAAAATTCCATTTAAACTTAACAATTTTCTGAAGCATTTTTGTTATTTAATTTTGATCTAAATGGTTTTGTACGTGATGAAAATTCGCCGTTGCTAATGATTTTATTAATGTACAGTATAACTTATGTGATTTGAATGATTTCATTATCACAAATGTTGTTCTACTTCGCTATAAATTTCTTAGAAAAGTAAATTGCCGGATAGTCGATTTTTAATAGACAAAATTAAAGAGCCCTTGAGCGCGCTGATGCAGTTCTCTATAATACGATACTCCTGATGATAACGATGATTTAATTTAACCATTTTTTTGTAAATTTAATTTTATTTCAATTTTATTGCGTGTCACGAAAATTCTCCATTTACTATTAATATGATTGAGAATAATTTCGATAAATTACCAGACATGTTATCCTAGTTCCGCTACCGACTTCTTGGAAATATTTCCTGGACACGGGGGAAATTTATTAAGAAAATTTAAATCATTCTTTTTTGTTCCGGGTGATAATAATTGTCTAGCAATTATTATCATCTGGCCCCGTGCGTCATGTTAATTTCCGGTGAGATGGGGAGCTTTTATCCATAACCCACACATTTGCACAGTATTATGGATTTAATGCGCGCCAAAAATGAGGATAAATTGGATAAACGTCGGGGCCGTCTGTGTGTGTAGCGGGGAGATCGCCGGGTCTTTTTATGGAACAAGTGTGCAATTTCCTGGGATTAATCTTTGAGTAACCCAATCCAGCCGCGGCGCTGGCGTCCATCCATCCGGGTGGGGATCGGCACTGTCATGTGTGCTGTGTGTGTGTGTGACTGCGTGGGTGCTCTTCAGGGCCAACGCGGGCATTAATCAAGCAGCTGGCATTTACCTGCAATCAACAAGATTTCCGCTCGCGCTGGACGTATATTATACGGGGCATATGTAATTTCCTAATATCTCGGTCAATAACGCTGACTACCGGCATTTTTCCTTCGGAACCGTCTGCAGTAAAATCAGACAAATCAGTTAACGCTTTTACGACGGACGAGGCAGCGTGTTTCCTAAATTCTCTCTTTGATTATAAAACTGAACAGCAATCGTGGCATTATATTTAAATTAAAATGTAACCTCAATTTTGTACATTAACATATATTTTTTCCAGTAAAACTTTTTTTAGATGAGTGTATAAAAATGTATATAAACAAACGGAAGTATGCTTAAATATATGAAATAGACATTAATGTTGGTATACCTAATTCGTGCAAGTTTAACAAATTTGTAAAAGCAAATTAAGTAAAAGTATGTGCATTCGTATGTCGGAGATGATAATTGGCACGATTTATACGTGACAGTATAAAATTACATATACAACGAAATGTTTGCTTTCTGCGAAATAATATTGCGATGACCGATTCCATCGCATTAAGTAAGTCATCATAAGTTGTAGTATTCGGTTGTAGAAATACCGGTAATTATTGGAGCCGGTCCTTCACATTCTGCACACTTTGCTGCATTTGTAAGGAATGCTGTATCTGCAATCAGAATCACTGATAATTGATGTTGTGTTTGCAGGAGGCCGTTCAAGATGACCAGACAGCAGCTGCAGTTAACGAAGGAACGCTTCCAAGCATTTCTCAACGGTGATACGCAGATCGCCGCCGATGAGGCCTTTATTAACTCCATTAAGCAGTACATGGAGACCTTTCTGAAAACCGACTCCTGCGCCAAAATGGTCCAGAGTGGCGGCTGTTCCTCCAATGATTTCCGGAAATCTTCAAGAAAATGATCGAAAAACGAGTAAGTCACTGACATTTGTGCTCCAGTGCCCAAATACTGTAAAATGTAGCGCTTTCATCCAACTAACAGAGAAGATTTCGTGCTGATGGGTTCGGACTTCCGAGACAGGTTAATTTCGTGCGTTTCTTGCGCAACAAAGTTTTGTATGGAAATATGCAAAATCCAATTAAATAATCCGTTATTTATTTTTTCGGGATGGTAATTTTGTCTTTTAAGTTTTTTACATAAAGTGTGAGCGTTATTGCAGCAGAACCAAACTTAAGCAATAAAAAACATTAACTTACGATAAAGAATTTTCAATTAGCTTTAGCTTTACACTGCTTGATAAACTTACAGTTCTTAAATATCAGATAAAGCTATCAAATTGTAAAAAAGATTTGAAATTGTTGGATTTATAGATTAGTATTGTATTGGATTGATGGAAAATGATATAGTTTTTTTATCTGATAATATTTTCTTAATAAGTATACGATAATATTTAATTAATTCAAATAGGTATATGATAGTATTTTTTTAATATTTGCTTGGTACGTGTGTCACATGATGTGTGTACAATACCGTCAATACGTACGAGGCAGTGTAAAACAAATTTTGATAATTTTATTTTTCGTTGAATGAACGTTTCAAGCATGAAACGTATTTATCATGAAACGTATTTAAACGAACGTATTTAGTCTAAATGCTTAGGGAAACTCCATGTTAGACAGGATAAATATAATAAACTGCCGGCTATTAGCAGCACAATCAAAGTGGGAACATGCAATAACCGGCATGTTTTTTGTCCGATAACTGATCCTACTGGCGAGTGCAGTGCGACTTAATATACTGCCATGAAAAATGACTCTCTATTCCCCGGCGTAATGTCACTGTGTGAAAATTGTGGAAGTAGTATTGATTTGTGTCTTTTGTACTGAAATCCGGCAATTACACATGAAAAACGAGATGCCAGCCGGATTTCCTCGGCAGCAGCATCGCGTGTCGCAGCAGCCAGTGAACGGCCACTGTGCGTCGTTTACCGTTCCGCTTTCGGGAGATTTAAAGCTTGGGAGAAATGCCGGCTTGGCGCAATGGATTTTTTATATACAGCTGCATATGCCGGGCGCAAGATGCCGTTGCGCACTAAGAAGAGTGGCTCAGACTGTGCAAATTAATCGAAGGTTGGGGGAAAAAATTCGATAGAAGCTGATTCCCGATATATGCGCACTTTGTCCCGTACAATGGTCAAAAGGAGTTTGTTGTCAGGGAATTGCTGCATCATGTGCGGCGTTCTTGAGACTGGAGAGGCCAAAAGAAGAGCGCTAAAAATATATGTATCACACGGAACAAAATGCGCCGCGCCGCGGATGGCTACGGGCGAAACAATGTAACCGGAAAAATCCAGGAAATTCTCCAAAATCAATAATTAATTTTGGCAATATTCTTTGACAGCTATCGTTCGCGTTTAAGCGGAAACTTTTCATAGGTTCAATATGGGGAAAATCCAATTAATACTCACTAAATCAAACAGCCGGTTCTTACAGTGTATGACAAAAATTTTATAAATGATCGTAAAAATATTTTTTTTAAGCTTGAAATGGATGATCTGTACTGCTATATGCCATATATTTTCGAGAGATGGAGCTTGAAATAATAAATAACGTTTCCTGTTTTTAAGCTGCCGGAAATGTCCGGTTTAATAACGTACAATTATTAATTTTCTATTTTAATCCATCGATCGCGGGCTGGTATGTGATTATACTGAGAATTTCCTTACAAAAACGGGGATGAAACATGGAGTTAAAAATATATAACAGAATTATTGACGATGGTTACGGTGGTGTTTCTTGCAGATCCGCAATCTTCCAGAAATTGATGGCCTTAGTAAAGATACGGTGATGAACTCGTGGCTTACCAAATTCGATACGATATTCCGCGGTGATGACGATCAGCGGAAGGGCATGCGCCAGACGCAAAACGCCGCATCCGCTTCCGAGCTGATCCTCAATAAAGACCAACTCTATGATGTGTTCCAGAAGATTCTCGGTATTAAGAAATTCGAGCATCAACTCCTCTTCAATGCCTTACAGGTATTTCCATAATCTTACAGGAAAAGGTTATTGAAATTTCCATTTAATTACCCATCTGTCTTTTGGAAAAATTGTTCTAGTGAAATTATTGTTTCTTGGAATTATTCTGTCGAACTTTCCGTAGGAAGTATTGTAAGGAATTTTTAATGTACTTTTTGTTTTATAAGCGTTTTTTTTGTTTCACCGGCTACCGCAAAATATTCTCCCGTTTCTTTAATTTAATATTTTCAGCTGGATTTTTATGCTGAATTTCGCAGGGTTTTACTTTGACGCAAACAGAGTCGTGTAACAGGTTTGATATTTATTTATTAGTATTTATTTATTCAAGTGAATAAATAAAACCATTAGTATTTATTTATTCAAGTGTTGTTAGCAGTAAAAACAGTAGCCTGGCGGGCGATCAATAATGTTGTTGTGATTCCTGTATCTGCATGGTGTAGTTGGAAAATTCCGACGAGCAAGCGGCAGCCATCCGGCGCGAGCTAGACGGTCAAATGCAGAAGGTCAACTCCATGGAGAAAAATCGTAAATTACTCCCCTAAATTCGTGGTGAAGGAAATGGAGAGTTTATTCCTGGAGGAACTCCGCTCCGGCATCAATCTGCTGATGGCCAATCTGGAGAGTCTTCCCGTGTCCAAAGGCGCCACTGATTCCAAATACGGCCTGAGAAAATTCGGACGCTATAATAACAGGTTAGACGCTCGATGTTAAATGCATGCGTTATTAGTGTTTATAAAAAAAGCATTTGCTAGCAATTATCGAACGGTTTCCTGTTCTCTTGCGGGTTTACATTAGTACTCGTACAAATATTAGGCGATAAAAAAGCGTTTTTTTTTACAGCAAGATGTGTATGCTACAAAATTTTGATTTGTTGGATAACTTCATGGTTCTATTGTGTAGCCACTGCTCTACACTGCGTCATCGTTTGTTTTGCACAGTGTATCAAAGTTACTTGGTCGATGACTGCATTTCGCGGCTGATAGAAGCTTTTGGTTTTCGGTGAATGTTGTAAATTTCGCGAGCGTTGAACGTTTCTTTGTTTGATCGCTATAATGTTATTATGGTCGCTGTTCAGAAAAATTAAAAATTTATTTAAAAAAATTAATAAAAAAGTAAATCCACTTAACAAAAAATACAAATTTTCTGTTAAAAATTTTCTCAGTACGAAATACATGTACGCGTATCACACGGTTTTGATGCCGGCATGTTTATTAATACTGTAGTCTGTCACAATAATCACATCGTAGATCGTTGCATCGCTGAACAGTTCTCGCTCATGCGATATCGATATTATACATTTTAGATTTGAAGTCGAATTATGAAATACCCGAATACCTGCTTGTACAGTCTGTAAACAATGTGTATAATACAGTTTCCGACGGTCGCGGCGCGGCACGAATTCTTCCCTGAACAAGCACGAGTCGAGCGACAGCAGCGAGGGCGGCTTGAACAAACTGGACGTGGTTTTATCCTTCAACATCGAGATCATCGTGCAGGAAGTGCAGGGCCTGAAGATCATCGCGCCCAACCGCATCATCTTCTGCACCATGGAGGTGGAGGGCGGCGAGAAGCTGCAGACGGACCAAACTGAAGTGTCCAAGCCGCACTGGGACACCCAGGGCGACTTCACCACCACCCATCCCCTGCCGGTGGTCAAGATCAAACTCTACGCCGAAAGCAACTCCGTCTTCTCCCTCAGCAACCAGGTGAGCGATATGCTGTTAACAGAATCTGTTATGTAGAAAAACTGGCAACGAAACAGTTGTTATAAACTACACAGATTTATGTTTTACTGACAAGACTTGCCGGTGGAAATTGTACAGGTATATTCTACGAAAATTGTTTACTGTGTTCAAAAGACATTATTGCGTTTTCTTGTAGTTGTAAACTTGTAGTGCAGTGGCTGCATTATCTCGGAGTAATTTGCGTTGTAGCTGAATACTGAACTGAAACAGTTTTCGACATGAAATCCAATTTATTTAAAAGATTTTTTTACCGATCCCTTGAAGATTATAAATTTATATTTTCATAAATGCACTTTTATTTACTTGCTAGTTGTGATTCGTGATCACGTTTTCAACTACGTAAACCGGCTGGTGGTCCGTCCCAGAAAATTTTGTCGGTAGGAATTGTGCTGATAATACTGTTGGGAATTTCGATTACCATTTTCTATCGGAACTTTCGTATGCGTTACTTATCGAATATTCTCCACCTTTCCTGCCGTAATTAACGCGGGTTTCTACAGGAACTCTGCGTATTGCTTGGCCGTTATAACTGGAATGGGGAAGTGTCGTAGGGTAGTGTCTGCAGTGGCCTGCGCTGTTTACACTAGCGTTGTAACTGTAGCAACTGAAAACGGATACATGGTGGCCTAGATTAAGCTTATTATTTCGCGGATTTTTTTTCAGATCCATTTTTTGCATTTCAAACTTATATACTTGTATTGGTAATGTCGGTTGTCATAAATGAATTTTTGTTTTGCTTGTTGGGTGATGATGTGGACTAATGACCACTTTTTGCAGGAGTTAGGCAGGCTGGTGGTGCGTCCCATACCCAACACCAACCGGGTGGCGGAGTGGAATAAACTGGAAGTGCCCAAAAATTGTCCGGATCAGAATCTCAAGATGAAGATCACACTTCGCATGGACCGGCCGCAAAATATGAAGTGCTGCGGTCAGCTGTACGCGCTGGGCAAGCATGTGTGGAAGAAATGGAAGAAACGGTTTATGGTGCTAGTCCAGGTATGCAAACATATATTACCTCCTCAATGTGCATCAATGATATTCTGTCGGTGACTCGGTATGTCTTGGAGGCATTTTGGTCTTTCGTTATCTGTTAGAACTTTTTCTTATTACTGCAGCTTATCTGTTCTTTATTTTATTTTGGTGATTTGTATCGTTACCGGCAATGCCATTCGTTTTTACAATGCATATATTTTTTTAAAATTTTAACCTAACTTTTGCGTTTTGTAAAACTTACGCATGATGTTTTGCATTAATTTCTCGTTATGTTTTTTCGTATAGAAGGACTTATCGTTTATGCGATTTCGAAGTGCACATGTACGGTGATCTTGCAATATTATATCAACATCCATATAGAGAATACTTTCCAGTTTCAAAAAAGAGAATTTTTTTAAATCCAAAGTACGTTACACTCAAATATACCTGTGATGTTTGCTAATTTAGTATTAATGCTATACCGGCTTTGTAATTAACTCTGAACTTAACTATCATGACAGGTCTCGCAGTACACGTTCGCCATGTGCAGCTACAAGGAGAAGAAGAGCGACCCGACGGAGCTGACCACCCTGGACGGCTACACCGTGGACTACACGGAGCCGCTGCAGGATTACGAGGGCGGCAAGCACTTCTTCAGCGCCGTCAAGGAGGGCGACACGCTCATGTTCGCCTCCGACGACGAGAACGAGCGCCATCTGTGGGTGCAGGCCATGTACCGCGCCACTGGCCAGGCCCACCGCCCCCAGCCACCGGCCACGCTGACCATCACCAACACCAAGGCGCCCGCCAATTCCCCGCTGAGCCGGCTGCAGGGCGGTAAGCAACCGGCATACGTTTTTATATTCTGTCTCTTTGCTTTGTTATTTTATACGAGCAGGTCACATTTTTATAGTGCAAAATTATATACAGTATTGCTCAGATTAATGCTAGCATTTTACCACTGCTGAAAAATCTAGCTGGATTACCTATGACATAAATGAATTTATTTTATAAATGAATTTCCGATATAAGATAATAACAAGAACCAGCGCGACTTCACACCCGTGCCCAAAAATTTAGATCATTTTTGTTTTACTTCGTAGTCAAGATTTTTCTGTCCAACGTTTTACATGTTACGTTGTGTACGCGATTTAGGGGGTCCAAAATGCCAGATCAGTAGTTGTTCATTATTGCGGTGTACGAAATCGTAGTACCGTGGCTTTGGGTAATAACATCATCGTTTTATACAGCTGCTGCCAATCAGCTTGGCATATTATTTTAGTAGTTTGGTTTCGTTTTTTTTGCGATGACACACATGCGTTTGATACATATGGCTGGTTGTTCACAGACGCGGATCGGGCGCGTAAACACGGCATGGACGAGTACATCCAGGCTGATCCCTGCCAGTTTGACCATGCCGCCTTGTTTAGGACGCTGCAGACGCTGACGCTGGATTATCGATTAAACGATCTTTTTGCCTCCCTCGTAAGTTAGCCCGGTCCCTGGCGCGCGCGGGGAAACGCCTGTAATTATTCCGCCCCGGCGCTTTTTCTCAATTAATCCTGACAGTTGTGTGCCGGCTTGCATAGTTACCAAAGCACGCCCTTGAAAGCTGAAGCATTACAACAATTTTGCAAATATTATGAAAATTATCGTACGGTATGCTCATACATTAGCGACTTCCTGTTATTCTATATATAAACATAATAATAAAAAATTAAAATCTTGTAAATTAAATAATATAAGTATAAAATATAGCAACATATATATAATAATTCCACAAAGTTTTGTTTTTTCATAGTAAAAATCAGAATTTTTAAAATGCAGTAATTAACAAGTAGATTGTGCATACGTGTATCTGTATATGTGCATATCGTGCATATTGTGCATATGTGTATTTTTAAATTAGGCAGAATAATTATCCTGACGTTTACAAATATGACTTTGCATTATTTTACCAATAATTTTATTTGTGCAACCGAGTGGCCGGTTCGACGCATTCACTGACCTGGTTTTTGTGTAGGGATGGTTCAGTCCGGGCCAGCTGTTTGTTTTGGATGAGTATTGTGCGCGGTATGGTGTGCGGGGCTGTCACCGGCATCTGTGTTATCTGGACGGACTGTTGGAGCGCGCGGAGAAGACCGTGGCCATCGATCCAACGCTGATGCATTACAGTTTCGCTTTCTGTGCCTCCCACGTTCACGGCAACCGGTATTTTTCGCCAAATGCTTTCGCATAAATATTTTCTACAGTTTTATTCCGTTCAGTACTAGAGTAACTCGATTTTTGGTTTGAAATTGAATGGCATCTGTTACTTTTTTCCATTAAGAATTTTTACGCAATCTTGAAAAATGTTTTTGCTATTATTAATAAGATTGTGATTTAGTACGAGTTTGATTTTGATAGTCGTATTATCAATTTGTATAACACTTTCTAAATGCGCATTATTTTTATTAGCCCGGACGGGATTGGAACCGTGATATTGGCGGAAAAAGAGAGAAATTCGACGAGCTAAAAAGAACGCTTGAGGAATTTGTTGGAATTCCAGATAACGAATTTTCGGTAAATATTGTGTGTCACACTAGGTTGAGTTTTTTCCTTAAGGTTGCCTTTTTTGTTAACATTTATGGGGACATTGTTCTGTGCAGGTTCTGCTTCCCGATGGGTCGGCCGGAAGGCGCCCTCAAAGCCAGTCTTTCCCTGTTGGAGCGGGTGCTGATGAAGGACATTGTGACGCCGGTGCCGCCGGAAGAAGTCCGCTCTGTGATAAAGAAATGCCTTGAATCCGCCGCGTTGGTCAACTATACCAAGTTGTCGGCGCAGGCCAAACAGGAGACCGAAGGCGACCATAAGGTCGTCGTCAATCATTACGGTAATGCTAATTTGGCGGGAAGTTTTATTGTTTCGCGGTTGTACGGTAATAAGTAAATTTTTTGTTCTGGTCTTGGACAACGATCTCTGTGCGATATTTCTGATTTACCGTTGACTTGTTTTGAAACTCTGACTGATAAAATTTAATATAATAATTGTAAACCATCAATTGAATAACAACCTTCGACAAGGATAAGAATATATGTACATACATTGTTTTATTGATTACAGAATGAATGGATTCTGTGAGAAAAAAATAAACTGTTAAAAATATTAAGCGTGATTCGAATAATTTTTGGCTTTCTGTTGACAGATGAGCACCAAAACGACGGTCCGCCCATCCGGAAAATCGAGGACATTCTGCACTTGTCCGAGCTGTGTACGGATATGCTTCAACAAAATGAGGAGTATTATGCCGAGGTTAGTCCCAATAATGCCATACACTATGGAAATTCTGCACCTTTAATGTTACTCGGCAGTCGGCAGTCAACAATAATTTTGCTGTTTTTCAGGAATTTAAATCGGTAAGATGTCGGTTTTGTGTGTGGGAAGAGCCGCAGCTGATCCGTTGCGTGTAGGCCTTTCCCTGGTTGAACGAGCTGCTAAACGAGCACTCGGAGATCTTCTGGTCCCTCTTCGCCGTCGACCTGGAGGTGGTCATCTCCGCCCAGCCCCCCGACACCTGGAACGCCTTCCCGGTCTTCCAGGTTCTCAACGATCACCTTATACACCACCGTAAGCAGTTTGGGCTTTGATCATCAGACGTTGTTTTCAATTTTGATGTACCTGTGACTGTGTTACCTAGGATAGGGTAGTATTTGGTATCATTGGTCAAACCAGTTGAATTTCGCTTATACCGTATTTTTGCTTATGCAGCCTCGATGGCTGGTGGACGTTTCCACCAGCAACTGAAGGACATGTTTGCTCCGTTAGTCGTCCGCTACGTGGATCTCATGGAGTCCAGTATTGCTCAGAGTATCCATAAGAACTTCGAAAAAGAACAATGGAAGCCGCATGGGTACGTAATACGCACTGCGTATACTTACACGAGTACGAGGCAAGCGGCAACTCTTTCCCATCGCTTTAGTAAATTACCTCACTTTCCCCGCTGCATCTTACCCGTGTGCAGGCGCTCACGTGATAACGTATCCATTGTGATCAGTGATCAGCGCTTACTGAGCCGGCGATAAAATCTCGCCTGCCGTGCTTTTCTCTATATTCTTTATCAGTTTGCGTAATCAACTATAGCCGCAAACCGGTTTAGACGTGAAACGGCTGAAATCAAATATCACGTGAGCGCCTGCGCACGGGTAAAATGCAGCAGGGAAAGTGAGGTAATTTACTGAAGCGATGGGAAAGAGTTGTCGCTTGCCTCGTACATAATGCATAGCAACAGGTGTCCCGGAAAAAACTTAAATATGCCGGCACGCGATTACCCACTCTAACAAGCCGTCCATCAGTTAATCTATTGCTGTAGTTTTATTTACAAATTTTTAGCAACCCTGATGGTTGCACGATCGTCAAATTTGTAGTTATGAAATTTTCAAGTGGCTCAATGTGTTATTCGCGGCTTGGAGGAACGTGCCACTGCACTACATCTACAGTTTTCATTCAGTTATTTTGTCCGTGCGGAGGCGGTGTCTGAGATGAGTAATGTAATAAATTTGCAATAAATTCGTAAGTACTAATTTTAGACTAGCCATATTTTAGTTATGTGTTTCTCGAGGGCAAATAATGGGCTGTGCTTAAAAAGTCAGCGTAAAGTGGTACAGTATAATTTTATGTAAATACAGCAGTGTGTACAGTAGTGTTGTTGACCTACCGTGAATGTATGAAGCTTCAAACCATTAAAAAACTAAAAAAAATTTTATGTAAAAATATTGTGATAACAAATGCATTTCGCAATATAATTTTCTGTCCAAAGGTTATTTGTCGTGCGAAACGTAAACATTTACCGCATTAGTTCGGAAAAGTTTCACCACTATTCTACCAAAACCGACTAACAGAAGTAAATAAATGTTCAACTGACATGCAGGCACGGCTGCGCTGCCTCCGAGGATATGCTGTGGAAACTGGACGCTCTGCAGACATTCATCTCCGACCTGCACTGGCCGGATGAAGTCTTCGCCAAGCATCTCGAGCAACGGCTCAAACTGATGGCCGCTGACATGATCGAATCCTGTGTTAAAAAGGTACGTAGTCGGAAATTTTGCTCCGTTCACCGGAAACATTTTTATTCACGGTACATGTGTGGGTTTTGGATTTTCTGAGAAAACCGTTTAAATATTTTCCATTCAAGTATTTTGCTTAACAGAACCCTGGAAGCGTACGAAACGTGGATGCAGCGGGCGCGTAAGTCCACGGATTTCGTCATCCCCGGTGGAAGTCTGTGTGATGATCAACGTCGTCCTCCATTTTAAAAGCGAGGTTAGAATCATCAGAGAGCCTTTCTTACCGCAGCTTGTTTTACAGAATCTGTTCGGTTTTTTGTAGTCGCTCAAGTTATGCGCTGTGGCTGGTGTGGATCGGGTGAGAATACCACTTAAATTTACATTGAACACGCAAATTAAAACATATCATATTACATACTAACCGCACGCACCGGCGCTTTAAATTAAGCGCTTTTCGAAGTAGATGTAAGAAAAGCTAAGCGTGCTGAATTTCCAATTACACATTTCTATTTATTTTTAAACTGCTCTGTACCCAAACCTGTGTTATGGTGACCTTTATGGTTTTTCGTAGCATCAGTATCACACGAAAATCGATGAGTTCATAGAGCGAATCTCACACGCCATGATCAGCAGTCTGGTTGAGAAGGTTGGACAACAAATCAGACAAAAAACTGCAATGACGGTGACCGGTGACAGTTATTTTTGTTGTGCTTAGTTCACCGCCATTCTCGACACGGTACTGCAGAAACTATCCCGCTACGATGAAGGAACCTTATTAGCGCCGATATTCTCCTTCGCGGTAAAGTAAAATGTCTGCTGGCTTGCAAGTCAGTGAAATGTTTGACGTTGTTGGTTTTGTGTAGAAACAAACGACGAGTGGAACGTCCAGCGGCGATTTAGGCCGCGAATATGTCAACTGTCTGCGGTCGTCGATGGAGCAGATCCGACAAAAAGGTCATCGATGAGCTGTTCATCCTGGCGCTCTTTGAGAAGCTGTATACGTCGCAGATGACGATGATCTGCAACTGGTTGACGGAGCGCGTTGACCGCACGCTGCATTCCTACCAAGTGAACTGTCTTTCCTTTCTTATCAAGGTCAGTTCCTTTCGCTAACCTCATGCCAACAGTTTTGCGTCGGTCGCTGCATTCAGTGAATTTTTGTACACAACGTTGATGGACTTGGATTTTATTAATAAAAATCAGTCGATCAGTTTAATTTAGGTTATCATATTTATTTGGGCAACGCTAATGAATCATTTTGATCTAAAATTCTTTGGGAAATCAGATCTTAGAAGACTGCGATAATATGTGTATGTGGTCGTTGTCGAAAGCGAAAAACAGTTAAAGTTTTAACCGATTAAGAATTCGGTTTTTCACGCGTTAAAGTACCCAAATTGCTTTCGTTGACGCTGGCTTTTTCTCCAGCTCGCCGCTGTACTATGTTATTGCCGCATTGTTGATGACGCAATGGAAGGATGTGAGTACTGCATTCAGTTCCTGCAATATTAATTCCTTCATCAGAACTCGGTTTATTAAATGGGTACCGTTATAGGCACCCCCTAAAACCCCCGTTTATTATAGGCACCCCTTTTCACACCCCGTTTTTTATAGGCACCCTTTTTTGAATTAAAAGTTAAAATAATATTATGTGAACGGAATATAATTCACTTATTCCAACAATAATTTTATCATTTTATACAGTTGCCAGGACCGTAAAAACTGATTAATATACAATACGTGGTACTATATATTATAGGACCCGAGATATTCAAGCTATGGAGGTGTAGGAGCTAGGTTTTTAACGAATGCGTGCACTGTAGAGAAAACGAAAAGAACGGCTCTAGGGCTCGTATATCTGTGTCAGAAAGGAAATCCAAGACGGTTTACCGGTCTCGCAGATACAGGCGACCTTAAAGGGATGGTTGGCCGAAGTGTTACAGGCTGAGAAAATAACACGATGTCCTAAACGTCTTGGAAGGAAGGCAGTTAATGAACTGACTACCGCGAAAGATGACCTTGTGGTCACAGTAGAACACGCGGTACTAATTCGTTCTAGGCTGGCTGATTTGCCTAACCGTCCTATTATAGGCTGTAAAGCCTGATTTACTTAACTCGGCGTCGCAAAAAATTGTTGTGCTATTGTCCGAATAAAACTGAATTACTATTTGAGAATACAAAATCTGTTATACAATGTATATACATTTATATCAAATTAAAAAGGGTGCCTATAATAAACGGGGTGGGAAAAGGGGTGCCTATAATAAACGGGGGTTTTAGGGGGTGCCTATAACGGTTTCCTTATTAAATTGTCAGAAACCAGTGCGTTAACATTTGATATGTATGATAATAAATATTATCATACATACATATCGACATGATGAGTTCACGATCGATTAACTTTAATAAATCAGTTGGTCAGTTGAGTTGATTTACTTGGGTGAAATTCATGGATGATTCGATAGAAACGACTAATTTTGTAGGCGGTCATGAGACATGAATAAGAGGACTTGTATTTGCAATAGCTTGTGTTCGTTGTCAAAAGCGAAAAATATATATTCAGTGTTAGCTGATTAACAATTACATTATGTTCAAATTAAAGTTTAATTATATTTTTACAAACGTCTTTATCATGGACGTAAATCGTGAATTGCCGTTTTACTACATTATTTCCATGTTTTCAGTTGACAGTGGAATTACGTATGTATTCTAAATTGGTTCCTATACAAAACTCAGACTTAAAATGGCCAGAAACCAGTGAAGTTAATATTAGCAGGACAATAAGCCACATTTTTATTACTTGCTATTTACAATATTTACAATATTAACTGCTTATCTCCGGTTGTTTTCCCGCAGAAAACCTTCGCGGAATTCGAACTGCAAGGTATCCCCGAGGATGTGCTGAACTTCAAGAACTACCAGACCATCCAGAACCGGATGCGTCTGGAGGAGGCCACGGCGGCCGTGTCGGAGGCCAGCAGTGCCACGCGCAGTCCCCGCACCTCGGCGCTGGGCATGTTCGAGAAGGCCAAGAAGCTGGCGCTGTCGTAAACGACCGGCAATGATGACGTACGGATGATGATGAAGATGGTTCCCCTGTGCAATGTGCATGGTCACTTTGGTTGTGTTTCTCTCCTCTTGTTCCCTTCCGCCTATACTGGAGCGCTTACTTTTGTACTGAGATATTTTTCGTTGTAATAAATGGATCGTTCGGATGGTGCGAATGACGACAATTGCAGTGTTGGTTAGTGCACTGTTTCCTTTCCCTCTGGTGATGATTTGAAATGTACCGTTGATGTACAAAGAATTAATTGCAAAATAAAAGCAAAAATTCATTCTTACGAGATACATGTAATTACAATAATCCTTAATTGCACAATTGATTGCAAAATAAGTGAAGCACAATAGGAAAACTTTAGTGTGAGCTACTCGTATTATGGTACAAACGGAAGGTTGCCTCTGCTGACGTGATACTCGCATAATGTCAGGATATGCTAATAGTAATGTCAGCCGTTATACTGCGTTTCAGCCGTAATTCATATGGACTTCGTACATTATACACAATTTTGTTGTTTGTTTGTATTTTAATTGAACGATATGTTTTTATTATATACAACTGCGACCGTCAGTATAAAGTTGCAATTACGTTCGGAGGTGCTGTAGTTGTAGAGCTTTAATTCACAAAGCACGGCGGAAAGTGACCAAAGTGACGGAATACAGTTTCCGCCATGATGTCTGATTCCCCCGCTCCAAATTCTTATGACGATTGACGATAATAATACGCATAATAATAATACGCGCCAATCAAACTGGATACCATTAGAAAGCAGTTAGCTGACAACACTGATGTGCTGATACTAACTGGTTGAAGTCTGGTTCTGAATAAATAAAAGTTTTATGCAGAAGAATATGTAACCGGCGAATAGCAGTACTGGCCGGTGAAGCAAACGTCTTTATAGTACAAACTACAAAACAAGACTTCACGACAAGTGCAAAAAATTGCAACTGAAAATTAATTTTTTATTGATTATGTCAATGCAGGCGCCCCTGTTTTGTAAACATGCTAAATAATGTTTACCGGGTAGAAAATTGTATACGGTATCTAGATAACGGAACTACGCAGCAAACCAAGCCGTCTATTTCGCCCGAACTAAGACGGTTGATAAGCAGACATATTAACATATTAGAATTACAAGTTATCGCTTTTCCCAATTATTTCCAGTTTTCACTCCGTTTTCTCGCAGATTATAGATACCACTTTACAACGTATTTTTTCCAGTCAGCCAGCGTTTCATATTCATTTAATATTGATAATGTTATTTTACCAGCAAAAATTTGCTTAGTTGTAAACTTCTAAGTTATACTGTTGGAACTTACGACAATACGCGTTTTGAAATACTTCATCCGGGTAGTTAAAATTCAGACAACTGAGAAACAATCATTGTCTTCTCTCAGGTTAAAGGGCAAAGTATCTGCAGTCTGTACATACTTACCAATTAAGAAGCAGGCGGTTCCCAACCACAGAGTTGTGGGGGCGACCACTGACATCTCTCAGTTTTGTAAAAACCTATCAAATTTGGGTTATCGAATAATATACAAAGCTAAAAGATTGATCCACTGGGTCGTTCGGGATGGATGCGCAGATACGATGGCCACACCTCCTTTTAATCTTTTATTATAAAGGATAAAGGATGGCAGCAACATAAAGGCTAAAGCCACCATGAGATCTCTCTGGTCGACCCCACATCCGCCACAACTACTCAAAAGCATACTGAAGCCGCCAAAAGGCGGTTTCAGTATGCTTTTGGCGGTTTCAGTAATTAAATTGAATTTAACGCGATCAAAAAATCGACGCGAAAAACTACTCAAAAGCATACTATGCTTCTGAGGAGTTGTTCGCGTTGATTTTTCATTCCGCAAAACATTTTCATAATTAGTTAGACACGGACAACCGAACAAAGCCTGAAAAAAGCATGGTGACGTTACGTGTCACATGCAAAGAGTTCATGCAAACTGTGCACAAGAAACCAAACGGCGGTCGTTTGATTCCTTGTGAATAGTATGCATAAACCCTTGGGCAAGGATTGTTGGGCGAAAATTAAAAGGAAAAACAGGCGAGCACGTCTGTTTATAAAACCGATTGTGTACAGCGTTTTATTCTGTATGATTCTGTACGTATATCTAGCTGTGCTGGATTTGATTATTTAATCGATGTGTATACAGTATGTATCTACACATGAGGATTTATTTTATACGTAATTTTCCTATAATCCCAAGTACAAGCAGTACTCGTATGTCTACGCTTGATCGCAGGGTTCAACATAAGGGGAAACGGGAGAAACGCTTAGAAGGCAAGGGGGACTGCGTACTTTAACGTTCGTCTGATGTTCGTCTTAACTTTCCTTTATGTGTATAATGGAATATGATACTTAAAGCTATTTGGCATTATTGTGTCTGTTTAGGCTTTGGCCCGCTGCAATTCAAACTGTGTGGTCTTGCCATCACTGTACTGCCGTAAAGAGGAAAATGACCATAATATTCAACTTACCCCGGCGATTCCACCTTCTTCCTCTTTTTACCCAGTGCTCGATCAGTACGAGTATGTACTGTAGCCGCTAGATGAAGTGGCTCCACTGTTAGATCCGGGCGCTGCCTTCCCCTCGTCGGGCATTGAGCACGGTGCTTACCGCCAACGGGCAGCGCACACGTAAAGTTTATTTTATTCATTTTATTTTAGTACTCTTTTACTTTGGTAAACCGTTTTCTATCTCACAGGTACCATCACTCTCTAAAATACTATCACTGAATAAACTAATCTCCATTTCAGAATCGCTTTCATCAACTAGATTTTCCTTATCCATTTCAGAGCTCTCATAATCATTTTCAGAGCTCTCATAATCATGATCTCGGTCATCATTCTTAAGCACCTGAGCAGCGAAAACGATTTACGGACAAGATCTGGGGTTACGCTTTGCCATGCACGAGAGATCATATCCAGGAAGTCTTGGCGCCCTGGCTTCTTCAGATATCCCGATTTTGTTACTTCATGATGAGTTGCTCGCCAAAGCTGATATTCGCTACGAAAAGAGGCCTTCATTGCTTTGTTAACGCTGACGTCAAGGGGCTGATAATCGCCTGTGCGACCAGCAGGCACGAAGATTTGCTCGACATTTCGTTCTCTAAGTAGGAGCTCCGATGGTTCTTTTTTGTGGACCGGTGCCTGGTCTCGAACTAAAACACGCTTTTGCTTTTCTTCGGGAAATGTATACTTTATCCAGTCCAGATCCATCTGCTCCGTCCACCAAGTAGAGTAAGAGCTCTCAACAAAAATATTAGGAGGAACTTTCAGCTTGTTCATTATCCCTTCTGACAGCTTCCCATTCTTTCCCCTTTAGCACCACTACAGCAGGATATTTTCCTCCATCCGCACGGATCGTTAAAGACACAGTTATTCCTTCTTTTCGCCAGGAGGCTGTTTAACAGTAACCTGCAAAGCCGTTCACAGTCAGCTTTCCAGAGGAACCACCCCCCCCCAGTGGCCAGGGGCACCCAAAAGCACAACAAACCAGATTCAATAAATTAATAAAATATCAGAGCTCTCACAATTCTCATAACTTTTGTTATAAATGTTTGTTATAAATTGATTAAAAGCTATAGAATTACTTTTCACTCCAATGGGAGAAAGTGTTTTCGGTTTCGGCGCTACAAGGCGAATCATCGTCTGATCGAAATTGAATACGCGGTCAGCGGGAGTTTCATCCAGAACGATGGAATTGTGTAAGCGGAGAAAATACTCCAGCTCTTCTTCCTGTTTTTAGAAAATTGTCAGAGCTCTCATTTATAATGTTAAAAAATTCAACTTACCAGATCTTCCTCCGTGAATTCAGACTTGCGAGCATGTCGAGTTGGGACACGATATCGCAGGCACTTTCTCCTCAAAAAGCAAGTAAGCCAACAGTCTGAAGCCTTGAAGGTAGGAGCTCCTTTCGCCTGGGCTAATTCTAGCTCTTTTTTTCAGCTCCAGACGTGTCACAATAAGACCCTTCTTCCGTTCGGCCAGGAGAAATTCGTACAAGGCGTCCTCTATGTCTGAGTGCTCCGGCTTTCGCTTGTGTTTCTGCTGAAGAGGCTCGTTCTTCTTCAACCTGCTGCAGGTAGACTGGCTGCTTTCAAAAACACGCAAGTAGATAATAAATTAAAAATCTAGCTGTACCTTTTCCAGCGCGTGAAAGTTCTCCATGGAACTCCGATGTTATTTGCGTAACTCCGTGCGCTCACATCAGCGGCAGCAAAACCGATCAGAAATGCTCGAATCTGTTCCTCTGTATAACTACGCTGCTTACGGCCCATTTCGACAAATTAGAGCTCTGATTCAAATACTATCCACAGCCGAAATGCAATTATTCACTATAAAATCAAGCTCAGGTACACAATTTTGGTTCAAAAACCTGTTAAAATGACTGAAAATCAAAAATGCAGCAAAAATTCAATTTTTTTATTCAATTCAGCGTATGTATATACGTCGTGCCTTTTCTCGTACACCAGACTCTGTGGAGCCACTTCATCTAGCGGCTACAGTACACCCATCATCTAGCGTCACAACGGTTGCTTGTTTTGTTGACCAGTGGATTTGTTGCATACGGATGATCATACGCACAACATGCATCAGATCAGCGAATGCCGGCTTAGTGTCAAATAAACGACCGCCTACATGTAAAAAATAGTGGCCACTTGACAAAACACTTCTCACTGGTCAGAAAATTAACGGCCACTTGAACGCGACATATTGCGCGCGCGGTGTTGCTTTAACTAAGGCGCTGGTTGACGCCTTGAAATATGACAACCAAACTCGTACTTGTGAAAAATTCAGCAAATTTATAGTGTTGTATCCTTTTACACGTGAATTTGCCTGATTGTCTGTCAATGGTGGAGGTCAATTACATTTGGGTAAGCGTTGCGCGTCGGGTAACGGGAAAACGCGTAAAAAATGTGACGTAGCAGCGCGTAACCAAGCAAACATTCTGATTCGCTGTCACAAAATCTGGGATGGGTTTTCAGCTTACTTGTCCGCGTAAGCGTTGCGCTTCGACGTCGAAGCGCAACCATTACCCAAACTACGAGTAACTCGTAACTCTCCTGCACAGATCTACAAAATTTTTGTGTGTTTGGACCAAAAGTAAATCCAACGACCGAGAGTCATAATCCAAAACTCATAATTAACTTTTTTGACGTAATACCACATTTACTACATTACAGCATTAAAAATGAGTTTTTCAGTTCCACTTCGGTGTTCAATTTCTTTCTTCGCACGGAAGCGTACTCGACTCACGATTGGACGATTGTTTTTCTGCTGAGTCATGGCTAATTTTTTACGCGTCTCTCCATTACCCGACGCGCAACAGTTACCCAAATGTAATTGACCTCTACCAATATAAAACAGTTTTGTGTACCGGGAACTCTTGGATTAACTGTGAAACATTGTGAAACACGGTGAAATTGTGACTATGGCGCAGAAGCATCGGATATCGTGTCATCTTAATCGGCTCAGTGGAAATTTTACCGGCCTGGTTCAGTATTCTAGGAACAAAACCTATCGATCTATAATCTTGAACTCAAGTAAGCGCAGCGATTTAAGCAACCCGTAAACTCATTTGCCGACCTCGGATTCGACGCAAACAACCATGTGCAGCATTTAATGACAGTTAATGTTGTGTTATTTTGATACAAGAATTTTTAAGATAATATATTGTGAAGGACGATCATGAATTCGAGTAATATTGCTTCTAGACTGTAACTGTACCTAATAAATAAAATGGACATGACATGACGCACTATTTAACGATTACTTATTACAATACAACCGATTTATGGGCTATTTCATTTAATTACCCAGCTGTCTTTTTGAAAATTTATTGGAAAGGAATTATTATTTTTTGAAATTATTCTCTGTCGAATTTCCGGTAAAATTATTGTAGAAAAGTTTAGTTGTACTTTCCAAGCGTTTTTGTTTTGTTTTGGCAGTTATCGCACATTATTCTCCCGTTTCTTTAATTTAATAATTTCAGCTGAATTTTTATACTGAATTTCGCACGGTTTTACTTTGACGAAAAAAGAAGTGTTTGGTCGTGCAACAGGTTTGGCATTTATTTATTACTATTTATTTATTTACTAATGAATAAATAAGACCATTAGTATTTATTTATTCTAGTGTTGTTAGCAGTAAAAACAAACAACGGTAGCCTGGCGGACGATCAATAATGTTGTTGTGACGATTTGCCTCTGCGTGGTGTAGTTGAAAAATTCCGACGAACAAGCGGAAGCCATCCGGCGCGAGCTAGACGGTTAAATTCAGAAGGTCAACTCCATGGAGAAAAATCGTAAATTACTCCCCAGATTCGTGGTGAAGGAAATGGAGAGTTTATTCCTGGAGGAACTCTGCTCTGGCGTCATCCTGCTGATGTTCTTCCCGTGTCCAAAGGCGCCACCGACTCCAAAAACGGTCTGAGAAAATTCGGACGCTATAATAGCAGGTGAGACACTTTAATAACAGGCATAAACTGATTTTGGATATTGAACACATAAGTATAACAATATATTGAACACATAAGGTTTCTGCCGAAAAATTATTTTGTTGCAGTTTAGCAAACCCGTTTGTTTCCAATGACAGCTTTAATTCTTGCGGTTTCACATTAGTATTTAGGGCGACAAAAAATTTGTTTTTCTTCAGCACTTATGCTGCTGTTAGTATATGTACGAGTACAATTGCAATGACAAAATTTCGTATTTATGGCCGAAAACGCGGGCTTTGATTGTAGCCACTGTTCTACGAGTACCTTGCGTTAACATCGACTGTGCATTGAGTATCAAGTTGCATGATCGTTCTGACTCGATCGCTACATTTCAACTTACAAAAGCTATTGTTTTCGGGTGAACGGTGAGCTTTTATTTTTTCTATTGACATAATGTTTTACGGTTCGCTGTTGAAAATTTTTCTGTACGAAATACATCCAGTGCATGATTATATTATTGCCGCATGTTACCCTATCACACATACACCGTCCGCTAAATTTCATCGCTGACTGTTCTCGTTAATTATACGAGTATAACGTATAATTAACGGTCTTCCAGGTCCTCAACGACCACCTCATACACCACCGTAAGCAGTTGTGACGTTACCAAACGTTGTTTTTAAATTTAATGTACGTTTGAATGCTACTTTATGTTCAGTATCATTAGGCAAACCGGTTGATCTTCTCTTATACGGTAATTTTATTTGTGCAGCCTCGATGGCGGGTGGCCGGTTCCACCAGCAGCTGAAGGACATGTTCGCTCCGTTGGTCGTCCGCTATGTGGATCTCATGGAGTCCAGTACTGCTCAGAGTATACACAAGAACTTCGAAAAAGAACAATGGAAACCGCATGGGTACGTACTGCGTACAGTACAAGGCAATAGGTGTCCCGCAAAAACTGAAGTATGCCGAAAAAGTATGCGATTACCTATGTGCTTGTATTCCAACAAGCACAACCCAGCAGTTAACTTATCGCTGGAGTTTATTTAAAAATTATTAGCAGCCCTGATGTTGCACAATCCACAAATTTGTAGTTATTAAATTTGCTCATGGCACAATGATCCACACCTTGAAGCAACGTGCCACTGCACTACAGCTATGACGATCTTCATCACTTTGTGCGTGCGGAGGCGGTGTATTAGTTGCACACATGTAATAAATTTGCGATAAATTAGTCCTAATATTAGGCTAGCCATATGTTATTTGTGTGTTTCTCGATTTCTTGATGACAAATAATGGGCTGAGCTTGAAGGTCAGTATAACGGGTTACGTGGCGCAGTATAATTTCATGTGAAAACAACTGTGATAGCAAGTGCACTGCGCAATATGTAATTTTATATTTAAATGTCGTGCGAAACGTACATAAACACTTGTCGCAGCAGTTCGGGAAAGTTTCGCATCTGTACTACCAAAACCGACTAACAGAAGTGAATAATTGTACATCTGACAGCAGGCATGGCTGCGCTGCCTCCGAGGATATGCTGTGGAAACTGGACGCTCTGCAGACATTCATCTCCGACCTGCACTGGCCGGATGAAGTCTTTGCCAAACATCTCGAGCAACGGCTCAAATTGATGGCCGCTGACATGATTGAATCCTGTGTTAAAAGGTACGTAGTCTGAAGCTTTGCTGCGTACACCGGTAATATTTTTATTCACGGTACACGTGTGGGATTTCTGACGAAACCGTTTAAATATAATAATTGCTCAAGAGAACGCTGGAAGCGTACGAAACGTGGATGCAGCGAGCGCGCAAGTCCACGGATTTCGTCATCCCGCTGGAAGTCTGTGTGATGATCAACGTCGTCCTCGATTTACAAGCGAGGTTAGACTTCCGGCAGTTCTTGTTACCGACAGTCGTGCGGAGTGGTTTTTTATACAACGCATATTTTTGATTTTTGCAGTCGCTCAAGTTATGCGCCGTGGCTGGTGTGGATCGGGTAAGCATGTGTTTTATATTTACACTGAGCATGTAAAGTACGAGTATGTACCAAGTAAAATGGAGCGCTAATCGCAGCAGTAGCTGTAGATAATGCAACACATTTTACATTTGACAGTCTAATGTGCCTCGATTTTAGTTCATTTGCTGAACAGCGTTATACTAAAATATTTTAGTATAACGCTGTTCAGCAAATGAACTAAAATCGATTTATGATGACCTTTATGATTTTTCGTAGCATCAGTATCACACGAAAATCGATGAGTTCATAGAGCGGATCTCCCACGCCATGATCAGCAGTCTGGTTGAGAAGGATGGAAAGCCAGTGCGACAAAAAATTTATTAAAGATGACCGGTGACCATTCTTTGTTCTTCCTTCAGTTCACCGCCATTCTCGACACGGTACTGCAGAAACTATCCCGTTATGATGAAGGAACTTTGTTAGCGTCAATATTCTCCTTCGCGGTGAGCAGAAATTTCATGGGAGTGCAGAAACCGAGAAATTCTTTGACGTTGTTGGTTTTGTGCAGAAACAAACGACGAGTGGAACATCCAGCGGCGATTTGGGCCGCGAATACGTCAACTGTCTGCGCTCGTCCATGGAGCAGATCCGGCAGAAGGTCATCGATGATCTGTTCACCCTGGCGCTCTTCGAGAAGCTGTACACGTCGCAGATGACCATGATCTGCAACTGGCTGACGGAGCGAGTCGATCGCACACTGCATTCCTACCAAGTGAACTGTCTTTCCTTTCTGATCAAGGTCAGTCCCTTCGCTAACCTTGCGTCATTATTTTCCTAGTGTTCGCTGATTTCATTGAACATAATTATGTAATCGGTAATCGGCATGATGAACGTACAGTTTATTATCGCACAAATCACAACTAGCCGTTGTACTACCTTGTGGCCGTAATTTATGTTGTCGCTTGTCAAAGTAAGGAGGTACAAGCACATGTTGCATTTCAAAATAATTCTTTCGTAGCACTCGGCTGACCAAACAGTTTCAAACCACTGCGTCAATATTACAATATTAGTAAGACATTTGCCCTGAATGCATTTATTTATCCCCTGTTGTTGTCCCGCAGAAAACCTTCGCGGAATTCGAACATTCGCGGCAAGGTATCCCCGAGGATGTGCTGAACTTCAAGAACTACCAGACCATCCAGAACCGGATGCGTCTGGAGGAGGCCACGGCGGCCGTGTCGGAGGCCAGCAGTGCCACGCGCAGTCCCCGCACCTCGGCGCTGGGCATGTTCGAGAAGGCCAAGAAGCTGGCGCTGTCGTAAACGACCGGCAATGATGACGTACGGATGATGATGATGATGGTTCCCCTGTGCAATGTGCATGGTCACTTTGGTTGTGTTTCTCTCCTCTTGTTCCTTTCCGCCTATACGGAGCGCTTACTTTTGTACTGAGATATTTTTCGTTGTAATAAATGGATCGTTCGGATGGTGCGAATGACGACAATTGCAGTGTTGGTTAATGCACTGTTTCCTTTCCTTCTGGTGATGATTGAAATGTACCGTTGATGTACAAAGAATTATGGCGAAATAAAAGCAAGATTAATAACAGTATTGCGAGATAATCATAATACTACTAATTTAGACACAATTAATTACAAAATAAATGAATGCAAATAGAAAAACTTAATGCAGATTGCAGATTACTTCATTATGGTACATATTGCCAAGTTGCCAACTGCTGACGTGATAAAATGTCGTGAATTGATATGCCAGCCATCGTACTACGTTCAGCCGTATATCGCAATATGGACTTGGTGCGATTAGTGTTGCATACTTCAAAGAATCGCCATCGCATTGGTTTCTGTTTTGACGAACCATTTTGATGAACTATTGTTTTCTATTTTAATTGCGATTGTCAGTATAAATTTACAGTCAGGATCGCAGCCAGTTGAAGAGCTTTAATTCAGAGCATACAAAAAATGGCGGTAACAGCGGCACGCCAGCAAATTTTCGGTGTACGAACGCTGGTAAAAAAATCTGCGATGACAGAAATTGGATTACTCAACTAACCACCTGGCATACTTATGTATAGTACAGTATAACAGAAGCCCATTCCAAGTTCGTTGAAAAAATGCATCGTCACTCGTCAGAAATCTTGGCAGTTTATTTGCCGAATTTACTTGTTAATAAAGAAGTATTCATGGTGACTCTGGCGGCCGATTTTGGTTCGGCCATTGTCCAGCTGCACACCGAGGCAGTCCCAGCCTTTGGATTTATCCTTGTGGAAGGCACAGCTGCCGACAAATGACCGCTTATCTTTGTTAGCGTTTTTCAGAGCATCCGTAAAGTCAGCGGCTATTCAATGCAAAATGCCGGTTAAAATTATTGCAATTGCCTCATAAAATCTACGAGTACGACGCAATCTGCTGACTGATTTCGAACAAAAATCTAGAGTGACGGCAAGCAAAGGATTTATTGTGTGACAAAAAGCGCCGTGCACTTCCCAGCTCGGTTTTGTATATAAAACTGCACTAATTTGTATTACGTACTGAGAGCATTTTGCCGTTACAGAGTTTACACCCGAGCCTTCGGACCCAGGTAAAATTATTCATAATTGTTGACTCGTTTACATAGAATTTTTATTCTGCCATAAAAATAAGTGGAGCGGGATACCACAGATTTAGTAAAGCGTTTAAGTGAACGTTACGATATACTGCGTAATTATATAATCCAGTAATGATGGTTCTGGCCGGGCGCGGCTTCAGTTTAACGTTAATATCTATAACCGTTTTCCAAAATCTTTTTTTACGGCCATGCTAGCGCTTTATTTAATTCTGATTTAAAGCCTTAACAAATAAATTAGTACTAATAGTAATATCATAATCTTTGAAAGTTTAATATTAATTACATTTTTATGTGCTGCCCATTTCCAAAACAGGAAATGCATAAGTTTTGTATAAGTACCACTGTAAACGCAGAGTACCTACTGGTACTTGTTGGTGTCAATGTGCGTCTGCTGTTAACTTCATGCAATGAAATTAACAACTGTACGGATTTTAAATATTCTGTTTGAGAAAAACAACGTTTTCTTTGCGATGTCCGGTAAGCAGGGTTTCTGAGCGTGCAACGGCTAATCATAAGTACTACGGGTACTGATAGTGGCAACTTACTGGATATGTCGTCCGACAAAACATCCCATTTGGTCATATGTGCATCGTCAGTGCACTTGAACAACACCAGCGGATCCACACTGGCATCGTCAATCTGGTCCTGCGGAATCTCATCATGCGAGCTGCGCTTCTTGACCAAGCCATCTGCATCGCCACTGGCTAATTTGTTGCAGTTCCTCTGGCACGCTTTGTCGCCATTGCTGAAGAAGCGGCACACCGTCGCCTCGTCGTCCGCCGCTACCACCGCAGAAACTGCATAAAGTGCATAAAAATGCCGCTTTCCACTTGATGAAAACAAAAGTACCGGAAAGTTTTAGATATGTGTCTGTTCAAAGAACGTACCTGCGAAAATTATAGCAATGAATCCCAGATGTGGCATGGTGAGACGATAGAATTTAATGTAGGTTACCCAACCAAGGGACTGTGTGTGGTAGATCGCGACTACTGTGGTATGCACCAGTATTGCTCGTGTTTCGACATTGTTTTGCAACGGTGCCCTCGAGCGTTGCTTGCTTTCTCAGCAAATTCTGGTGTGCGTTATTGTCCCCGACCTTCACGTGTCTGTCGTACTATATTCTGCACCATATAAGTGTAGTTAACGAACGCCACAGTGTTCGTTCACCCACCCTACCGTCTACCATTACTTCTCAATTACGCATCTGTACAATAATTAAGAAAACAAATCTCATATCAATCAAAGTTATCAAACGTGTTTCATATAAGTAAAGTGCCCTGTACCGCACTAATGGGATTGCAGCTCGCTGCCTCTGTAGGCAAACATTTCACTCTCATTTTATCGTGCAAACGTTAATTGGTCTCTTGAAACTCGTACGGAGCTTACTAAAGAATAGTTCAGAATCTGAGCGCTGATTATCATTTTTATCTGGTCAGGATTGTATTGTACGTTTGTACGTACGTTTTGTACATAAGATTTTGAAAGAATATACAGTAGATAATAGATAATATACTATACGAATACTTCAATTATACTTGTACCCCCACATAATTAAACGCAAGGCGTTCCGTTTCTTAAAAGTGTACCGTTGTAGTCGTAAATCGAAAAGAACATAATTATTTACATATAGGCAGTAATTTTATTCAGTTTTCCACTACCACAAATGTAGTAACGGTCGAAAAACAGGAACATCAAAACGTTAATAAAGAAAAATATTTCTGTCATTCTGATAAATTTCCTAGGAAAGCATCCGAGTACGTACAAGTTTCCACACAATGCAGAAAATTGATATGTGTAAGGTATTTCAGTGTGTATCCTATGATTTATCAGGAGGCGATTGCAGATGGGACTATGTGAATCACGTGGTAATCTGCGAACCTGTTATAGGAAGACGAAAGAACATCCAGGCTATTCAAGCACATCATCTTCCAGTATACATGGTTTTCGCCGCCGAAACACCATGCTGCGTTTACGCACGCCAGCAAACTCAAATATTATGTTGAAACGGTTGTCTTCTATTTTCCAGTCCCACTGCTTCCAGAAATCCAGGAAATCTACCTCGACCATGACACCCGAACAGCTCGTACAATACAAAACCAGATCAGATTCGATCGCTCCCACGTATCCGTGGATGATGGTGACATGGAGAGCCGGTATGGTATCGGGCATACCGACAGCGAATAGCGAAACCTTCACATTATCTTGAGTTGCGTTCTTGATCATCCGACTGTGAGTCATTACCAGCACAGGCTTACCTTCATCCAGCTGCTCCTTAATGTCAGACCACGTAGCCCCGTCCTTCACGGTATATTCGTATTCGTGCTCAAACGTATTTAACCACGTGACCAAAAGGGGAAACGGAGCTCCCACCGGCTGTAATCCCCGCGTGAACCTCGCTCGTTCCTCTTCGTCCTCCAGGATGGCCAATGCCAATGGATGGATCATCCCTGTTCCGTAGAGACCCTTTAGGCATGTTTTGAGGAATGGAATATACTTTGGATCAAATGGCTTCTGAGGGTCCAGCCCTTTTGGGCACTCATGGATGAGCCGATCCGCATCTTCCAGGCGGAACTTGGGAGCTTGAAAGTGAGCGAGAATTCGCACAGCACAGTTGGCGCTGTTGCTCCATGCCGTATCACCCAGTTCTTTTTCGCTTCGGACATGCACCGGCAGAAGATAGTTGGACCGTAATTTAATGATTGTGTCCTTTTGGCAAACTAAAAACCACTTATATTTAGTTCACTTAGTATGTGTGTTGTGCTTAAGATGTGTTTTTGTACGGCTTTGATAGCCAGCGAAATAGGAGCAACGTACATACTCGTACTTAACAAAACGTGCAAATTCGGGCACAGTAGTTTGCAGTTAAGATTTAAAAATTGAAAAAACAGCCAAGATCTCCCTCCTCCGGGGATTAATAGGTAAGTACTTAATACATAAACCGATGATGTGTCAATAAACAGATGTCTGTGTTAAGTTACATGTGTATACATGTATATATTGTATACAGTGCTATACACATGACGTTGCTCATCAATAACGAACCATACTAGTATAGACAAAGCGAAGCGTTGCAGTAGTAAAGCGGTTGTCTTATCAGAAACGCTATTTTGTGCGTTCCTGCCCTGACTGGCTTCCCACGAGCGACAAACTTAGCATGACTGAAGGTTAGCATGGCTGAAGGCTAAACCTTGGCCATGCTATTTCTAACTGGAACTCTACTTTTCTCGCTTTCATGTACAGTCAATCTAAAGGTCTAGTAACAGAGTCATGCATGATCCGGTGTTTGCTTAACCATGGTAACTGCAATCTGATCTACACTAGTGCCCTTTCATTTCAAACAGATAGACGCTCCTTCGAAGCGCTGCAGAATCAACCTGACCAGGAATGCTGCAGGAGCATCGGTTGTAATACTTACATCCATTGATTTCTCTACTGCATGCGTCCCACTTCATCCAGGGATGCGACAGGAGTTTACTAGCGTCAGGACGATTGTGAGGATCCTCGGCGATGCAACTTTGAATGAAAGATCGGAGCAGTGCAGGTGTATCATTCGGGACCCACGGCCGGCCTCCGTTTTGTAGGAAAGCTTCTAGCTCCCTACCGTTCTGTGCAGGGCCTTGGCTTTGATCTTTTTTTATCTTCAGTTCTTCGCCCTGTGGATTGAGGAAATAAACAACAGCACGGGAAGCCAGAAACAGGACAGTACAGCCAAAACTCCAGATATCGATGCTGGTCGTAAATCCCTTTGTCGATCGACCGGATGCGTCGCCTCGCGCGCTGAGACGCTCCGGTGACCGATACATACATGTCCCCACGAGGGCATCTTTAGTTTTGACGTTCTTATCATCCTTATACAAGGCAACAGAATCATCCAGGTCACCAACTTTTGCTATGACGTCGTTGTTGGCCCCATGAGCAAGAAAGATGTTGTCGGGTTTAATATCACCATGGATGATCCCGTATTTGTGGATATAGTCGATGCCGGCTAGCATGTCCCTGGACAATTGGTGGACCAGCGACCAGGCCGGCACGATGTTGAAAACTTTTGCTAAAGTTCCCACTGTAAACGAATTATGCACATTAAATATACACGTTATAATAATGGGATTTTTAATTTTAACGCACAAGTATAGATCTCTATAACAAGCCTGTCGACAAATTAATATAGGGGGGAAAACCATGTAAGTCGAACCAATTCACGGCACTGCTGCCGTCACCCGGCTGGAGTGTAACGTTACGGCAGTACATATGGTTAAATCAGGCGCGGTACATAAGCACCATGTTTAGCCACAGCGTGAAACTCCAGCCGGCTGACGGCAGTTGTGCAGGGGAATGGTTCGAGTAGACTGCTTTTTCGCCCTATATAGGTTACAGTATACCTATATTACGATAAATTAGTACTTAGTATTACAATGATATGTGTTAGTATATTTATACATTAGTATTTGTACATTTCATTATAATATATAAATACTGTATATTATAAGGAATGAGTTCCATAACATGCTGTTCTTAATAGAAAGCTGTCGTGACGTGATAATAAATGTATATTTATTATCGAACTCGCAGGTCGCTGACTGAATGTCAGCAAAGCACAACAATGACAGGCAACTTCTATGTTGCTATGCAAAAGGTCATGTGTATACACTGCACATATCTGACACCTCCCCCAGTGGGGAGACCCACTCAACTAAAGCCAAAACAAAGCTAGCGCCCGAATTTCGGATCCGCGATTAGTCGATCCGGTTCTTTTCTGTCTCTTCCGCTTCGTCGCACTTCTGGTTCCGGTGGCTTCAGTTGAGAACTGGTATCAGTTATCGCTTCAGGAACGCGTGGCGTTTTCTTAGCATTCTTCACATTCGCTGGCTTCACTGGTTTGGCGCTACCAACATTCGGTAATGTAAGTTCAGGTGCTTTACCAGTAGCGATCTGTCCACCAGCATCCTGCTTTGTGACCGCTTCCGGAAAGGCATCGTTAGGCAGTGCAGCCGTCTGCACTGGCGATGCGACTGGTACTTTCGGTACATCCGGTGTCTTCGGTGCGGCAGGTGCGACAAGTGCAGCTGGCGGATTCGGTAGTGCACGCTCGTCTGGGTGCAGCCAATGCCTCGGTCGCATCTGATTTTCGTGCCTTCGCAGGTCAATTCCGTTGACCAGGACAACCCAGATGCGGGTACCTTCACGTCTGACCAGCTGTCCACGCTGCCAGTCAACTGCGCGATTCGGACGGTAATCACGTACCATTACGTAATCGCCAACTTGGAAATGCTTCTCCTGTGTCCGTTGGTCGAAATTTTGCTGGTAACGCTTCCGGTTACGCTCTATTGTTGTCATCAGCACCGGCACCAGCAAGTCCAGCTGACCACGCAGTTTGCGGCTCAGAAACAGTTCCGCTGGCGACTTGCCAGTTGTGGCCTGTGGCGCGTTGCGGTACCGGAACAGGAATTCCCGCAGAGCTGTGGGCAATGGCTTCCGGTCGGCCATCAGCTTGCTGATTCCGTCCTTAAAAGTTTGAACGTAGCGCTCCGCCTGGCCGTTCGACTGTGGGTGGCCAGGTGGTGTCCGAAGATGTCGGATGCCGTGAACCGTGCAGAAATCGGCAAACTCTTGCGAGGTGAACTGCGTACCGTTATCGGTGACGATTTCGGTGCAGGCTCCGTAACGGCTGAACAGGTTCAGGAGGGCCTCCAGAACGCCGTCGGACGTGGCGTGTTTCATCTGGACCACCTCCGGCCACTTCGACATGGCGTCCACAATCACCAGCAGCATTGTGCCGTGAAATGGATTGGCGAAGTCCATATGGAGCCGCTTCCAAGGTGCATGCGGCACTTCCCACTGCGCCAGCGGGACTTTGGCCGTTTCTTCGCGCGTTCAGTGCGGATTTGGCATTCACTGGACATTCGTTCGATGTCCTTGTCCATGTTAGGCCACCAGCAGTATCCTCGCGCTTCACCCTTCATCTTCCCCGCCCCCATGTGGGCGCCATGAAGGTATTCCAGGATCTGCTGCCGGTGTTTCGATGGCACGACGGTCCGGGATCCCCAGCATACGCAGCCGTTGATGGTGACGAGCTCATGCTCAAGTCGCTTGTAGGGACGCGCTAGGGCATCAACCGTCGACGGCCAGCCGTTCATGACGTATCCATACACGGTGGACAGTTCCGGATCTCTGGCCGTTTCTTCGGCAATCGCTTCCACCGACACCGGAAAACGCGACACGTTGTCGACGTGGACAGCGTTGACCACACTGTCTATCCCCAGGCCGGGCAGGCCATCCAGCTGCGTCGAATGCAGTGGTAGGCGGCTCAGTCCGTCAGCTTGGCCAAACTCCTCGGTGCGGCGGTATTCGATGCTGAACGAATATCCCATCAGCATCAGCGCCCACCGTTGGAGGCGGTTTGCAGTCACCACCGGCACTCCTTTCCGTTGACCAAACACACTGAGCAGCGGTTTGTGGTCAGTGCACAAAGTGAACTCGCGCCCAGCGATATATTGATGGAACTTCCGGCACCCAAACACCAGTGCCAGGGCCTCTTTTCATCTGGCCATAGTTCTTCTCGGCGGCTGTGAGCGTCTTCGAGGCGTGTGCGATTGGCCGTTCCGTTCCGTCCGGGAAACGGTGACAGATCACGGCGCCAACGCCGTATTGCGACGCGTCCGCGGCGAGGACCAGCGGCATCCGCGGGTCGTAATGAACCAGGAACGTCGCGCGGACAATCTGCTCCTTTAAGGACAGGAACTGCGTTTCGCAGTCCTTGACCAGGACCAGGGGACTCCGGCCTTGAGGAGGTTGTGGAACGGCGCACACTTCCCGGACAGGTCGCGAACGAACTTCCCGTAATGGTTGACCAGACCCAGGAACGCTCGGAGTTCGCTGATGTTGGTCGGACGGGCCATGTCGCGGAGTGCCTTGACGCGGTCCTGGGAAATGTGGCGACCACGGTGGTCCACCACGAACCCCAGGTACTCCACGGAGTCCTGAAGGAAGAAGCATTTGCTGCGCTTCAGCGTGAAACCGTGCTCTTCCAGGCGTTGGAGGACTTTCTCCAGGTTTCGGAGGTGCTCCTCTTCCGTCGCCCCGGTGACAATGATGTCGTCGAGGTAAATGGCGACTCCCTCGCATCCCTGGAGGACGCTCTCCATGATCTGCTGGAACACGGAAGGACCGCAGGCGACACCGAAGGGGAGTCGGTTGTACCGAAACAACCCCTTGTGCGTGTTTATTACCACCAGGCTCTTGCTTTCTTCATCTAGCTCCACCTGGGCGTACGCTTCCGCCAGGTCCAACGTACTGAATTGCTTCCCTCCGTTCAGTTTCGCGAACAGCTCATCGGGCGTCGGCAGCGGGTACTGCTGGACGTCGAGAGCGTCGTTGAGTCCCGTGCTAAGGTCGGCACAGGTGCGGATGTCTCCAGCCTGTTTTCTGCGCCGTCACCACTGGAGCTGCCCAGTCGGCCCGTTCCACTGGTGTAAGGATGCCCCTCTCCACCAGGCGATCCAGGTCGCGCTCCAGTGCTTCGCGGAAGGCAAATGGGACTGGTCGAGCTTTCCGGAATACAGGCGTCGCGCCTGGCTTCAAGTGCAGGTGAGCCTTGTAATGTTTGCAGTGGCCCAGTTCGTCACGGAAAACAGCACTGTGCTTCTTCAGCAGCTGTTCCACCTCCAGTGTGCCGGAAACTGTGGACACCATGGTCGACTGCAGGTCCCGCAGATTCAGTCGGCTGAGGTCCAAGGAGCGGATCCAGTCCCTACCCAGCACGTTTCCCCTTGTCGCCACAACCACAATCGGCAGTGCCTTGCGAGTGCGTGCGTGGGTGACTTCCACGGTCGCAGTACCAATAACCTTCAGCGTGTGCCCCGTGAAGCTCCGTAAAGTGTTCGTATACGGTGACAGCTTCGGTGATCCGATTGATCGCCACGTGTCGGCCGTAAAGATGGTCACACTGGATCCGGTGTCCAGTACGGGTGACACGGGCACGCCGTTCAGCTTGAGTGGTACGTGGATGGATCGTCCACCCGTCGTGTCTACCGACAGGACGTCGAATTCCTCCTCCACCAGGAATGTCCGCCGCCCATCTCTCTCGTTGCTGCGCTGCAGGTTGCTTTCCGCTCCGACACACCTTCGCGATGTGCCCTTTTACCGCAGCTTCTGCAGGCAAGATCTTTCGCCCAGCACTGTGACCTCTCGTGCTGCATGGAGCCACATCCATCGCACGCATCTCTCGCGGAGCTGGCTTTCGGTCAGGACGGCTGCTACGGTTCTGTATGCCGCCGCGTCCACGACCGCGTCTCTCTGCTGGTGCCGCCACCGCTCCGGGCATTGTCGACGCGCGCCACATCCGGCGCTGTCTGACCTTCCTGTTGGACTTGCGCAGCTCATATTCTTCACAAATCTCCAGTGCTTTCTCCAACGTGTTGTACGTTTGGGACTGGAGGTGTTGCCGTGTGGTGTCGCTCAAAATTCCGTTGAGGAAAGTAGCGGACATATTCTTTCTAGCACGTCCGCAGGAATCCGCAGGAAATGCCTTTCGGCGCAGCCGGTTCGAAAATTCTAGCAGCGACTCGCCCTGCTCCTGCTGGAGTTTAAAGTAGTTGGCCTCCGTAGCAGCGTTTGTTTTCTTCACAAATGCGTGCTCTAGCTTGTCCACAAGTTGCGAAGTGGTGAAATTGTCGGGATTCGTAGGCAAACACATTGAAAACAGCATTTCCCGGCGTCAATTCCAAGGGAGTCCAGAAGCAGGTACTTCTGATCCTCCGGGTCGGTGACCTTGCGCAGTTTCACAAAATTCTGATATTGGAATTGCCACCATCGCCATGTCATCTTCGCGGGTTCAAACTTGATCAGTTCTGATCCAGCCTTCTCGCTGGACGTCGTGGGGACTGATGGCGAAGCAGGCGATGTCGATGTCGTGAGAGACATTATGAGGTGTGTAGGGAATTAGACCGCGTGAGGTCTTGTGTCCTTCACGCCAGTTTGTCGTGACGTGATAATAAATGTATATTTATTATCGAACTCGCAGGTCGCTGACTGAATGTCAGCAAAGCACAACAATGACAGGCAACTTCTATGTTGCTATGCAAAAGGTCATGTGTATACACTGCACATATCTGCACATATCTGACATCTCTATAACAAGCCTGTCGACAAATTAATATAGGGGGGAAAACCATGTAAGTCGAACCAATTCACGACCCTGCTGCCGTCACCCGGCTGGAGTGTAACGTTACGGCAGTACATATGGTTAAATCAGGCGCGGTACATAAGCACCATGTTTAGCCACAGCGTAAAACTCCAGCCGGCTGACGGCAGTTGTGCAGGGGAATGGTTCGAGTAGACTGCTTTTTCGCCCTATATAGGTTACAGTATACCTATATTACGATAAATTAGTACTTAGTATTATAATGATATGTGTTAGTATATTTATACATTAGTATTTGTACATTTCATTATAATATATAAATACTGTATATTATAAGGAATGAGTTCCATAACATGCTGTTCTTAATAGAAAGCGAAGGACTTAGGGTAAACAAATATGTTGTCATCAATATTTTGCGTGCAACAGCGTAATCAGTATGGGGCTGTGTGCGCCGAGGTATGATGATTGGCGTAACTAATGAATTCGCAAACTTAGTAGCTGTATTTTTATATGCTTAATTTGCCTTGTCGACAGGCGTGTACCAGCGCTAGTAGATGTATGGTATACTTTGTGCGCACAAGCATTTCCTGATAGGTTGCTGCTTACCTTGACACCATTCCATCAAAATGACCAAATCCAATGGACTGGTATACTGCACCGAACACTTCTCTATCTGTACATGGAGATATTTCAACACGTTGTCGTGCTGGAGATTGAGCAACCTAGCCAAGTGCTGCAGTTTTTCTTCGGTTATCGCCTCGTCCTTTCGGGGAATTTCTTTAAGGGCATAACGACTCTTGGAGGGACCAAACACGCCAGCACCGGGACTAATTTCTTCGACAAGATGGACCCATGCGCGCGAAGGAACACACAATTCTTCGACTTTGCGCATCTGCGCCGTACCCTTTGGACCAACATCCAGAGTCCAAAACTGATTGGAGGACGGCGCTACTCCTGCAACCGACAAGACAAAATGAAATTTTGTTTTTATGATTAACTGTTTCTGAAACTGTGATGTCACCGCGATTAATGAAATAAAAAAGTTTTACAAGACAATGTTTCGCCAACATCATTTTCATTGGCACACAATTAAAGCTCAGTATCAATGTATCACCATAATTATCTTCGCCAAAATCATTGCAGAACAACACCGGTAATTGCCCACACTGAATGAAGCGATATTAGTTCAAAATTTTCACCAATGAAAGGGTACTTGTCATGTAAAAACTACGCGTTATAAATGTGAAACTGCAGGCCAGATGGAATTAATTATATATCAATAGTACTCGTAATTCTTTTTTAACTACTGTCTGTAACTGTACGCATCTGAACCTCGCGACAAACAAAATAATAATAACTGGATAAAAGGGCTTAAAAAATTCAAGGTATTTACCGGCGCGAGAAGATCGGTCTTCCATGGTTGATCACCGGTTTGAACGGTTTTTTGCAATATGGGAATAGACAGTCGTTCAGTAAAACTGGACGACTGTGTGTCAACGTATACTGCTACTGCAGAGTAGCAGGAAAAGCAGAAAAGCTATGTAAGCGCAAGTGTGCGGTAAAGTGGAAAGCTTCTAAATAGATTTTAACGACTGATTTCGTGCCAGGGTTTGCAAAAGATCTGCCGAGACCGAGAATTGCCGGGCTCTGAACGACTGCAACAATCTCTGCTGTACGCTTTCATGTCTGTAAACTGCACACCAAATGGCGAAAAGTGTCTCGGTTAGTTATTTGCGGGTACGCTTCAGCCAGTAACAGTAACTGCTACAGTAACTGTTTACGCGAATTACCATTAACTCTGGGAGATTGAACACCTCCGAAAATTATACATCTGCGAGTATCAAACACCCGGGTAGGAGGCTGCAGATGGTACATACTGCGAATATCGAACAGCGGCTTACAATGAGCAATATAAAGATTAAGTACACGTTACGCTTTATTAAGGTTTACACTTTACAGTTTACTGATCAGTCGCAGTTACATTAAACACTTTTGGCGAAGTCATATATGTATGTGCAAATTGCACAAGTTTTACTGCATCTATTTTAAGACCTTTGCAACCTCAGCGCCCATGCCTCCAGACACTGCTGTCATTACCGGCAGTGTAGAATGTCGTTACCGTCTACTCATGCTGTCATTACCGGTAGTGTCTGCTTTTTATAGAAACAGTCCGCCGACAGAGTGCAGATTTTCCCAGGGAAGCTACGGTTGTTATCTTAGTACCAGTCTGCACTCTGCTCTTGATTTGGCTGCGATAAGGTGCGCTTCTACATTATGTGTGCTTATTCTTTATACGAAGTACGCTTTTTATACTGTAGATTGTGCACTCGATTATTGCAACAGTATACCATATAAGACCGTCAGACTGTTGTGGGGATTAATGTTTTACTTACTCTAGAGCTTTTCTCCTTTTACTGGATACTCCTCTTGTTTGAGAACCTTAAATTTTTAATTTTATTTCAGTAACGTTGATAACCTGCGAATTTACCGTTATTCCCGTGCGCTTAAAAAAGTACTGCTTTTCCGGGTTGAGGTCAGTTGGAAAAAAGAGTTGTCATGGCTAGTTTATAAAAACTGTTGTTCTTACCGTAGCTTTTTAGCTAGCTTTGAAGGAGCGAGAGAAGCACAATGAAAGACATTAACGTGGTAGTCGATGGAATTCCGTGTTGTTTCCGCGAAAAACTCTGGATAGACAGAGGTGTTTACCGAGCGGAAGAGCTGCTTAACGGAAAAGTTGGAAAGGTCAAAGATTTCGTTACAAAAAATGTAAAGTACACATTAGATGCCAACGGTGCAGAGGAAAGAAGTCGACAAATAGCAAAGATAAAGGAGTCGTGGAAAAGAATGCGCCGCTTATCGCATCCTCACGTTTTATCTTGCGTTTCGGCGGAGTTGAATTGGGATCAGGATGACCCTCTGATTTTAAAGACAAGCTACTTGATGGGCACGCAGATTATGGAATACAGCCCAGGTAAGCTCGTTTCTGATTTCCTAACAACCAATAAAAGTGCTTTTACAGGCACGGTAGATACAGCCGTATAAGTATAAGCATTTAATTGATTTGATTAGTTTATTAATTTTAATTTATTATGATGTGAAATAATAAATATGTATACATTCCGCGCTGCTTGTTGTTAGAGGGTGATTTGGCTTTTTACATGAAAGCCAGAGGATGCTTGGATGTCTGCGAGGTACAACATTACAGTCACCAGCTACTGCAAGGCATACACTATCTGCATGCCTCGTTTATGGTTCACGGAGATTTAAAGCCGCAAAACATTCTGGTGTTTCCCGAGTCGTCCATGCGGTACGGAGTGTGCTTGAAGATTGCCGATCTGGACTACCATACCGCGCTCAGTAAATCCAAGACGCAAACGGGCCACGATGCCAGTTCCGTTGACCGTAGCCCACAGTACCAATCACCGGAAATGCTCACCCAAACCAAAATTGGACGTGGAACGGATATTTGGAGCTATGGCTGTCTTGTTCTGGTCATGCTGACCGGGAAAGAGTTCCTGTTTATTGGTCCACAGCCTGAGTGTATTTTGGCCCATTTCTCGGATCCGTTTGATCCGGAAATGAAAAAACTTGGTTATTGGGAAATGAACCGGGCCGATGCAGCGAATCGCAAAAAGCCATCGGTCCCCGTTGTTCCGGAAAACTACAAAAGAAATTTTGAATGCCGTAATTTTCTAAAGGCTTGCCTTACGGTGGACCCAGCTCGGCGCGCTCGAACGCAAGCGCTGTTTAAAGAGCCGTGGTTGAGTAAGGAACACTCACTCTGGAACGGCACTGAAAATAGCAGAAGCATTATGGAAGTGCTACTTTGCAGAAGTACGTATTGCTAATCTCGGAATTTGAAGTACTCTGTACAGTATTTATCCTGAACATGGTTTTAGTTTGGCTGGTGTTAATGGAAATACTGCGCCGCAGACAGAACTTTCTTTAGTAACTCAGTAGAACATAAGCATTATATTAATTTAGTTGTTTTTTCCAACATTTTAAAATAAGCAATGTGAATGTGTCTGCGTTTATGTCACCTGGGAAATACCTGCCTAGTTAAAATTCATAGTTATGCCCGTACCAACAAAATACTATAATTTAAATGAAACGCACAGATAAATACTAACTGCGGGAGCAGAGTAAAAGATCTATTAATTACGGTATAACATACCTACGACCTGTAAAAGCTACTCAGTAATATTACAGTATACTAAAGAGCGGGTATTGATTTGTAGCTTTGTACACAACGTATACAAGCCAATGCGTTATCGATTCGTAACTTGTTGTTGTGACCCTAGTAAGTTTTTTTGCTTTTCTGTAGAGAGGAATAAAATCAACGACATCTATTTACATCGCCACGAAAGCTGGTCACCGACCGCAGACGATGTGGACGACGAAGAAGACTTCAGCGAACGGCAGTGGCGGCGCGGCATGGAATGCGGTCGGTTTCTTCTTATGCACTTTTTGCGGCGCGCCGATTATAGTCCTCACGCGTATGACACTGCGGCCGGCAATCTGTCAGCGACGTTGCGTGAATGCCCTTTTCGCAGTGACCAGCTAGACATGTATCGAAACTATCTATCTAGCAGTGCATTCAACGCTGCATTAACCGAATCAGAACAGAAGACCCGGCTGGCAGACTTGAAATTTTGGAGTGATTACACGAAGCTCATGCTGCGAAAATGTTTTCCGGTTTATCTATCATTTGGAACCCTTGCACAATTCCTCAATAATCTGAATCAGTCGGCCGGAAGTAGGCATACGTATGAGGTGCGTTCGTCAGCTGACTGGATATTCGTGCAAAATTTGCTAGACAAAGGTCATCCGGTGATATGCCAACTATCCGATAACGAGATCGATCAAAATGCAACGATCCTAACGCAAGCCGACATCAATCGAACGGCGTCGGTCTGCCCGCGAAAATTAATTGAACTGGACACCGTTGTCGTCACGGGATACAAATCGTATCAGCGAGAAAAAAATTTACGGGAAACCGTTGTGATCCTGACGAAAGCCAATGGGTTAACCATCGACAAGAAACTTGAGGATTTTGAACGATTGTGGAGATGGGAAGCCAGCGATCCATTAATGAGATTGTACCTAAATTCGGAGGACATTCATCCATCGTCCGCTTTATATCAAAATTGATTAATTATCATTTAACCGTTGTCAAAACGTAAGAAATTTGTAATAGTTTAAATTGCTCCCGATTGGATGATTGTTTAGTTTTACTGGAATTACATGAGTAAAGTGGATGCATTGTTTAAATGCAGCTGGCAATTAGGTTACTTAATCTCAACGACAAGGTACAAAGCAAAGTTGGCGCTTGTCACGGTGCGGAAATCTCGGGCCCCCGTTACTATGATTGATTGATTGATTGATTGATTTAATTTCGAGTAGCCAAGCCCGTAAACGGGCACTATCACATATCCTTATCCGTTGAAGAACATCAAATATGCTAAGGCTAGTCAAGTCACCACAACTCGTTAAACACCAGTAATACGTACGCTAGAGAAGCAACACGTCACAGAATTGCTGTATATGCCCGTATAGCCCTAAAACTCCAGAAGAGATCTTTAACAAAAACTAAAAACTGATAGAAATGAAAATTCCAGCAGATTTTGTATATCACGTACGTAACTCCAAGATACGTTGTGGGTACAAATTACTACTGCAATAAAAACGAGAAAGGTGTAGGTTCCTGCATTTTAGTACCAAGATTGGTACAAATCACAAGCTTAGTAAAATGTGCGGTTTTATAATGCTAATTCGGTAACACATGTAAGTTAGTGCCGGAAACAATAAAAATACCATTAGTCCTGCGTGGAAAACGTATTTCGCCGGCGGAACTTGCTGCTCGACAAGCCATGTTTTGACGGACAAATAGACATTGCTCGTGGTGGCAGCTAGGTGCAATCAGTTACGTTGTGTAGAGCATAATTTAGGTAGTCTATAGACTGTTGTACGGCTCTCTTGTTAGTAACATGTCCAAGTCGACTGGGCTTTCTTACACGGAGTACCGTACATCGTTTACAAATGGCCGACTTTATTCAAAAGAAATCAGACTGCATGCTGTAGTAGCTGAGGCTATGTACGCATACCACACTGCTCATTGTGCTAAAGATGGCTCCGCGCCTTTAATATTAATTTTTGTCTTTTAGCGAATGAGCTTGATTGACAGGCGTCAAGTTTGTTCAAAAGCTCGAAAGCTGCTAATGATTCCCATCGATCTTTAGCTCACTGCCGGTATTTTAAATACTCTGTAATGATATAGATATGATTGTACTGTATCTGTACTCCTTTTTAAGACTACCAGGTAATCCATGATAGCAAGTCGCAACATAGCGTCGGATGTTATCAATGTGCAAAAATAAGCTTACGCTTTTCGCTAGTGCTTTATACTGTGCGTTTGCATTACCCTGACATACAAATTAAATTATACAGGTAGTTGAAAAATATCAGAAATTACGATAACTTGTAAAAGATAGCGACATCGAATAATTAGAACCTACTGCCCTCAACCCACCAGGAAGTCGTTGGTTATAACCTGCATATGCGTCTGCAGATAGTAAAGCGGGCTACACGACAGGTCACCTTTAAATAAAATAATAATTTATGCCAAATTTGTATTTTTTGGGTGATCAATAATTAAATATGATCTTTCTCGGCTCCTGTTTGTCTGGCCAGTACCCACATACGTGTGTCTGTCGGAAGGGTACAACTACAACCTGCCTGCTGTTATCATCCAGACAAGCTTTCTGCGGACAATAAACTCGCCAGCCATCTTTGTCCGTCATACGCAAGAAAAAAAACGTCGCTTTGTTGTCTCAACAAAGAAGATGGCCAACGATATTGCAACAACCTGTCAGACATGGCAATTCCGTTTTCCGGATGATTTAGTGCGAATGCTCACCGGTGAGATTGGAGAACATCATGACGCTCAGACCGGGCTCGAAAAAACTCTTTATGCAGGGATCAATAACCGGTAATACCAAACTGTCAATCAGCTTTCATCCTAATCGCAAAACAAAGAGGTATCTACACAAAAAAAACAACGACAAAAGCCAACATCAACCCAGCGGGCATAAATTTTTTTGCGGTTGAAGCTTTTATTAGTAAAACTGTTGTGATGCCGCCGCATTGCCGTGTGCCGCTTCAAATTCTCACGGATGCTTCAACTAGTAAGAAAAGGACGCTTTTGACATGCGAGATCAATGAATATGAAGCCGGCTAATCTCTCGTGAAAAAAACATGGCACGTAGAAAAAGCGTTACGGCAAAGCATTAAACTGTTAAAATCAGTTTCCTGGTATAAGTTCTTTAAGTGTGTTCACATGGATTTTCCCTATTGTAGAATGTCGATTATCAGTGGTCTGTGTTTATTTATGGGACATCTTTTTTATTATACTCCTTCCTCCTGCCTCTGCAACTTATCGGTATCTTGGAAGTTACCAGACATATGCAACCGTAAGATCGCCTAAGTCTGTTTTCTTACCAAATTTAGCTACAATTCAGTTACTGTAAAACTTAAATTACATTCACGCTCTGATTCGCGAAACAGGGGGACACAATCATCTATACACTGCATAATCATGGTGGGTCACGATTTCCCCATCGAAAATGGTTGGTGGAGTGTCTGGATGGGGAAGCTGCAGTCGGTAAAGCAGACTAACTAATTCGTAATAGAAACTAGAGTGTACATACGTATAGCCGTATAGGCGATCCTTATTCATCCGGTGACTGTTTTTTAGGGATACAGTAAGTCAGGACGGGACAGTCAATTTATTAACCTTGCAAAACAAGGACCGCTAAAAAATATAGAATTTGCCCCAATTATCATAAGACGGAACAGAACCAAAACGCTTGCATTGTCACAAAAAAATAAGTGAAGCGACCTGTTCGAATAGACAACTTCTTGCGGATCTGCCTGTCGCATAATTATTTTTTTACTGTAATTCTTATTTTCTTTCCAGAGATCTGATTGATGATTTTGAGGTAAGCATACGGCCAAGTTCCGCTTTAAAGTATAATTAAGAAATTACGCTATAGTCTATTGGCTTTTCATGTTATTTAAATGCAGTATGTTTATCCCTTGTGCGAATGCAGCGGCTACAAGAAGTTTGGTGCAAGTTCATGTTTCCTTACAAGCCGCCCTCGGCAGGAGTGTATCCGTATTATCCTAAGTAAGAAATATGGCTTTTTTATACTAGCACCTTTTTTATATACTAGCACCTTACTTTTTTTTTATACTAGCACCTTTTTATACTCGTACCTTGGTAAACCACGGGTAATAATTTTGCAGCTGCTTCTACCGAAACTACACCACACAGTTTCACTGCTTCAATGCGAACAATTCAACTATGAGCATGAACAGCTTCGTAACCGGTAGAGCTGTGATGCGGCCAATGAATAAATTTCCCACTGTTGAATAAATTTACTTTACATTGCTAACTTATTACTAGGTGTGTGGGATGATGATCTCAATTTTTTTACCTGGCGTATCGGACCCGACGACACCAGCGCCATGAAATGCTGCACGACACCTAAAGGGTACTACATCGATTACGGATCCTGCTGTACGGACTGGTGGCACGTTTATCCATATTGTCTTTTGAACTGTGTTATGAAACGTTGACCTTTTCTGTATGATTAACAGATTATTCTCCAACGCACGACCAATTTGGGGAATTCTACGATTCCAACTTTATGTTCCTGGTTTACTGCAGCCCGGGGAATGTGATGACGGGAATGGCCAAGAAGCTAAACCCTAGTTCACTGGGTTATAACATTGACTGGATTCAGTGTTGTCGCCTGGGGTAGTTATGCCAGAATACTGACTGACCGAAAAATCAGGAAACGGTTTTTACTTTGCAGGTACGGTGTACCGCAAGTTGTATCCCCTCCCGTGACCCAGAGTTATAGCGGACATCCGACGTATTATGCCAAGGAGCAGTACTATCCTTCACAAATACCCAGCGGCTACCAGGCGCAGTATCGCAGTTTATCTGGTTCGAGCGATGCCACCGGTAACCAAACGAGGTTCTCGCAAAAGCGGATGTGGTTTCAGAATAAGCCGGATGTAGAGGATTCTGGTTCATACAAAAATTCGTTTGCACTGGATGGCCCTTATAATTCCGCTGTTAAGCTGTGATTAAATAAGGTGTTTGTTCGTCGCTGCCTTTCGAAACAACTAGCCGCATAAAGCAATCGCAAAGTACCGGCTGTGTTTTTTTTTACTCTGTACTCTGTAGATGCTTACTGAGGTATGGCTTCTGGACCTGTTTCTTGTTATGCTACATGCTGGCGATTATAACGGTTAGGATGTATCATTTGAAAGCTGTTGCTCGCATTACAAACATACTACATACAGTACGAGCATACTGTATGTGTTGCGTGGAAAACTGACATCAAGGCGTGCTGCGTGTGTTGCGTGGTTTGAACTGACATCAAAATGGAGAAAATTCACGGACGTCCGGTGCTTGGAGCAATACTAAGAGCCCGATGTGACAGCGTAATGCGATCTTCCCCTCGAAGGTTTAGAAACTCTCATTCTTTTTGTATGAATTTGGGCGTAAAAAGTGGTTTTTCCCCAGTGCTCGTATTGAAATGCGTTGCTCAAAACCAGGCTGGTGCATAATAAACCGCTAGAAGTACATGTATGCTATCACGACGCACAGGAAAGTGCAAAAAAGGCGAGCCAGTGTTTGTTTGCTGAACACGCTTCCGCAAAGCGACAAGCACGGAAATTTCGCCCGCATAGATTACGCATTGGCATGATGAATAAACTTGCAGATAGCATCACCTCTGTTGGCAGAATTGCGAATACATTAATTTCTGCTAGCCGTTATGAGCGCTAGCATTGGGTACAGCGGAGGAGCCAGCATGCTCTGTACGGTAACGTATTTTTTGTAGTAACAGTTGTTAGGTTTCTCCGTTTGCAGCGTAGTAGCACAGCCGGTAGCCGGTAAAATAGCACAAAAACTGTTGCACTGCATTACGCCGAATATTCACCATGGGCCCTTGGGGATCTAAGCCAGCCGGTCCCGATTTAGAAGCACTCCGAAGACAGAGAGAAGCGGAGTATAATGCGCGGGAACAGCGATATCGGGAGGAGCGCAAGCACGAAACGGAATCCATGATGCGACAAATGTTGGAAGTGCAGCAGAGAGCCGATGCCGAACGGCAACGCCTGGAAGCTGAAAATCGTGCCGAGCAGCAGAGGAACTTGGAGGCTAGGATGGCCGAGATGCAACGCCGCGACAAGGATCATGAGGAGCAGCGGGCGCGGGAGCGGGCTTTGTTCGAACAGCGCTTGCAAGAGATGACGAACGCCTCGACCGCTGAACGCCGCCAGATGCAGGAAGAATTTAAACGCGAACAGCAGCGTCTCGAGGAGGAACGCCGAGCGGCCATGGACCGCCGTGATGCCGAACACAGGGCCCAGCAGGAACGCGAAAAAATTATCTTTCAAAAGCAACTGGACGATCTAAAGGGCGCCACGGAGGCCGAACGCATGAAGCTGCAGGAAGATTTTCGCCGGCAGCAGGAAAACATGGAAGCGCGATGGGCCGGTGAACGACAGCATTATGAGGAGAAATTGTCCGATATGGCGGAAAGTATGCAGGAAGCCGAGGAGAAAGTGAGAGAGATGGCTGAACAACTGGAAAAGCCGATTAAGGATCGCGAGAACAAGGTGGCGTTTGTCAACGGATTGAATCTAAAGATTCGCCAGAACAACTCGCTACTGTTAGTCGGTCCGAAAGGGATGGGTAAGAGCACATTTTTATGGCTGCTGAACATAGGAAAAATTCCCAAGCGGACCATCCGGGACGGGACAGTGGACATTATCCAGTTACCCGGTTTTGTGGACTCTATTGGATTACGTGGCTGGACACCGGAGGAACTACTAAAACTGGTGGTGCTGATGATCTACGAAGGCATTCCCAAAGATTTGATCATGTTCAGCAATGATCGTATTGATCTGCCAATCAACTCCTTAGGCCTGCTGGGTATTAACAACCCGTTGATTGTCGTTATGTCCAGTGATTTCTGGAAGCTGTACCAGTCAACACCGGGTGGTAAGCAGAAGATCCATTTGCGAGAGAACGCGCAGGGTGTCCGGATGGTGGAGCCGGCGGAGGATCTGGAGTATGTGTACAATATGCCGGTGTATGAGGACATCCGCGCGTTCCATCTGGGTATGCCGGTTACGCATCATGACGACATTGAAGCGATCGTCAGAGGACGTCAAGAGGTCGGTATTCAACCCTTCCAATTCCTGATGGACAAACTGGGTGACATCTTCACGGTGGGAATGGACAATGATTCTAATAAGGAGGCTCTGTTCCGGTTCATTTACATCTACGAAAAGAAGTATGCAAGGGATCAATTGAAATTTATGAATAGTGCCACCCTGCAGGATTTTAACTACGTGAATTAAGCCAGCTGATGAGACATGTTCGTGATGTGAAGTCGTTCAAGCCGGCAAGCTGGCTATCTAGTGTGGAACAGAACTCTGAAACTTATCATTGCATGTCATATACCCCAAGTGCTTGTCTTTGCATATTCGTTTTCGCAGCTTTTGATACTACTGTCTAGCTGATCGAGATGTTCTTCCAATTTTGTCTACACTTGTTAACAAAACTTTCAGTCATAGCAGCTGATTGTCAGCCCTCGAATGTTTGCACTCTTCACATGCCTATTGTTGAAAAAAATATTATGGAATTATATTAGTTCATATCAGTTTGTATCGGTTTATTATATCAGTTAGGTATTTTCTCGATACCGTGAGTATCTACAGTGAAATGTCGCTTTTGTAAAAATCATACCAAGTCCAGGAGCCACCGATTATTTTCTTAAATTCTGCCGGCTGCTTTTTTGGTGAATATATTTGTTAACCGTGACCAAGTCGTGACCAATGCCACCGTCGTGACCAATGGTGGCATTGGTCACGACTTTCAGAATTCTTTTGTCAGCGGAAACGCAGTACGTGCCCTAAAACGAGTGATGCGCAGACAGGATGATCATTTTAGAAGATAAAATACCGACGCGTTCACGTTCCCTGTGAACGGAAGTATGATAAAATAAAACAAAGGCTGATGCGTCCGTTGTTCAACCACTCGTCATCAACGAAAGAATGCAAACATCCGTGGAGTTTGACCAGGGCGCCGCTGTCTTAAAAAGCTTGTACTCTGGACTGAAGTAAACTAACAGTTACCCATAACAAAATATGCAGAGTAATATGTTAACTTGTTAAGTGCGACTACTTGTAGTACATAACGTTTCCTTTTTGATTAGACAAGTTCAAGCAACTACACACGGTGAAAGTGCCAAAATTAGCTGGTTTATTGCATAGTACTGAGCATAATAATAGTAAAAACACAGTCTGTATTGCGTCTTTAATTGTTTCCCTGTTATATTAAAATTTTCAGACGCACAGCCTCTGTTTTTAGTTAAGAGCAGCGATCATGCCAGTCGATTATATAACTCCCTTAATTAGTGCCGGCGTCGGCCTTTTGACGTCCCTCATGGGCGGATCGCTACGCGGATCAAGCAGCGCCGATGGTCAGAACCTGGATATGGCGGCTATCCAGCGCGCCGAGGACGAGGACCGAATGCGGCGAGAAGAGCAGTACCAAAACGAGCGCCGGGAAGATCACGCCCAACTGCTGCGGCTGATCCGCGATCTGACCGAGCAGGGCGCCGTGGAACGCCAACGCCTGGAACAAGAATACCGGCAGCAGCAGCAGAATATGGCAGCGGAACAAGCCGCCTGGATGCAACGCCGCGAAGAGGAATTCACCCAGCAACGGGAGCGAGACAACGCCTTGTTCCAGCAACGCTACATGGAAATGCAGAATGCCACGGCGGCAGAACGGCAGCGTATGCAGGATGATTTCCGGCGGGAACAGCAGCGGCTGGATGACGTTCGCCGGGCCGAGACGGAAAATCGCGAGCGGGAGTTCCAAATGCAGCGGGAACGTGACGCACTGGCGCTGCAGGAGAAGCTGGGGGTATTACGCAGCGATGCGGCTAGGGAGCAGCAGCGCATGGAGGAGGATTTCCAAGGCCGGCAACGCTGCCTGGAGGAACAGTGGACGGAAGATAAAGCGCGACATGAAGAACGTCTGGCGGCCATGAAGGAGAGTATGCAGGAAGCGCAGGAGCGGGTACGCGTGCTGACCGAACAACTGGAAAAACCGGTAAAGGATCGCGAGGAAAAATTAGCGTTTGTCAACGGACTGCAGTTGCCCATACTCCAGACGAATTCCCTGCTGTTGGTTGGTCCAAAAGGCACCGGTAAGAGTACGTTCTTGTGGTTGCTGGGTAAAGGTCAAATCCCGAAACGGACGATTCGCGACGGCACCGTGGAGATCATTCAGCTGCCGGGTTTTATCGACTCCATCGGACTGCGCGGCTGGACCGTCGAGGAAATGCTGAAACTGCTGGTGCTGATGATCTACGAGGGGCTGCCCCAAGATGTCATCGTGTTCGGCAATGATCGCATTGACCTGCCGGTGACCACGCTGGGACTGTTGGGCGTCAGCAATCCCATGATTGTCATCATGTCCAGTGAATTCTGGAAGATGTACCAGCCACCTAACGGGCGGCCGCCCAAGCTACATTTGACGGAGACTAGTTATGGTGTCCGGCGCGTGCAGCCCGAAAGCGATCTGGACTTTGTGTACAATTTTCCGGCTTACAATGATATCAAGCAGCTGCAGTTGGGCACACCGATTACACATCATGACGATATCGACGGGCTGGTTAGGAACCGTCAATATGCCGGTGTCCGGCCGTTTCAGATTCTTCAACAGAAACTGGGAGGTGGTTTTACAACGGCCATGCAGAACGACTACCACACCGAGGCCATTTTTCGGTTCATTTATATTTATGAAAAAAAGTACGGGAAAAATAAGCTGCAGTTCATGAACCATGCAACGCTGCAGGATTTTGTTTAACTTCACTCTGTTCTTACTTTACTTTTTGCGTGGTGCTTTACGATAGTGATGGACAAGAAAATGTGACGTGTGGGCTGATGTGATGTAGGATGTTTAATACGAGTCTTGTACTTGCTCAGTGTACATAAGATACTGCACTGCTGTCTTTTCTCGTGCGTTTTCATTCTGATAATTATACTTCTAACGACATCCGTTTCCTAATTCATCTCCATCCCGAATCTTCGGGTTTAGTTGCTTCTCTACCTGGTTGCTTGCCATACATTGAACAAGAGATACGTTTGCGATTCAACTACTAGTACATGCACTGCATCAGTATGTCATAATATTATAGTGACACAATACTTAATGCTGTATTACTACAGCGTTTTTACTGTACAGTAGACGTGTGGATTTATTTTAACTACAATACTGTACAAGGTAGCCCCGTGTATTCGCGTTCGGCACTCAAGCACTGGGGTAGACATCACGCGTTGACGGGTCCATAAAAAACAAACTTAGGGTTAATTTCGTTCTGGACGGTAAGATTGTATGAATACGTATTTATTTAGGTTAGATACGTTAGGTACGTATTTAACTTAATGCGAGTTACGTATACTTCGAAGTCGAAGTATACGTAGTCAAACATAACGTAATTCAGTAAGCGTAACTCTAAGGCTTATTAGGAAATTGTCAAAAATATTGGTATATTGCGATATTACAAGGGTTTCTATAGTAGGAGTGTCTTCAGATTGCGCACGCACCGTCGTAGTACATAGTTTTTTCTCTACCAAATGCCAGTACTGTTAATTTCCTGAACGGATGCCGATAAGGTCAATATACCAGTTTAACACAAGTTACACAGCAAACGCAACTCACCATCAGTACATGATCTTTAAACCTAATAAGGATAAAACGTTTGCTTGCATACTCATATAGTGTAGCAGATGGCTTACAAGGTGTGGCTCTGAGCGAGATTACATACAGTAGTATCGAAATAAGAATATCGTTGTTCTGCAAAACGTGCGTACGCTAATGGATGTGATTTTGAACACACCAGTGTTATTTTACACAATAATCGCCATCTATTGTCAGGAATCTGGAGCGCACAGTGTTTGAAAGACAGAATCATTTTTCAGTTGAACGTTTTGACAATTGTCGTCAGTTAGCATCTAAGTAAAAATGCCGAGCAGTTTAAAACGTTTTACTCGCAGCCTGTTTGGCACCCAAAATCATTCGTTCAAGCCGAAAATCGACATGGCAGCGGTACTGCTGGCTCAAGAAGAAGATCGTCAACGCCGGGAAGAGCAGTTCAAGATGGACCGCCAAGAGAACAAAGTACAGCACCTGCAAGTGGTGCAGGTGATGGAGGACAATGCACGGGTCGAACGGCAGCGCATTCAAACGGAATTCCAACGTCAACAGGAAGAGGCAGAGGCAGAACACTTACGCGAGTTGCACCACCAAGACGCAGAACATCGAGAGCAACGCGAGCGTGATTATCAGCTTTTCGAACAGCAACTCCAGGAAATGCATCACACATCGGCAGATGCGCGCCAGCAGTTGGAGCAAGAATTCCGTCGTCGGCAAAAGAAGCTGAAAGATGAAGTGAAGATTCTGCGTGAGCAGCGGCAACACGAGCTGGAGAAGGAAAAAACGCAAAAGAATCTGGAGCTACAGCAAATTCTCGACAAAATGCAAACCGTCGCAGAGGCGGAGCAGGCAAGGGTGAATGAGGAGTTCCAGAATCAGCAGCAGGAGAAAGAGAAAAAATGGACACAGGAAAAGCAGCTGTACGAAGAACGATTAGCCGCTCTCAATGACAGCATACAGGAGGCCGACGAACGCGCCCAGTTGATGACCGAGCAGCTGGAGAAGCCCACCAAAGACCGCGAACAGAAGCTAGCGTTTGTTAATGAACTGAATCTGCAGATTCGTCAGCAGGATTCCCTGTTGCTTCTCGGACCTAAAGGAACAGGTAAAAGCACCTTCTTGTGGTTGCTCGGTAAAGGTGACATGCCGACGCGCACCATGCGCGACGGGACCGTCGAGATTATTCATGTCCCGGGTTTTATCGATTCCATCGGACTACGGGCGTGGACTGTGGAAGAAGTGCTGAAGCTGCTGGTGCTCATGATCTACGAGGGTCTTCCCAAAGATTTGATTGTATTCTGCAATGAACGCATCGATATGCCCATGACAACGTTGGAATTGCTGGGAATTAGTAATCCTATGGTCGTTGTCATGTCCAGTGATTTCTGGAGGCTCTACCAACCAAAAGCTGGCAGCGAGCCCAAGATCCACTTGGTGCCGAATAAGAACGGTGTCCGCTGGGTGGAGCCGGAAGAAAATCTGGCCAATGTGTACAATTTTCACGTGTATGACGAAGTGAAGCAGCTGGAGCTGGGCACGCCCATTACCCATCACGATGACATCGATGCGCTCGTGCAGAAGCGGGAAAGCGACGGTGTGGGGCCGTTTCAGTTTCTTACAGAAAACCCGAGGGGCGTCTTTGCTGCTGCGATGGAAAACGATTACACAACGGAAGCTATATTTCGATTCATCTATATTTATGAAAAGAAGTATCGCAAGAACAAACTGCAGTTTATGAATCAGGCCACTCTAAATGACTTTGTGTGACATCTATATTGCTCAGATACCCTTTATATTGGCTAATAAAGTGACTGTTATTTTAATTATTTTTCTGTTGGCGTTTGCTTTTGCAAGACTCCGGTTTCTGGTTTAACTCAATGTGATTTTGTCATTTGTTGTCGCCATTCAAATAACAAACATAATTCACAATATGTATTTACTGACTTGAATTTTTCGCACGGTATTAACTCAGTACTCCGAAAACAACGATTTTGGATGGAGTGTTTTACGGCTGCGAATAACTACTCTAGTGATAACAGAATGGGAACAACTAATTGCCGTGTCTTTTTTACGGATTGAGCGAAAGGTCAGACCGTCAGACATTCACAGTTCATGACTCGCTTTTAAATCATGACAGTAATATCGCCAAGAGGAGCCGTATTAAAGATCCATGGTAAAGCCGGAGCGATTGCGGTGTACAAGCTGGGGTAACCAAATCCACATCCGTTAAGAGCGTCCACTATCCCCGCCAGGTACTGCGTGCCGGTTTTGTGATCGTAGCAGGTGAGAGGTCCGCCGCTATCCATAAAGCATACCTCCTCACCAACAATACCACCGGCGCAAATAACAATGTCGTAGTTAGTTTGCAGATCTGAATCTCTTTGCTGACAGGCTTCTCGCGGAGCAATGATCTGTTGCACGTACTTCAGAGGGACATAAGAGCGCTGTGGATCGGGAATTGTGTAATCTGGTAAAGACATTCGACAATTATTTTGTCGACAAGATCCACCGTTTTTTTTTCATTTTCACTGTTAATGTTGTATATTGTCATTGTTTTGAGCACTGTTAACACCTACTCAAGTCCAATATGGATTCCATTCCAAATCCGGATACGACGCATCTGTCTCTTGGTTGCGGGATTTTCGGTGTTAAACACAATTTACAAGCGCAGGCACTATGCCGACGAAAATCGATAGGCTCCGACAGTATTAGCAATGCGATGTCGTGGTTGAAATTTAGCGCGTCGTAGTCTGGGTTCACAATGACCTCACGTACTGAATACTCGCGGGAGCAGCCTTCGACGACCGATGAATAAAAATAAGTTTGATTGGGACGTGACGAAACCGCCTCGGTGCCAATGTTAACGACCCAGGTGACATCGGACGCATTACCACCACCCGCGATGGTCATATTAACGGGAAGGCCCTTACAATGGGCAGCGGTAACAATGGTCTGTGCTCCGATTATGACTCCACCGCAGAGGAATGCGTCAACAACGGGCGATCGAGCTCGAACCGATACCTGAGAAATAAACGTGTTTTTCTTGGTACAGATTAGGACTAATTGAAAAAATGAGGCGCCACACTGTACACTATAGTGTTCATATCGATATGACCAAGGCGAATAAGTTGTAATCGATTCTCCATGTTCGGGCTACATATAGGCTTTACAGAAACTACATTTAAATTAACCTTGAATTCGCGATGTGGTTCCGGAGTTCAGTGATGTGCGAGGCGACTTCCGCGTGCGGTTTTTGGAGTTTGAAGTGTGCCGGCATGGCCGGAGGTGCGCAATTGCAGCTGAGGATCTTACCTGTGGGTACAGGTCGCTCACTGCCGGCACCCTCCGCCGGTGCCCGGTTTCTTCGCCCCCCTTTATTGAACTTGATACAGCAGACATACAAGACAGTAACGGTGAAGAGAATAACAAATCGTGCCAGAAGGGCGGGCGGGTGGTAATCGAAAACCGAAAAGGAGTAAGGAATAATTTTAGCGTAAATGAGCGACAGGAATGAACACACACTATGAGCAAAGCAATGCATAGCACACGGCCCGGCGCCGGTGCCGGTGAGTACAGGGAATTGCGAATTCAGCGGTAATTTAATTTCTGCTAATCCTTAACTGACATTTAAATTAACCTTGAATTCGCGATGTGGTTCCGGAGTTCAGTGATGTGCGAGGCGACTTCCGCGTGCGGTTTTTGGAGTTTGAAGTGTGCCGGCATGGCCGGAGGTGCGCAATTGCAGCTGAGGATCTTACCTGTGGGTACAGGTCGCTCACTGCCGGCACCCTCCGCCGGTGCCCGGTTTCTTCGCCCCCAAACAAGTTGCTCGTCTGTAGAGGTCAGGTCCGGTGAGTGTGCGGGGCCGGATGTACCGCTCCACGCAGTTGCTCTTCCATCTCCCGGCGCGCTGGATTTCCTCTTTTGGGAGTTGTTGTTCTGCGGCTTCCGTAGCGGCTCCGATGCGGAAGCTGTGCGTGCTAAGCCGCGCGCAATCCGGGTGATCTTTCAGCAGTAATTTTAAAAACCGGTTTACGGCTCCGCGGGTGAGGTAATCACCATTTCGGTATCGAAAGAACGGATACATGGGGTGTCCCTGTTCGGCACGGTAGCGGTAGTACGTCTTAATGGCGCGCACTGGGCAGACCGAACGATTCGTGGCCGTCAGCGTTATCTTGGAGCCCTCAGCGTTCTGATCGGTTTTTGTCCGTTTCAGCGTTATAACCGCTGCGTCGTCGGATATGCTCACGTCACGTAGGAGCAGGGTGGATGCGCGGTCGTAAGTGTGTTGCGACTTCGAGATGATCTCGCTTATGCGCAGAAATCCGAAGAACGCCGTGCAGAAGGCGCTCCAGAGCATGGCAGCTTCGTCCTCGTCGTTGTGTGCTTTCAGCCGAGTCTTCAATGTGCGCATGAGGTCCAATGTAATGGGTAGACGCCGGTCAGGCTTCGGGCTGTTCAGCCGTTTGAAACCGCTCACCGCGCGCACGACCAAGTCGTCGGCGGTGGGGTTAAGCAGCCCGGCCTCTCTGTGGCTGTTGTGGATGGCCGCAAGGTAAACTTTCATGGTTCGGAAGGCTGCCTTTTCATCAAACAGCTGAGCGACAAAGGATGCAACAGTAGATGGTTTTGCGGGCAACATCGTGGAACCGCTTTCATTGCAAAACCGTTCGAAACGATTCAGCGATGCCCCGTACGTCTTCCTGGAGGATCCAGAGATGTGGGCATTTAGGAGCCTGTGCAGCGTGGAGTTGGGCGGAACGTGCTGCGCAGGTCCGGAAATATATCCGGAAACGTGATCGCCTTTGGAGCTGCTGCAGTAGCGAGCGCTCGGAACCGCTCCATCTGAAAGCGAGAGAGCGCGTCAGCGATGCCATTATCAACGCCTCGAACGTGCTTCAGTGTCAACGTTAAATTATTCGTAGCCGCTGCCCAGGTCATGCGACGCATTAGGTCGAGAACGCCCGGGCTGCTGGAGCGCAAGTGAGCCCATGCCTCCACAGCGCCGGCGTTGTCCGTGTGGAAGATAATCTTTCTCCGCCGCCATCTTTGCCCCCAAACAAGGACGGCAAGTAGAATGGGCACCATTTCAAGGTACTCAATCGACGGTGCTGCCTGCAACAGCCACTCCGGCCACCTAGATTGGAACCACTCATTTTCGCAGAATGCTCCGAGTCCTAGCGTGGCGGACGCGTCTGTGTACAGGTGCAGTACATCTGAGGTGGTCCAGTCTGGCTGGAGAAAAGACGCAGTTCCGTTCCACTGCGGAAGAAATCTCCGCCACCAGTCAAGATCCAGGTGGAATTGCATGTCGAGGGTTATTAAACTCCGTGGGGGATGGTCTGACAGTAACTGTATCATCCTTCTGGTGAACAGTCGACTCGATGGGATGCATTTCGAGGCGAACGTCAGTGTTCCGATCAGGCTCTGCAGTTCTGTCAGCGTGCAGCTTGACCTTTCGTGCCATCGCTCGAGGGTTGCCTTGATTTCTTGCAGCTTCCCGGCCGGTAAGCTGAGTGTTTGCGCGTCGGAGTCGATTTCGATGCCCAGAAAAATCAGGCGAGTAGCGGGTCCCTCGGTTTTGTCGAGCGCCAGGGGGACACCAAGCTCCTCGCACACTTCCCGCATCGCCGTCATCAAAGTCGAACAATCGTCGGTGCCCGGAGAGCCGACGAACAGGTAGTCGTCCACGTAGTGCAGCATGGACGGTAGTCTGGATTTCTTTACTACGCACCAGTGAACAGCGGCGGAGAAGAACTCAAAGATATAGGGCGAGGAGCGGCAACCGAATGGTAATACTATGTCGAAATAGTACTTACCATTTAAACAGTATCCCAGGAGGTTCCAGTCGGCCCGCCGCACGGGTATCAGCCGAAACGCGGACTTTATGTCCATTTTTCCCATGATGGCGTATCTGCCCGCGGAAGACGCTAGTCGAACGGCGTCGTCCACGGAGCAGTACTGCAGTGGCATTTCACGGCCGTCAATGTGATCGTTGACGCTGCTGCCCGACGGTTGGGAAAGGTCCATTATGGTGCGGTGACCGCCGTCTTTCTTCGGCCGGCACCCGAGAGCGTTGACCACGAAGTGCGGGAATGGTGGCGTCGGGAAAGGGCCAACTGAGTGACCCAAGTCAACTTCTTTCTGAACACTTTGGAGCAGCGCATACTGGTGAATGCGTGCAGACTGCGAGTTAGGCGTCTTGCGGGAAAGCTGTGGGCCTCGATAGCGAATGTCGGCACCCAGGCGTAGTGTGTCGGAAATAAAACGGCGAAGGTGAGCGTCGGGGTGATCAGCGAGCAGTCTCTCAAAAGCCTCAGCACGCAAGGGCGTCTGAGCTTTTTCGGGCACTGTCACCTGATCACCGAGCACCGTATTTGCACTGTGGGGACTTGTGGTCTTTGTCGTGGCACCGCTCGCAGACGTGGAGGCGTCCAGCACTACAGGGTTCGGCGCAGTTAAATCGGTTGTAGTTGCGGCAGACTTCGCCCCCCACTGCTGGGGCAGGGCGAAAGGGCTGCTGGTACCCCACTTGGCCTTTGCGCGGGTACGGACACTGGGCGATAAAGTGTCCCGCTTGTCCGCAGTTTCGACACTTGTCCGATGGGGCGGCCGATTTCTTCGCTCCCTGCGCGGCTCCGCTGTCGCTAGTGCCCTCTTCCGGGACGGCGTTCTGGATATAATCAGTATAGGTGTCGTCGTGCTGCCGAGCCCACATATCGTACTCATATGGATGTCCTGCCATCAGGGACCGGAACTGGCGGTCGTACTCCAGCCAGTGGGCTGTAGGAACCCCACGCCGGACGTACGCTGCTATCAGCGACAAGTATCGGCACATGGCAGCGGCGACTTGCGGAATAACGCTGATCCGGTATGCCATAAACACCGCGAACGCGTCACACCAGGATTCGAAGGAGTCGACGACCGCGCGTGTCTCGTTTGGCTTCAGAAGAACGCTGCCTTTTGACATTAGCAGCTTTGAACCTCCATGCTTAGGCTTCTCGACTCGATTCTTCGATAGCAGGTCGTCGAAATCGACATAACGTGATGGGTCGAGGAGCCGTCGCCGGGTTTTACTTGGAACTGAGACCAGGTGTTTTGCTCCGCCTTTTGACTGCCCTCCCGACGTGGAAGCTCCGAAGTAGTCTTCCAGACTATGAGGCCGATTCGGGTGAGGACCCAGGCGTTCGGCGATCGGGCGGCGAACCGGGGAGCGGCTACGAGAAGAGGACGACTCACTGTGACTGCGACTCTTACCTCTCCGTTTGTGATGCTGGTCACGTGAGCGGCTGCGATCTCTGGAGCGCACCGTTCGTTTTCCGTCGAGTGAGGACTCAATCTGGAGGCCGGGGTTGACTGTAGCCGGAGATTTCGGCCGGGAACCCACTGGTTCTCTGGATGCCAGCGGTGTCACGATGTCAATTAGGCGCTGGATTTGCTGCCCTTGCTGATTCTGGCGCTCCATCATCGACTTCAAGTCGAACTGCGGCTGTTCTACGACGACTACTTCCGACCGAATTGTGGGGGCGGGCGACTCCGATCGGCGGCGTTTCCGACTAGGCCGCGACTTAGTTTGCTGCGTGGTGGCGGGCTCTTTGCCAGAGCGGGCGCCTCGTGGGTTCGGATTACGAGCGCGCGCTGCAGGCTTTTTCGGCGGCATGATGGTGGGAACGAATTTCCGGAGGTTGGAAGGTAATTTGATCGTGGAAGATCGAAAGTACAAAATAATCGAAAACCGAAAAGGAGTAAGGAATAATTTTAGCGTAAATGAGCGACAGGAATGAACACACACTATGAGCAAAGCAATGCATAGCACACGGCCCGGCGCCGGTGCCGGTGAGTACAGGGAATTGCGAATTCAGCGGTAATTTAATTTCTGCTAATCCTTAACTGACATATTCCGGCGCTTCGAGAGAGCTTCCAGCTATGCACGCTGGAAGACTATGTAAATTGTAAGGTCACTAAGCAGCTATGAATGTGTCTAGCGGAATCCCGAAAACACCAGATTACACACTCACGTTTTTAAGCAGAAGATCGTTTCATGCGCAGGAAGTAAGGAATCGTAATAAGACGAAAAATAGAATGATACAGATTGGCTTTTTCGGATAGACCGGTACAGCCTACCTACCCGGGTATGTATTCTGACCAGCTTGCTACAAAAACAGTCTGACTGTCTCTTTGACACCGTTACTGCAGTTAATTATTTTTACCTGCCAACAAAGTGACGCACTTCCGTTGGGTGCTTCAAATCCACCGACAATTCTATTTTGTGTCGGCAGCATACTGCTTGCACGCGCAAGGTAACTTTGAAATTTATTCTGTAGACTGATGGCAGACCGTAAGGCTGACCGTGAGGCATCGTTGGTCATATTTCTCGAGGGGAACCGTGGAGGCTTTTCTAATGGCGCAAACAATTTTGGATCAATGTTGGCGATTCCGCACTGCATCCCTTGTACACAAGCCGAATGAGAGTTCTGGTAGGTTGTCAATAGCGCTTCATTTCTTCCACACGATGAGGTTAGGTCGTCTGTGTAGAAATTTACCACAAAGAATGTTTAACAAAAGATACTGAAGCGCTGGTCAAAAGGTCCCACAGTAATTATAGCCTTTACCATAAAACAGACGGCGTCACCATGCTGGACGTTGTTGCAGTCACTGGAGACGGAGATTGTCAGGTTAGCTTTTTGGCACAGATCAACGGCACTCCTTGCAAGACAGAAGCCGGCAAGATGAGTGCTTTTCTTTGGATAATCAGGATAACATTTCGGACCGATGACCTCCGATACCGCGTAGGGCCTGGGAAAGTAGGAAGGCACCGGTTGGTACGGCGGCGCTAGGTAGTTATGAAGTGGGATATTGTCCAGATAATTTATTCCTTTCTGCCTATATGCCGTGCCATATCGGCTTGCTCGGCCGGTGTTTAATGCTAACGCTAGGAAAAGTATCTGTATCGCAAACGGAATCCGCATATTCAGATGAACTGAAGGAAATTAACTTGCAGGTGCGCAAATCGCAAAGTTTTGGGGCTTGGAATTTACAGATAAATCTGCGGTAACTGTTTATTTCGAACGGCAAATATTATATGTACTTAAAGTTTACGTAATTTGCCCAAGTGCTTGCTCGACTGCGGATGCATCCATGATTATACAAGTTGATCTAAAAAATCGGCAATACTGTATGTGCATAGTTGCACTGACACGTAACCTCTCATTGCATAATAATTATTTCAAAACGAGATTTTCTGTGCACATTTGTACTCCTGTGTATGTATGTATATGGCCAAACGGTGCGCGGATATGCAATAATTTAATTTTATTTGCAGCATGTACTGTAATGAATCGCCTTTGTCCAATCTGTTGAAAAATTTAATCGATTTTCTGTGTCATACATGCCTATAAAAATTTTCGTTAATGATACAAATTCTGTATCGGCAGCGCTGCGTTCAACGTGTACAGGTCGTATGCGGGCGAATAACTAAGAATCTCGCCAGAAAACGCGCCACCGGTGATGTTGTTCTCGATATGGATACTGCGTTCTGTCACTACACTTCCATGCTAACCTACTGTCCGAATATCAGCTGATATCTTTCTGCTTTTATTTCATCTGTTCCTTATTGCATCTTCTTCCTAGAAATATCGTAGATTGAATTAACAGATTTTCTGTAGATTGTCGGGTTTTGTCCGAAACGGCCGTCGAACCTCTTTGGACGTGAGGGTGGGTGGGATCGACAAAGGATTGTCTGGTAAGCGGTTAACAAAAACATCATCTCCTGGAGGGTTTTGTATGTGTAGCATTATGAGTACTAAAGACGCTTCCATACTGCACTGCTTATCCGGTGCACGTTCTCAGTACCGGTTCCTTTTGCTATCCGTACTTTCTGCAGCAATTTTCCACAAAACAATTGCAAAACTGGACAGCCCCGAGCAAAAATGGCAAAACGCACTACAAGCGCTTCTTCTACCTTGTAGCTGCAAAAAGTAATTCACCTCTCTGCGTTAGAGAAAGAAATCTAAGTCTTGATAAAAATAAGGAATGGCGACAAACTCGTTCACGGTACGCCTTGTTAGTGTAAAATGATACCATATATAGTGCAGGCTTTGGTTTTGTAACTGCATATATAGCCCATGATGGTTCATTTCGTGTAGGGGAAAGTGGCGCTTGTTACCGGTGGTACGTCCGGTTTGGGAAAGGCAACCGCTGAGCGTTTAGCTGCGAAGGGAGTAACTGTTTACGTTGTGGATTTGCAAATTCCCAATCAAAATAACGAAGAGCCCCGGGATGGGTCCATCAAATATCGTAAAATCGATGTAAACAATCCTAATCTGCTGCTGTTTTTAATTGCTTATTTCTCATCGGTACATGCAGGTTACACGAGAAGACGACGTGGCGAATGTGGTCAGCGAAATTAGGTACAAGCACAGCCGATTGGATTTTGTAATTAACTGTGCCGGAATTTTGGGACATGTCGAGAACGTGTATGATTTCGATACGGAGCAAATGCATTCCACGCAAATGTTCATGGATATATTTCGGGTAAGCTGCTTGACAATGTTTCTAGTAAATAAAATAAAATAAATTTTGCACGATGCTCGATTTCGCAACGAACAACGTAATTATGACAAAAAAGATTATCTGCACGTGGGTTATAATGGCATACTAAATTACTAATACAGTAATACATAAGCACTCGATTCAGGTCAACGTTTTTGGCACATTCAACATCATCCGTCATTCGCTGGGTCTGATGGCAAACAATCCGCGAGATGACGACGGCCAACGCGGTGTAATTGTCAACGTCTCGAGTATCGCACGCAGCAACGGCCCACCAGGAATGGTGGTGTACAACGCCAGTAAGGGCGCCGTCAGCGCCATGACCGTTCCACTGGCGCGCGAATGCGGCGCGGTGGGGATTCGGGTGGTGGCGATTGCTCCAGGTAATAGAGCTAACACTACACCCTTAGTGGAAAGTGTTTACGGTAATTATCTGTGAAATGCACTGCCCGTACAGCGGCCATGGGAACTCCGATGCTGCAAAACGACGAGTATAGCTGGGCGCTGAGCGGTCATGCCGATAAAGCGGTGTTCCCTAAGCGACCGGGGAATCCACAGGAGTTTGCCCACATGGTGGAGTTTATTATCGAGAATCATCTGATTAATGCGACCACCGTACGTCTGGACGGAGGATTTCGATGTTTTTAAAGAATTTTTCGCAGTGTTAAAGAGAGCAGCTTGACGACATTTGGTATGTCTTCGATGCGGAAAAGTTTGTGCTTTTTACTTTACCTGACTGGTGGCTATACTTTCGCCCGTTTTGCGAATCGGCTCGCTTCATGATCCTGTGATCAAAGACAAAATTATGATTTACAACTTCCTTTGCGATGCTGTTCCTTATAGCAGACGGTCATCGCCCAAACTCTTAATGTTACAACAGTTAAGCAGAATTTTATAAATCTGCCATTTCGTTATCTGTATTGCACCGCTTAATGTTTCAGTGACGTGTGACGATCGAGAAATTAAGAGCTCTCAATCGTAGTCCGCCGACATACGTTTGCAGCTTAGTCTTAGATCGGGCGCATATAGGTACGCTACGGTAGATTAATAGAACTACAAGTGACAAACATCGTGGGAAAGTAAGTGCAAGCAATAAACAACGCTTATCAATATGGCTCCAGGGACTTTGAAAGCAATAACATCACTTTGACTGTTGTTTGCAGCAACGCTTATCTTTGTTCAGCTGTTTACCGGTAGGCTGTGCTACTGCAATTATTGTGCAGATATTTAGTTCCCCGCGAAATTGTGGTATTTTGTTTGCAAAAATGATAGTTCTCTAGACTTAGCACAGCCATAACCGAGTAAAATCACGCTGCAAAATTTGTTTTACAAAAATGTCATCAGATTCTTTTATGGTGAGTATAACTGCCAAGATCTGTAGACTGTAAAGGAATATATATCTACACGTTGCATTATCTAGAAGCCGTTCTACAGGGAAAGGTTGCGCTGGTGACTGGCGGAGCGTCCGGCTTGGGAAAAGCAACCACCGAGCGTTTATCCGCAAAGGGAACCATCGTTTACGCGGTGGATCTAGTAATTCCCGATCAAGAGGAGGAACCACGGGAGGGCTTAATTAAGTACCGCAAATGTGATGTGAGCACTGAAAATATGAGTATGAGCGCTTTGTTAAAACCTGTTTTTATCACTGACGGGTATACAGGTAACCAGGGAAGACGACGTTGCCAATGTAATCAGTGAAATCAAATTCAAGCACAGCCGACTGGATTTTGTGGTCAACTGTGCCGGGATTCTGGGCCATGTCGAGCCGGTGTACGATTTCGAAACGGAGGCGATGCATTCCACTCAAATGTTCATGGACATATTTCGGGTAAGGATTGTGAGGAAATTCGGAATTTAACAAATGCGAGGAGGGGTCTCTTATGTGAAATAATATTGCGTAGCTAAGTGACTTATAGGGAAACTTTCATAAAGTAAACATCCTCGTATGCAGTAGTGAAATACATAACATGGTTAACACCGATCCGTGCTGAATAAAGGTCAATGTGTATGGAACATTCAATGTTATACGCCATGCAGTGGGACTGATGGCCGACAACCCGCCGGGAGACGATGGACAGCGCGGTGTCATTGTCAACACCTCCAGTCGCGCTAGGAAAGACGGAGCGGCAAGACTGGTTGCCTATAACGCCAGTAAAGGCGCTGTCAGTGCGATGACCGTCCCGTTGGCACGAGAGTTTGGTGCGGTTGGAATTCGTGTTGTGGCCATTGCGCCGGGTAAGTCAGACGATTCTCTGGATTGACAAACTTAGTTAACGAACAACACATCTCAACCCGTCTGATCTGCTTATTTTGAACATCAACAATTTGCTGATGATATCGCAGTAAACTACCTTGCAATAAGACGGATGTTTTTACTAGAAATAATGAGAGAAAACTACACTGAAATAAATACATTGTTTACAAAAAAAGTTAATATTATTATTAAGTAAAGGACATGTATAAAACCCACTAACATTGAACTTCAAAAACAGGGGCGTCGGAAACTCCGATGTTGCAAAACGAGGAGTACAGCTGGGTACTGAAAGGTCACGCAGCCAAGACCGTTTTTCCCATGCGGCCGGGCAAGCCGCAGGAGTTTGCACATATGGTGGAATTCACCATTGAAAACCATTTGATAAATGCGACAACTGTGCGATTGGACGGAGGATTCCGAGGGTTTTAGGGAAGGCACGAATATCATGTCAGTATGACATAATAGGCTGCTGTTGCGGATTTTCTTATTGCTGAAGAAGAGAACAGGATGCGGCTGATCATTTTAACACGGTGTCGTATTATCCTGATGATGTGTTTGTCCTCGAGGAGCTCCTGCATGCTGGGTTTGTTTGCTGTATACATTCTTGTACTGTCTGTCTGAAATCCGTGAATGTTATTGTTCTCGTACAAAATACAGCAGCACTTGAAATAAATCAATGTGACCCCAAGACGAAGCCCTTTTTAACTTCTCTACAATCAGCATTTCACTTCTGTTTTGGTGTCTCATACTCAACTTCTGTACTGGTACGATGCTTTACTCGCTAATGCTGTGTGCGTGCATATAGATATATGAGCTTTACCAGGTTGTACCGCTACTACCGTAGCAGCGCTGTCCAGATAATGCCGGTAGACAATACCTCAGCGAATAAAGCCCAAATGCAAACTTTCCGGTCTGAGCCACTTCTATTGTAGTATTCATCGTAATTCACGGTCAATGCGATAACGACATTATGGCATTACCTGACCACCAGCTGTTTCTACCACCTAACGGCTGCAAGTGCAGCAGGCTGAATTTCATAAATCACTAATTCATCCAAGACATGTATTCGTGCGATATTTTTTCCCTGGTGATAATAACTGCATTCTTCATTAGCATCTTGCGCGTAATCATTGTCAGCTCGGTTCCTCCTTCGGAGACATGGAGCACTCTTCCATACTCTCAGATCGGTCCAGAAGAACCGTTACTACAGTCTGGCAATGAACCGTCTGCCGGCCGAGCATTCTTGCCGGTGCAATCCTCCAAACAGTATCGTACACTTCTGCCAGATACTGTACGACCACAGACACGGCGTCGTGTGCAGGAAGCAGCAACGACACTGACCAGTGCTGAGTTATTGCGTGGGGATGTTAGAAAAGACCCAGGATCACTGGAAACCGCGGCTACGGAAAACAGCCAACTTTTCCCGATGATAGATAGGATGAGCGATGTGGATCGCTGCAGTACGTCATCACGGGCAGCGCTCGCTGTATTTGCTTGTGTAACATGTTCTGACATTTTTATCTGCAAGTGTCTAGCTAATGTATTACGCGAGTGTCTGTGATTTTATTCCTTCACTTACTAATGTGATACACATACGAGTCGTATCATAGGCGTATTCTTTTTCTATTTTAAATCGCTTATCTCTAGTAAATATAACGGCATCAAATACTTATTTCTTTATCGTATAATTGGATCCATCAGGTGGTGGTCCCGAGATAAATTTTGTGTATCTCTTTCCTCTTTACATCACCTGATTCTTTTTACGCTAGAAGTGTTTTGTTTTAAATCATTTTCTAATATGTTAGTTGTGACGGATTTATTGGATACGCTACCGCGTCACATATTCCCACCCAGTATTAACCGGCCACGAAACGGTGCCCAGTACCGCAGTTTCGGTTTACCGCCACCGCTGCATTTCGCTCCGAACTGGAGGGACCTCCAGCAAATCTTGGCACTGGGCACTATTGCGTCCACCATGTTCCAGCAGATGATGAACACCAGAATACAGCCACCACTGATGGAAGAAGCGTCCAGCACATTGTAAAGCTTGACATGCGATTGTGTTGGTGGATGGCTGTACTTTATCTCATTATTTGCAGCTTACATGTGGCTAATCCCTTGGATCAACCGGAACGACCTTGCGTGGATACTCAGCCGCTGATCGCCTGTACGGGTGACAAGCAGCTGTTTGTCCGCTCATTTGACGGCACTTGTAACAATCTGCGTAATCCGGTGTGGGGCAGCACCATGCAGCCGTACCAACGGCTGGGACGACATGCCTACTCCGACGGTATTGTTACGCAACAGGCTAGTTTTAAATGATGGCAGACTAATGGTTTTTTTCTACAATTTTTATGCGGTGACGCAGCGAGTATATTCTGAAAAAGGCATGATTCAAAGTTAGTGCAACTTTATTTTACAATTATATACTTTCACACCATTTAAAAATTAATAAACAGATAACTGTTCACTTATTATTATTACGATGTATGACACATAAAGGAATAACTGAAGATGTTTTATAAACAAGACGTTTCTTAAAACCAGCAGGAACCTGATTTCTCCCTAGGAATAAGCCGACCAAAATTGTACTCCGTGAAAAAACGCAACGGTGAAAGGGAATTGTTGTTAAACCCGCGTTTTATAAGCCTGGCATTAAGCCAGAATGTCCTCCGACCACATTCCACGGCCAATCTATTAATGCCGGCTGTTGCTCAAGTAATTGCTTCCGATTTGGCATATAGTGAGTTAAAACTATCAATAATTTGCAATTTAATCCGCAGCTGCCTTAACGAAGTACTGTACGAGTATCTTATTAAAAAACGTTCTTGCATTTTGCCTTTTCACTTTGTAAGCACCATCATTGACTTCCGGCAAAGACACGAAAAGCATCGACTGCTGCCTGCATAATGCCGATTGCTCCATTCCGGAATGCTTTCAGTTCTCGCTGCACCGAAAGGATCCTTTGTACTCGGCCTTTAATGTGAGCTGCCATCAGTTCTCACGGTCAACGCCCTTCTCGCCATGCAGTAACGGTATGCATAGTACGGGCAGTGCTATTTTTACAAAGTACTCGTACCGTAGAAGTATAAATTAATGAATTTGTGCAATCACGTGAAGGAAGTAATGGAACTCTTATTAATTACCATAATATATATAGCGTTTTAAATCTGGTTGTAAGAGTGCAAGACTACAAAGCGTAAAAAAATTCAAAAAAATATCCGGCACCTACTAACTGTTAATTTATAATAAAAAGTAGAAAAGAACATCCAGTATTATTGGTAGAGTTAAAATGCGCTAACGACAACAAGTATACTTAAACACTCATACAATCGCTGCCAGTTTGAAATAACATGTAAATACGCAGTCATACACATGTGATAAGGAGTTAAACAATTCAATTGCAATTTCTGTAGTTCAATAAATAGAAACGTCCTCACAGTTTATTCTACAGGCTATTTTGGACAAAATCCTCAGCAACCACGCGAGCAATTTTCCCAAACCACCCACTGGTTGGATTCTTCGTTTCTCTACGGCACCACCGACACCGTCAACCGCGGGATTCGTAACCTGTACCACGGCCAGCTGAGCTTCATGGATATCGAGACCGGCATGCACAATTACCAGCGTGCCCATATAACCAAACAGGTCCTTCCTCCTCTACCGCCGCACAATCCACCCTATCCCTGTCCTACGCCCAACCGCTGTTTCCTGGCTGCGGATAACCGCGTCAACCAGCATCCGCTATTGGCTGCCATCCACATCATCTTGCTGCGGTTCCATAATACTTTGGCGACTAGTCTAGCCGCTGGGTTGGGAGCGCAGCCGGGAGAAAACACACCAGAAATGGATGAGGAGGTGTTTCAACAGGCGCGGAAGCTGCTGATTGCAGTGTGGCAGAATATCGTTTATAAGGAGTTCTTGCCTGTATTGTTGGGGAGTAAGGTTGCCGGGAATGCGCTGTATGGGGAGGGTGGACTGCAGTTGCAGCCGTTGGAGGGCGGATATTTTCGGGATTACGACGATGCGGTGAATCCACACGTTTATAATGAGTTCACGTCGTCTGCATTTAGGTACCACTTTCCGGCTGAAAATAATACGAGAATATGTGAAATAAATATGAAATCTGATTGTTTATTTGCATGTAGGTTGCATACATTAATAGACGAAAGCGTACCACGGTTGCTGTTTGTTACCGGTCTTTCGGAAGATAACCCACTGTCCAGTCAGTTTAACAACCTAACACTTTTACATGAAGGTATATAATACAGACTTATACAGTGTATTGTCACTCGTACCAACGCAATGTACAGTATTTAAATACACCCTGTATTAACGGATATAATGTACTTGTTGAAACCAGAAGGAAATGCGGATGCATTAATCAACGGAATGCTGGAAGAAATGGCGCTCGCATTCGATTCGCAGATGGCCGGCGATCTCCAGGGCGGATTATTTCGTGGGCATCGTCCGTTCGGGCTAGACTTGATGGCTATTGATATACAGCGCGGTCGCGATCACGGTAAAATATTGAATCCAAATTAAATTGTACTCGTATTTGGCATTTTGCTAAATATTCTGCTTGTCCAAATCCCTCAGGTTTAGCCAGTTACAACGATATACGGCAAATTTGCGGATACCGACGGGCTCAGACTTTTGAGCAGCTCGGCGATGCCACGGGCTTCATGCCGGCTCATCACGTGGAGCTTCTCCAGCAGCTGTACAGGTTGGCTCGATTGCTCTTGACCCTAACTTTACTGTTGTATTTGTTTTTTCATAATTATAAGTATGTGTTGTATTTGCTTTGCAGGAGCGTTGATGACGTGGTTCGTACGAGCGTGTACATATTATAAAACGGATTTTACAACGTTACTGGCGTGACCTTTTATGTAGGAACTAATGGTGGGCGGGTTATTGGAAAATGTGATCAACGAAGAGGCCAGCGTCGGACCAACGTTTGCCTGCATTATTGGGTTGGAGTTTCGAAATAAGAAATTGGGGGATCGGCTGTGGTATGAAAATCCTCAGGTTTTCTCAATGAGTAAGGGATCACCAATGTTCTAAAATTTAATTCCTTAGATGAAGTCATCGCTTAATTTTTGTTGTTCAAAATTATTTTTATGTAATCATGTATCCAAAGATTTTTTGCAGATCAGTTGGATGACATTCGAAAGATGACCATAGCTGATGTGATATGTTTGACCACCGCGCTACGATATGTACCAAAGAATGCCTTTTTACAAGTTTCCGATAGGTACCTGTATACGCACTTGCTTTATGTTATTTTAAAAATGCACTGCTGCCAACGCTCCGCCAATAGCTGCTGAAAAACCGCAAATACATCACCATTTATGGAAATTTTTTGCAATTGTTTCCAGGAATCCGCTCATTTCCTGTCATGCAATGCCGGAAAAGAAACTAAAAAGACTAATAACGGGATCATCATCCGGAAGTCGGCCAGTATAGCCAGAAAAGAAACACGGAGTGAAGTAACCTTTTGCACAGAGAAGTTTACATTTTTTAATGATGGTACCGCGCTCTTTGTACGACGTTTGGTCCCGAAAATGCCGATTGTTGCAGTGTGTCTCAGCAAAGTATTGAGAAAACTGTCGCAGTCAGGAAGACCTGGACTAACAGACGACGTAACACATGCCGATCAGATTTTACGCCGGTTAGCTCCCCTTTCTAGCCTTAATTTGTTTCGAAATCTCTTGTTCTAGCTTGAATATCCCTGCACAGAAAAATTCAGAGTGGGCGAATATGACTTTTCCCACAAACGAAAGTTTTTTTTGACGAAATAAAAAATATTAATGCCAAAACTCTCCGCGATTTTTGTTCTTGCAAAAATGGCGCAGCGAGAATGAAAAGGCGCATAATCACCAATTACCTAACCGACAATATCTGCGGCTGTAACCATGATAATTATTTTTTTTCTTGCATTAGCAATAAAATTACTTTTTAATTTTTTTAATAACTAGTTATGTGTACAGCGTGAGACCAGCAGCAACTAATGTTTAATTTAGCCTATATCTGATATAAGCAGCGATCGAGGACCATATAATGTAATTGCGGCAGCCACCAATTATTCAGATGTTAGCACACGTACTCGTGCAGTACGCAGTAGACACCGGTAACTTACCCATAGGTTACGTATAATTCTGTACATAGTGTATGCGGCGTGCGTTGGGTTACAGTTGTTAGTTGGCTACGAATGCAGTAGCTGTGCTGCGGGACTCGTAAAATTTAATATTATATCCGGTGTGTTATGTAATTACATAAACTGCACTGATACAGTACACAGTTCTAGCTATGATTCAGAAGAGTAATTAAGCACTAATATCATGTGAGAATCCGGTACAGTTTTATAACATTATCATTACTGTCACTGTTATGAGACTTGAAAATTAAAGCGGATAGTTTAAGGCAATATCTTGCAATAGTTTTTGATACATATATATAAACGCCTTCAGTTGTTCATGAATTCATCAAGAAACGTTTCATTACTACTGCTCCATCACCGCTGACAATTACATACCCGTCGATACAAAATTCAGCTGGACTTCCAATAAGAAGATGCATTCCATGACAATCGTGCTGGTCGTTGCCTGTGCTTTGCTCGGTAAGATAACTACAATTTTTCCCAAATGATCATGGTAAAATAATTTAAATAGTGGATCTCCGATTTGTAATGTTTATGTGTGTGATATTAGTATCCGTTTACGGAGGCGGCGGCTATGGAGGCGGTGGCTATGGAGGCGGTGGCTATGGAGGCGACTTCTACGGGGGTGGTGGTGGATACGGAGGTTTCGGAGGATTCGGCTATGATCTAGGATGGGGATTGGGATATCCGTTCCTGGGCGGTTGGGGTCTGGGATTTCCGTGGTTGGGCGGATTCGGAGGGTTTGGTGGATTCGGAGGGTTCGGAGGATTCGGTGACTTCGGCGGTTATGGCGGCGGATGGGGATACAAAAAGAAATAGAAGTCCAGCTAACAGGAAAATCATTCAGTTTTTTTATCCATTTTGGTGCTGAGCAAGACGAGTGAACGCGTTTTCTGAGGTTTCTAATTTGATTTTTCTAATTCTTTTGGGTAAAGTTTTTTGCTTGCATGCCAAAGATTTCTGGTGGGGCTGGTTTCTATGAAATTATTCGATTCACATTACTGAATACAGGAAACAGAAACAAAGTAATTTAAATAAAAGCAATGATTTACGGGAATGCTATAATTTTACTTGTTAGTTTTTCTGTTAGTGAGTGGACGCTGTCTTTACTTTGTAAATATAAAGTTTGCTCAAATCTAACCGGTACGCCCTGCTCGTAAAACGCATGCTCTGGCAAAAGCTTGCCCCGTAATTTCTGTCGAAAAGGTGCAGATGATATCTACTAGCACGCAGTTTCGTTATGCACGATTGCCACCACATTACCTTTACTACAATGACAAATTACTCCTCTCAAGATGTAAGATAATTTTTAAGTAGAAAAGTTAGTATTTTATAATTGAGATCAATATCCGGCATGCCTTAGTCAAACATCAATCTGGAGTTGCTCACCGTGGTTTTGAATTTGGCGCAACCCGTGAATTTGTATTTCTCGCTGTGTTATGTGACAGAAATTACGTGAGAAGTCTGTACAATACAACACATGTTCACTTGTAAAAAACAGTACAACTGGCGCTGCACTGCGTTCAGTATTTAATTTAATTTTTTAACTGCCGCATTGCATACTGTACCATATCGGCTGTATATCTTACAATTAGAACAATAATAAAAACTTCTAAAAAAATGATGGAGTAGACGAAGTATATTTATTGCGTGTGGACACACTTTAACCTCGTGATTGGGCGGACTTACATAATATTATTACTCGGTAGACCTTATGAAACATTTTAACGTTGTACGAGTGCTGTAGTGCCGCTTATGAACAATTTAAAATTACAGTTCCAGAATGAACGAGTACAAACGCTAGCGGAACACCCAGGTGATGAGAGATCTCTTGATCACACTTGTAATAAGTCCTGGCAGTCAATGCAGGAACCAGAAGATGCAAAAAGAACACAGTTTACGGCCACAGAAAGCTGGCCAATGAGAAATGCACCGTTTTCTTTTAACCGTAGTTGAGCGCTGGAACCGGAAATCACATCACGTAGAGTGATACAGATCAGATAAAGCGGACCAGAAAAACCAGAAAATGCCTGTAAATTTTAGGATGTAAACCACGAAAACGTCGCCATGAGAGAACAGTCCAGGAAGGGCTCAGTTAATTTAATTAGCGTTAGGCCCAGCGAGAATTTCCAGAATATTGGCCTCCATGACCGCTTGTTTCTGGAGCAGAATTTGAATTTCCACGCAACGTTTTTCCAACAGGCCAAGCGCTGCTATACCGTTCACTAACTTTGTTCCTCCTGAGAAAGAAAATTTTAATAGTCAAGGTATGCAAAACAAAAACACAGACGAGTGAAGTACAGGAATGCTGGGCGGCACCACTATTCGCGCTGTGTAGGTGACTTAATTAAGCGGAGGTTTTAGTGCACTGCGAAGGCAAAAACAATGGGTTCGCACGTCTGATATATGGACGAAGTTTTTTGGGAAGTTTTTTATAAGTTGGTTTTAAGCATGTTTGAATATGTTCATATTCCAGAAAAACTTTAGTACAAAGATCAAATTTTTTTATAAAGTGATTGTGTTAATGTAAACCCAGTATTAAGTATCGGCCAAACGACAACTGATTTTCATCACGTACTTAATCATGCATTAAGTGCATACATACGTATTAAGGGATTTGGCCCGGTACTCTGAACCAACTTTCTGGTGAATACCTACCGTGAACGTCGTCCGGAACGGTAGTCCGCATATTAGAAAATACATGGGTCGAGGACTTCCAGTCCTTCACTTGTGACTCCAGCCGGCTCAGCATACTTTCGACCGTCGCCCGTTTTTTCCCAAATGCTTGCAACTTTTGCACAGTAATGTCCTTTCGCAGAATGCCCGAAAGCTCTTCACGTACAACACCGTCCTCTCCCGCAGCGTTGGCTGCCCGACGGCGCCTTAATCCTCCAACAAATACCCGGCGCACATTGTACCACAGTGATATGATGAAATGATTTCGGAAGAGCGGGAAACATCCGTCGGTACTGTGGTCAGCCTTAACAGCGGAAGCCAGTCCGAGTTGTTCCTTATACTTTTGCAGGCTTACATTCTCAACGAGCAACCGACGGCCTTCGGATTCCAGCGAAGCCAAGATGTCCTAAAACAATTAAAACTGTACGAATCTACTCTACAAGCTCGTGCAATGGCGTCCGTACCTGAAGGTAACGTTCTATGTTCTTGGTTGATTTTTTTCTCAATTTCAAGATCGATTCTTCCGATTCAACATATCCCGACGGGAAGTCGTAAGCGATCAAAGTCATCTTCTATAACAAATAAATGCCATGAAAAACGTCGACAGTATCGCATAATTTATGTTAAATTAACTGAATGTTATAACAATTACTAGTAACGTAAGGACAAATCCTTAGCATACAGTAACACACAAGAAAATGTTTTCCCGGTACGTTTTGCACTACGGTGTATACGAATGTACGAGTACATGCAACATACTGCACTAATATGCAGCATGCGGTGTACAGTATAAAAGTGTTTGAATGGAAGTACAGGAGAGTAAAAGTTTGGTGTTACATAGATCCATGCCCCAGCCGTCCCTGTTCCCCTTGAATGTGAATGTGCATTCGAAAAAGGAAACATACAGTTACTGGAACGGTAAACTGGGATGAAAATCTTTGTTACAGTTGTGGGAGAGATTCTGCACCTGTTACCACGTGGCTACTAACTAATAGCAGAGTACTTTCTCCTTTATATGTGAACGATGCAGCCTTTAATGAGTATCACGAAATAAGTACAAACTTAGTATTAAAAAGAATTCTTAACACAAACACTTCATCAATGCTATCCTAACCGGGAATTGTACCCATTACATAAATCGCATTTCCATGTTGTATATGGATGAAGAGTCGCCGTGTAAAAAAGCTCCTTTGCTCTCTTTGGCCTTTAGCGGTGGCAATACAAATGATGTGAACCTGTCAGTTATCGGATTCCAAAATAAGTCGCTCGTTATTGGGTGGAACCGTAACACCGTAAAGGCCGCCTCATAGTTCACCGAAAACGGCAGTTTCGACTAAAAAGGTGTCCAAATTTCGAATAACTATGAGGACACCATTCCTCGACTCTCCGTCCCATTTTTACGGATGACTATGAGGGAACATGATCGTGTTGAATCCGAGTCGTCGAAATTCGTGATTTCGACTTGTTCGGTGTAGGAGAGGATGGCTCCTCCCTAATACAGTCTCCGTTTGCTTTCGCCCAATCATACATACGTTTGCCCAAGTGGCCACTGCCCACCTGGACGCCCAGATACTCTTATATCATGTACCTGTACATATGTACATCTGTACATGTACCTGTACATCTTGCATATAATTTGTACCGACTAATTATTACATAATGCACATCTGACACAACCCCTTTTTGTTAATAGACATTTTAATTACTAAAATAATTATATCTGTACGTATATTTTTCCATATCTGTAAGTCAGTACAAGTAACATGATTTTCCATCTGTGAGCCATTTGGAAAGTTTTACGTAAGTTTTACATCTGCTTACTACATTGTGGCAAAATGCCTCGTAAATCATTAGCAGCATAAAAAAATTATTGCCTTTAAACTCGGAATTCAGAGCAGCTGTGTGAAGTATTGCAAGGGCATTTGAATTGGGACACCAATAAATATGGAAAGCTACTAATGAGGTATTTTGTGCCAAAAATCAGTATGGAGTGAGTAGATTGCCAAATCGAAAATTTACGAAAAATTTAGGTTCTCACGATCAGATTTGACAAATTAGGCAGCAAGTACAGTACATAATTACTTGTTGCAATGTTGTTTCATCTATTGCAAAGGCTTTACTCACTCATGCTACTGGTAATCGACGTTAACACTGTATTGCACTGTAATACCGAATAATACTCGGCTTGCCATAAGCCTAATGTTGGCTTGCCATAATGCAGCAAACAACCGCCCTGGGCGGTGACTTCATACCGTTGCAGCGGGCGGTTGCCTACTTCCTGTCAAAAGGGCGTCACTAATATTGCCGAAGCACGGACAACTATGAGGAATACATATTTCGATCACCACGACGGGGCGGTGAGTCGGAGTGACCGTGTCGTCGGAAATCCGTGACCACGGAAACTCCGTCGACGCCGGGCCCTCGAGAAACTTTTTTCTCCGTCTCAGAAAACGTCTCAGAAAACGTTCTCCGCCAATGGTTGATATGCCATCTACACACTAAGGGCTATCGAATGCCATGTGGACATGAAATTCTGGTTCAGTGAATCGGGCTGGCGAACGTCTACCCGTAGTGAGTGTGATGATACTAAAGCGGGGGAATGTGGTCTAAGCGCTTCACCATGCTATGACGAGCTGTTCGATCTCAACAGCTTGCCATAAGTGCAACATGACTGCGCGATTTGTCGGAAGCCGGCCAAACTGTTCCTGAACTAAATCGAATTTATTTTTGCTCGCTGTGCAAGCAATTCGGATTCTGATGCTTTAATATTATCATCATATTCATAAAATGAATTAAAAAGAAAAAATCGACTTGTTCATCCGACTCAATGGGCGTCCAACAGCTTACAAGTTAGGGGTGGATTTCAGATTCTACTATAGCTCAAAACAGCTCGCGCAAACACGGCTCAAAATGGCAAAAGTGCTATAAAGTACAGTATAAACGGCTCACGGTGCAAAAAGATTTTAAAATTCTGATCCTATCTTTTGATCCACATAATTTATCGTAGGTTTATTTGATGCTCTAATTTGCTAAGCAAAAAAAATATGGCCGAAAGTGAAAACCGGCCCATGCCGATTCCTAAGCAAAAAATATGGCCGAAAGTGAAAACCGGCCCATGCCGATTCCATTGCCTGGTGCCTCAAAGAAATTTTTCGATACCGTCTAGACACTAGACTAGTCTGCGCTCTCGCTTGTATAAAATTTTATAGCGCCGTCTGATTCCGTACTGAAGGCTCTATGGTCTTACATGTATACTAGGAAAGTTCACCGCTGTTGGCTTGCACTAACTAAGTTAAGCCGGAAACCAAGTTTGAATAAACTGGTTGCTGAGCTTGTTTTAAAACTTGAACTGCTTTAAAAATACCTGTTTTATATCTAAAAATAATTTTTCTTTTTTATTTAATAATTTTTGGTGTGTTCTTCCATATTTTACTTAAAACTATTGATGCGTGACCGACATGCATGACCGACGTGACCGACAAAATTCCTGTTTTCTTGAAAGTCCTTCCGATGGAGAGCTCTATCTGAGGTCGACGCCGGACGGCGGTGAACAATCTGAAAAAAAAGTGGCGGCCGTGAAAAATAACAGCAGAACCGAGTTTGTTACCTTCTATATTTGGTTACCTAATAATAATAGATAAATCATACGTAAAAATATACCTTTAGTAATTAAAATGTTTCTGCAGCGAGCCAAACACTACTGCGGAACAGCACTAAAAGGATAATAGTGGTTTATAAACACTCGCGGATGCACTCAGTGCTATCGATCAGACGACTGCCGATTGTCGGGATGGATCTGTGATTTCTTTTGCAAAAGAACTGACAGATATTTAAAATTTAAAGAAAAAATTAATATGACTGAAACTGTGATGAGCGCACAATTTGTACGACTACGGCTTGACTTCTGTATATGTAAAAATTAATGCGTTGCATGCGGTCGTTGACGAATTGTTTTTGGATGACGCAACTGATATATATCTGTATTGGTATTAACGGCCGTACCGGCAATACAGTCCACAAGCGTATTAAGCCTTTGGCAATAATTGTACACACGCGTAGAACGACGAATGTATCGCCTTCGTATAAAACCTCGTACTTTTTTCCGTACATACTCGCACATTTCTCTTAGGTCAAACTGTACTTATGCTGATCAATCCGCTTGTTTTTGTTGGTGGACCAGAAGAGTTAACTGGGCAGAGCAAATTAAAAAGCTGGTAATCCCGGGCTCTACCTTGTTGGTTACCATCTATCAGACAGGCGGCCGGAAAGCCAAAAAATTTTCCTGTGTTTTTGCAGCCCATGTCTGGCATGTCATGGTTTTGGAAGATTAATGAGATTAATTGACAAGAGCGCATGCAATGAGCTAGATGGGTCTGTTCGGTGGAAAAATTATAAGGATTTTAAGCAGTTTTGCACAACGCCAGCCGGCCTTAGGCTGGATGGTTACTGATTGTTGCCGGCTTAATTTTTTACATAGTATAACGCGGGACCGTATGGGCGCCACGCGTATCCTCGACAGCGAACAGCGGTGAACCCGGATGAGGCTTTATTGCCGAATCTAATGCGCACCGTGGCGCAGCAACACCAAAACTAATGAGGAAGGATCCTGCAGCCAGTGCAACTGTGCTGCAGGTCCGTCAAAACAGCGCAGCAATGTGCGGGGGGGAAATCCCCAGAAACAGCGAATAGCTACTCAGGAGGGCGGGGCGTCCCGCCCTTACACCCCTTTTGCAGGCATCTGTAACGGGGGATTCCTGTCTTATGTATTAGTATGTATGAGTATGTGCTGGTTGTCCCGCCTCTTGTGTTTCCTGTTCCTGTACGAGCGGTTCAGTATATATAGCGTTGTATTTCCTGTGGTATCCTCAGTCGTTGGGTTAGCAATATTTCGAGCAGTATCAGCCGGTTCCGTTGCCCGTTATACTTGGAGTCGCATACCGAGAACGAAATTTTTTTCAAGTCGACAGTTTCAGTGCCCTTTAACTTTTACCACCGCTACCCCTCCGCCTCCCTGTTGAACAGTGCCCTTTAGCCTTTACCACCGCTACCCCTCCGCCTCCCTGTTTCAACAGGTAAGTCCTTATGTATCACGTCCAATTTTTTGCCCAAAAAGAACAATCTTAACTGTTACCGATCCTAATACTATTTTCGAATTCGGTATTAACGCGCCATTTTTCAAGAAAATTTAATTAACGATCGTATAGTCAACTTTCCGCAGTTGGCAGGCTGTTTGCAATAATTAATAAGTACTAATTACCAGCAAGTCAATATCATGGCTATAGACCCGCAAGCACTGCAGAATATGCTTAACACCGTTAATGCCGCTTCCGCTCAGCAGAATGCAGCTTTACAGCAAAGCCTACAGAATAACGCTACTGCACATCAGAATTTATTGAATTTTTTGAATAACCAGAATGCCGCTGCAGTTACCCGTATAACATCTCTCGAAATGGGTGATTTGCCGAAGTTTGGTGGTTTTCCTTACGAAGACGCTCAGGACTTTTTAACACAGTTTGAGACGATGGCCGTTGCTAATAATTTCACACCAGCTAACAGAATCCAACATTTTGCGCTCTGTTTGAGGAACAACGCTCTTCGCTGGTATACCGCAGAACCAGCAGGTATCACATGGCCAGACCTCCGATCACATTTTTTAACAGCTTTTGGAAAAACTCGTTTTGAACTTGATCTTATGAATGAAGGTTGTCGTACATTAGCATTTACAGATCCTCGTACTTTTGTCCACCGTGTCCTTGATTACGTGGAAGCCAGTAATCCCGCAGCTACCGAAGCAGAAAAAACAGTTCGTCTCTTCGAAGCCTTGCCCCTTGAATTTAAACCGGCATTCGTGACTAACAGCCCCAGAACCGTAGCCGATTTTTTTAATCGTTTACGTGATGTGTCCGTTAAACAACAATACAAACTCTCGCTGCATAATCAGAACTCGTCGTATCAACTGTTAAACAATGTCGCAGGTCAGTCAAGTCTTTTGTCGCTGAACAGCTCGCCGACAGCGCCCAGCTCTAATCAGATAGAGATTGTCGCTCATAACCTGATGAAAGGTTTGGATGAAAGACTAAAGCATCTTGCTGAACAAATAAAGTGTTTACAGGAGAATAACGAATCACAGGGCAGTTACGATCCTTCCCAGAATTACTTAACGGGTAATGCGAACCGGTCAACCCTTCGACTCACAGATGCGCCAGGCCAGGTTAATGGATGTTCTAATTGCGGTAACTATGATCATCTTTCGTATGCTTGCCCGTTTGGAGGTGGCCACTCTACGCAGGCACAGTATGCACAGGCAGAACAAGATTCTGAAGATCGTTATCCGATGTCATTCGGTGTAGCACAGCATCCGCCAACGACGCAGCAACTGGCTCTTAACACACCCGGTAAATGACCATCTCAGGCGCAACAGTTTAGGTCTGCAGAATCTCAGGACACCGGTAGTGCACAGTCGGCGTATTCGAGATGGCAGATTTAACTTTTCTGGTCTAATTGTCGTTCGTTCGTGTGAATTTGTTTTCGTTTCGTAGACTTACGTGCTCTTGAAACTTTTGTTCGTATTTCAATATTGCGTTTTATATTAGTGATGCCTGCCCGTTGATTTTGAAGGCTGCAGCAGTATTTATTGTTATTGAGGAGAGGGCAGATGAGTGAGGAAATTTTTGAGGTTGACAGCGCTGATTCGCTGAATATTTGTTTGATTTGTTTGATGATGGCCAGATGTGAAAAGCCTCGCGATGGTAACGGTAATCGTTAATGTCAATGTCATGTGCAGAAATGATTTTGGGATATATTTAAACTGTTATCGCATATGTGCTGTATCGCTTAAATCTTATTTATCATTAATTCTCGCCGCTGGTTCGGCTAATGACATAAAATGCCAGATGTTGTCGTCTTGTTTCGGGCAGTCAGAGATCGTTAATGTCAACTTAAATTATATAATTTTGAATAAAATCTTGAAAATCCAGATGTACTGCCAGTAAAAGTTAAAAATAAATTAAAGCTTTTCGATTCCAGGGAAAACAAGATCATAAATTTAAATGTCAGCGTTCACAACACATGACGGCATACTTGGCACAAAAACATAAATATTATTTTTCGAAATTCCCATTAACTGGTGCAGTTATGTTTTACTACGGCAATATGCGCATGGATTTTGGGCAACGGACAATTATGAATGTTCGTTCTGACTACGAAGAAAATAACTGAATGGTTCGATTTTATGGTTGTGTAAACTGTAAAGTGTATGGTAAACATTTTGCGCTCTTTTATTTAACTAATAATCTCGTCGAACAGAAGCCGCAGCTTGGTCACCCTTGTATACCACGGCAGCTCAAGTAAGTATTTGTGCTGAATTGATTAACGCTAATCACGTAAAATGAAATTGAAGAAGATCAACAACAATTTATGAAAAAGGGCTTTGCACGAGCATCAACCTATTTATATTCGCTCATATACGGGTGCGTGCTATAAACGCCCACCCTTGTTTTGTCGCGTGGTAATCTTATGCTAGATCATATAGACGGGCCACAGCTATAAACGCTTGCCCTTGTCCGTGCCCTCTGTCTCTATTGTAATCGTGTCGTCATCCAGGTGCGCCTATAAACGGTCCCTGTTGGTTCAATTCTCTCAATTAAGCCCTAAACATCTGACGATTTCAATGAGCAAATGCTAAAAAAGTCATCTAATTTTGGAAACACTTGCCTTATGCACAACAGCGAATAATTTCTGGCAACTTTGTGTTACCCCGGTCGAGCTCGCCTGCTGGTAGTCTACCATCATCGCTGCTGCACAGTGCTTCTAAAGGTAAGTATTTTGTTTATTTTAAAACGTAAAAGCTGTCTAAAAAAATTTTTATATTTCGTGCGTATATCGCGGTACTGGAAAGATGGGCGTCCCTCCCATAGTACGGGTACAATAAAGTTTTTGTTCTGAAGTCATGCATTGTGTGAGGGTATTTCGCTGATATTGTTTGGACTTGACTTTGACTCTGCGGATAAATTTTCATAAAGCCGCGGAAGGCAACAGTAGTATCATTATCGATTCACTTTTTAAAAGTTTTTTGTGCTTGTCTCGTTAATGTTTATGTCATAGTGTAAAAGCGGAAATGATTTTCAGTAACTGAAGAACAGCAATTTTAACAGAGAGTAGTGCCACTTCCGTAATATTAACGGTCTGCATCTTTTGTTATTTCCTGCCACTCATAATTTTATTAGCAGCCAAACGTATGTCACATCTTGTCCGCTATTTTCCATTTTTTTTAATCTTGGCCATACCAGTCGTTCACCTTTTTCATCCGGTCGTGCTATTCTCAGCAAATCTGTATAGCCAGAACAGGGAAGAGCACTGCATTTGCTGAATACTTGTTTTCCATTTGGCCCGATGAAGCACCTCTCGATTTTATTAGGAAAGTTTCTCCAAAATTCGAAAAACAAAATACTTATTTTCGAACATAAGTGCACCTACTGAGTACACTACTCTTTGTACAGATTTACATAATTATGGCGCCTATCCTTAGCTCACTGTTTAAGCCTCACAGAAAATTTCAAAGTCCTCTCATTCCCAGCATTTTCTCCGCGTCGCCGATATTAGGCGACTGCAATTCCCAGCTTTCTCCCTCCTCTCTTTCGCTTTCTCCCCGCTCTATCTTTTTTCTTGTTCACGCCTCTCAGTTCTCATATGTCCATGCAGACCCGTGGCATCTCTTCATACAAACTGAGAGCAAAGGTTATCTCTTGCTCCTATCATTCTGTCTGCACTGCTGATCCTCATAACTCTGTCTTGCCACTCATCACTCGGATTCACCCCATTGTAACGCGCTCGCTTTACGCAGTATTGCTCTCGTGCCTTTGTTTCCTCCATCTCATCCGCATTGTCTTCTTAACCCATCTCATCCGCATTGTCCTCTTATCTCGCTCCTGTCATTGTGCATTCATGAATCATCGTCGCATTATTAAGCCATACAATCTCATACACTTCACTGATTGTAAGAATTTGGCGAGGATTTTTTTTAAAGATTGCGTTTCGGGAATATCCGATTTGTTTTGCGGAAATTGCAATGATTGAATCCTTGAATTAAATTAGCGCGTTAATTCAAAATTACGAAAAAAAATACATGTAAATATAGGTAGGGTTGCGTCAATGTGTGTTCAAGTTTTTCAGAACCAGAAGTTTGTAATGATTTTCTACTGGAATACTGACATCGTGGACATCGATATTACACTTCCTTTCCCAAGACCATTATGAACCCCGATGTCGCATGTCTGTGTGGACTAAGTGGTCATTCTTCAACGTCGGATGGATCGTCAGACGGATACAATAATTAACGTCTTACGTGGAACCGGACGGATAGTCGGATACAGCAACTATCGTCTTACGTGGAACGCTTCGGATGTTACCTGCCATATTTAATTCTAATTTTGCTAATAATGTTTTCGCACTAAATCTACGTTTTGTACTCCCAAAAAAATCTGAGCGTGATTTCTCTAATGTTTTTGCACACATTGATTCTCTTTTCTATATGTTTTTGTTTGTTTTTTCCTGAAAACATTCTGTTTTCAGTCTGGTAAGAGGGGAGTGTAACGGGGGATTCCTGTCTTATGTATTAGTATGTATGAGTATGTGCTGGTTGTCCCGCCTCTTGTGTTTCCTGTTCCTGTACGAGCGGTTCAGTATATATAGCGTTGTATTTCCTGTGGTATCCTCAGTCGTTGGGTTAGCAATATTTCGAGCAGTATCAGCCGGTTCCGTTGCCCGTTATACATCGCTACGTCCTCGGAGCGAAATCTCCCAGGATTCGGAGGATCCGCACCCCCCCGCCGGTTCGGCTCATGTTGGGTTCCGGGTCAGTTCGGTCCGGTTCGGGCGGTTAATCCGGTCGGCTCGGTTCCAGTTTGGTCGGCTCAAATCCAGTTCGGCTCAGGTTGGGTTCCGGGTCAGGTCGGCTCCGGTTCGGTCCGAGTCAACCGTCTGGGTCAACGCACTGTCGCGCCAGATCCAGGGTCCAACCCGGAAACGGGTGAATTCCGTAGTTTCTTCAGCAAGGGAAAGGTCACGTTCTGGGGAAATTTGGGCAGGGGTTTGGGGTCTATGTGGCCCGTGACCCCTGCAAAAAAACAAAGCACGCAAATCCGCGGTGAAATCCACTGCTCCGTCCGGGGGGATGTTGCCGTCCCAGGAAGTTCGGGCAGTGTTTTGGTGGGGGAATTCTTCGGCGTGGTGCTGGTGGTCGATCCGTGCCGTTGGGATCGGAGTTGGTGCTGCTGTTGGCGGTGTATCCGTTCTGGTTTCCCGCTGGTCCGGGTCGCGTTCGCCGTCGGCATCGCAGGAGGCAATTCTCGCTCCACGGCATCGCAGGAGGCGTTTCTCGCTCCGCGGCATCTCCGTCCAGTTTGGGAGGCATCCGTCGCGGGGAGGCGTCCATCTCCGTCAGTTGGGAGAGGATCCATCACGTTCCGCGTGGGGGGTGGGAATGTAGCTCCACACCCCGGGGTTAAATGGGGTTCATAACTCAGAGGTGCTGCGGGCGCGACGAGCGCGCGCAGCTGGAAACGATAACCACGCTCTGCTACCATATAACGCGGGACCGTATGGGCGCCACGCGTATCCTCGACAGCGAACAGCGGTGAACCCGGATGAGGCTTTATTGCCGAATCTAATGCGCACCGTGGCGCAGCAACACCAAAACTAATGAGGAAGGATCCTGCAGCCAGTGCAACTGTGCTGCAGGTCCGTCAAAACAGCGCAGCAATGTGCGGGGGGGAAATCCCCAGAAACAGCGAATAGCTACTCAGGAGGGCGGGGCGTCCCGCCCTTACAATAGAAGTAACTATAATGCTTCGTTTTTTAACGCCTGATGTAAAAGATGAGAATTTTCAGAAGTTGGAGCCGGCCTAAGTTCCCTGGTTAGAAATTTAGAATGCATCACCAAACTGTTTGTACCGAAAATACGATAATTATTTGAAGGAAGAAACTTATGGTTAGTTAACCTGACAGCGCGCGAATGGATACTCGCTTGCATAATATACGCCATATATGGCAAGAAAGCGATAAAACTTCAAAACAATATGGAATACTCGATCGAATTTTCTACTGCTCCGATCCTAAAAAGCCGTACGCGCTTTGGGTTGCCACACACCGTCTTTGTTGAGTCAGACTGTAAAATTCCCGGCGAGGACACGCACTGGGCGTGCCAGCCAGTGGTGCAACTTCGTCGGGTGGGTAGGGAAATTTTCGACAATTGGACGGTATCATGACATGCGATGCACGGCGCTTCGTAAGTGTTCTTCTGATTCAGTTCATTTGACGGATGTTTGTTCACTTTGTTGGATTATATTGCGGTACACCAAGCTGCAGACGATACACGCTGGCCACACAGTCGACAGTGGACTTATCGATATTACATCATTGGCGGCATTTGGTGCATAGAAGACTTCCAGTCATTTTGTAAACAACACCAGCAAAGAAATTCCTTTTATTACTGTGCTTGATTCCTGCCTCTTGGACTGCAATACGCAGGTGCCGATAATTTTCAAATTGTAGAAATTATTGCATTATAATTTATTAAGGACAGCCAGGCGTTCGGGACTGATACCAGTGCATCTTGAATAATAGTATAATACAGCTTTTGTAGGTCTGCGCCCTTTATTTAATTGTCGATTTCCCCGCGCTCTTTATTGCAGTTTTTCCCTGGCCCTTTCCCTCAGCCTCTGCGGTCTCATTTGGCAGTATCCCGAGGTACCATATGCTCGAACGCAGCATGATGTAAAAAACCACAACAACCTAGGGTCTTCTAGCAAATCGAAATATTATAAAAACTGAAATAATTCTGTCAGCAGGAATCAGAATAGTATTAATTAAGCTGATTTTTAATACGAGTATTGTCTAATAGTAATAATGCTTTATGTCGCAGCCACATTTACGCTGTTTTTTAATCATGGCATTGTCGTGTTTTTTGGGATGCAATTTAATTAGGCAGCGCAGCAAGGCCGGGACGCAGCGAACCAGGAAGCCAAACGCGCAGAGCCGGGTTAACGCGCAATATTTTCCGGTGGGTGGCGTAACGAGCGAAGTCTTAGCGAAAAGTGAGCCATAACTCCCCCATGCAGTGGCACAGACGACTTTGTGAAAGGCAGAATAGTGTGTTTGTGGTCCACCCCAAATTGTCCGTTGCGCCGACGATTCTTCGTCCGAGTTTTCCACTCGCAGATGCAGTGAGCTTTCTTTTTCAACGCTTGTGTAACTTGCTTGCGCTGCCAAAGTTTATTTATGAGTACAAGGTTTTGTCAAAACGAAATTGAGCCCTGGTCAGAACGGGCTTAGCTCACTGATTGCTTCAACAAAATACTCGTATGTTTTCCATTCATTGGAAAAATGCGCTGTATGTCGGTTAACAATTCTAAATCTTCTCCAGCTTTAAAAAATGTTGTTGAGCAAACGAATGTTGCAAAATGAACAGTGCAGATTTTTTGCTAAACAGTGCGACCTCACGAATAGAAGTCGGAAGAAAACCTTAGTTTTCGCTCCCTGCATTTTAGCTTTTTTTGGAAGAACATTATTATAAAAGGTGCTATAGACCAAGAGTTATTAAAAAAACTTATAAAAATTATTTTGAACCTTACTGGTGGAAGCAGAAGATTTTTCGTTCTACCTTAACTTGGCGAGACTACCTTAACTTGGTACAATTTAAACAACTATGGCTCGCAGAAGTGCCGGTAGACTGTAGTGTACACCAGTTGCTTTCCCCAGCTAGCGCCATTTGTATCAAAAACACCTGTTGATTCTTTATAGATAGATGTATTGTTTTTGTTTATGCAAATTCATGGCTGACGCTGGTTTTTAAAAGCAAAATAAATGATGAAACGTTATCAAAACACTAATTTTACAGCAAAATTATACTGCTTTGTAATATTGTACAGTAAACTCTGTGAGATTGAACAACGAGGGTAGGTACAAAGTGGGCCAAGTTTTAAAACTTTTAAAACTGTTAAAACTTTTAAAAATAAAATTAATAATATATAGTTTTGACAGTGATTTCTCAAAAAGCGGTTTTAAGGTTTTAGCAGTTTTTAAAAATAAAATTAATAATATATAGTTTTGACAGTGGTTTTTCGAAAAGCGGTTTTAAGGTTTTCGAAGTTTTTGAAAATAAAATTATTAATATATAGTTTTGACAGTGATTTCTCAAAAAGCGGTTTTAAGGTTTTAGCAGTTTTTAAAAATAAAATTAGTAATTTATAGTTTTGACGGTGATTCTTCGAAAAGCGGTTTTAAGGTTTTAGAAGTTTTTGAAAATAAAATTATTAATATATAGTTTTGACAGTGATTTTTCGAAAAGCGGTTTTAAGGTTTCAGCAGTTTTTAAAAATAAAGTTAATAATATATAGTTTTGACAGTGATTTCTCCAAAAAGCGGTTTTAAGGTTTTAGCAGTTTTTAAAAATAAAACAAGAAATATCTAGTTTTGACAGTGATTTTTCGAAATGTGGTTTTAAAGTTTTAGAAGTTTTTAAAAATAAAATTATTACTCTCAAATTCCAACTAGATCTGGTTACGGTGCAACAGCTCCACCTCATGAGGTTGTTTGGCGAACCGTATTTGTCGGCGTAGACACTGCATGTAGCTACCTCGTGCGGTGGAGCAGCTGCATCATACTCAGCTACGGTTAGAATTTGAGCCGGCCTTAACGGTTCCCAAGATAGGAAACAACCTGAATCCATGCCTAAAGGCAATATACATGTTAAGACTGCTCTTACATAAATATATATATATATATATATATATATACGTATATATACGGTCATTTTGTTACGTTACATATATACGTTATATACGTTACATATATCTATATTTATATGTATATATACGAGCGCTTCTCTTTGACTGTTTGACACTGCTTTAAGGCAGATTCGATGCGGAAAAGGTCGAGTAAATTTCCTTAAAGTCGCTTTCTTGGACAGCGCCTGGGTAGACCCGGTCACTGTCAGATCGTAGATTATCTTAAGATGGGCTACTTATTTCAGAGCTGCCAGATTCAGAGCAGTTTTTGTTGCAGAACTCACATAATTATGTTACCAGAGAAAAAAGTCTGGAGTTGGGAGTGCAACTTTCTGCATCCTAAGGTCAAGAAAATTCGAACATAAAACATAGCATTAACGGACAATATAGGGGTGTGTGTCTAGTCACTGTCTACAGCTTTCTCACGCAACGGGGTACAGAGATTGATTAATCAAAAAGAAGTGCCTATAGTGTGCTGGGTGCAAAAGGGGGTGCAATAGATAACGGGGGTGAAAGGGGGTGCCTATAGCCATTTCCTATTAATAATTTTATTTTTAAAAGCTGTTAAATCTTAAAACCACTTTTCGAAAAATCACTGTCAAAACCATATATCAATCGTATTAATTTTATTTTTAAAAACTGCTAAAACCTTAAAACCGCTTTTTGAAAAATCACTGTCAAAACTATATATTATTAATTTTATTTTTAAAAACTGTTAAAACCTGAAAACCACTTTTCGAAAAATCACTGTCAAAACTATATATTGTTAATTTTATTTTTAAAAACTGCTAAAACCTTAAAACCGCTTTTTGAAAAATCACTGTCAAAACTATATATTATTAATTTTATTTTTAAAAACTGTTAAAACCTTAAAACCACTTTTCGAAAAATCACTGTCAAAACTATACTTGTATATTATTAATTTTATTTTTAAAAACTGCTAAAACCTTAAAACCGCTTTTTGAAAAATCACTGTCAAAACTATATATTATTAATTTTATTTTTAAAAACTGTTAAAACCTGAAAACCACTTTTCGAAAAATCACTGTCAAAACTATATATTGTTAATTTTATTTTTAAAAACTGCTAAAACCTTAAAACCGCTTTTTGACCAATCACTGTCAAAACTATATATTATTAATTTTATTTTTAAAAGTTTTAAAAGTTTTAAAAAGTTTTAAAAGTTTTAAAAGTTTTAAAAGTTTTAAAAGTTTTAAAAGTTTTAAAGGTTTTAAAAGTTTTAAAAGTTTTAAGACTTGGCCCATTTTGTACCTACAGTGGAATATTGAACAGCTTCTCACATTGAACACTTTTGATCGAAGCGTTGGTGTTCAAATTACACAGGTTTTACTGTATCTAAAGAATATTTTGTTTTACAGTTATAACATTTTTTATTTTTTTGTGCCCTTTTAAACAGTTTTGGAGGCTTTTAACGTGCTTTTTATTTCAAATGTCGCCCAAAATTTATTAAGCATTTGGCTACCCTAATTACGGGCACATCTTCCCACTCCGTATATTTTAGACGGAGTGTGTGTTTTCTGGGAATGAGTTTAAAACACGAAGGTTTCCAACCGATAATTAGGCGATTCGGCTTGCCAGCTAATTTAGTAGAACAAAATATTAAAGCGTGTTCCACGGTGATCCGAGGGTCATCTCTGGCATTCGGCAGTCCATCTTTTGAAATTCTCGGCGATCAAAATGGTTGTACTTTGTTGATCAAAATTGTTGTACTTTGGTTTTTGCTTTGTAAAAAAATGCCCGCTCCGTTTTCTCCCGTTATTTGTTTTGTTGATTTTTCTCAGGACTAGAGTTAATCCGAGGCTACAGATACTGCTTTTGAATTCTGATATCATCTTCTCTGCGTCTAGCCAATCGACCCAAATTCTGGGAAAACTAAGACTGTGGGAAATTAAAACGGAAAAATTTTTTAGTTATGCTTGGTAAATGGTAAAGGTAAGAATCTGATGACGCTGCTGGCTGATGTGTGAACTTGGCTCAAACGTTGATATTTAAGTAGGCGGCGGCCATCTGCATCCGCCAATCTTCTGCTGAAAACAGTAAGTTAGTTCAGGTCATACAAAATGTACTTTTTCTCATAATCAACAGAATACTGTAGTGTGGGTGTGGCGAACAGGCCTCCTCTCCACTTATAAAGAGCGCTCAACACAGGGATTGCTTTTTTGCCGGTTATCAACGCATAATACGAGTACAAGTACAATACGTACTTGCGTATTACGCACAATTTACAGTAGTCGCCGGTTGGATGGTAGAAACTGGTCTTGTTTCTGGACGCTCTATTCATCATGTACGCTGCGGCCATCTGGGCAGAGTTCCTTTATAGCACCAGAAAATCACCGAATGTTTCAGCTTCTCTATGATCGCTTGATCGAAACTCGATAGTATTATTGTGAATTTATTTGCAAGCGGGTAAACATTACTTTGTCCACCCTGTCGATAATTTTCCGCAGTAGGTCGCCTTGTCACAGAAGTAAATACTTCGATAATTTGGCAATAGCAAATTCAGGTAACAATAATTTGCCTTGCGCATGTAAACACTACTTAAATTAAAAAATAATAAATTAAAGAAAAATTAATAAATTAAATAAAAATTAATAAATAAACAAATTAAAACAGAAATAACTATTCATTTGTATTACATATTACATTATTATGTATTTACCGGACATAGGCATACTTAATTGTTTATGGTAATGTACGGTAATTTGTGTGTACATATTTAGGCTATATAACTAGCCGGTTATATTCGATGAGTTGTCATGGCTGGTGCTGGTTTTCAGATTACTCCCAGCCTTGGCTTCCCAAAGCTCCTTCACCGGAAGCTAAGTTTTTTTCTAAATCTCACCATCAGGTTGCAAGTAAGTAAAATAAACAGCGCGCCACCGGAAATTAATTTTGTCGACCGTCTCCAAATGGAAAAAATATGATATTGACCCAAATCTAGAAGTCACACCCACGTTTGCCGTTTTAATTTCCTTGGCTCCGTCGGTTTCATTAGGGCTTCTTGATTTTTTAAAGTTTTCTAGGATTTTAAGTTTTTTTTGTTTTCTTAACCCTCGCTTGTGACGGCCGACGTGGTGTCGGTCAGCCATTTTTTGGTTAACGTGGTAATGTGAGCTGCCTTTTGACCGTAATTTGTCCTCTTCCCAAATTTTGCCGTTCATTGTGAAAACTAGAGCCACAACTAGAGCACATTGATAAAAAGGGCGCGGAATTATTGCGCACAACCGCCTACGCAATCGCGAGTGCAGCGGACCCGCCGTATCACGGCTGCTTGTGTGGAGATTTTCATATCGTTTCCCATTTTCCAAAACATAAATAATGAGCACAAATTCATGTATTTCTTCTTTGGGTGTAACTAAGAAATCCGAGATATTTCAACAGGCCACGGCAATGCAAACTAAATTCCGACACACTCATACGACACTCATATATAATATATATATATATTATATATAATTTGGGAATTATATAATATGTAATTCCCAAATTAGTAAATATATAATTCCGAAATTTAAAAAAATTATATAATAGTTCCCAAATTTAATAATATATAATTCCCAAATTAGCTTACGAGTCATTATCATCCCATCCGTAAAATGAAGTAATGCCATAATGCTGTAACAGAACCTATTTTTTGCACTACTTACCTTAATTACCATTTAATATTAATCGGTCAAATAGAATCGGCATCAATGCACGCCAACTGCATGGATAAGTGACAACAGGACGACACTAAAATAGATAGTCTCGATGATTAGATTAGTGATTAGATTTGTCTTGATGAATTAGATTTATCTCGATGATTAGATTTGTCACGATGATCAGATTCTGTCTCGATGATTAGATAGATGAATAATCTCAACTAGCTTTAGAGTCCGAATGTGTTGATTGCTCTATACTCGTACTGTCAATGCGCAACGCATCATCATGCTGTAACTGCCCTATCAGCCAAATGGTTTCTTATCAACTACAAGGTTTCCTATCAACAATCTGTTTTTTTTTATCAAACAGATGGCTTCTATAAATCACATATCGACGTTATGGCTGGTGTGATTCATTGCTTCCCTTGGGTCTCGCCATGGCGCCGTACAGTAGCTTGAACCTCTAGCCGTTATATAAATATAGCTGCAGCCGAGTATAACTGGCAAGTCGGCTGTCGTGCCGGCGTGCCTCGTTGCAGTTGCCTCGGTTGCAGTTGCCGGGGTCAGCGTTTAGCCAACGTTTTCCCATCCCTAAAGATACACTGCAGTAAGAAGGGAAAATTTTATTCTGCAGTTTTAGTGGAAAAAGAATAATCTAATTATTGTCATATCCCAGTCACATGGAATGTTTTGTGAGCTTTCTGAGAACGGTCAAGAATGTCGTTCAGTTAATGAACGTTAACCGTCCCCGGTCGACCAAATTGCACAGCATAGTATTACAACGACAACGCATAAACTGCCACTAGAGGAGTGAGTTAATCCACCCGTACCACCATAACGCGCGTTTCGATGGCTCGTCGGTGACATTCGGTGATGTTGGTGAACTGAACGAAATGCCCAAAAATCAGTTACCGTCGCGATCATCAAAATTTGTACACATTTTACATCAACTGAAAAGTCACTGGGGAAGAGCAACGGCAAGGGCACGAGCCAGAATAAAATTTCAGAACATTTAGACATTCTCAAAGGTCAAGAAATCCACGTTAGAACTGGTCACTTCGTCCAAGTACACACTCAGACGTTTTCGGTTGAACTATGTAGTATCAACGAAATGTACATCTGCGATACAGATCGTATTCGTACGGCGATAATATGTGAGGAAAAAGCTATGCCGGTGGGCAGAATTTTTGTAATTAAGAACCTTGTAAATGACCCACCAAAATTTAGCAAGGATTCTTGTAGTATTTTCAGTGCACCAAAATGGGCAACACCAACCGAAGGGCCCTTCAGACGTTCAACATTACTGAAGACCTGATGGGCATCTCGGACCTCCGCATGGCAGGCGATTTGTACCTCGACAAATTTTCGGAAGCGTTCAAGGAAGACGATGATCGTATTAGAATTCCGGATGGGGACTACGTAGGCGAACGCGTCTCGCTGCTGTCAGCTCAATCAGATGGAGCCAGACAGAAACGGGGACGGTGTTCTAGTCTGTGGTTCCGGTTAGTGGCATGTGTCCGCAGGAATAATGAGGCGGATTAAGAAGCGTTGGGCAAAACTCCAAAGACTATGATGCGAAAATCTTCATGATTCTATTTGATCTTCGTGATGGCTTTTTCTCACTTACTCTAGCCAATTCTCAAAACGGAATCTCGACTATTTCAGCACTGGTATTGCTGCTACCTTTGTGGTTGTATGTTATTCTGTTTGAATTACTTTTCTAATTTACAGCTTGAGCAGGGTGACCTGTAAGAAGAATAACCAATTTTTTTAATCTGGGTTTGCAATGTGATTACTGCGTACAAAATTGCAAGTTTACCTACAATACTTGACCGTTTAGGTACTCACCTGGTCAGTAACTGCTAACTGGCAAGTGCTCGGGCACAGCTAGAGTAGTACTTCACTTAATTTTGGATACCCTAGGTTTATGGTGTTTATTCAAATGTTACCGGTGATTTTAGGCGGCCAAGAGCGTAACTTTCCCAGTAAAAGTTCAGTAAACCCTAAGTGTATTTGTAAGCAATTAAGTACTTTGTAAAAAGACCGGAGTAGCACCAGAAGCAAAAATAAAAAAATTTTCCATCAAGTTTGCGGGGCACTTAATTAATTTGTAATTAGTAATTTTACAAATTGCTACATCGATGGCAATGCGTATTCCTTGTCTAAAGGATGCCGGTCAACGAGGTCCGTGGCTTTCCAGCGCCATGACCGGCGCAGCGGCTCCTGGAAATTAACTGTTGTCGGTGACCCGTTATTGCTAGGACTCTCCGCTCGCATTTGGTTTTGCACGCTTCGATACTGAGCTTGATAGTCCTGGGGTATCGGATATGGGATGTAGTTTTCCCGTGCAATATAGGAAGGATATCCGCCGTCGATCTCTGCTCGGGGTGGCGATACCACTGTTGGCGCTCCGTGTCTGCTTAAAGTGCACATGGCAATAACAATAAGTATTAAAAAAACGTTCAACCACAGCTGATTATTGACCGATCCAACTCTTCACTGAAGTAAATTAGCCCACAACAGTAGCGCTACCAGCACGTTTTGAGGAATATTCTTGCACAACCATATAGCTGTATTGATGACCTTACATTTGTTTTAACAGAAACAGCTAGACTTCTTTAAAATGCTGCATAAGCAGAGCTGACATTCTCTGGGCAGCGTCGCTACGTTGTCTAGTTTTCGGTACTTACCCTAAACGGCAACACTGGATCCAGTCAATAATATAATTCTGCTTGCTGGCGTCAATCTTGCGCGACATTCCGGTGGCCACGTATCCGGGACTGCAGTACACCATAAACTGGATAAGTGAGTCATAGTACTCCCCAAATTCATCGTGCGTGGACATGTAATCTGCAGTAAAGTTTACCTCCGTATTGTTGCATGTTAGACTTATAAATTATAAAGAAGCTTAAACGAAAGGTCAAATCCGCAACATACAACATGAAACGTAATCGATAAAATATCCTTTGGGCACTTTGCAGCATTTCATTCCGACAGTATCGTCAGCACCTGGACGCCACGTGAACCACTGGTATTCATCATCCCAAACCGCTGTTTCCGAAAAAATAATTATCAAAAGTGTTTTTGGAAGTAGTAAAGCTTCCTTTACCCGTCATGAAGGTATTGATGCTCATGGTGGAATTTCGACGATCGAAGCAAAAGAACTGTGTAGTATAATTCCGCACCACACAACTGGAAAAACATGCAAAACGCAATAACGAATTACGAAGTCATGAATGCACCGGCTGTGGCTTACAATTACTTCAATTATCACTTTGTAATATGCGTCTGAGTACACATTATAATACTGGACCATTCTTTCGTAATGGCCAAAGTTATATCAACAACGACCGCCGGCTTACCTGGGATAATACGGATACAGTCCCATTGCTGATGGTTTGTAAGAGAACACAAATCTGCACCATATCGCTTGTAATCTCTTCGACAACAAAGTGTTTGGTAAACTGATAAGTTTACTGTTACCAATATTTTTAAAGTGAAAATTTATACCAACATTGTTACATTGTTTCGCGTATAAATTTTATGCGTCTATACATACAGTAAATATAATTTGTTTTTTCAATTTATTACTTATTTTTCGGTATCGGTGTATGTACACGTGAGGTGCTTCTGTTAAGTACTTGCACATGCCTTTGTACTCTGTACATCCGGCACACAAATACTTTCTAAATCAGTAACCACAACGTATTATGACTGCATAATTAAGAAGCACATGCATAATTTTAATGATTAAAATGTACAGTACAATTCTAGCAGGTGCAACTTTCTACCAGTAAAACATCGAAATAGTGGCACGCGCATTTTTATGGAAATAATTTCATAATCTTCATAGTTCAATGATAAATACCGTATAAAGGTAATTTTCCTTAGCACAAGCGCTTTAAAGATTTACAGTTTCTTACTCCAAAGTCGTCCTGAAAATCCCTGAAACGGCAACCCATACCCTCTTTCAGTACAAGGAATGAAATGCGAAAGTAGATCCATTAAGACTTACTGGACGCCTGCAAAGTTACAAATTGTTACAGGGTTGTGACGTACGCGGCTCAGCTTTCAAAGTTAACATTTTCTACGAATGCAATAATGATACGAAAATTTTGCCGCTATGATGTTAATACTTAATACATAATCCCAAAAATTTCCCGCTATGGCCATAAACATGGTGTTGTTTCCCAATTCCCGCTATGATTGTTAATAAACTCTAGGGCAAAACTTCTAGCTTCGCTTCGGTCTTTTGACTTTTAGTGCTACGAGTAGCGGTGCACTTCCGTAGTGTACTCTGTATGGCGAGAGATTCACTGCCAAATACAGCAAAACATACCAACAAGCGCTTCACCGTCCAAGCACTCCACTATCCATTTCCGGTGTGGAGTCCGTGGACCTCCATGGTTATGGAAGGTAAGTACCATGGTGTCTCCCTTTAATCAGAAGACCAGGTAATCCCAAAAGCGCATGAAAAATACAAAGGAGGGATTTTTCTAATTAATCAGATTTAATGCCATTGCACCAATTAAGGTTTACGCGATGATGCGTACCGATCCATAAGGAGTATAGCTGCCGTAGTGCCGCACGGTGGACGAAACAAACTGAAGACTAACGCATACAAAGAAATAAAGAAATAATTTTGTAATCACAAATGGCATGAACAGCTGAATTAACTTCGAACTGAGACTCCAAGTACATCTGTAAACTACAGAGAACATTTCTGCTGAAAACTACCGGCAATCACTCCGATTGTCTTCGTGACAGTGGTTATGCGATTTACATGTTTAGATCTATGATGTTATCTCGCATAACGGACCATCGTTGGTTATTAATGAGCTTACTCGTTTTTCGCTGTCGCACACCATACAATTTTCCATTTTCTTAATGGCTACTCTTCTTGGCCATCAGTTCCTTGATGTGATGTTGCAAAAATTCATTGTACATGCTGAATGTAGTGCCAAATGCGCGCTTAACATTTGTAAAAAGCGATAAATTAAATAGGTTATGTTTCTTTAGCGAGGATTAACAAAAAAGGTTCTGGTTTGATTATGCCGGCATTTGATTTATGCGGGTTGATGGTAATTGTAATTGCTGAAGATTATAAGAATGCGGCGCCTTTCCCATGCGTGCTTTGTCAAGTGGTTAATGCCCTTTGTGTACTGCCGATGCAGCCGGAAGCGGTACATACTTGCGCGTATTGCTGAACATGACAGCAATAAGTAATAATACATTGTGCTTCAATAACAAAAATACCCGTCAACACTTGGTTCAGTTATTATACCGACACGTACCGTGTATTATTTGTTTTGCTTAAGTGGGACGGGTTTTCTGCAAAGGTGCGGCTTAATGGTAACGTTACAACTTACAACCCGGTTCGCCAGGTAGCACTTTTTTTGACGCGTGTTGTGCAGACCCGAGACGTGACGGCGACAGTATGTTTAAGTAGAGTTATCGCGCAATGTTTGACGTTAATTGGTACGTCTGGAGTACGTAGACTACGTAAAATTACAACGAAATTGTTACAATTAAAACGCATCCGTCCTGGCTCCGTATTTTGACGGTGCTCGGCACATCTAATCCATGAATGCCTTTTTACGAAATCGAACCGGGCAAGTTTTCAATAAATGCGAAACACGATATAATTTTTCAAAAACAAAACACGGAGAACATCCGTCGAGATACGTAGAGCAAAAACATTTATTTAATTTGGAGCCAAATTGAAGTTTCAGAACCTTCTGAAGTATGAAAGACACTATAAAATCTATGCAACACGCAATTTAGTTGGTTTTACAACTAAGTACTACGTATTTATAAATTGTAAATAATTAACTAGCAGTCAGCTACCCAAAAATTGAGGATATTTTTTTTACTGCCAAGAAAGTACACACGATAACACTATCACACTAATCCGTTTTAAATTAACAAAGACAATTGTTTGAACTGGGCTTAATTTTTACTTAAGCTTTGCCAGGCTTCCTGAGTTTTTTGACCTGGAATATGTGAGAGTTCTAATTTAAATGGATGTACATATAGTGATAACGGCACACAGCGATCAGTAACTGTACTATGAAGAAAACAGGCACAACTTAACAATTTTCGGGCTAGAAAATAGTATTTGTTTCGTAATGTATAACCGATACACTTACCTATATTACATTGGGTGGACATATGGTTTACTTGTCGGGTTTTGTAACGTTACAAAACCTGTTAACTCTAGCCTGTGACCTCATCCATAAAGGTATAATTATGTAGAAAGCCTGTAGCGAGCAGATATGCGATTGAACTTCGGGGAAAATAAATTCTTCTTCCTTGACAAAGTTAGCCCGAAAAAGCTCTGACTCCAGTTACAGGCAGAGGTCATTTGCGCTATCCAGATTTTCGCCGAACATATGTCAGTCGCTGTGGTCCAGGAATGAAACTACAGTCAATCCTTGCCTATTATTATTATTATTATTATTACGGCACAAGAGCAGACAACCCCAAGGGGACTTCAAGTCTGGTCGAACAAAAAACATTTGAGCGCTAATGTAAATACTTAAGACAGATCAACAGATTTGAGTAGGAATTTAAAGGCAGGTACAGAACTTGCATCAAGAATTTTAGGGTTAACAGCAATAATTTTATCAAGCAGACGCATTAATCGAAATTCCATAGTCGTCTCTCCAATAACTCTCCTTGTCCGTGCAGCGTCGACTTTTGCCGGTTTTCGTAAATTGTAGTGCATGGTGGTGTCTTTCACTTTGATCATGTCTAGGAGGTAGGCGGGAAGCGAAAACTGACTCTTGTTCCAGATCTTGTACAGCCACACCGCATTGCTCTGACGCCATCGGTCGAATATGTGAGGAATACCCAACTTCCGATACAGTTCCGGAGTAACCGGCATCTTGTAATCAGTGATGGTTTTCAGAGCTTTACGTTGCAGTCCGGCTAGCTTGTTGCGCTCAGTCAAAGACGCCGCAGACCATACAGGCGACTGGTGTGCGATATGGCAACCGAAGCAGGCGTGATAAAGACCTTTGCGCTGTGACATGCTGAGCCCTTGTTGTGCCCGTTTAATCATGGCAATGCCAAAATTCCCTTTCCTTTGTACCTTTCTGAACTGATCATTCCACTTCAGGTGGTTATCGATCTCAACGCCGAGGTACCGTACACATTTTGATATGCCGACGACTGACCCATTGATGACGACTTCTGGATCCGGCTGCATATTGCGGTCGGAACATATGTACAGATTCATCGCTTGGCATTTCTTTTCGTTTATATGCAGCATATTTTCTTCCATAACCTGGCCATATTTTCTTCCATAATTTAATGTGTGTTTTTCTTTATCCGGCCAACGGCATGCAGCAACGTTAGCTTAAAGATTTCATTTCCGACATAATTTTAATTTGCCAATTCAGTATTTTTTGAGCTGCTGAAAACTGCACTGGACCACATAAGTGGACACATAATGGACCACATTGCAATCCTGGAGCGCCGACAAATGACCGCTCCTTGTTAAATTTGTACTTATCGTGTCGGACAGAATAAAAACACGTATAATATCTCGAGCTCATAGGTGAATAACTGTATCACATGACTGAACAACTGTATCGCAAATGTCTGAATTCCGATACGGATAAGTGATAGCCTTTGCCTAAACTGATAGCTACTATTCTATACATTAAAAAATTTTAGCAGGCTTGCCTGGGTTTTAGACTGTAGAGGGACAACGATATATGGAGGAGCTTCCGGCTTAAAATTTTACATCACGATGATATAACAGATCCCTAACTGCCGACTGCAGCAGTAATTTTTTTACTTATTCCTAGACGCTACGCATCCTAACTCTAAAATTACAAAATGCGCATTCTTAGAGATAAATCAGAATTAGCGACCATTTTACCACGTTTGGAGTCGAACTTTCCCAGATCATTACCGGTGAGTGCCGATACTTGCTCGTGTTCTCAGTAATTAAGATACACGTTATTTATTACTTGCCATGTATATGAATCGCCTGTTGGCAGTGTTTGTTGTGTGCGCTGCCGTTTTTTCTACTTCTTACAAAATGATTAGGTTTACCACATGGTACAACATGCTTTTACGGAAACGTACGCTTGGCCAGGGATGGAAATCGTCGTGGATCAGTATCCTGATTTCGCCGTTTGTATTGTCCGTCCACAAAAGAATGACAAGGTTAGCTAAAATTTCAGCCCGGCATAAAAAAGCTCATCGTACCTGCTCATGTCCTTGTACTTTGTTGTTGTACACTCAAGTTTGGTCCTCTGTGTTCGTCACCGTTGTCTAATTTTGCTTCTTCATTAGAATTTCGTTCCAATGATGAATGGATATCAAGTCTTTTTATACTCTGAAAACGACGAGATTTTGCGCCGTATGCTATTCCATGAAGATGTCATCGACTGGACACAGTTTAACATCATGTTTGCAGGTAAGAAACAATAATTAACCTAAACACCTTTTACGATTGTTCGGCAGTTTATATTTTTGCAGCCACTGTTTGCTATAGCGTTAAATATAAGTGTTCAAGCCGTTTTGAAAAAATCAAGGTATAGAAACATCAAACAGGGCCATGTTAAAGGTCACAATGTAGTACTTTACATCCGTTGTATCCGTCTGACAACACTGCATTTCCTTCTAATTTACTGCAGACATAACGGAGCCCGAGCATTTACAAATTTTTAACGAAGGACGAAGAATAATCGGCGGCACGTTCGAAGACTACGACGACACGGAAGGCTACCCAACCGGAGAGCGCTGTTATTACTTTGACCTGGATAAGATGCATCTCGAGTACGTACGCGAAACCCGCAGCTGGCCATGGACAGTACAAGCATGTATTCAGATTTCTTATTACAGTTACGCAGTTCCTGACGGTTTTCGCGAGGGTATTCTTCTCCCAGATCACGCCGAACAGATGTCCATTGAGCGCAATTACGGAGTGCGGAACAACAACGAGCAGTTTTTTAACCACATGTTATCCCACAATTTTCCCAGCTTTGCACTATTTCCCCACGATTCCAACCTACCGGCAGCGTACTGTCTGTACAAGTGCGAAGGAACTCTGGGCGCAGCTTATGTTCATCATGAATATCGCGGGAGAGGTCTGTATAAGGTCATCTTGCGAGGGATCTTGCGGGAACTCCGAGATTTGGGGGAGAAGCATGTGTGGGCGGAAACGCCGACATCCAATCTGGTTTCACAGAAAGGCCTGAAAGGGGTCGGAGGAAACGAGTTTTCGGAGAATTATATAGTGCACTGGATTAACGTCTGGCCAGGTGGAAAACCAACTTAACCTCCTATAGTACAACATGCATGTATCGCACCTCAACATTAGTTCCTTGCAACGCGGTACATACTCGCGCGTACTATAATTTACTTTACTGATAAGATTGTTGTAATTAAAACATTTTCCGGGTCCTGGTTTTTATCCTGGATATACCTAGTCTAAATCAAACTACGCGCATATGTCATATAAAAATTTCCATAGGGCACTGTCTACAAATAAAATAACATTGGTATGTTTTGGTATGTTTGGATATTTTTACCTGGCTTGATTATTATCGTAAATATTGTGACCATTGTAAAATTGAGAGCATTGTAAAAGATTGTAAAATTGAGAGCATTGTAAAATTGAGAGCATTGTAAAATTGTAAAATTGAGCATTGTAAAATTGAGAGCATTGTAAAAGGTCATCTGCAGGGTACTGTAGCGGAAGTATGATCTTTAGCTTGCTGCTGTGTGTTCTTCTTCATATAGCGGCATACTGCATGCCGCGTACGTAAAGTGATACGACCACCTCTCTTCCAGAACAACAATACTGGCAAATTCTTTAATTTTCGTCAGACTGTGCCAGTCTGAATACAATGCAATATATTGCATTGGATTCAGACTGGCAAAATTAACAATTGATATGCTATTATGATTTCTATACAGCTAGCTTTACCATTTATATAAATGGTAAAGCTAGCTGTATAGAAATCATAATAGCATATCAATTGTTAATGTGTGTGACCTTTCAAACTGGATGCGTCATGTTCTTCCGGCTTTACGTACCCGCTCATTTGCCCTTGAGGAGCCTAGACACGGCGGTCGCGCCCGAGCATATGCGCCTGTTTCGACCATCCAGTACTGCACTGTACGTTTGATTTATGCAAATACATAAGTTCGCAGCTTTTTTAGAAAATTTAGTGCGTACTGTACAAAATTTACGAGCACTGTAATAAGATTTATGTACCCTGTACGGCTGTACCGCTGTACAATACGTATGCCATATATGCGCAAAGATAAATCGCACGTGACGCTAACGTCCCTCACCAAATTCCCAGTGGTAAGGGAGCATCCATAAATTACGTACGCAGAAAACCACGGTTTTTTCACCCCTCCCTCCCCCTTCGTAGCGGTCCGTCACGTTTGCTTGACCCCTCCCCCCTGGTTCGCTCCATCGTAATACATGGAGATGACCACCCCCTCCCCCCGGGTTCGTCGGGGTCGTCACAGCTTGTCACGTTTTTTGGACCCGTCCCTCCCTGGTTCGCTGCGTACGTAATTTATGGATCCCCCCTAATCACGGTCAGCATCAGAGTGTCTTGCCGATGTAGTGAAGTATTGGAGACGCGCCAACGTAACATATGTAAGTACTGCAGATAAGAGCTAACATCGCGATAGCATGCCTATTCCATGCACAACGGGTTTGGCGCCGGAAGCCAGGGATTCCGAGCAACATTTCCTGTGCGATATATAAACGATTACACCCGGCAGCGCTATCGTGACGTTTGTGGAATAATGCGCAATCTCTGTTTAACGTTGTTAATTACATTTGGTCTTGTGTCTATTATTTTTTAGAATTTTCGTATTGTAATTAGTGTTACAGTGTGACACAGAATGATGATTTGAAAATCTAACAACTGGTTACTCTTAAAACACCTGCACGCATGCATTTTTTTGTATAATTTGAATTTGTATGTGTGTCATATCGGGTTAAAAAAAAACGTTATAAAATGTTGCTAATAATTAAAGTCATTTTTTGGGATAAAAAAGTAATACTCTTGAATAATCTACCAGCCATAAATCGCGTATAATGAATTAGTAGCTGTTAATAATTAATGATTTTGCAGTATTCAGTCAGTTTTCTGCTGTTGTGGATTTCAGTGGAGATTCGTGCATTTCTTGCCTAATAAAAACAATGTGAGCCGACAGCTTGTATGCCACCTTTACAACGACACATGGTCATTTCCGGTGGGACATTCCTTTATTATCTGCTTAGACAAAGCAGATGAGCAGATCCGCATTAGCCGGAATAATACAGACGCACCGTGCACACCGACCGGTACAACCTCCATCTTTTCATTCTTTTGAATTTGAATACATTTTCAGCCATAAGCGGAACTAAGCGGTTCGGAAGAGAGCGCAGAGAGACTGCTTGAGCCGCATTCCATCGTACACTGTACAGCTGCCGCGGCGCCACTCTGCCTGCAGCTCATTAATATCAGCAGCACGAATGAATGGAATGCAGCGGCGTACGCGTACTTGCACCGCTCGTACTCGGCAAACAAGTCACCGCACGCAGCTATAACGTCAGTGGGTGGTTGTGCGCAGCGTACGCAGGGGAAATAATCCGGTTATGCCTCGTCTCACCCCACGACCGCTTGAATTGCCATCCTTGTCATCGCCACTCCACTGTGAAGAACGGTCTCTGAACGGTAAAATAACCGCTCCATCAACACCGTTGTGCCTCGTCCTGCGTTTGTTGATTTGCCAAAATGTTTTTCTCATTCCTGTGGGTTTAGCCAGTGTGGATGAGGGATTACGTAACGCTTAATGGGTTTGCTGGGATATACAGTGTGTGTAGCGTGAGTGCCACTGAAGGAGAGAGACAGAGGTAAGAGAGAGATGGAATTAATTACGTTTTCCTCGTGACTGTCCGTCCGTCCGCAGCTCACCGTTTGTTGCCTGTGCTGGAATCAATTCTTAACGTGTCCAATTTCCCTGGCAAATTTGCAATAAATGTCCGGATCAATTTTCTCCCGCATTCGTGTGTGGATGTTGTCTGTCGCTCGCTGTTTGAATTAATGGCATCAGCATGTTGTTTGGTGTGTGGGTTGCGTGCCAACGGTGGACGTTTGTCGTCGTTTATCCGAGTGCACTGGTGAGGAACGATGTTTTATGGCGTTTTGCAGGGGATGATGCATTAATTAGTTTGATTACCTCCGTGGCCGGACGTCAGGCGTGGATGGGATTGGAATTTACAGACACGTCATCCGAGTGGGATTTATTTTCGCGTTGCTGAAATTGGAGTGGGATTGGATTGCATTCCTGGTAAGGCGAGTCAGCGCTGTCGATTATCTTTAAGATTTTTTTTCAGAATTTATGGCGGGATTTTTCAGATGTACCCCTTTTATGTAAATGTTAAAATAAATTTTTTTCGTTTTTTCCTAGGAAATATTATTTTTTTAGTGTGATTAATTTTGTAAATTTTATTTCGTCCCTTTTATGCGTCCAATTTTTTTCTCGAAAATTTCTACTAAAAAAATTAATAAAAATTGCCAGTTTCAGAAAAATTGGGAAATCAGAAATCTTGCTCTTCCTCGGGTTTTTTATGGTGAAATTCACGTTTTGTGGGCATTTCCGATTGTAAGACACTGTTAGTACATAATTTATTGCAGACTCAACGACACTGTCAAATCTGCTCGGTTGAAATGTCAGTCATATATTTTTAATTCAAAATTTATTCTTTTTAAAAACGCAGAAATTTGGATAATCGTAATCATTATACATCGTTTTGTTCTGATTAGGAAAATGAACATTTTTTCACTTGGTTTTGTCTTTTGTGTCTTTTTTTTTAAATAAAAAATCTGACCAGCATTGATAGACTTTTCTCTTTAGATTTTTAATGTTCGCAGCAAATAATTTTATGGCAGTTTACAAATTAAGCAGTTTGAAAGTTTCATTTTTTACGGTTTCTCCGATGTGATAAAAGCAGAATAAATGTCTTTGAATGAAATCTTGTAAGGGTTATGAATGGCGAATAGCGGCGTGTATTGATTTGTCGGATGTGGGTGGCCATTGGGGATATTTTTTGAGGGTTGAGAAATCTTTTGTAAATATGAAAAAGTGAGCCGGGGATCAATGGGGTATATGCAAACATGTCAGTAATATGAAGCAGCTGTCAGATTGCTGGAGAGAAGCGAAGAGACCAGCGTTGCCTTTTTGACTGGCCGGTGTCGGCCAGGAAATATATCGACTCGCACAGTATTAGGTTTATTAATACCGTCAAAGCGGCCAGTTTTTTCCCCCCACAAACAACTTCAATCTCACCGAATCAGTGAGCACTTTTTGTTGCCAGTGACATTTAATTATGATACGGGTGATTACACAGTCGTGCGTGTTCATCGGGCAAAAATAGCCACTGACGAATCTGATTGGGCTTATTAAAAATTCAGCAGGGATTGGTTTTTAAATAATTATGACGCGGAAATTTTTAGTTTGCAGTCTGCTTTTTGCATAGAAAATATATGTCAATCATTCTTAATTTTTTTAGTAACTTGCAATTATTTAAGTTGGTACTTTTGATAAAATTAATTTTCGGTTTTTAAAACTCGAAGAATATTTTTGCACTAACTTTTTATATGAATGGGAAATTAAAGACAGGGGAAACATCTTTTTGAAGCTCTGAAAATTGTATTACTCGCAGCAATAGTCTTCCTTTGTTTTCGTTGTTGAGGAATTATGTTTCAAGCAATTCCGTGATTTATTTTTGAATTTTCCGATACGAGAATTTGATACTGCCTGGACAGTGGAGTGTCAGCTTTCTTGTGTCTGATCAACTTTCGCTTGTGTCTGATCAGTTTTCGCAGTTGAATGCCGAATTGTTTTTGTTTTTCGTTCAGTTTGGGCTAAAAACAAAACTTTTAAAAGCGATGTGGCATGCTGTTTAACTGTTTTACGCATTGAAAAAACAATTAGATTACGTCTGGATTTTTCTGGTTGGGTTTTATCCAGGATTTCTCAAAATTCAGCAACGTTTTTCTCGGGGCTTTGAAAGTGGATTATTTAAATTTCCAGTGGCGTGTTGGAATGTTGATTTTGGGGTGTAATTCAAATCCGCTGATAATCCCGGTGCCCGGCAAACGCTAACGACGCTGAATGGGGGTTGGTTTATTTGGCGTTTGTATTTATGTTTGGGTTCTCAATAGATGGGCTTGTTGCCTGAGGGGGTTAAATATGCAAAACACGAGCCGTGGTGCCGGCAATATTTTAGCACGGAGCCGGGGATTGTCGACGCTGGCCTGTATGTGTGTGCACGGCGTTTTTCCATTGCGTCTAATTATTCATAACACACAACTGCTCAATGGGCACATTTTCTTTCCGCTTCCCCAATACGAGTCTTGAACTTTGAGTAGGGGTGAGCGTACCGTCTTCGTTTCATCACAGCACCGCGTATACACAGCAACACCGCCACTTGAACAATTTTTTCTGTTTGTTCAACACAACCGTTTCCCGCTTTACGGCTTGCTGTAATTTTTACCGAGCTTTAAAGATGAAGTGGCTTTTTTATCGAGTCTCAGAGAGATTTTTTCTTGTTAAAAACCGATTCTTTATGTGTTTTACATTTGTTTTTCTGGTAAAATTAAATGTGAAACATTTTCTTTATGAAAATATATTTTCTCCGATTATTTTCGATTTTTACGGCATTTTTCACATTTTATTCTTATTTCTTACATATGATAAATTGTATTAAATTTCTTAATGATAATATTTTTTTACCAATTTGTTCTCTTTTTTACCTTCATTCCCATTTTTTTCGAAAGTTTTTTTCGGATGCGCATTTTTATCCTTTTTTTTAAATCAAGTACGAGCATATGATATTTCTTTAAGCTTTCTTATTATTATTATCTAGCTTTATATTAAGTCGTTGCGTATTCCCAGTTTTTTGATTTTTAATGGTTCATGATTAAATTTTTTAGTTTTAAAGTTGCGTAACAAGGATCGCTGCGTTAAAAATGTGGCGTTAAAAAATGTGCAGAATTTTTGTCTTCTCCCGGCTCCAGTTGATACGGCGATGAAATATATTGATCGGTGCGATAATATTAATACAGTATCGATTATTTTGTCGCGATAACTCAGCGATTATTAATTTAGCAGGGAAATTATCATGATCCGATGTTGCCTGGCCGGCGTGGATCGATAGTTTCCTTTACTTTAATAGAATGAGATTAATTTCGTCCTCGTACCGGAAATTGAAGGTACCGCCGAGAGAGGGGCGGGCCTGGACTGATGGTGAAAAAAGTGCTGCATGTAGATTATTCTTTCTCCCATCATGTCACGGGAATGGGCGAGTTGGCTCGGTTTTAATGGCAGTGTGCGCGTATACGCGCTGACGACAAAGAAGATTTATTGAAATATCAACTCGTACTGTCACAGCAATCTTCCCTTAGATGGCCTTGATAAATGCATTGTCTCGTTAATATTTCCGCTATCCGTCCATTATGGATTTTCTTTCTGCAGCGTAGAAAAGAAACGCTTTCCCACCATCCTGGTTCATGGGAATTTTAATTCAATTACATTAGAGAAAAAAGCGCGTTTTCTCGGGTTTTTTTTCTAAACCGTGATTGATGTCTTGGAAGGGAATTCTCAGCGCAATCGAATGATGCTTAGGCTAAAATTGTGTGCGCATTAGTTTAGCGTTTTTTATGTTGTATTTCATGTGAATGTTTTTGTATGTTGTACATGGTAATCCAGTGAATTTTTAAATACAATTTTTGAACTGAATTCATTGATTTATTGATTTTATGGAATTTTTAATTTTTAATAATTTTTTTTACATTTCCAGTGATTTCGTAAATAAATGGCATTTAATTTTCGTTTTGAAATTGTTTATGATTAAGCATATATTTGAAAATTAATAAAATATATATTACAGTACATAAAAAAGTTACACTTACGTAGTTACGTTATAGAAATTTGGCGATTTTTGTCGTTATATTCGGAAGTCTTCGTATTTTGACTGCCATTTTTTTCAATGCTTTTTTTTCCTTTTAACTGATAATCATAAATGTTAGTGGTTTGTGTTAGTTTTTATAGCTTGGTCGGCGAAATTTACTGCCGGAGAAGTCGATATTTTCCGCAGTGTGGCGGTACTTAAATAAAAGCACGCGTTTGCCTGGATAATAAAAACAACACTCTGATGCAATCGGGACAATGCAATGTAGGCCATTTACATGGGTGCATTTTTATTGAGCGCCGCCGCGATGCACTATGATATAGTGGCCGGCGCTTGAATGGAAGCCGTTGAAAGCGTCCTTTTCTCAGTGGATAATTTTCCGCACTTGAAGCCACATGGCTGGGTAAATGAAAGGAGGCGCTCCAGCGACCGGCCGGGCCTTTATGGGGAATTATGAATGTGTGCATCAGAGGGAAGTGGTTAGGCCAAAAAACACTGGGAGACACGGCCGTGTTGTGCGGGGCGTATCGGTTTCCGGTCGCGTTGTCAAGCGAAGCGCCGACGCGATCAATGTGCGCGCGCTGTTATCTGTACGTTTGTATTTTGTGTGTGTGGATGCGTTGCGGGGAAAGATCGAGTCCGGGACACTTGCCTGCCAAGTGGCCGTGCTGGCGCAGAGAGCTCGCTAATGGCTCTTTAGGAGGGAGGACGATCGTGCAACGGGCGCAGTCATCTGGGGAATTTTGGGGGATTTTTTTCTAATGGAAAATTAACAAGTTTTGTACTTGAATGGGACTCTTAATCGCCACAACCATTAAGCGCCGGGAAGTGACCTCATTAAGAGTTAATTTTACGTTGAATAAGTTATGACATAAAAGCGGAAAAAATGATAGCTTATGTAACTTCTGAAAATATTTTTTTCAGTGTATTTTTTTGAAATTTTCTTTAGCGGCTGTTTTTGTTCTCATTATTTTTTTATTTTCGACTTGTGGATTGCGTTTTTTGCTGCTTTTGGAGATGGTTTCAGGATTTTCAAACAAATTTTAGAATTGGTTTGATTTAATTTTACTTTGAGTCTGAGAATATTATTGTTTGTTGGCATTGGTAGATTTTGTAATAATAGATTTAACCCTTGAAAATGTGTATTTTTTGAAATTTTTTAAAGCCAAAGTGTTTTTTATTTTCGACTTGTGAACTGCGTTTTTTGCTGCTTTTTTAGGTAGTTTTAAAATTTTTGTTGAATTGGTTTAATTCAGTTTTATTTGGAGTGTGAGAGTATTGTTGCTAGCATTGGATTTTTGTGTTAACCTTTGTTTGTGCTGTTGAGATTGATTGTGAAGAGGTGTATCTGGTGATGCGAGAGCCGAGTGTGTGTCTGTGGCATAATGCGCCGGGTCGTTCGGCGATTGGAATTCAAACAGGTGTGAAGGATTAGCATGCACTTGATTGTCGGTATAGGAGCGTGTTTATTCGAGTAGCACAGAATAATAAGCATCGTTTTCATCCATGAATTGACCGCTTACACAGTGCTTACCTAAATATTTGCCAGATCTATCACACGTATCGCTTGTGCTGGTTAACGCCTTGACATAGCATCCAAAGCCGTCTAATGCTAATAAAACATTGACAAAATCATTAAAATTATTTCTTATATCGTTGTGGAATACTGCACAAATTCCTTGCAAACTGGAAATGATGTCGCTCGCTTACTGCAAAAATTCGTACTTACATATTATAGTTTACTGCCTGTGCGTATAAAAGTTATATTTAATTTGCCATAATTTTTAATCCTAGCTCTTGTCAATTTTGCTTTGGTTTTGATAATATAAAGTTCCTGTGTGTGATTAATTTATATGTGTTAGTGTAAAACGCTTGTGGAATTTGTTTTGGCTTGAAATATGTTTTTTTTTCATCGTAGACATCGTGGAATACCGTAGATATTCAGTATATTCAGTGGTATTTTTTTAGATTTGGTTTTGCAATTTTTAGCAAGAAAAAACAGGTGTTCTAAATATTTTCGTTTATTTTTTACCGTGTTGCTGCTGGTTATAGCTGCAAACGGCGTGTAGTTGGTAAATCTTTGCCCTAAATTTAGAAATGCTGCATAACCTTTCGCGTAACATTTGCAGCCTTTTTGACTGCGTCTCTATCAGTAATCTAAATTTGCGGTTATTTATGATGTTTATTTAGGGGTGGTGATGTCCGCGTGGCGCTGCATCTGGTCGTAAATTATGAATCAGTCCGCGTTGTATTTATCATTCTCACCTGAACAGCTGTCATGAATAGCATAATATCAGCGCATGTGCGTGGCTGACATTTTTGCTCGTTTTGCTGTTGAGCAGCTCGAGAAGGTGTGAAAATGCGGCTACATGATTTGAGAGGTTTTTGTGTCAGATGCTGTAATTATTGCGTGTATTAATTTCCGGTAGGTCTGGGTTAGATCTCTATGCAATGCCGTAGTGCGGGTCGAAATCTGTGTTATTTAAAAGGAAAATGGGTGCGATTTGGTTTTCTCAAGGCTGCAAATTTTGATGGTTTATCCAGCTAGTTTTTCCATAAACTCGATAAGTTTCATTGCATGTTGTAGTATGGTGGCTTCCTATGGTCGACATCCATTAATAGCAAGCACAAATTCATTACTGTACAGTTCTTTACAAATTTTTTTAAATCGTACATTGTAATTAAAAACGTTGCGATGTCTGTACCGACTGTACTTAAGGCAATGAATGATATTCGTAGGTACAACGTAATGCAGAAGGTTTTCGTCAGAAAGCATAAAGTACTGTAGTTGGTAATTTCAAAATCTAATTTTTTGTAACAAACGCATGTAATTGTGTGCACACACTCGCTGTGATATGTGATTAAACTATTGCAATTTTTTCGGTAAATTTACGGCATCGGTATCAAATTTTCTTGGTAGGTGGTACTGTGAGATTTTTCATTTCTGTAATTATATTCTTGTATTGTTTTATGAAACCATCTTCCGTACAATGGCAGGAATACTTGCCGAACTTGTGTCAGATATTCCGGAATTGGGTAATTTGAAGAACTTAATGTTTTTCGAAAATTACAGCGATTAGCGAAAAAAACATTTCGAAATCATGAAAAATAATTTTACCGGTGCGTTGCCTGGAGAAATAGCCAGCGCTTGATCGATTGGGTATTTTTCGTTGACGAGGTGAAATTACTTCACCATTGCCGGTCGCTGGAGACCACGTTTGCGTCGACAATTTTATGGCCAAGTCAGCGAAAATAAATGCGACCCTCCGCGCGCATTTTCATTACCCGACAGTCACTTTTTCCCGTTTTTCTGCCCAGTGCAGCGATCAAACGCGTTCCCCTCTCACTGGCAAACGCTCGCGCGGCGCACTCTGTCAGGGAAAAAAACCGTGCCCTTGTGAAAAACAATTGCCAGCGACAGTTGGTGTAAAAGCGTGCATTTGGGCGTGAAGCGCGCCGTCTGCAAGTAAATGGTCAATTGTCGGCGACAAAAATCATCAACAACAGTAGTGTGACGTGTGATGATATATACATGTCCCTGAAAATGATGCATTTCCGCTGGTAATGATTACCGGGAAATATGATATGCATATTGGATTACGTCTCGTCGGCTGGATCATTGCGGCACTACCAGCCGAAATAATGCGCGGCATTTAATGATATTCTTACCCAAAAAAATGCCCTTATCATCAACTGGTGCAGTGATTCGTGGATGGCGATTTCTGCCAGGTTTTACGCTTGGCGGGATTTTTATGAATTTTTTTTTGTGGGAGACATTTGCACATTTTAGTCTCTGTACATTTGAATTTTGTTTTCTGGTTTGCGATACCTTTTATTACTCTGTGCTTTTCTATCGGAAAAAAATTTGAAAAGATCTTTAATGTGTGCAAACTTACAGACACTAGAGTAGAATTAGTTTCAACGACTTCAGTGTTAAAATGAAAGTCACTTGGGCGACAGTGAAGCCGTTAGTCTACAGTAGTCCACTTTTTATATGTTTTAATCCATATTTATGTTTAGTGGTGTAATTAAGCTGATGAAAAAAACACAGGAAATATTTTCTGTGCCGGTTCTCCCTAAAGTGAACGTACAGAAAACTTTGTTGAAACTTGCATTTAATAAATTTGCAATAATTATTATCACCTTTCTTTCCCTAATGAAGTAATTTATAATTAATTCTTCGTGTTTGACATGTGAATTGTGAATAACTGATAGAAATTAGGCTTAGGTTTTGCAGTATACATGCGTGCAAAATGGATATGAAATATCACGGCACAGATTTTAAAACAATTCTCATCTGATCTGACGTTGATTATTTTCAGGTTAAATTCTACTGATCGTATTCAAGTGTTGCCAGCGGCCATCCTACCAACGCGGGAATGATGTCGACCGTGCAAGGTGATTTCTACACGGTCAATTTTAGCTACTTCTTTTATCATCGCAGCATTATGCTGTGTAGATGCTCGACGGGCGTTGGTGATTCTGGAGAACATCCAGAAGAAGCTGCGCGCCTCCAACCGCCTGCAGGTGGACGGCGAGCTGAATAAGCTGATCGGGGTGCTGGAGAGCCCGGTGTTCCGGGGACTGCTGCAGCTGCAGGACAGCATCACGCAGATCAACCACCGGAATGGTCTGCACGAGGACAGCGTCGGCGTGGATGAGGTCGGCAATGTGACCGTCAAACCGCCGCTGATGCACACCACCGACACGTTCGAACGGGAACTGGTCAGTGGAGGCATTTATACAGTGATTTATTCTGCATGTAATCGTTTTGCGAAGATTTTCTAGGAGTGCTAAGAAATTTATCTAATTTTCCTACAAATGATCAATATTAACAAAATACTGCAGATAAATTTGGATTTTTTCTTGGAGAGTCGAAGGTACTCACAGAGCATGTTCCTCAAAATAGCTAATCTTTCAGAAAATTTACCGGCGAAATTGCGTTCGAAAGGAAAAAAAGAATAATCTTTTCAATCATATAAAATTTCAAAATTCTGATTTCAGTGTGATATGCGGATTGAAATCCACAGCAGTGTGATAACGTAGTGTGGAGGGTGATACGTACTCTTCAGTTGGTGATTTATATTCTTTAGCACGTTAGAGTTTAGACGCATTACGGTTAAGACAACATTTAAAAATAATTCTCTACGGTAGATTTTTAGTTTGGTGGTATGCTAGGGATGGGCCGTGCAATATCTTAGGGTGATTTTTTTAATTTCGCTGCATTGTGATTTTTGATTTTATTGATTTTCGCGTTCGATTTTATTATGAATTTTTGTAAATTTTTGTTAGCAGCTGAGCACACGGTTTGTAGAAAACTTTGATGCTAGTGTGATGCGCCCATTAAACATCTAGTGTAATGTGATATCGTAGTGTGTGGGATGTTTCACGCGGAAACTGCATTTTGTATTCGGTGTGGTCTCGTCATTATCATTTAACATTCTCTGGCAGTTGCATAAGGAAGATATCTAAAACTTTTTTTAGCTTTTCCAGAAATTAAATCTGGTGGTTTAGAACTAGATACGTCCCGTATAAATGGTTTAATAAACTATTGGGTGCTAAGTTATTGTACATTGCAGTATTTATTGATGAATGATGTTCTTTTTTCTCATTAATCAGGTATGGACTCCTCCACCGCATCAGCAGTCCTTCCGCGTGGAGAACGGCGACCGCTTCCCGGAACTCAGCAGTCTGACCTGTGTGCGCCAGAATCCCCAATTACTGGTACGTTGTGATTACCGCTGGTCTAATGAGGATCAGGCCGGCATGATAACGGTAATAATTCACTTGACTCGGGTGTATCAAATCCCCGTCGCCGTTTGACACATCCACGCAGCGGATAGATATTATGGAGACGGAGCGAATTAGCCTAATCACATCCCCATCCTCTCCCACGCAGTTTAGTTTAATGAGACTAAGCAGCACCGATGAATAGCGCCCGTCTTCCGCTTGATGTTTATCGGTATGCACGTATTTGTCAGTGTTCGTACCTCGCTACACCGGCGATCGATGGAAGCGGGCGTCTCGGTGCTTATGAAGGAGATCCGGTGTGTATCGTTTTGTTGATTTGTCAGAGTGTGTTCGTTTATTCAATCGGCATCACAACAAAAGCTCCAGCGCATTGCATGACCTTTTGCATTGAGTGCAGATCCACGGGAGACGTCGCTGCGAGGCACATCGCACACCGTCGCGCTGCCTTCTCGTGATACGATTCACAAGGATCCTGCTCGCGCGCTCACACACGGACCCTTTCTGAATGATTGAAAAAGTCCGGTTTCCGTCTGTGTTAAATGCAGGATTAAGAGGAACTGTTTTCGGCTGTTGCGGTTCCGTGTTTAAATGACACAGAAATAATTCAGGGGATTTTAGGAAAATATTATGATCGGTTGTGGCGACATTTTGGTGATGTAGTCAAGCAGATCGGCAGTTCTTTTGTTGTGCCTGCGTGTATCGCGGAGTTAACGGTATTGATGCGGGGCCAAAGCAGATTGAGCGTGGATTGCGGCTGGAGAGTTGTTTGTGATTAATGAAGTGTTTTTTTCCCGATTGATTCCGCGGGTACCCCATTGATAGTCGTTTATGTGTGAAAACGCAGTGCCTGGCTGTTCCGTTTTCGCCGGCGATTATCGGCGACAGACTCTGCAGCGTGTAAATGTGGTTGCTGTTGTGGATGCAGCGCGTGTTAGGGAAACAGCCGATTATCCGGATGTGTGTCGTTAACGGGGTGTTTCGCGTTAAAAAACAGAAATAATGCCGAAAAAGATCCGGCATTTATGTGAGATTGTGGAGGAATGCGGACTGAGCTGGAGTGTGTATTTTCAGCATGTCTTGGAGGAGTACTTTCGTGATGCGAAACGGCACGGGCAGGATATTGTCGTGGCACGCCTGGAGAAGCGGGAGGGCCGCAGTCTGGGCTTCTCCGTGGCCGGGATGCGGGTGGAGGGTGGCGAGTACGGGATCTTCGTGCAGGATATCCAACCGGAGAGTCCTGCTGCTCTGTAAGTGCTGTGGAAAGATTTACGTCGTGTTCGATTAGCACGCGGGATTTCTCGCTTATTTCACCGGAAATTTCGTCTAGTTATCCTGCATACTTACAGTAACAACCGTAGAAGTTTGGCTGGGTTGTCATTGCAAGGTTCTCCAGCTGTAGTGTAGTGGTATTGCATGTAATAGTCTAGTTCGTCTGACTAGCAACTCTAAGCTTAATCGAACCAAGATAAAGAGATAAGCATTCTGTCGTTTCCACGCTAATTTTTTTAATCGATTTGGGTGTACCGTGTTAATATTTAGGTTATTTAATTTATTTGGTGAGTTACGGTATAATACAATGTATACTGTAGATACAACACGTTCAAACGTAACGATTTCTTGCTTTTAAATGTAATTATTATCCGGTAAAAAATATTCCTGGGAGACGCATTTAGGTTGGAACATTATGATATCGCCAAATTAAATTAAACGATGTGTGTTCTCCGTCGTGAAAGTGTACTTTAGCGCCGGCATCCGGCTGCAGCGTTTACGGTATAAATATTTCATGATTATTTTGTTGTCGACACCGCATACAGCCTCCGCGTCAACAATGACTGTTTGGCGTGCTGAACGTCTCCATAGCCAATGAAGTTAGCAAAACAATATGATCTGCATCGATCCATTTATCGGGCTTTTGTATTCCCGCCATCGATTAAATGAAGACTGACTCTGACCTTTTTGCAATCGATTACCACTGTGCACATCTGCAGAGCGCACGAACGGGGTTTAAAGCCCATTAGATACCGAAAATGTCTGTTGTTTTTTTGCGTCCCAGTGGAAAGTAATCCGCAAGCTGATTACAGACCGAAATGTGTTGATGCGATTCGAGGAATGTTCTCTGTAAGAGCGAGATATGGAGAGGGAGAAAGGGATGAAAAAGAGTGCGCGGGAGGCTGGCCGGGACTGCTTCCGTTTTGCTGCGCGTAATTTCCTTAATTTCCATCTACTTAAGGATGCCGGGTGCGAAGAGAAAGTGCAGGGAACGCTGGTTGTGTATGGATTATAGTGGAAGGCAGCCAACCGACCGCTGCATGGCCGGAAGGGAGAAAAAGGGGATTGGGCGCACTGGGAGCGCTTTGTCCGGCCCCGCACCGCCGAATGTCGGCTAAATGCTAATCAGTTGGACCAACAGCGCGTCCCGACTCCCACTTAACGCGTTGTGCCGATGTTTGCGCCGGGATTGCTGTGTAACCTTTTTTCTCCGATTTCCCGCCGCTTCCCTATCTTCTTTATGCAAATTTTTCGATTAATTTACGCTGGGGTTTGTTTAATTCCCCCCTGTTCTTGTGTACTTCCGGTTGGCTTCGTTCGTCGCATTTTTAAAATTTTTTTTGACGTGGTTGTATAAATAAAAAATTTTAAAGGTATCAATCGTAAGGCTACTCGTTGAAACGTGATTTTTGGTTTTATTTTTCTTAAACATTTTATTAAGCTTATTATTTGATAATTATTTTCTGCTGTTTCTGTGACGTTTGATCTGTGCTTTTTTCGTATTAGTTTTCATTTTCTGCCTGTTTCCTTGTCGCATATTTTTTAAGGGCTGAAGGTCACTCGGTGCGGTACGCGCTTGCTTAGTGCACTTATCCCAATGGGATAGCCGTTTTTCTTACTGTAACCTTTTAAAATCGAACAAAAAATTGAACTTCAAAAGCTGTTACACCCACTTAATGCAGAGAAAGGCTTTTTCAGCTACAGCAACCATCATACGCTCTTCCGGTTGCGTCTGCCGGCTCTTATTTATTTTTTTCCCAGTGTTAACGTTTTGTGCCGGTAATCTTATCGTTTAAGAAAAATTTAATGTCGAATCTTTTAAAAAGGTTTCGTATTGTCCACGTTGTATGCCGAGTCTGGCTGGCTTCTAAGTCCAGGGATCAGCGTATAGTTGCACAGAGTGTTTGGTTGGCATTTAATGGGTGCAGTGGGAAAGCAGTGGGCTGGTGGCTTCTGGCGCGCTAAGCTGTGCCAATTGATTTCCGATGGGTTTATGTGCTCGGATGGGAAGTGCCAAGCGAAATCCCCGTCCGCTCGCGCACACACGGCTGTGGCCAGGGGATGTGTGTGTATTGTGCTGTGCAGTGCTGTCCCCATTGATTGGGCTGCTTACACTAAGGGCTTATATATTTCACGAGGAAAGTGGCCCGGTGAAAAACGCGGATTAATCCAGGAAATCGGGGGAGGTGGAGGGAAAAAGGCCGTTTGACAATGGAATTGGCCATCCGGTGATGGCGCATGTTATCAATAAGTAGTGCTGGGTGAATCACAGAGAAACCAGGGAAAATGGTAATCAGGAAATTAAATTTCGCGAGGGGATTTTATGACAGACAAAAATTGTTTTTGGAAAAAAACAAGCGTAGTTCAACAGTTAGGTTTTTTTGGGGAATAAGGCATTAAAAAAATCAGCCTTTAAACGACTAAAATTGAACATCAGTGCAGAATGATATGCGTATCTCGAAAATTATTTCCTGTTATAAATTTGACAACATGTACAGTGTACAGCCCTATGGAGTTTTGGATGGAAATTAATTTAGTTGATTTACAATTTTAAATCCAGGAGCCCTAGTTGCATATTATAACAGGAATTAAGCGAATATCTGACGAAAAAACAATTTTACGAGAAAAGTATCCGCCAACGTTCGCGGGAAGTGAAGATCCCGGTTTGCGCGTGATGACCGAGTTCTCATTTACGGGATTTTATCGCGGGAATAAAAAAAAAACGGTATAACGTCAAACACAGGTGTGTTTACAGCAAATCGGTGCATTCACTGCTTGTCTGACATAATATACACCGCGACATATCTTCCTGGTTCCGGGTTGTACAGATATGTCTATCGATACGTATTACGTACTACACGTTCAACGTAATATTCATATATTCCCGGCTGAACGAACTGAACCATCCAGGGTGCACACACAGGGAGGGGGCGGGGCGGGAGAGTTTGGTGAAGCGGAAGAGGGCGACGGTATTCGGCGCTGGTGGCGGAGCATAGATACGCAGCGTCCGTCCGCCACAGCAGCTGCACTTGTCCCGCTTCCAATCCCCAACTAAGCCGGCTTCCGAGTTGTGTACACTCTCTCGCGCTCTCTCTTCCCCGCATCTCGTACATGCACGGGCACCACTTGAAACGTCAGGATTCGCTGCCAGTGAAAATAATATTACAAATACACCACCACTGCACCACCACCACCACGCTCTAGTCTTTGATTGCCAGGCCACCCCGAATTACCATCTGATTAACCGGGATTTTTTGCCGCTCTTTTCTGTATTGATTATTACAGGGATATTGAATTTTTTTTAGCAATATTGTGCGGATAGATTGATTGTTGATTGGTTTTTTTTCTTGAGCGGAATATTGGGTGGAATTTTGTTAACGGTGTCTGTGTGCAACGGATGCATGTGTGGCGCGAGAGCGCGCGCGCGTTCGATCGAGGAGAGATGTTGGCGTAGCTGAACGCACTTGAGCAAATTACGGGATTTGTCCGAAGGATGAGAGGAATAACATTGCTAATAATGTATGAGCCTGTGCTGGCCGTTTGACGGGCTGCAGACTCACATAGACACAGGCGCGTGTATATATGTGTATTTGTCGGATTTTGGTGATTATTATTCCGAGTGAGTACGGGCTATTTTCGGATGGAGGTTTGTAAATGTCAAGTGTGTGGCTGGTGAGTTATTTTAGCTGAAATAATTCCTGATAATTTGTTTATGCAATTAAACTGTTAGCGGTGAATTTGGGGGAGTTTTACGCAATAATTGCAAGAACAGGAATAATTTCTTACGTTTTCCGCAACGAATTACTTTACCGGTTTCTCTGGATTTTCCGGAAAATTTTTCTGCGAATTATTCGTAAAATAACGATCAAAAATTTCGGAGTTTTCCGAAGTATTAAGTAAAGATTTTTTCGGGTTCCATAGCGAATTTTCGCTTCCAGTTTTTTCTGAATAATGTGTGCATTTTTGCAACATTTTTTTGGCGAAATGAACCATTTTATATAGAAATCGATTGCGCTATTTGCACACACAAAAAACGATGTATTTATTTTTTGGAGAAATTTATCTGTGGAAAATGGGGGCGATTGCGCAGTTGCGTTGTACTGTGGTGCGTTTTTTCTCTGGAGCGTGGTATATCACGGAGACCGGCTAAGCGATACTTTGAGTGCTTGCTGAAGGCTTATATCAACGGATGGCCTGTGTAATGTTTGCGGAGATGAAGGTATTAATTTACAGGCTCTTCCGGTTGGGCATGAAAGACGAATATGCTGCATCTAAACGTTTCCCATATTGAAACGGAAGTGTGCATTTATATTAGCTGACTGCATGCTGCTGCTGACTGCTCTGATGGAACTGACAGCCAGGGAATATATACATGACGTACTGGGCTTTTAGCAAACCAGTGTTGCACTTTGAATTGCGCGTTTATATGTGTGCGGAAAAAATATGCACTTTTGCTATGCATAGTCGTGTCATCAGGAAACAATTTATTAAAATTTTCATTAGTTGCAGCATGCAACCAGCAACGTAAAGTCATGATAAAATTGTTGTAATTTATGTCGATTAAATATTACATTCTTCAAATAAAATTTTCTGAATTCTTCTTTTACTTCGGTTTACAATTCTCACGGCTACTTTTGTAAAATTAGGTAAAACAGTTTAAATTTACTAAATTGATTTTCGATTTTTCCGCATTTTTTTACAAATGCAGCTTCTGATTTTATTAATGTGACTCATTTTAATTAGTGTGAATGTGCGCAAGCGTAGTGATCTGACCGCTGCCGAATAAAAGTTATTTTCTGTGCTTTGTATACACTGAGCTGCAACTGAATTCGCAACCTGCTGCGTTTATTAGAGAATTTTTCCTTAATGTTACTGTCTAGAAAGCAGTCTGGATGTTCAGCGTTTCATGGCATTAGGAGATTACGTATTTATTTAATGAGTTGAGGAACCCGGAAAGTGGAAACAGGCATTGAATTCACGGAAATTATTTCGCCAGCATTTTATGGCTCTTGTATTTGCGCAGTTGAGCATACGGTTTTAATGATGTCTGGGGAAGGTTGGTTATTTTTTCCCCGAAGTAAATTGCAGAGACCGCGCGTGGTATCCGCGGCATAAGGAAGGAAGAGACAATCATTAAACGTAAATGTGCCTGTTAATTTGACGGTTGGTCCGCGGCGTGAAGCTGGCCGGTTTGTGCCGGGGCATGAATTAAGCATTTTATTGTGTGTGTGCGGCGCTTATGCTTGTGCAGTGCTGCGTGACGATATTTCCAGTAGGAATGATTGTCAAGAGGATGTACGGGTCCAAATTAATTGGTCTTCAAAACGCCACCGACCTACTGCAGCTGCTGCTGTTGCCGCGGATGCGACGGCGCTGGGAAGTGTGTTTTTTCGGATGTATGCAAGCGCTGCGTTTGGCATGTGCTTGGCGGTTTCGCGAAAAATGAATTATTAACGCGCATATCATATACTTGAAATATTAAATGACAGGTTTGGATGTTTTAATTATGCGGAAGTTTTCCGGCTTGCAGTTTTCCAGGCCATTATTTTTTGCACATTTTTAATGAATTTTTAGATGGTTATTTTTGTGATAGCGTTTCCGGGCAGTGGCATTAATAAAATATTTTTGGTTTTAATCCAAATGAATTGCAGCGGTTTGCTTTTAATTAATTTAGAAATCATTTTTTGATTCGCGATTTTCTAGGAATTTTTCGAATGCATTTTTCATTAATTCCACCGACCTCCGTTCAGCTTCGTTATGTCATACGAAATTCTTATCATTGTTTTGAAATTTTTTGTGGTTTTTTATGAAGATCGCGGCCCTTAATGGACATATTTGCCAATAAAGTTTTTTTTATTTTTGTAATGATTTTTTCGAGGTTAATATCAGGTCGGGATTTGTGCGTAGTTTAAACGAGCGCTTTCTGCCGGCTTCCGCGGTGTCATCTGTCGGACTGACGTCAGAGTTGAATATCTGATGATCATTCCATGCATATTAAACTGCAGCCCGTCATTTATATAAATTACCGCCGTTCGCTCGTCTCTCTGCCGTGTTTTTGCGCAAATGTCCATCACAAAAATTCCACAGGCTGGGTCAAGAATGACGAAGTGTAATATGTGCTGGGAAAGATGTACCCGGTGCCGGCATTACATACAGTGTAATGCAATTTGCAATCATCGACGCGACGGCCTAATATTAACGGTTAGTTGGGGGATTCGCGCTAGCGCCGCCAGCCAGCAAACAGCACTGACAAAATAATTTGTCCTGGTTTGTTCTATGGTCGTTAGTGTAGCCGGCCAAGAAAAAGACGGGGACGGGAGGTACTGTATATAACGCCGACTGCCGATGATAGGGCCATCGAACGCTCTGAGACCCACAAAGAAAGCGATTTTGAAATTAATCCACGGTTGTAGTAATGGTTTCTCGGTACACTGCTGTTAACAGTACATGATAGCTACAGAGACGTTATTGGTTGCGCCGGGATTAGCGTTTAATTCAGCGGAAATTGTGTATTTTCTGTACAAACAGCATACGGGATAATGCAGTGTACAGGGAAATGAGGCGATGCGCCGTGATCCGGTGTCAAATTGTCGGTTTGACTGTGGCGTTTTAAGGGAAGATCAATGAGATCGTTTCGGTAATGGGCATGGAGGGAGATCAATAGCCTGTGTGTGTAGGAGTTTGAAAGAGGAGGAGAATTTTTAGCTGGGGCGCTTGCGTGTCAGTTGAGCCCGTGTCAGATTCGGAACAAATATTCGATATAAATGTGCGCACTGTGAGTTTTCTGTGTCTGTGTGTTTGTGTGTGCGTTACGCCATTATGCGGTATAGCCGGTGTTGGCGCAATTGCTTAAATGTGGATTATCAATATTATTCAAACTCGTACAGAGGGAATTACGCTGGTGTGCCGGATGGGGGAACAGCGAAAGAGAGTAGTTTGGCCTAAGGGCTGATTTTTCGCCATTGAGTTAAATGGCATTTCCTGGATTGGTTAATTGTCCGTAGTTGGGTGCGCAGCGAACGGCGGTGGTTGTGTCAATGGATTAAATGGCTATTGATTGAACTAATATTTTTCCAGCGGAGGCGGGAATGGGCGAATTAAATATACACAATTCCCAGTGATAATTATGCATTTATGCATGCTGCGGGGAAAATGTGCATGCCGAAGCAGAATTAATAGAATGAAAATTTAATATTTGTTTTTAGTGCACAAAACCGACATGCATATTTACTGAAGAGAAGGGTGCGACTTTTTATGAAAGCTGGCATACAAATTTTTAAATAACTAGATTAAATAAAATCGGTTCAATGCAGCTGCGTTGGTAAATTGGAAAAAATCGCAAAATTAGGATAAATTGCCATAATGAGATAACAAACCGGTTAAAGTATATTCACAGTCGTTGTTAATTTTTTTCGAGATCGTTCGAGAAAAATTCAAATTAAAAATTCCAAAAAATTTCTAAATAACAAGTAAATCTGTAGATGAAGCAAAAACTGATTCCAGTAAAATATTAGAACAAATTGGAAGATTAGGATGGATTTTGGGAAAAAAAGAACAACCTGGTTAAAAATCTTAACACAAATTTTTCTCGTCCAAAAACATACTGATTACATTATGACAAACAGTAAATAAAATTCGGGTTTGGGATTCTGTATTTGTTTGGGATTTTTTCGGAATTTGTTTTTGAACGGCATGATTCTGCAGTTTTTTTGGAATTTTTTGGTAATTTTTTCACCGGCATCTTTCGGCACATCCGACCATTAGCATGTCTCATTAAATTTGCACAGCCGTGGAACCGTGCATGTCTGGCGGAGTTAATTACAGTTTATTACGAGTACACTACACCCGGTATATATACTCGTATGATTGTTAGTCCGCGGGTGTGGCTGCTGCTGCAGGTTGATGTCCATTTGACGTTGATTTGAGTGGCGAGTGATGGTTAGGCATAATGACATGACAGATGACACAATCAGTTTGGCCCAGTGAAACTTCCTCCCGCGTATATATACACGCGGCACTATGTGTGTCGTTGTGTTGGTTGTTAGGATTTGCCAGTGCGGCTGCAACGACGCTGATTCCGCCAGCAAATATTGGCATTAGCGTGTGTGGCCGCGGCTTTATCCCCTCAACCGGGGGACGGGCTAATCGTGGGAAAGAAAGGGAAGAGCGGCGCGCGGTGGTTGTGTTTTTTTTCTCCTCTGTGCGTGGAGAGGAAATGGTCTGGGCCATCTCCAGCGAGCAGCGGGTGCATCGATCGACCCAGTGCTGGCCGATATTATCGTGTGTGTATTCGTGGCTTCTTGATGCCAAATGTTTACTCGCGATAAAGGCGAGTGTTGCCATCGTGGCACATTGGACAAACTTGGGGAAATGGATGGGGTTTTTTTATCGGTGCGGGATGATCTGGCGTTCTTTCAGACGCTGGCTAATGAGAGACTTCCGGCTAGAATTCAGCACAATGCGCGTCTTTTTCGCTCTTGCTAAAAATGTGCGTGCTAAAAATAAAAATTTAAATTAAAAAGTGTATAAAAGTAAAATTTCTGGAATATTAATTCTCTTTTCGAAAATAATTGCTATGTGAATTTTGTATCTTTCGTTACACTTTTAGTTCACGAAGGACCGATATCGGTTTTAGCCTTTGCACTACGCTTTCGCTCGCAGTGACAACTTTTCTGTGACAGACGTTTTGGTATCTAGTTATCCCGTCACGAATTACAGGATATTTTTCGAGGATTGTGGATTGTGTTAATTTGTGGCTGATGTTATTATACTCTACTCTGTAGTTATCGACAAAAATTGTTTACGATACTTTTTGTTTGTGGCGGTTATTAATCCGTTATAACGTTGAAGAAAACTGCATTACATCGGTAATATGAGCGTCAGCGGGAAATAATTATGTATCCATGATATCGCTGGTTGCTTCCGTTTGGAATGAAAAGCCGTAGTCGCGAGACCATTTAAATTAACATTTGCCAGCGGGTTAGATCGATATAATTTATTTGAGAATCGCCACTTTAGCTGCAAAGCACATAATAAAATAACGATGATAATTTCGGCCAAGTGCCACTTAGATCTTGTCATTACATTTGAGTTCTGTCACGGTTGGTTGTGTGGCAAGTACCGGATATGCGAAATTCTGGTTGGGCTTATGCTGAGAATTACTGACGGATTACGAATGGCAAATATTGGATGGGGTTAATAGGTTGCAGTTATTGCGCGATTTTAATTAAAAATGATCTGTGGAATATGAGGGGATGTGCATGACGAATGCAGCAAGCAGCCTTGCAAATTTGTAATGTCCTGTAACACTTGGGTTGTATTGTAGTGTAATGGCTCATATAAAATTGTGCCAGTCGTAGTGGCTTGGTGTTATTGACAGATTTAATTTCAAGAACGCTTATGTTTAGAAACAGTTTGCATACTACATGTTTTTTTTGTTTGTCATTGTTAACTGTTATTATAACATTGTAAATAAAATTCGGTTTTGTGAAATGTTTTTGTCCTAAGAAAACATGAATATTATGAAGAAAAATAAACTAGTGAAAATTGCTCATATTTTCGTATCATGCAGTAAACTGGATTTACCTTGGGTAGTTACACTGTACAGAACGCGGGTATAAGAACGAAGAAAATAAAAGTTTTTCCAAGGAGTGGAAAGCAATGATTTTCCTTTGCATCATAGAAATGGGCGACTGCGCGAAGGTGACCAGATCGTGGCGATCAACGGTGTGTGCATTGTGGACAGTCATGCGCCGGTATCGCACCAGGACGCCGTGAGTCTACTGCAGCGTGCCAGCGGACTGGTGGAACTGGTACTGGCCCGCAACAGCGCCAACGCCGCCCTGTTCCAGAAACAGCCCGCCGCTGCTGCGACGGCGACTGCTACCCCTGTGCCGGTGGTGGGCAACCACTACGCCAACACCCTGACCAACGGACCGGCGGCGCTGGCTCACAAGTCCGCCGTCCTGCAGGCTGCCGCCGACCACCACGTCCCCGTCTCCGCATCCTCATCGTCCACGTTCCAGTCTTCCAGAGACTCCTGGCAGTCATTCCAGGACGACAGTATGGTGGTGAGTTTCAACAAAAAAATTAAAGTATGCAGTCGAATTGTTTTTCAGTGAACTACGGGTGAATTTGTTGCGAAGAAAGATGAGATGAATGTGATACGACTAATAGAATGGCATAGTAGAATTACTTACGATTAGCAGCTGAATTGTATCGTTACCGATCTGGCATTTAATACAGTATAATAATGATAAATCATAACATTTGTGTAGTGTGATGGCAGCACATTCACGCGTACGTTAACATGAATTTCTAAAGCGTTGTACCCATTTGAGGGAATATTTGTTGGAGTCGTGTCTTTAGTTTTTCGCGCTATCGATTTGTCGGTTAGCGAGTTGACATTAAAATATTAAAGCTAAAATAAAAATAGAACTAATTTGTACTTTCGTGCAGTTCATTTGTTTGAACATCGAAGTAGATAATGACACTGTAGTGCGGAGGCGTTCTTGCGATTCTAATTCTCTCGCCTGTGGAGTAACTCATTCATTTACGAAGCAATTAAAATATTGCGTTATATTTAATTCTTCTGACTTTTTCCCCATTTGTTTGTCCCGAAATATATGGTTGAAGTATTCGGATAAATTATTTTTGCGATTTAAATAGTGGAGAATGTTTTTTTGAGGAGGATTCGGCGAATACGCGTAAAATGGCATTTCGGTGCAGTTGAAATAGGAAATCAATTTATATCTATAGTTTAATACTGCTGCTGGGCTTATTAGTTGATGCCACATTTTATTGTTTTCACGGCGACTTAACGGTCAGTGTACCATCTGTACGGGTGCCATTACTGAAAACACTGTTAAGTTGGTGATAAGACGGTGAACTATTAACTGTAGCAGTAACGTTGTAGTGCGGTGGCACATTGCCCTTTTCATTGGATGGCATTGGATGGTTGCCCTTTTCTGAAACGTATTAATATCGTGTGATGCTGTAATTCATTCATTTCGTAGTTTTTGTTTTGGCTTGTTACTTACTTAGCGTGCGGATGTGTTGGATGGTGACGCGGGTTTTTTGGGTGTTGTGTAGTTAAACAGCGAATGGGCCCAGGTGGAGGTGATCGACCTGCTGAACGACGGCAGCGGTCTGGGCTTCGGGATCACCGGCGGGCGCAGCACCGGCGTGGTAATTAAGACCATCCTCCCGGGGAGTGTGGCGCACCGCGATGGCCGGCTGCGCCTATCCGACCACATCCTCTTCTGCAACGCCGTGGCCTTACGCGGGATGGGCAGTGACCAGGTGGCCGCCGTCCTGCGCCAGACACCCGACGCGGTCCGCCTCATTGTCGCCCGCAACACCGAGCTCGTCCCGGAACACGAGGGCTTCCAGTCCGATGCCGGCGTCTACCTCATCCGATCGGCGTACGTTAAATATATAAATTCGCAGTACAGAATTTTTGTAGTGCGGTGGTCATATATGTTCCTAGCGATTTCCGTTGACATAAACGCTTTAACGTTCGCGTTCATTAGTGTATCTTTAGATGCGGCTGAACTATCTTTCTTTTTATTTCAGCATAAAAATTTATTGGTTTAACTGACAGTCTGGTACAAGTGTTTCAATTATCCGTAAAATGGTCAAGTAAATAAAGATTATAAAATTTTATGTCCTAATTGTACATGGTTGTCAGCAATTCCGCTGGAAGGTGGTTTCGTAGAAGGGTGGCTTTTCAGTCGTGTTCATCTTTTCACTGCTGATATCTTTGAGCAAGTTGTAGGAAAATTTTGAAAATGTGACGGTCAACAACTGCTTTTATTTTAATCTTTCATTGTGATAAAGACAATTGGTTTTTTTTAGTGATGTGCACGATCAGTACACTCTGGAGAGAATCCTGGGCATCCGGATAACGGCCGTGCCGGCGGAGGAGACGACGACGACGGTGGTGGTGGACGAGGAGATTGCCGTCGTGCAGTCGTCGGACGCGGTCAACTACGACTACGAGAACATTCCGCCGCCGTCCTACCGCACCGTCTTCCACAAGGAACAGGTCGTCACCACCAAGGCAACCCCGCTCACCTCCCCCGCGCCCTCCGCCGCCAGCTACCAAACCTTTGCTCAAAATGTCACGGTTGTCACGGACCATGTTGCTCCCACGGTCAGTAATTAAAGGAATAATCGTAAAGCGTTTTCTGATTTACGAGAATAAATTCAAGGAAGAAAGAAAATGAGAAATAAAAATGGCATTAGCTATCACGAAATAAGCCGCTTTGTGATTGGCTAGAATCGACAATTGTAGTGGAATGGCGGCCACACGTTGAATTATTCGTTCACGGAAGTCCTGAGCATTTAGCCTTACGATATGCTTCGTTAGAAGATTTTGCTGTGATATGACGCATTAACTTTTCTTTCTTTTGTAAAAAATTATTTATCAATATTTTTTATTTTTTTTGGTTATTATTTATTTAATTATTAAATTGTTATCAAAAATTACTTAATAAAATTTTTAGCAGCCGTGATGGTCTTAAACTGGAAATTTATTTTACTAAATAAGCGTGACGGCGGTGCCAGAATGACGTCGAATGGTGTAGTACAGCGGCAGACGTTTCATCGTTACTGGTGAGACTGTCCGTTTTATCTGAAAACATGTAAGAAATATTATATCCGAAAATTAAAAATTCAGTTTTCGAAAAAAAGTTTTTTTGCAATTAAAATGTTCCGATCTACAGCCACGACGGCCATCTTCGACACATTCCCGTGAGAGCCTGCACGTCGTTCCCGAACGGGAGAGCGAGCAGGTGACGACGATGATGGCCATTGAGCGGCGCGTGTCCGCGCACATCACCACGCCCGTCGTGGACGAGGAGGAGCCGTTGTACGATCAGACGGAGTTCGACGACGAGATGGACAGCTTCGAGGTGGAGCTGACCAAGGACCAGAAGGGACTGGGCATCACCATTGCCGGCTTCGTGGGCGGACAAGGTATGTTAAGTTGTATCACTGGGCAGAACTTAGCTCACTGTGCATTGTTCATGTATTTATCTTGGACCCATTACTGCCAAATCTTATTATGTGGATACTGACTTGATGGGTAGGAAATTAGGAATGCAAGAATCTTTGCAATTAGCTGTACTGCTCAGATGCTTTCCCATTTAATGTAAATGCTGGGTATTTGTAGTACTTAATGGTTTGAGGTGATGGGGTTTTTTTACTTGCGTTAACAGAGACAGCATGGTTAGATCGGTGTAATGAATTCGTAGACTAGTGGCTCTTTAAGGGGTCGTCAAAAATAGCCGACAGAAGTCGTACAATCTTAAGCATGGAATAATTATGCGTATTAAATAACTGTTCTGCTTTTTAAGCCGATATTTTTTAAATTTACCCTGCTGGTAGCGCATGAATTTTGTAAACCTTGTTAATGCAGTATGACAGTGTCGATGATTTATTACAATTTTTACTTTAATGGTGCGTTTATTTATGACGACAGCAGGTGCTTTTCGCTGAGCTCGACAGTGGCCGATCCGTCGCTCTAATGTTGCATTTAAAAAACATGGAAGTTATGAGAAACGTATACCGGGTATCGGATTTCTCCGACCCGTTGTCTAACTCGCGTGATCGATAAAAAAGCCGGGCTAGAGAATGCGCGGAGAGCGAGTGTACGAGTGTCAACTGTAAAAGTGTCCATTCCCGCGTTTTCGGGTAAATCGATACAAATCAGGGGTTTAATTTGAATGTTTTTGCGCGGGTCAGAGACAGACGGGATTTTTCGGGGCTATATTAGCGCAAGTTGAGCGCGCGCTGCACTTTAAAAATAGGGGAGCACTGTGTGGCGCGCAGTAGTGTAAATAGTGACTGGGCCAGCATATATACGCACAGTACACACACATCACTTCTGGCTTTTTTCGCCCGCTGATTGATCGTGACGGACAGATTCCCGGGGTGAGAGACGCGCGTGTGTGTGTATTTCCTATCTACCCGGGAAATGTGTGTTGTTTTGCAGTAGCTGATTGCTGCCCGAGCCGGTTTTAAACTTTTAGTACGGGGATTATGTTTCGCCGTGTTGGGATTAGCTGTTTGTTGATAATTGATGCCGGGTGGATAAGATTCTGCGGGTGAGCGCGAGTTGTACTCTGTAGATATTTTTTCACACATTTTCAAGAAAAATTCTGTTAGTAATGTTTTTTTTTATTTTATCTCTCTTATTTTTTATTTTTACAAATTTTCTAGAATGAATATTCTATTATCATTCTAAAATTTTGGGCCCTCCACTGTGTTATAATATTTTTTCACAACTCAGAAAACTACTGATCCGGTTCTTCGCGTTCAAAATTCCATAATACTGCAGGCGTAATCGTAGTAGACCGGCAACTTCGATAAAAAAAATAAGAATCCATATCGGGAAGAAATGTAAAATGAATAGCATAACGCCGGGAGAAATTTCCCTTGAATTTTTTTTAGAACGCTATGAAAAAAAAAGTTTTTAAAAATAGTGTCAATAGTTCTTGTACACTGTCTGGTTTTTCCGGTGACGGTAATACGTGTATGTACAGATGCGGCTGACGATGTCATGATGCAACATTTTTAGCAAATCTACGGAAAAACTTTTCGTCGCACTGAAAATTATAAGTATAAGAATGAAAGAAAAATCGCTTTGGAATGCTTCCGTTTTCTACGATGCATGTGTTGGCTAACGAGCAAAGACAAATCGATTAGCAGTGCGTATCAATGGCCATCAGGGGTGTGGCGTGAAGAAACATGCGTAACTAATCCAACAGCGATCACGCCGTTCCCCTGAACACCATCCATTATGCGCCGCGCGGCCCCCCACGCGCCGCGTCGTGCGGGTCCGAAATGAGCTGACTGTCAATTTACGCGCGTGGGACAATTCGAACTCATTTGGGGCTCCGAATTTCTCTTAGCGGCTTGTTGACTTTGCTGCCTGGTAAACGTTATACTCATTACAAAAATGTTATACAACATGCCAAAAATTTCGGGGATTGAAATCGAAATATTAAAAATATTTAGCTATAATAATTATATTAATAAATATTTATATGTATACGAAAATTTATATGTATATAAAAAATATTTATGCACAAAATTATTTAAACGTATGAAAATAATAAGCGATTATATTAATATTTAGTGCTTTTCCGTAATATTGTTAAATTTAATTTTATTGCAGTTGTATGCAAAAACTTTACGTTTATTATAAAAATTGTATTTTGCTGATGTTAACCTTGAAATACATCGGTCTTTGATTTAACGATGTACACATTTTGTGGGATGCTATATTCCGCGTAGGAAGTACATGGTTTGAATGCTAAAGAGTGAAACATTTTTGGAAGGGGATTAATATAATCCGCTGTTATGGGGAAATATTGATTTTGTGCTAATACGGCCAATGAGTAGGAAAAGAGTCATACTTTGCATGTTGAACAAGTGAGCGGGAAATAATTCCGATTGCGTCAAATCCCAGCCGGTTATGTCTGTTGTACGGATTTCTGTGTAGTATGTGCCGGCAACTGGGATGGAAAAAGTGGCCAGAGACACTTGTCAGACATTTTTGCCTGATTTGCTGAATGATGCTGGTTTGGCAGTCTGCGGCAATCGCATGCAGTAGTGGCAGTATTCAGCAGCTTTTGGTTTGTGGCTTGCAGATGAGATTTCTGGCATTTTCGTCAAAAGTATCGCCGAAGGCAGTGCAGCTGACATCGATGGACGGATCCGCATTCACGATCAGATTGTACAAGTAAGCAGTGCGACGCTTTTATTCTGCATTGATTTTTGAAAATTCCCGGTGTTTTCTGGGACTTTAAAATATTTTTCTTACACGTGATTTGTCTGTGTCGCGAGATCTCGGTATCCGATTTAGACAATTTCTGGAAAATTTGCTGCCAATTTTTGTGAATATTTTGGCGGGATTATTTTATACAAGATTTTAAATCTGTTAATTTTTTAGGAAACTTCTGGAATTTAATTTTGTTCCGTTTTACGCGTAGAGTAGCTTTTAAAAAAATTTAAAATATTTAAAGATTTGATTATTTGGGAAGTTTGTTCCAGAGACCGGCAAACTTTTAAGGTTTTTGTCAACTGTGTTTTAAACATTAAATTATCGTCTCTTCTTAAACAGGTGGATGGTGCACGATTAGAAGGCTTCAGCAATCACGATGCAGTGCAGCTGCTGCGCAATACCGGCCAAGTGATCCGGCTGAAATTGGTTCGTTATCTACGCGGCCGGAAGCGCGATCAGCTGGAGCAGTATTTCTGTAAGTGCGCTTTATCTGGACACGTTTCCGTTAACACCAGCGATACACATCGCACGATAACAGCATTAACTGTGTGGCTAGTATTTGTCCGTTTTGTCGACAAATTACCAGTATACACTGGCAGTTTGTCGACAATTTGGACAATTTGGCAGTTAGGTTAATTTGGACGGTTATTTTACTTTGGTTTTTGTTCGTTAATTTTCCTCTCTTTTACATAATGACTTTAATTTAGCCTGCCAGCAGTATCACGAACTGCAACATTGATCGGTACTCTTTTTGTTATTTGTACTCTTTTTGTTATTTGTTATTCGATTGTGAAAGATGTTCGTAATTATTGTTTTTGTAGTATTTGTGTATTATATTTTGATAACTATGACTTTATCCGTTTTTATATACGATTAATTAGTGCCAGATTCGGATGTGACAATTTTCGTAATTATTATTGTTTCAATAATTTTGTTTTATTTTTTAACTATTATGACGAAGGATTACTTGGGGTAAGTTTTGGTTAATTTGGACTGTTGCTTTTACTATTGTTGTTGCTCGTTAATTTTCCCTTTTTACCAGGTTAATTAGTAAAAGGATTGTGCAGTGTTGGTCGTAGTGAAATGACTCATGACTTTTACGTCGCGGTGCACACATAAATAAAGAGACGTTAAAAGACCAATTTGGTTGCAAATAAGTACTGCTATTCCTTGGTGATAATTTTTTTAATTAATATTTTCGCAATAATTGTATTTTATTTTTAATAATTAAACTAAAAATTGCTCTGAATGAATTTCGGTTGATCTGCAGTGGAAGAGGACGCTTCTCTTGCCCCGCCCAACGCTGTGATGATGACGGACCGGCACAGTAGCAGTCTGTCGCCGCCACTGGTGGGCAGTGCCACTCCCAGCCCGTCCGCCGAGCCCCTCCTGCACCCGCCGCCGGACTCGGACGCCGCCATTATGTCGCGCTGGCGCAAAATCCTCGGCTCCGAGTTCCAGATCATCGTGGCCCACCTGCTCAAACAGAAGGAGGCCGCCGGGCTAGGCATCTCCCTGGAGGGCACCGTCGACGTGGAGGGCGGCCGGGATGTCCGGCCGCATCACTACCTGCGCTCCATCCATCCCGATGGACCTGTTGGATGCAGTCAAAAATTCCTGGCAGGTTAGTGTCACCAGCGGAAAAAGCGTATGACTTTCCAACTTGAAGTGTCGATCAAGTATAATTTCTTTGGGGATTATTACGATGTTTTTTATAAAGGTCGTAATATCCCCAAAAAAAAACAAGAAAAAGGCTTTTTCTAGTCTCGATTTTTTTCGCTCTTTTGTCAGCTTTGGTTTTTTGGAACTTCGTTAACCAGCTAAACGCAAAAGTCTATGGCTTAATAATTTCGGTGTAAAAGAAATCAACAGCAGATTGACGAAGGTCTGTGATAGAATCGGTGATTCGGCACCTTCCGTGGTGCGGTCAGCAAGCAGACCGAAGTTTTATCAGACAATGTAAAAATTGTAGAAAATTGGAGTGCAGTGTGTATGAAAACGGCTCTGCTACCATGTTACCATGCATCTGTGAGCAGTATGACCATTTGATTGGTTAACTAATGCAAATTTACATCCTTTTTTCGTAATTTATCATTTTAATTGTTGTAAACTTTTATGCGAAATTCATTGTAATTTGCTGTTGTAGATAATGATTTATTACCTTAATTAGGTATTATAAAGTTCTGCATTAGGTGATGAACTGCTGGAAGTCAACGGTATCCGTCTCTTCGGCGTGTCCCACAAAGACTGCGTGGTCATCCTGAAAGAATTGCCCCTCCACGTGCGGATGGTGTGTGCCCGGCGGAAGAAGGGCGTTAAGCGCACCGCCACGCCCGAGGGCGGTGGGGAGCTGGACGGGCTCCCCTCCAACCACGTCGGGGGCCTGGGAGTGCCGGGCAGCGACCGGCTGGTCAAGGCCAAATCCGACGGCTCTCTGGCCATCGCCGCCCCGCCCGCCAGCCCCCCGGGGATTGACCAGCTGCAGAAGTTGATCCGCTCCCGCTCCCTGGAGCCGCTGGCGGGTTTAGTGATGTGGAGTAACGAGGCGACGGTCATCGAGTTGAATAAGGGCGACCGCGGACTGGGCTTCTCCATTCTGGTTAGTATTGAAATGGCTGATCATATCTGACGGTAGAGTTTTGGAATTTGTATGGATATGGCTGTATGTTTTCGGACTTTGCTCCAACCAGGAGCGAGCGTATACTAGTATTGCAGTACTGAGATTTGTAGTGTAACGGCAACATTTACAATGAGTCCAAACTTCTAACTACTGCTTGACGGCTAAAAATTTGTACATTTCTTGATGGCTTATTACTCACGATTCCTGTTGTACTTTTTGCGAATTGCTGGATTGTTATGAGGGCCGTGATGGCATATGGGCATTCATTTTCGCGCTGCTTCGAAAATTTACAGCATGCTTTAAATTGTCTGTTTCACTTATGCTTGTGGTGAAAATATTTCAGTGGGCATATTTTTGTGGAAGTGTTGTATTGAAATTATTTTTGAAAAATAACGGTCTGGTCTGTGCTTGTAGGACTATCAGGATCCGATGAATCCGGAGGAGAGTGTCATTGTGATTCGGAGTCTGGTGCCGGGCGGAGTGGCCCAGCTGGATGGACGTTTACGTCCGGGCGACCGTCTTTTATGGGTACATACAATAGTTTGTAGTTTAAGTCCTTCGTGACTGTTTTTTCGCCTTGCTTGTTTCGTTTCTGATTTTTCTTAACAGAAGAATTTTGATTCAACAAATTTTTGATTTTTTTAAAATTTTTTTAATTTTTGATTTTTTGATTGAATAACATGACAAGTGTTCACTGGTTTTGAAAAGATTTCCGTAATAGTAGGTTTCTTTTGCTATTTCTTCGCGCAGCTGGTACTGGTTTTGATAATGTTGGAAGATTTAGCTGATAATTGTGGCTATATAGACAGATATTTATATAATTAGGTTATCAGAAGGAAACTCAGAAAAAGCTGTTTAACTGAGTGTGCATAGTGGTGCGAAGTGACCATGGTCAGCAGTGACCGAACCGACAATTGATTTTGACTAAACGTAATTAAAATTAATGTGAATAAAATGCAAACAAGTTGTTTGGGTAGCTCTGGAAAAGCTATGACCCGTACTGCTTACGTATAATCAAGATTCAAAAGATTTCGCAGCACACCGGCTTGTGTGTGGAATGCTGTTATTGCCATGTACAGCAAGCTAGCTAGTCCATTGTTCCAGAGAAAAATCGTATAATCTTTGCAATTTATATCCAAGTTAAACTGTGAGTAATGAGAGTGAAATCTTGTAAAAGTTTTAATCTCGCCCCCGTATTCCCTAGTTAAGCTCCTACTCTTGCATCAAAAACACCTTCCGGTCCATGAGCGCTCGTAACCTTTAAAAATCAATCTGTGCAAAACGGTCAATTATCGAAAGAGAGCATTTGGTTGTAAAGGCAACGTCCGTTTAAGCAATTAAACATTATTCAGCAGCGGTGCCGAGTGCCGACACAGACAGTGCAAAGTATAAATATAGCACTCCCACTAATTTTGATAATTCGTGATGCTTAGGAGGGAGTGCTACCTACCACAAGTCGGCTAGGAGAACTGCCTTCCTTTCTAAACATAAGCATTCGTTCTTTTCTATAAACGTAAGTAATACTCTACGAGTAGGTTTTTTTGGCAAAACGTTAACGATCCTATACTGCGCGATGCCTCCATATTTCTCAACAGTTGGTCACTTGTACAACAATTAGAGAATATATATAAGGTAAACTTCGTGCTCGTTATCTCTGTTATCACGTTCAGCTGCAAACTGGATACGGTATTAATGCCACTGTAGACGTCACCAGGGCTGTGGTCAAAAATAATGCCAGTGACCAGCTGTCCAAACCGTAGAGTAGAAATGACCAACTTTTGCGAAATATCGAAGTAATACTGTGTACTGGTGCTTGCTAGTATTTTTTGGTTTATAACTTTTCCTAGACCACTGGTCATCTTGATGACCATCAGAATGCACCTTTATTAAAGTACTCGTTGAGATCTATCGTTTGAGCTATTGGCATATTCTGTGCGATTTTTTTATCGGCAGCTATAAATGACAATGAATAACATGTCAGCGCAACATGGTTACCATGCGTGTTAGGCCGACATGGTCATCTCCTGCTTGACCTATGGTCGCTAAAATTTTAAAAAAATTATTTTTCTCTTAATTGAATTTTTCTGTCACAAACTGCCATTTTTCAAAACTGTAGTCCCGTCCCTTCTAGTACCCGGCTTTCCTGGGTTAACAGAAGAATTTTGATTCAACAAATTTTTGATTTTTTTAAAATTTTTTTAATTTTTGATTTTTTGATTGAATAACATTTTTTATTTTTTTGTTCACTGGTTTTGAAAAGATTTCCGTAATAGTAGGTTTCTTTTGCTATTTCTTCGCGCAGCTGGTACTGGTTTTGATAATGTTGGAAGATTTAGTTGATAATTGTGGCTATATAGACAGATATTTATATAATTAGGTTATCAGAAGGAAACTTTCGTAGAAAACTGGCTTGTTTGTAATGGACTTGTTAGTCCTGTTTGAAAACCCAGAATATTGTACAACGAAATTCTAATGTGTGTGATTTCGATGTTTTGGAGACTTTATCAATTTTTTGCAGTGGTTTTTGTACTATAGTAGATTGACAGTGCAGCTGTTTCGTATTGGGTAAGAATGTTTGAAAGCATGCGCCGGCACGAGAACTCGACGGAATTCCGCTGCCGGTTGCAATCCACCGCGGAGGGGATGTAATATTAAACAAATAAGGCATTCTGTGTGTGCAGTAGTGTAATCCGATCCCGCTTGGCACTAGGTCAACGACATCAATCTGGAGAACGCCGTGTTGGAGCGCGCCGTGGAAGTACTGAAAGGCGCGCCCAAAGGCATCGTCCGCATCGGCGTGGCCAAACCGCTGCCCATCACCGATACCTCCATCCTCAATGGCCACTACGCGGTACGATCCCGGCGCTTTTTTCGCCGGAAACTGTTAATTATGGTTTTTAGCAAAATATTACTTGTATAATATATGGTTCTGAGTTTTGTTGAATTTTTTGAATAAGCTTTAGATTTTTTTAGCATGTTGAGTCTGGTTGGATTGCATACTTGTAATTCTTCTGCAGATGGGTGAGAGTCAGATAATACATCCGGAAGGCGCTGATACGTTTTTGATGGCAGCGTCCGCGGACGACAAGGAGAACACGCCGCAGCCGGTGGTCACCAACGGTGTAAGTGGATGGAACTGAAGCGTTTAAGCGTTTTTGTACTTTCCTTAAATAAAATAAACGAAAGGCATGCCGCACCAGTATTACGGTAAATCAAACGATTAGGGTGAAAAAAAAACGTTGAAAATTTATCTGATATTTATTTTTGATTGTAAGATTTCGGATGCCTAAAGTTAGCATTCTTTTCTATCGGAAGAAACACTCGCAATTTGAACACGCCATTACTCTACGATAGTGCGATGTATGATATGCTTGGACCCGTTTTACCTTTTTATTTGGCAAAGGCCAATTCGCGGTCTAATAAGCCAGCGCAGGTAGACACTAAATAAAATGATAGATTTTAAACGTTACAAAAATAACCATGACACTTTGGTAGTTCATGCCAGGTCTGTATTTGACCGCCGTAGTTTATTAATTTTTCATCGGCTTGTCTATGAGAAATTTTTGTTTGTAAAATGTGCCTTTCCAAAACGTACGTTTTGCAAGAAAAAGAAAATTTCGATAAAACTGTTTATTTTGAATCGTCAAGGCGGAGAAGAAGTGAACTTTTCTCATGAAAACGGAAAAAAGCTCTTGAATTTTTTTTCTGCATTTCGGTTTCAGTTAAACTTGTCGAAATCGAATATATTGAAATCCTTTTTCACATTTGTGTGGCCAGACTGAGGGCTTGTTCAACAAAGCAGTTAAATGCGTATGAAAATTATTAATTTTCCTAGCTTTGGCTTGCTTTAGTACGCGCCGCAGTTTTATGTTTGATTAAAATTTAAAGAAGTTATTTGCTAATGGTTTACCGCGTTTTGTTTGTCACGGGAACGTTAGAAACGTTGACTGTATTAGAGCGAGCTATATTTAGTTTTCTTCATTGAATTGTTGTCTAAATTTGCGTGGGAAACACATTAAGCCGACACCAGAACAGGCACGTTAAACGATCACGTTAAAATGATTAAGGCGGTCCCGGTGCGCATAATGGGGTCGAAATTATTTGGAAAATGAAAAGTATTGATCGTGTAATTCGGTCATATATATTGTGGCGGGTTATGTAAGACGCGTGGGCCCGGCTTGTCGCCCGGCGGCCGGCCGCGGACGGGGCCAGGTAAGAAAAATGTGATCAATAATGGATGCGGAGTAATTAGATCACTTTGGCCTCCATTGCATCCATATTGCGTCCGACGAGAGAGATTGAGACGCGAGAGAGAGTAAAGAGTAAAGAGAGTGCAACCGAGCCCGGCATCATTCCGCTGGCGGAATTAAAGAAAGCCAAATGCATGTTGTCAGTCACACGCAGCTCCGTACACAGGCTAATCAGTTTGCAGCCGGGGACTGGCTGACACAGCGGCGGATGTTTTCCGCTCGGTGCCTGCGTTGCGCAGAGAGAACAGTGTTTAGTGTAGCCAGGGGAATTTTCGTTTATTTTTTCAACGGGATTGGTTTTGCCGATTTTCTGGCGGAATTATTTCGGCATGAAAAATCATGCAAATGACCTTTTTTCCATGATTTTGTTGTGGAAGATTGAGTGTGTGATGTTTTGCGGAATTTCGCAGGGTATCAGCGGGATTCATGAGGATATTGCGCGGCATTATTACCGGTCCGCGACGACCGCGAGTACAGAATATGGACTGCGGGAAAATACGGTAAGGATTATCTCAATCTAATTTAGCTATTTCGCTGTGTGCGGAATGTGTTTCCCATGGTACTGTGATTCATGGGAACCGGCATACATTGACCGATAAAAAGCGCTGCCACACACATTCTCCTTGCAAGTTAATGCGACAAACGTCATCCGCATCAATTTTGTGGGGATTATTTTGTTTGTAAAAATTAATCCACTGCATCGTTGCAATGATGTTGTTAAGCAGAACATTTCGATTTGATTACATGATCGTATTATAAATTATTGATTGTCTCTCTTCAAAAATCTGATTTTTAATTTGCTTATGCCAAACAGCCTCGGTTTCCAGGTTTTCTGCTTGAAAGTTTGATCAATAATTTTGTCAAAAGTTAATTAATTTCTGGAAAAAATAGTGGGATGACTTTGGAATTCGATATAACTAAAAAATCATAGGATTGTATAGCGAGCTTAAAAAATTCGAAAAATATGGCCCAAAGACGCAGTTTCTCGTGGTATAAGAACACGAATTTATCTTGTCACATTCCGGATGCGGGAATCCATCTCCCGTCGCCATTAGCAGTGTCATTATGTGATTTCCGGTACGCTGCATCATTACACCGCAAAATCACGTGCGCTGCATTTTTCTTAATCATATCCGGATTTTCCCCTTTAGCAATTTATTAATATGGAATAATAAAGATTGCTGACGTGAAATTTAATTTGATTTTAATTAGCACAAATCAAGGCAGCATTTTTCTACCGTATCCAGATTTGCTCCCTTTAGCATTTATTAATTCAGAATAAAAAAGATTGTTGACGTGATTTTAATGCGATTTTAATTTGCACAAATCAGTCAATTACGCCGAGTGGCGTATTATTTAATCCGAGCACGAACGTGTCACGGAAACACTCTGTTCAATAAGATGCTGATACGTTTTTCATCGTTTGTACGCGTCCATTAAGAAGATTTCCCGAAAAATGAACGTCGACGCCCGATGAAAGGGAATATTGTCAAGACGGGGGGCTGTTCAGTTTAGCCTGCCCGGGATCGATCATTCTGGTTAAAATGTCAAGAAGGAAATCCAATAATGCTACAATAACAGTCCTTTGTGCCGCGATCATCAGATTCTTTGCACAGGCACTCTAGCCAATGATTGCCCGGTGTAATTAATTACGGCGCATCCGATTATATTCGGTATTGTCGTGCTTTTATTCTACGAGGCATACAAGGAAATTAGGAGTGAATTATTGTTATGTTCCGCATCGTGTCGCGTTGTCGGTTTATTTAGATTGGTTAGCTCGATAAAATATTGAATTTGATAGTCAAATGGATACGAGTCGCCAGTGCTGGCTGTTTGTTTACGCGGTCAATAAAACGAATTGTCAAGCTGATGTAAAAGAAAGAGAGACAAGAGACGATTTTGACGATGGTTGTGCTGCTTGACACGCTGGTTATTTTCGCCGATCAACTGTGAAATTATCCCGTTCATTTTTTTATACGCTTCTTATTGGAAAAATTTTATAATTTTTTCGGAGAAATTTGCGGGTGAAGAAATTTCGGAGTCGTTCGCGGTATCCGATGGGAAATTTTTTTCTGATGATGGCGATGATAGATGTCTGACCCGGAAATTGATTGCGTGCTCATTTGTGCGCGCGGGGAAAATATTTTTTGATGAAAAGTGATCCCGGGGTTGGCGCGTTATACGATGAATCGCCGATTTTGTTACTGCGAAGTGAATTGGTTGTTGCGTTTTGCGTGCCGGGATTTTTGATTATCCTTTATGAATTATTTGTCTGATTTCCGGTTGATCTTGAGTGGATTTCTGCGCAACCTTCAATCGCTCAGAATTATTAGCTCGTTTTTATATGACATCTAATCGAAACCGACGTCTCCTTGCGCTCTGTAATTTTAACTCTCCCCGGCAAAATTTAAATAATTATATTTTTTAAATAATTGGATTTATTTTTTACTTGCTTTCTGTTAAATAACATTAATACAGTTTAATTTTTTTGTCTTGAATTTTACGAATATTTGTGTTTCGCTCTTGGCGATGATTTTTTTCTTCGTTTAAAAAAATCGGCGTGTCTGCGTAAAAAAATCGATTAGCTGGGCGGCGTAATTACCAGTGGTGAAAATGTGCTTTTTCCCATGGAAAATTAATTTCCACCCGATCGGTCGATGTGTGCCGGGCGAGTGGCCCGGCGCTGAATGCGGTGGGGCTTAATTAAAAATCACCCGCTTGTGTGTGCGGGGGCGTTAATAACATTAGCCGGGGACCTTGTGCCGGGTGATGGCTCCCGTGCCGACCTCACTTGACATCCGCTCCTGTTATGCCCTACAGGGAATAAACCTGAATGCGGCGTCCACCACCGCGACGGGAGCGACAGCCGTCAGTGCTGCTTATCAGTACCATTCCTCCTCCGCCACCGCCCCCTTCATGTCGCCCTCCTCCCGCACCTCCACCCCGCTACAGTCGCCCCGCTGGTCGCCCATGACCTCGCCCAGTCTCCTGCCCGGCTCCTGGGGATCCGATGTGCCTTATCTGCCGCCGACGCTGGAGAAGACCATTAAAGTTAATAATCAAGTGCTTTCACTGGGTAAGTCGCTGGCGATAATAAAATTAATATAGAAATTATATTACTTAATTAAATAATGTGACTGCGTATGTGAATATGGTTTGTCTGTTGCACGTCGCTATCAAAAATTGATTTGGTTTCCATACCATCCATCATCCGTTGTAAAGATATGTGGGTAAAATGATTTGCGAACGTTAGTTTTTAAAATTTTCGTTGTGTCATGGAGGAATTGAGGAATTGAGGTTCTTGCCTGCTTATTTGCAGACGGTATTCAAATTAGTACTTGGACTTGACAGAAAAATCGTAGTAAAATGGCTTATATTGGGGGGAACTGCCACTATTATGAAACTTAAAAAGCTGTCGGTGAATTGGCATAGTGGTTTAAAAGTACAGTTAGTTTGGAAATTTTTTATCCACTTTTAACGAATGATGGTTTTCTCAAGAACTGCCTTGTGTGAATTTCCTGCCTTGCCTGCCTGCCTGAACTGCCTTGTGTCTATAAGAAAAGTTTCAGAAAATCTTCAACGTGCAATGTGTATTATTAAAACCAAACTTAGGTAGACTGTAGTAAGTTATAGAATTCTTTTGATTTTACTTTCATTTTAATACTTACGTTTATTTTAGAATACATTACTGCATGATTAAAACAGAACGGCCGGATGTAACAAGATTTACTGTTCATAGATGAACTGAGCTCTCACTAAAAAAACTGTGCACTGCAGAAAACTGACCCAGTGGGATAAATTAACCTAAAAATTAATCAAAAAATATAAAAAATTGAAGATGTTAGGAAAAACGAGAGCTAACGGAGAGATGCTAACTGAATGCAATGTTAACTGAAAGATGCTGTCGGTTTCCGTTAACTTGTGCTGTATATGATTAACGGCGACATTGGCCGGAATAGTGCCACTAAATACTGGTAATGGACAGGATAAGACGATTCAATTTGACATGTACCAGCGCAGGACATTAATCACGAAGCCGAGACTGATCGACACAGCCAGGGAGCCGCGTAATGGCGGGTGGTTGATGCGACGCGCTTGTTGTTGCAGGCCTGGAGGTGGATGTGGTGGAGAAGGGCATGAACGGGTGCGTGGTACGGCGTATTGAGCCCAACAGTGCTCTGCACAGCGACAAGCGCCTGCAGCCCGGTGATTATGTGGTAAATGCCTCTTTCCCCTCCAACGATCGGGACCGGTCTGGAAAAAGAGTGTTGTGTGTTTTACAGACCAGTATTCATCACGAATCCTTACGGCGGGTGGTGAAGGCGCAGGCGCACGCCATTATCCGACGGGCTTCCCTCCTTCAAGGTGATATCAGGTACGGAAATCACGTGGAAATTGAAGTGTTGTTGTATTCGATCGAATAATGTGGTAAAAGGTCACTTTGCTGGCTTCCCGCGGCAGACTTCCGTAATAAGTTTTCCCGGTCTGGTTGGCACCGCCAACCCTTCGTGTAGTAGATATTTCTTATAAATATCTCCACGCACACTGCCAGATCTCGGGGTTTTCGGAATTTTTTTTAATTCTGAATGAACTGGATTTCAGAGCGTGCTTGCAGCTTTCCCTATAAGCAGGGATAGCTTATCTTATGTATTAATGTTCTGAATATCGTTTCAGGATACTCAAAGTTTTCTGGTTAATTATTTGATTTTCCATAGACTTTCATGTAAGTAAGTGAACGGGTGTCCTGAATGTTGCTTAATAATTTTCAGATTGATTCGATCGAGTGGGCCCCAACTCAGTTAAAAAATGTCTTATATCTATGGAATTTTGTAGTACAGTGGCAAATGCATTGCTTCTCGATCAATCGTTTAGACTTTACTTACAAGACTTTACAGTACTTGTTTAGACTTTACTTGTTAGTTCACTGGCTTTGATATTCTGTTAACATTAAATATATTTTGGGAAATCTTTTTAATTCATGAGATTCTTCTTGGCCTTTTTTATAAAAATTTCCCCCCTGAAAAATCAGTTTCCATTGGGTTTTTGCCATTTGTAACGCTCGTTGTGAGACTGAAGGAAACTTATAATCGATTTTTTTTGGCGAACGGAGAGAGTTTTCCTTTAGTACGGAGCTGTGTGTAGTAGTTGCTGTTGGTTGGCGGAAAATGCAATGGGTAAGTAAGCTAAGAGCTGCCGGGATGAATGCGGCAGACGATCCCGGTTTGGGCCGGTTTCCACTTGACTGACAGGTCGGCAATTGCACTGGCGAAGGGGAAAATTGTACCGATAATCTGGCCATATTCTCTGCTTGACGACGCAATCACTTTCTCCCTCGACGAAATCCCCCCATGCACGATTGCCTCGTCGTCCCTGGCCCAAGCGGGCCCGTTTTCCGCTACATTGCGTCCTATTACGCACTGCAGATTAACTGCATATATCGCAATTTGTTCCGTCTGACGTTAAAAAAAGCTGAAATTTCTCAACAAATTCTCAAAATTACACATCGTTACGTTTTGGCTTATTTTCGCTCGTAAACTAGCGTCGCAGATTTGGGTTGGTGTTATCCGCTTTGCGACGGTTTCCCGCTCTTCTACGATTTTCTACGTCGTGAGACAGCTGTGGTTATGTAGCTGTGTTTTAGCTGCACATTTTTTTTTAACCGGGAAATTAAAGTAAAGTAATAATAATAGTTAAATTAAGTATGAAAGTGTGACGTTATGAAAATTTTTTAAAAATTATTTTCTCTTTCGTTACGAGATTTTTTTGAAAATTACCGCATATTTTTCCTTCCTTCCTGTATTTTCCTGCATTTGTGCAAGGAAATTTCAAGGTTGTATGCAAAATCCAAGTGACAGGATGCTAAACGACATCGGCTGAATAGTCGAATCGCGGTCTCTTTTTTCCCTGTGATTTCCTGTGGCTTTCATGTGATTTCCGTCAGTCGCGCACACGGCTCCCTCCCGGCAACTGGTATTGGCCGGGTAGCATTTCCGGCCGTGAATACCGTCATTTGTTTGCGTCTAATTGGCAAATTATAGGCCCTATTGAAGTGGAGGCGGTAAATTACCTTGCTGCAGCTTAGAGCAACTCAGCACTCATGCCCGGCACTTTTTCAGCATCACGTACATTCCGGCAGCGGATGCGGCGCACTACCGCCAGATGCAGCCCTCCCTGGCCAACGTTAACCAGATCGTCGACGCCGAACTGGATACCGGCAATCTTCCTGACCAAACTTCACCGCGGTAAGTCGGTTGCACGTATTGATTGTGAAAATCCCTGCATGGTAAAAATTTTGCGGAATAATTTTGCACGAAATTAATATTAAAACAATTTGATGTGCGCATGACGTGCCATTCCCTGCATCTCCCCGCATTTGAATTTTTTAATATTTATTTGAAGAATTATCTATGCATCGCTTATTCCTGTACGGTTTGTTTCGTTGGTTGAAATTTACAGGAAATTATTTTTTGTGGCCGTGACGAAATACACGATAAAATTGAGAATTTATTTGAAATTTGTTTTGAAATTTATTCCTCATTTTTCTGTAATTTGTTTCCTTGTGGTAAACTTGTTAAAAATTCAGGCGATAAGTCCGGGATACTCATGTACATATTCATGAGAAAAATCTGTAGGGACGAAGATTTATGTGGTTGGTGTAAATGTGACAGGACACCATGTTGTAAAATTGACGATGCTGTTTAATATTCATCCCATTGGCACTCGTGCCGCGATAAGTGATGTAATGGAGGTATTTATGAGAGTGCGGATGACTCGGTATGCGAGCGAGCGATGTCGGGGCGTGGGCGGAACGGAAGCCGAGTGATTAGTATGCGGCAAATGGATTATGATTGGGAAGTATGTGTGTACAGTCTGTACATAAACGCTGCCGCAGTGCGAAGGCACATATCTCCGTCCCGTTGAGAGGGACGGGAGAATTAGCCCGGGCTTATGTGATTCCAATCCCAGCAGCACTTTGCTTTATTGCCAACCGGGATCAGTTGGCCAATCAGGTCCTTGTTACGTAAATTGTTTTTTGAAAAATTTCGAAACGAATTTTTCCAGAATATGTTTTGCAGCTAAAGAGCAGAATATTTTTCAAATATTTCCAGCTTATTTCATTAGTATTGAGGTTAGGATCAGGAAGTCCAAGTTTTCGCTAATACCAGTGATGAGAATACTGAGAATAAAGTAAAAAAAATGTAAGAAATTTGGACAGATGTTTTTGAAAGGGTTTTTCTTATTTTATGAATATGTCTTATCTTTTATTTTTTAAGAAAGGAGCAAGCCAAAGTTTCCGGCTAAATACCAGTGACGAGGAAATCTGGAATGAAAAATTAATTGCGAATTTATTTTTGACATTTTTCATATATTTTTGGGAATATTTTTTATTTTTCAATTTTGGCAAAAACGCAAGCCGGTCGAGGCGCTAATCGGTTTTGAGCGGATGCCATAAAACGCATTAATAAAAATTTATTGCAAAACTTGCAGTTATGTTGAGTGGGCCGTCCGGAAAATGTTTTTGATATTCTGTACAACACGCGCGCATATACGCCATATGCCTCGCCACAGTGAGCGGTCTTTTTGGATGGCGGATTTATTTTGGTCCGCTCTCCGTCGAAACAGGCAATAGTAATACACAGTTCCTTCCCTTGTGTATGCCCTGCTTGCGTCTGTGTGTTCCGTCAACTGGCTTTTAATCAAAGAATGGCCCCATGACAAAGTTGTGTATGTGTTTACGCTCAGCTGCATTCCGCCTTCCAGTTGGGATGTGTGCATGTTTGGAAGAGTGATTTCCGGTTATGTGTGTGTGTGCCGGATTGTGTGTAGTGCATCGTGCAGTTTTTGAGCGTTGCTCGATTATGTAGCATGGTCCCCCCGTAATGATGATGGAAAGTGTTGGGTAGGAAGAGTAATTTGGTGTTTCTCTCTTTTTTTTACGCTGCGATTTAAAGGATCTTTCCAAAGTATTATCGGTAAGTTGAGCGTTTTTTCTGTGCCGGTGAAGAATGGAAGACCTACGCATTATGAAAACCTACATTAAGTCATTATGCTTGGTGATAGCAAATCGTAGTGTATCGGCTTGTGTGCCCTGCCATAGCAATAAATTCAGGTTAAGAATGTTATTAGCTCTATAATCTATATTATACTGCCAATAATAAAGTAGCCATTTTTTCTGCAAAATTTGTTATTGCGTCTAAACAAATTTGTTATTCGTCGTTGCTTGATTACGATTTGGTTACGCATCTCGGATTGATTATAAATATCAAAATTACTAACTGAGAAGACGGTAAAAAGTAAAATTGAAAAAATACCGATTATCTAAATTCGGCGAAATTCGAATGTGGATGTTCTCATAATTCACTATCAGCGGACTTGTATAATTATGTAATGTTTTTTTAATATATCGATATCGAGTCGATGTTTGGAAAAAAGGGAGTAACAACAATCAGCTTGGGCATTTGCAGCTCGCCGTTTTTCATGCAACGCCAAATGCAGTTAGCGCACGTGGAGCCCATTCCAGAGAAGAGCAGTCCGCTGTCCTCGCGCGACAGCAGTCCCCTTCCGCCGCCCTCCCCGCCGCCCCCGGACGACGACACCCTGGGCAGTGTCCCTCCTTCCCCGGAGAAATCCCTGCCCCTCCCGCCTCCCCCGCCGCCGCTGTCGGTCTTAACGGAGACGGACACCAAGGTGGCCGACGCCACCTCCGCCGCCGCGACGTCTTCCACGCCGCTGAGTGCCTTACGCCACTGGGGCCCGCCCCGGGTGGTCAAGCTCGAGCGCGAGCCCAACCGCAGTCTGGGCATCAGTATTGTCGGCGGCAAGGTGGAGATCTCCAACTCCCAGGGCGCCGAGACCACCATCACCGGCATCTTTATCAAGCAGGTGCTGGCCGGCAGTCCGGCTGGCCGTGAAGGTATGGCGGAGTTGTATAGGGCGTGGTTTATATATCCAGTTATTCCTCGTACTGATGACGAATTTTTCTGATAATTCATTTGATTTATTTTATTGTTTTTTATAATTTATCGCTATTTAGATATTTAAATTTAGACGAAGCGAAAGTGTGCAGTGTAATAATGGTTACAGTTGTAGTGTTTTCGTAGTGAAGTGGCGCATTTCCAGACGAGTTAGTAAATTATGGTGATATCCATTTGAAGCAGTTTTAAACATAGATGTAGATTACATTTTTTTCCATTGAGATTTCTAGACGGTTCTGTTTTTCTTTCAAATATTCATTCGCCGCGCTCTTTTTCCTTGCAAATTAAGAATGGAACCGTATGCCGTATGGAAAAAAAGATTATTTTTCTGAAATTACGCATTTCAATAAACCGGTGGCAGACATACTTGAGAAAATGGTTGCGCGTTGATCACTGTTCGGTGATTTATGGCCCGTCGTGCGGCAGCGAAGTGATCACGTGACGGTGGCAATGAATTTCAATTTGCGGGCACAGCACTTCCGAGTGATGTGTAAGTGTCGCGGGAAGGGCTGCGACCCGTCCGTGTCGGGCCGATTGAGGCTGTCATTTGCCCAGTCACTTGGCACAGTCGGCAACCGCCTCAGAGCGACCGATAATAACACTTTCCAGAACACTTAATTAATGCCGTTGCTCACTTCGTGTCAGTTGTTGTTATTATCTGGTACTGAGTGACACAAAACTTGCTACTGCTTAAGCGTAATGAACTGCGGAACAGTTGCCGAAATTTTCGTGGAACATTAAAAACCGCTGTAGTTTTACACGATGCTACAGATGGTAGTTACAGAAGATCAACCAAAAATGTCAGAAATTCTTTTTGATGAAAAAACTTTAATATTCCCAGTATTTTCAGAAGTTTAATTAATAAAAATTCGATAATCCACTCTGTACCTCTTCCAGACAGTTTGAATATATATGTATATACAAGCCGTAGTGTTAAATACTTTTTTATCTGCAGGAACTCTGAAGACAGGAGACAGGATTTTAGAGGTAATATAAAATAGCTAATTGATATTAGCGCAAAATGAACACGATAAAATGGTTTTTCTGACCTCCTAGGTGGCGGGTGTCGATCTGCGCGACGCCACCCACGAGCACGCCGTGGACGTGATCCGCAGCGCCGAATCGCCGGTGACCTTTCTTGTCCAGAGCCTGGTCAGTGCCAGCGTAGCCAAACGGCACGCGCAACTGCAGCAGCAGTCCACGCAGCCATCACAGGATGAGTCGAGCTCCTCCACCGCCAGCCAACCCGGCAGCGGCACTTCCGCGCCTTCCCTGACCACCTCCGGGACACTGGCCACGTCCGTCTCGGAAGACCACGCAGATGAAGAGAAGTTGCAGCGGGAACGCAGCAATTCCATTCCGTCGAGCACCGCCTCCGAACCGGTGCAGCGGCTGCGCTCGGAGACGAAGAGCATCTCCAAAGAGTCCTCGGAAGAGTCCTCGGATAGCTCCGGAAGTAAGTGACCGTTGTGTTTTGATAGGTAAACCTAGAGTAGTAGGTTTCCTGCTGTCTACCATGCGGCTGAAAAATACGCGGCAGTATCGTTTCGTGTCGGTAGCATTGTAACTGCGTGGTACACTGGCTACACAGTTTTCTCTTTGCGCAACAGAAATCGGTCACTACACAGCGTAAACCTGAAGTGTGATACCGGTTATCGGAAAATGTTTTTTTTTTTGTTTATTTATTCCATTAGCTGTTTTTGCCGTTCTCGCGACTGTCGTTATCGTTAAAGTGAGCTTATTTGGATATTTGTTTCCGGTAAAACCATTAGCTCTGAAATTGTGTATGTAAAAGCTGCTTGCAGAGTATGCAGCGGACATTTGATTTTTTCACTTTCCTTGGACAATTTGAAGATAATGATAATTCGCGCGATATGCAAAATCTGTCTCAAACTGCTGAAAAAAATTTTAAATTGGTAATTATCATTGTACAATTTCGACGTGTTTAGTTAGCGGGTGAACGTATCATACAGCCTCTTCAAACCACCGTGCTACAATAGTTCAGCAGTTGCTTATATTACCGTTACGCACGTCGCACAGCATGTACGCTAACCGGTTTCCGTAAGGCTTTGAATATTTCCCTTGTTGTTTATGCAGAGGGCATCCATCAGAAATACGGGGATCTCGGTCCGGGCGAGCTGATCGAAGTGGAGATCCCCCGCGGTTCCACCGGCCTGGGTCTGTCGTTGGTGGGCAACAAGGACCGCCAAAAGATGTCCGTCTTCGTTCTCGGTGTCCATGAAGACAATACGGCGGCAAGGGATGCCCGCATCCAAGTGGGCGATGAAATCCTCGAGGTGGGCTAGTGATCTTCGCTGATCCAGTGAGGTGTAGAGCCTAATACATACCGTACTTGAGCATTAGCGCATATGAAATACACCGGCAAGCGTAGAGTGATGGCGCATAGTCATACATTCTTCCGTTCTTCGTTAGATAATGATTATTGTTGATATGCACTGAACTCAAGGCAGATGAAATATAACTTAAACTTTTAAAGTGCCTAAAAAATAAAAAAGAGATATTTTTTCTACCGGAATGGAGAAAATACACTACCTGTTCGTCAGCATTAATTTTTGGATTATGATGGTTGTTTGATAAGTTAAGGGCACTTTCTTTCTCCAAGCATACCACGGATGCACAGCATTTTTACGGCAAGTTGTATAATTTTAGAGTTGCACTATTGTGCATACGGTTTTTCGTGCAATAAATAAACGCTGGTAATGTATTGTATATTAAGATATTTTGGCAGAAAATAAATTCGCTGGCAAACGAATTAATTGAAATTTCTCAAGTCAGACATCGAGAAAATAACCAAGATGGGCACTGCTTTTGTGAGTTGTGGTCCACACAATTCGCCAAATAGTATTTCTGCAAGAGAACATACGCAGCCGTGAAAACGGATTTTCATTGCTGTAAACTGTAAACCCCGAGCCGGTTCCGTAAAAGATTGTTACCGCGGCTAATTATAATCGCTATAATCAACACAGTAACGCAGTTAACGGCGGCACTGTACGAGTGAAATGAACGAGTATTTGACCGATCATCCAGTATCGATCTGGCACAAAACACCAGTGCATACGGTTATTATGGTGTCTGCGTGTAGGTGAACAATCTGGTGATCGCCGGTCGCAGCCACTTGAACGCCAGCGCCATGATAAAGGGCTTAAAAGACCCGTCCTACCGCATCGTCTTGCTGCGCCGTCCCGAGGCCGTCCACGACATGGCCCTGCCGCCGGGCAGCCACACGCAGTTCCTGGCCACGCCCCATTCACCCACCGAAGCCCCTGCCTCCACAGCACTCACGCCGCACAACGAGACCGCGCATCCGTTGGGTAACCGCAAACGCTCGTCCTTAGTGCCGCCGTCTGACGATTTTGTGGCTGCGCATAAACACGAAGCGAAGAAGGAGGAGGTGGTGATTCCTGCCAAAGCGACACAGGAGACGGCACCACATCCGACTGGACCGGTTATCAAGACAGCGCGATTGTTTAAGGTCAGTGGTGCAGATAATTTGTATGTCATTTTTGCATGTTTCGCCGTTGCCGGAGCATTATAATTTCTGTTTTTATTTTTCCTTCTTATTTTTCTTAGCAGCCTTGCTGCAATACGCATTCGGTCGTGCGTACAGGTTAAGCTATTTATAAAATTCGTATAAAAAATTTTTTCCGTCGCTATGCTTATGTTCATGAAATGTTTTACCGTTGTGCCGGTTCCGCCGTCTTCAGCCACGCACTTCCTAATCAAAGTAATGTATAACGTAAGATTAGCGCTGTTGTTGTTCGTGGGCCGGCATTTTATTGGGGGATGTTTAAATTTGGTGTTGAGTCGTTGACTTTATCAGGCGAGTAAACTCATATTTAAATTAGGGTGCCGCTGGACTGGGCTTCGGCGTGTCGCAGGGACACGAGCACATCAAAGAGGGCATCTTCGTCAAGACCATCACGGAGCACGGCGTCGCGCACCAGGTACGCAAGACGGTTCTACTACCTTAACTGTTTTTCCATGCTGCCCAAAGGAATTAACTGTGAGCTGAAATCGGCTTTGTTTTCTACCTAGGAGGGAACGCTGCAAGTTGGCGACCAGGTAGTTAACATGTTGCCGCACTGCTTTAGAGCACGATGTTTAGAAATGCAGAACAACCGGAGTGTAGTGACAGTAACAGAGAACAAGCTACCCAGTAGCCTTTCGTAGTTTCAATCCGTTTGCATAGCAGGATGGTTAATCCTAAATTATATTTACCTTACACTTTGCTTTTAACTTTTTCTTAAAATACACAATTAACATTACAAGTGTACGGCACAAGCGTCCGTTATTTAAGCAGCGCGGTAATATAGCGGTTGTGTAGATTATCTCGGTGAACGGGGAGAACCTGGTGGGGCAGGACTACAACCGCGCCCTGAACATCCTGTGCCGCGCCGACAAAGACATCCACCTGACCGTCTCCCGCTTCTCCACCCTCGCTGCCCCCCTCCCGCCCTCCCTGACCCCCTCGCCGCAACCCTCCGCCCACGACCAAGAGATCACTGTCGACATTCACCGCAAATCCAACACCGGACTGGGACTGAAGCTGTCCGTTCTCCCGCTGGAGACGGCGCCGTTGGTGGTGCGGGAGATCTATCCGGAAGGGTGTGCCGGGATGGACGGGCGCCTGAAGGTGGGCGATCGGTTGCTGTGGATCAACGAAGTGGATGTCCGGCACTGTAACAGCGTGGACGTGGCCATGGGTGCGCTGGTCAGTGCAGTGGGCGAGAAGCTGACGATCAAGGTGCTAAGGGACGGGGAGACGCTGGGCGACGAGGATCTCTACCAGACCATGGAGGTCGAGCTTGTGAAACGATTAGGCAAAGGACTGGGGTAAGTGCTAAGCAGCGCAGTCTGTTTGTTTTTTGCATGCTAATAACATGTACTCGTTCCACGAATCTAGACCACGAAATATGTCGGTTGTGATTGTAGTAGAGCGGCACATTTGCGAAATCTGGTCGTGATCTTGTTCCTAGCGAAAATATGGTTTCACTTGAAAATCTTTTCTAGTACGACTTAAAATTTTTGGTATGGGGGAATGTGTGTACAATTTTTGGGCTTCATCGGCGTTTTTGCCGTAATGGGGCAGTTATTAGTCGATTTGCGCTGCCTACTCGCTCAGTACAGTGTGCACATTTACATGTAAAGGAAGCACATATTGGATATCATCTTCAATTTTTGTTGCGTTTATTGAGCAGGTTGTCCATCGTCACGCACGGGGCCGAGCCGGGCGTGTACATTTCGGAAGTGGTGAAGGGCGGTGAGAGCGAGGGCCGGCTGCTGCCCCAGGACCAGATCCTGGAGGTCAACGGGCAGGATCTGCGGCGCAGCAGCCAGGAGATGGCGGCCACCGTGCTGAAGGCGGCGCCACTGGGCAAGGTGCATTTGAAGATCCGCCGGCTAAGAACCGGCATCACCAAGGGGAATAAAGCGCGCCGCTCCAGCTCCGTCGGCAACGAGAAGAAGCCGCACGGGAAGCGCGAGAAAAAGACCAGCGAGGCCGTGTCCACGTCGTCGCCCACCCTCGACAAGGCCAGTGTCGCCTCCACCACCACCGGGGGACCGGTCACGCCGGGGGCCACCAAAAAGACCGCGTCGCCAGCGCCACAGGTAATAAATTTTTTCAAAATTGATTGGAGATATATAAATTTATAATATTGTATATTGAAATTAATATATTTAGTTTTGTTATTTTTTATTTTATTAATTTTATTTATTTATATATCTTTTATATATTATTTAATTTATTTACAGATATTTCCTTATTTATGTCTGGTCTTGCAGATGCTTCAATATCTGTTGCTGTTATTGTAGTGCATTGGCATTTGTGAAAACTTTGCGATCGGTGATCCGCAAACTTGTGATATTATGTGTTTGACATACTAAACTGTAAAATATTCATACGAAATGTTTTGAAATGTTTTGAAATATGTTTTGAAATTTTTTTTGTGAAATAATAATAATCCACCGGCATGAATATGTTGTCGAAATATTCAGATATCGTTGCATTTAAAATCTCTGATCAGTCGGTTAGTGTGCGCAAGCGGATAACTTTGTGCTCGTTGATGTACTTATGCAAAGTGTCAAAGAAAGAAACCACTTAAGTCCCATCTGACCATACGGCTTGTTTCTATTTTTATTCTCTATCTGGTTCTTTTGTGGTTTTGGATTGCAGTTTTATTCGGGATGTTTCTTATTCATATGTCGATCTTTTGCAGCCGACGGAGGGCGTGGTGAACATTGACTTTTACAAGCAGGGCAGCGACCCGTTGGGCTTCCAGCTCTCGGGGCCGAAGGGCGCGTTGGTGTTCGGGAAGATCGCCGGCAGTTCGCCGGCCTTCAGTCTGGCGCAGCCGGGCGACCGTCTCGTGGCGTTGAACGGCGCCAGCGTGGAGATGATGACGCAGGGCGAAATCAACGCCCAACTCAAACAGCTCAGCGGCAAGATCTCCATGGTCCTCTTCCGCGGCGGCGAGGCCCCGCCCCCCATCACCCCCGCCACGCCCGACGTCAAGAACGCCACACCCGCCGCCAAAACACCCACGTCAGTATTTCCTGTTAACACAACTTCAGTACCTTTTAAACTAAATTATTGTTTCCTTATTTTGTGAAAATTATTGTTTTTATGATAATTTGCAGGCAGCCCGAGTGTCGGACGATCGTACTGCAGCGTGGACAGGATGGTCTCGGCTTTTCTATCGTACGTGGTATCTCGTAGTGCTAATGTGCTATTAACGGATTTTATTGAGCCACTAGCAACTCTAACAGTGGTTGCTTTTCTTTGCGGGAACACCCTGTCAACGGTAGAATAATGCGACATGTATTTGTGGCACAGTTCGGATGGATGTTGTCGTAGTGTAGCGGCTCATAATATTCGTCTTGCCCATTTATAATTATGGGACACAAATATAAATATGCAAACGAAGATAAGTACTTTTTTCACGTCACAGCCTAAGTTGAGTCATACGGAGGCATCCAATAAACAGTAGCTTATCTTGCAAGGCTAAGCTGTTAACTTTGGGAGCCCCTTTGCGTACCGCCATCATTTAAATTATATAACAACAACAAATTCATCAAATTGGTTAATTTAAAACTATTATTAAGAGTAAATTATTATGTCATACAGAAATGTTAGGAAAACTTCAAAACAAAAGTAAATAAGATAAATTATAGAATAGCACGCGATGCGCTTATGCTGTAGTACGAGAAATAAGCCACTTATTTGTTTATAGCTGTTTTTCTAGCATTTTTGGGGGGATTTTGATGTTTTAACGAGGGTGCCGTTCTGTGGTTCGGCTGCTGCATGTGTCCTCGCATTGCTCTCTCGGTAAAGTGGATTTGCTGTATTTCTTTGTGGGATTTTGTACAAAGCGGGGAAACGCATCCAGACTATAATAAAATTTCTTCAGAAATTTAATGCGATTTCTGTAAACATTGAAAACTACGTGATGGCTCATAGTATGCAAATAGTACCATCAAGCTGCGCTTGCAGAGTGACATCCGATCGTAGTCTAATGGCATGATCATTTGCAACTCTCGACTTCATGACTAACCAGTTTCGATTTAACGTTACCCATCTGTGAGTGCGGTTAACTTTTTCTGCATTTTCAAAGTTTTGGATTTGCCGCAATTTCAGAGTTTGGATTTAGTCATTTAGAGGAAAATCTTGCATTATCTCAACAAGATATACCGCGTACTTCGCACTATCAAGAAAGGAACAATACTTCGCTTTGCCCATTATTTTAATCAGTACCGCTTTAGGGATCAATATATTAATCACTTTACTGAATTGACAGCCTTTGTGGCGGGCGGCTACATGAACAACCACGGCTGACTCAAATGCAGTCTATGCATTACCATTCAGTCCATGCAGCCTATGCAGCTTATCAGTGATGCAATCTATGCAGCAAGACCAGCACTGCATCTATGCAGTAAAAGTGATTAATATATTGATCCCTAAAGTGGTACTGATTAAAATAATGGGCAAAGCGAAGTATCGATAATAAAAAAAGAACATAGTTATATGTTTGCAGCAGCTTTTTCTTCATTGCCGAAAACTTCACTGGGTAAGAATGGTTTTCCACCTCCAGGGCCATGTGGGGGCTGTCCATCTGCGCGCTGCGAGCCACCAGCAAACTGCCGACATGATCCGCAGCGCATACTCCCTCGTGACCTTTCTCGTCCGGAGCCTGGTTAGCGCCAGTATAGCCAAACGGCAGACGCAGTTGCAACAGCACGAGCCTTCAGGAGGAATCAGGCTGTTCCACGCCAACCAACCCGGCAGCGGCACCTCCGCGGACTCTCGGAGAACCTCTTGGGCACCGAAATGCCGCTAACCACGTCCCTTTCAAGATGACGCTGACGAAGACAACAGAGTGCAGTGGAAGCGAGGTTCCACAACGTCGATGACGGTTTTCGAACCGGTGCAGCGGTTGCGCTTGATTGCGGAGACCAAAAGGTTCTCTAAGGAGTCTTTGGAGAATTTGTCGGATAGCTCCGGCAGTATATGGGCGTCACCGCTAAGAAAGCCTGTCTTGTTCCCTGCTGATAAGAAATTTGGGTTCCCAAATGGGCGGCAGAATATCCTCCGGTGTCATTCGCTTTACTGGAAATGGAAAGGAAATCCCCGTGGTCCCACTGGATTGGGTCTGTCGTTCGGCGCGGGGCAACAAGGACCGCCAGAAGATGTTTGTCTTTTCCTGGGCGGCGGCATAATACAGCGGCATGGGATGCCCGCATCGAAGAAGACGAAGCGAAAGTGTGCAATATAATAGTAATAGTGCGTTTGTGGTGTTTTCGTAGTGAAGCGGCGCATTTGCATACGGTGTTGGAATGGATTATGGTGATATGACTGATATCCATCCATTTGTTACAATTTTGAACATTGATATGGGGTACATTTTTTCCATTTAAATTTCTAGATGGTAGTTTTCTCACTCAAATATCGATTCACCGCGCTCTTTTGGCGGTAACTATAGAATTTAACCGTCTGTCGTATGGAAAAAAAAACATTTTCCTCCATGAGATACTTGGGAAAATGGTTGCGCCTTGATCACTGCTCAGTAATTTATGGTCCGTCGTGCGGCAGCAAAGTGACACGTGACGGTGGCAATGAATTTCAGTTTGCGGGCACAGCACTTCCGAGTGACGTGTAAGTGTCGCGGGAAGGGCTGCGACACGTCCATGTTGGGCCGATTGAGGCTGTCATTTGCCCGATCACTTGACGCAGTCGGCAGCCGCCTCAGAGCGACCGATATCAACATTTTCTAGAACACTTAATTAATGCCGCTGCTCGGCTGCGCTTTTAATAAACACGTTGTTGCGCTTTTTGTATGTGGCGGAAGCGGAATATATTGTACTAATCGTGTCTATATGTGGCGGAGGCGGAATATATTGTTTTAATCGTATATATGTTGTATGGATAATTTTGCACTATTTTACATGGCCAATGCCAAGCCAGTTGCGCAGGTGTCAGCAGCGGAAACCGGACGAGGAACAGAGCGCCATCCCTCTCATCACATAATCTCTTCGGCCTGCGCACCCACCATAGCCCAGCACATGTCCACGATTTTACCAGCATGCCAATGGACAGCGGACAGCCTACCGAGAAACAACATCGTTGTTTTTTGTCATGAGATTCATAACGCTCGCTCATCGTTACCGGCGACTTATCGATGCTGAACCAACCTTCCTCTTCCAGTGTCCGCAGGCAATTATCATCATTAAGCCGGTCAGTGATGAAATCCGATCGAGCAGATCTTTACCAATGGCACGTCGGACGTCGGCAATGCAGTTCTCCACCATGCCTCTATATATGCAACTGGAATGTAATGTCGTGAATGTACAAACTGTAAATATTGACAGATAAAGTGCTTACTCTCGCATGATCGCTGGCTGTGGAAACCTAATATTAAAGGACCATGTTTCCAGGCATACCGAAGTTCATCTGCAAAAGCGCCGAGAATAAAATCCGGAATATCAATAGGAACTTCACATTTTGGCGGTAAACTGTTGTAAAAAATGTGACCAAAAGGGGACCAACAGAAAGGTGCAAAGTATTCCCGAAAGTAGCAAAATACCTTAATCGACGTGATCTAGATTGAATGCAAAAATATAGCGGAGTAACTGTTTTCTCGTGAAGACCGGATCAGCCAGTTTTATCATACGAGAAACTGTACTATCAAAAAATTTTCCAGCTGGTTAATTCGCCGTGCGATTCAACGGAATGAATTGTAATGTAAACACCGTTGTAGTTTGTATACCCTTTTTTATACACCATACAGCGTTCTAATGCGATTGCCTGCATCGCGACACGGAAATGTAATGCATGCTATCGTTTTAGAGCGAACTGCTGAATGAATCCGAGCTGCTGAGCTTGTTCATGTACCAGCATGCCACCGAGAAGCCCTAACTGCCGTTTCCGACGGAGCGCCGAACTGTCTGCAAGAAGAGTAAAATTAAGTAATCCAGATGCACCAGTCAGCACCCTTTCGTTGTTTCCAGTTCGGTTTGGTGATGTGGTGTGGTGAGGCATAGAAACTATGCGCAAATCTTCGGATTTTCGGCTGATACTAAACTTTTAATGTTTCTTTGTGTCTGTTGTCTAGGCATCTTTACTATGAAGGATTTTTTTACATCGTCTGTTTGGCGCATGAACGAAGTGCACATTTGGGTGCAGTTTACTAGAAACAAAATTAGCTATCAGTTGTCTGTTTGTGCACGTCCATTGCAGGCAATTTATCGCATTCGATGCATACTTGGTTGAGTTTCATATTTCGGTCATCTGGTCAAAATTTTCGGACAAACAAAAATACCAGAAACAAATAGCTTTCATAGTAAAAACTTCGCTCATGGATTCGAATTTCGAAGCATGGATTCACAAAAAAACCAAAATAAGAATAGGAATCGGACTGCGTGCAAGGTAGAACAACCGCTCTTACGCGTTTACACACTTGAGAAATATTAAATTCCAACTTTTTCAATTTTGTTTTGTTGACTACAGACCAGTGAAAGCACATAAAAAACACGTTGTGCGATCAGCAGCTATTCGTGTAGCGCACTTAGGGGGGAGGGGTGTAAGTGACCGGTGACCAAAATATGAAACCGTAAAGTGACCGGTGACCGAAATATGAAACCGTATACTTAAAGTGACCGAAATATTAGACAATCCAAGTATTCACGGTAATAAGTTAATAGCGGCAGAACTGATAAAAAGCTTTCTCCGAAGAACTAAAATTCGTAGCTTCACGTTTATGACCTTCCGCGAGCTCGCCTGTCCTTAAGGTTACCATCAAATCACTCCCTCACTCTCACTATCCCAACCAGGGTGGCACGGTGGTTGTCCATACTGCATTTTCAACTAGCCGGGAGCCGCATTACGGCATTAAACCTAAAGCGGAGCCGGAATAAGGAATGTGTCGAACTTCGAAGTATACGAGGCAACTTTAGCCAACTTCTGTACTGCGATGTGCTGTGACAGTATTGCTTAACCCATGTCGATGCCCCCTGCCTTACTACGATTCAGAGAAGAATACTTTGGAAAGTCGAATATTGTAGTACGTACACTGCAACTACTGGCTAGTGCGACGTGCAATCGGCCTTCCTTGTTGATCAACGACGAACAAAATCGACGCCCTACAGCGAACTTCACGGCACTGTGTGCCCCTTTCCCGTGGCGGTGAATTCCGGATTCAGGCATTGTCGATGAGACTACCGCTTCTTCCTTCAGTCGACGGCACTGACTGAGGAGTACCACAGCAGGAATGAAGGCGCATATTAAGATGGTGCTTTAGGTACGCTCACAGTCATAAAACAATTAACTATCTTCGCGACAGGCGGCGTCGAACGCATTGAAAGCGCGCGCTTACATAAACATCAGCCGAACAATCCTAAGCCGGTGACCAGAGCAGCCACTGTCAGAGGCCCACGACTGCGCCTGGTGCGTACGGTCCACACAGGACGTACTTGCACCATTGCTTGCCGTTATCGCCTCTCTCGCTGTACGTACGTGTGCTGCTGCACTGCACTCATCCGCTGAAGCGGATATACGCAGCGCACACACTGAGCATACTCGCTCTCTCGTTCCTCTCTCGCAGTATGACTCTTCAGCGTTCATACGCTCGCGTTGGATAGAGTCCAGTCTGCGCATCATCACACAGCTGATGGCACACAGTACGTGGTTGCCACCAGTTGCTTCCG